TTCTGGGCGCTTTCCAAGAACTTTTCTAGTGGCTTCAGAAAGCGACGTTAAGCAGTAGCCTCCCTTCAAATCCCTCGCAGGGCCCTTACCAGAGGCTTTTGCTGCATTTTGCAGGCTTCTGGGCGCTTTCCAAGAACTTTTCTAGTGGCTTCAGAAAGCGACGTTAGGCAGTAGCCTCCCTTCAAATCCCTCGCAGCGCCCTTACCAGAGGCTTTTGCTGCATTTTGCAAGCTTCTGGGCGCTTTCCAAGAACTTTTCTAGTGGCTTCAGAAAGCGACGTTAGGCAGTAGCCTCCCTCCAAATCCCTCGCAGCGCCCTTAGCAGAGGCTTTTGCTGCATTTTGCAGGCTTCTGGGCGCTTTCCAAGAACTTTTCTCGTGGCTTCAGAAAGCGACGTTAGGCAGTAGCCTCCCTTCAAATCCCTCGCAGCGCCCTTAGCAGAGACTTTTGCTGCATTTTGCAAGCTTCTGGGCGCTTTCCAAGAACTTTTCTAGTGGCTTCAGAAAGCGACGTTGACTAGCCCTTCAAAGCCCTCCGCATCGCCCCTTACCAAGCTTTTGCTGCCTTTTGCAGGGCTTTCTGCCTTTCCACGCACTTTTCTAGTGGCTTCAAAGCGACGTTTAGGAGTACCTCCCTTCAAATCCCTTCGCACGCCCTTAGCAGAGCTTTTGCTGCCTTTTGCAAGCTTCTGGGCGCTGTTCCAAGAACGTTTCTATGCATCAGAACTGCGCGACGTTAGGCAGTAGCATCCCTTCAAATCCGTCGCAGCGCCCTTACCAGGATCTTTTGCTGCATTTTGCATCTTCGGTCGGCTTTCCCAGAAACTTCTCTAGGGCTTCAAAACGACGTTAGGCAGTAGCCTCCCTCAAATCCCTCGCAGCTCCCTTACCATAGGCTTTTGCTCATTTGGCAGCTTCTGCGCTTTCCAAGACCTTTTCTAGTGGCTTCAGAAAGCGACGTTAGGCAGTAGCCTCCCTCCAAATCCCTCGCAGCGCCCTTAGCAGAGGCTTTTGCTGCATTTTGCAGGCTTCTGGGCGCTTTCCAAGAACTTTTCTCGTGGCTTCAGAAAGCGACGTTAGGCAGTAGCCTCCCTTCAAATCCCTCGCAGCGCCCTTAGCAGAGACTTTTGCTGCATTTTGCAAGCTTCTGGGCGCTTTCCAAGAACTTTTCTAGTGGCTTCAGAAAGCGACGTTAGGCAGTAGCCTCCCTCCAAATCCTTCGCAGCGCCCTTAGCAGAGGCTTTTGCTGCATTTTGCAGGCTTCTGGGCGCTTTCCAAGAACTTTTCTCGTGGCTTCAGAAAGCGACGTTAGGCAGTAGCCTCCCTTCAAATCCCTCGCAGCGCCCTTAGCAGAGGCTTTTGCTGCATTTTGCAGGCTTCTGGGCGCTCTCCAAGAACTTTTCAAGTGGCTTCAGAAAGCGACGTTAGGCAGTAGCCTCCCTCCAAATCCTTCGCAGCGCCCTTACCAGAAGCTTTTGCTCCATTTTGCAAGCTTCTGGGCGCTTTCCAAGAACTTTTCTAGTGGCTTCAGAAAGCGACGTTAGGCAGTAGCCTCCCTCCAAATCTTTCGCAACGCCCTTACCAGAAGCTTTTGCTGCATTTTGCAGGCTTCTGGGCGCTTTCCAAGCACTTTTCTAGTGGCTTCAGAAAGCGACGTTAGGCAGTAGCCTCCCTTCAAATCCCTCGCAGCGCCCTTACCAGAGGCTTTTGCTGCATTTTGCAGGCTTTCTGGGCTCTTTCCAAGCACTTTTCTAGTGGCTTCAGCAGCGGACGGTTGCGAGCCCCCTCCAAAGCCTTCGCAGCGCCCTTCCCAGGAGCTTTTGCTCCATTTTGCAAGCTTCTGGGCGCTTTCCAAGAACTTTTCTAGTGGCTTCAGAAAGCGACGTTAGGCAGTAGCCTCCCTTCAAATCCCTCGCAGCGCCCTTACCAGAGGCTTTTGCTGCATTTTGCAAGCTTCTGGGCGCTTTCCAAGAACTTTTCTAGTGGCTTCAGAAAGCGACGTTAGGCAGTAGCCTCCCTCCAAATCCCTCGCAGCGCCCTTAGCAGAGGCTTTTGCTGCATTTTGCAGGCTTCTGGGCGCTTTCCAAGAACTTTTCTCGTGGCTTCAGAAAGCGACGTTAGGCAGTAGCCTCCCTTCAAATCCCTCGCAGCGCCCTTAGCAGAGACTTTTGCTGCATTTTGCAAGCTTCTGGGCGCTTTCCAAGAACTTTTCTAGTGGCTTCAGAAAGCGACGTTAGGCAGTAGCCTCCCTCCAAATCCTTCGCAGCGCCCTTAGCAGAGGCTTTTGCTGCATTTTGCAGGCTTCTGGGCGCTTTCCAAGAACTTTTCTCGTGGCTTCAGAAAGCGACGTTAGGCAGTAGCCTCCCTTCAAATCCCTCGCAGCGCCCTTAGCAGAGGCTTTTGCTGCATTTTGCAGGCTTCTGGGCGCTCTCCAAGAACTTTTCAAGTGGCTTCAGAAAGCGACGTTAGGCAGTAGCCTCCCTCCAAATCCTTCGCAGCGCCCTTACCAGGAGGTCTTTTGCTGCTTTTGCAGCTCTGGGCGCTTTCCACGAAACTTTTCTAGTGGCTTTCAGAAAGCGAGCGTTAGGCAGTACCTCCCTTCAAAATCCTTCGCACGCGCCCTTTACCAGGACTTTTTGCTGCATTTTGCAACTTCTGCGGGCGCTTTCCAAGAACGTTTCTATGGCTTCAGAACGGACGTTAGGCAGTAGCCCCCTTTAATCCCTCGCAGCGCCCTTACCAGAGGCTTTTGCTGCATTTTGCAAGCTTCTGGGCGCTTTCCAAGAACTTTTCTAGTGGCTTCAGAAAGCGACGTTAGGCAGTAGCCTCCCTCCAAATCCCTCGCAGCGCCCTTAGCAGAGGCTTTTGCTGCATTTTGCAGGCTTCTGGGCGCTTTCCAAGAACTTTTCTCGTGGCTTCAGAAAGCGACGTTAGGCAGTAGCCTCCCTTCAAATCCCTCGCAGCGCCCTTAGCAGAGACTTTTGCTGCATTTTGCAAGCTTCTGGGCGCTTTCCAAGAACTTTTCTAGTGGCTTCAGAAAGCGACGTTAGGCAGTAGCCTCCCTCCAAATCCTTCGCAGCGCCCTTAGCAGAGGCTTTTGCTGCATTTTGCAGGCTTCTGGGCGCTTTCCAAGAACTTTTCTCGTGGCTTCAGAAAGCGACGTTAGGCAGTAGCCTCCCTTCAAATCCCTCGCAGCGCCCTTAGCAGAGGCTTTTGCTGCATTTTGCAGGCTTCTGGGCGCTCTCCAAGAACTTTTCAAGTGGCTTCAGAAAGCGACGTTAGGCAGTAGCCTCCCTCCAAATCCTTCGCAGCGCCCTTACCAGAAGCTTTTTACCAGAGGCTTTTGCTGCATTTTGCAGGCTTCTGGGCGCTTTCCAAGAACTTTTCTAGTGGCTTCAGAAAGCGACGTTAGGCAGTAGCCTCCCTTCAAATCCCTCGTTGATCTTTTGCCATCTGCTGAGACAGAGCAAGCCATGCCACCTGGAACCCTTCATCATTAAATATTTGTTGAGCAATCTTCAATATGCAGGTCATAACCAGACTTCCTGACATTCAACAAAGGAACAGACCCGCTGGGTCCTTGGGTGCCTGCTGTTGCGACTGCTTCGTCTGCAACATCAGGTTCACCTCCCTCTTTTTTTGTCCGGGGTCGGCGGCAGGGGCGGCAGCCCTTAAATCCGGCGACGCCTCGCCGTGTAGTGTGGGGAAGCTAAGCATAGCTTTAGCTACCCGGGGGCGCGCCCCTGCCGCCGACCCTCCCCAAAAATCCTTTAGCCTGGTGGGGTTTTCACGTTTTTCGGGGTCTGGGGTGGACAAAAAGAGGGTAAAATTTGAAGATGCGTTTTGGAGGTCCCAAAAATCGGAAAAAAGTACCGTTTTGACACATTTTTCGGACGATTTTTCGCTTTTCGGAAGTCACAAAATGCTGTAAATTACAACATTTTTGCGTTTTAACGTCGTTGGCGGGAGCCATGCAAAAACGCAGAAAATGCTGTAAATACCAATACTTTTTGGACCCGAGATGCACAAAACACTGCAAATACCAGTGTTTTTGAAAGCCAAGCAAAAAAACATTGTAAATTACAGCATTTTTGGCGGGTTGATCGCAAAAAATGCTGGTATTTACAATGTTTCTGCAATTTCAAGCAAACGTGGAAGGCACGAAACACTGTAAATAGCGGTGTTTTGGCAACTTTTGGACGCCGAAACGCTGGTATTTACGCAGTTTTTTGCTTGTGACGGGGCCACTCCCCTGTAAATTATAGCATTTTTTGCACTTTTTGAACCGATTTTTTGTCTTGATGAATGCAAAAAACGCTGGTATTTACACGTTTTTCAAAAAATCGAAGATCGTGATGTGAACGAAACTCTGTAAATAAGAGTGTTTTAGCCACTTTCGGGGACTAAAACTGTGGTATTTACACGGGTTCTTACCATCTCACAGCACAAAATGCTGTAAATTACAACACTAGGCATAGGCCAACATAGCCTCAAGATGGGCCAACATAGCCCCAAGATGGGCCAACATAGCCCCAAGATAGGCCGCCGACCCTCAGCATGTCATGTTCGCAAGTTCAGATGACATCCCCCTCTCTCTTTCCCTCCCCCGACCCCTACCGGCGTCGCCGGTGTGCGAAGCTCTACAATAATATATGTATACCGTATACCGTATACCTATTAAAGTCCTACCATTGCTGTTATTTACTATTATCTATGTTTCAATTATCATTATTATACTCATGAGTATCATCAGGGAAATCACATGATTATTCTCATTATGAGTGTATTATCATTGGATATGCTTATTATACTCTGGTAGACAGGTCATCTCCACACTGCTCAGATTTGTTCAAAAAAATCGAGCCGCTGGAAACATCTGGAAACTGCTATCTCCAGCTCCAAAATTGTGGAAAAACCAGCTGTTTTTGTTGCTTAACAGTAAAACACTGTAAAACATGTGCCCCAAGGCAATTTTGCTCAAGCTCCCTGGCCAAGAAAATCATCATGGGAAGGTTGTGGCACGGCAGAGCACCTCGTTCAAGCTTTTGAGAATGGGCAGCAGGTATGCGGTGGTCCTTAGTGTGGTCCCCGAGCTGCACACATCCAACTTGAGGGTGCATAATGCTGAGCCTCATATTCCTTCACAAGATCGTACTTGAAGATTCACACCCAGCCTTCACCAAAGGGATCCAAATGGCTTATCTAGTCATTATTGGTACTATCCCTGCACTCAGAAAAGTCTAGTAAGGTGCAATATCCGGATTGTGTTCACGGTTGCACCTATAGAATCTTATTGACACTCGCTTAACCTTAGTTCGGTCAAAATCTTTGGAGTAAATGTCGCGAAGGTGCTACACCCAAAACCACACCATTCCATCCACTGGTTCATCATCACAATCCCTACTCAAAAGGTCAAAAAAATGAGGTATCCCAAGTTGGTTGGTTATAAACTATTCCCATAATATCCTCGTTTATTTTTACAAAATCCACACAGTTGATGGTCAAATCCCCTGTTTTCGACTTAAGACTATGGTTGGTTATTTACCCCATCGCTTTTTATGCTTACTTAGCTTAGTTCTATAGTATATATATTTATGCTATATATATATATACATACATACATACATTACTATATATCACACATGTTTCCCATATTTTCCCCAATTTTCCCGATGAAATTGCCATACAATGGAGCATACTTCATGGATCCTCATGGTACATTCCATTTCGAGGCAAAGCCATGCGACTTGCCGGAGCCGGTGAAAGCTGAAGCCATGAAGTCGTGCCCATCTGGCAGAGGGGTTCATATAATGGGATTGAATACGGATGTAATGGGATTTAATGGTGGTTTAATAGAACTGTAATCCCTATGTTATGTATATACAACGGGATATTGGGGGATATCCAACCTATCTCAACATTGCAAAGTTTCAGACAGGAAAAAGATCCGAATCGGATGTTTCTTAAAATTGGGAACCATCACGCAATACAAAGGATGGGATGGAACCAAGCAAGCAAGAAAGCAGTAATGAATCTAATGAGATGTAATGAGTATGAGTGTCCCCAAAAACGATAGAAGAGCTCCTACTAATTATGTACTCTTCTCTCCTGAAATCACTGCTATTAGGGCTTAATTCTTTTTGTCTTGATCCAGGTCATGAAACATCGATGCAATCAATGAGATTCAGAATGTCCAATCAGAAACCATCAATGGTGTGTTTGAGGCTCCAAGGTCAAAATTCACAATTCACAATTCACGTGGGTGACAAGCAAAAACATATACTATGAAACATGCTTATTTTATAGGTTATTTAGGTCTGAAAAGGGAGTATACCGTATACCCCCAAAAAAAATGCCATTTGAATAGGTCAAATTCGATGGGGATCATCCTGGATGGAACATAACTCAAAGCACCAATGGATTGGTTGGAAAATCTCCAGGAAAGCACAGCTTTTCCAATAAAATATAGAAGGGGGATTCCCTAAACCAGAAATTTTCCAGATTTTTTCCAATATAATATAGAAATTTCCAGTTTCAATTTTCCCTTAAACCAATCCCTGTGGCCAACAAACCTCGCATCAGTGGCAGAGAGCATTGCTGCACGGGCGTCAAATAAAAGAAACCGCGACGAGCCAAGGCCGCCTGGCCAGGTGCCATCGGTGCAAAATCGATGATTCTGTGGTGCAGTCAGTCACATCTTAAACTCACAAAACATGACAGAAATCTCTGGGACAACTTCAAAACTGATCAAACAGTCTGGACCGACTGGGATAATTACTTTTATTCAACAGAAATCCGTTCAAATGGTGATTCTTTTCACATATAAAAAGCAGTGATTGGGCTAGTCCACCTTTTGGCATATGGTGGTTCCAAAAAATGGCGAATCTTTAGATACTGATGCCCCTCCCAACGAAGATCTTCAGCTCTGGCAATAGATAAGCAGTATAAGGAATGTACAAGGAGTACAGTTAGTAAAGATGGCCATATGGCAAAGGTAAGCAATAAACGACCTACCTTGAATAGTTCTCATCCACCTAATATGAATGCAGTTTTTTCCACGCCATGCCATGGTCCCCTTTCGACGTGTACATCCCCTACATCCACCATGGTATCCCCATTGGTTTCTGGGGCGCACCTGCAGGAAGGGCGGGTAGCCGAACTCCTCCACCGCCTCTTGGAACGTGGAATACTGCGAAACCTGGGTCGAGCGCCCCACATGAACGAAGCAGAATGGGACATGGAGCTGACCAAATGCGGGTGATATAATATGATTAAGATGACATAACATAGTCATGCATATCTATTATGTATTTGATATACGTACAGTATACTATGAATCAACATCGATAAAGCAAAATAAGGAGGTCCTCTGCAACTTATTTTACCCTGAATTTGGTATTATGGGAGACCAGCCATCAACCAAATAGATTACTAGATGGTCTCTCTTAGTGGATTAACACTCTATTCAAGCGTTGCACAATTGGCAACTTGGAATCCAAAACAACCAGACATGAGTACTTTCCAACATGGGGGGTACCCTCAACTTATGGTTGCTTCAATAACAAACAAGTGTAATTTTGGATCTGGGGTATCAATGATGGCGGTTCCTGACGATTCCATTTTTGATGCAGCGAAACTGAGCTCTGCGTTTCTGGTAGTTCGGGGTTCCTGCCGTTGATGTCATATACGGTGTGTTTCTCTAAATCGGACCAAACAAATACAATGGAACCCCTGAACAAAATTGACGAACTGTGGATCATTCTGGTAGTTTTGGTGGTCCCCAATTTTCACAAACGTTCCATGGGGTCTGTTGGTCAATCATAATTTTCCCCCGTGAAGATAGGGCAACTGTGCGGTATCCAAGCAGCCTTCATGGGTTCGCCATTAGTACCTTAAGCCAACAGGCGGTGACTACCCTCTGGGCTCTGCACTCATGGGGAATTAACATGTGCTCAATCACCATGATTTATTCCAGTGATATATATATATATATGTATGTATATATATATATAATTATATATATATATTGGAAAAACTCAAGTTACATAAATATAAAACAACATATACATATATTGCACATCAAAGGCCGGGGAAACCTCAAGTCTCAACAAGCCAACAATGCAATCAAATGAGGGATCTTCCATCCCTATATTTATTTATTGGAGGATTTCCTTTCTTGAAATTAATTTATCACGTAAGCTAGTTTGGAATGAAAGAGGGGGAGAATGGATCCAAGCACTCTCAGAGAAGTTCATATGGACCCGGTTCAGACAAAGCAACTTACCCTCTGGTAATTTAACATAGCTATTGAAAATGGCAATTTAATGTAATTTATAGTGAGTTTTCCCATTAAAAATTGTCATTTTCCATAGTTACGTTAGTTTACCAGAGGGTAAATGATGGATAGGAGAGAGCTCCAGGTTCGGCCATCTGTGGGGTCGTCTCAATGGGTATGGGTCAAAAAATGACCAGTTCACATTGCCCACATTTGACGGTTGATGTTCGGTCTTGACTTGTGATAATCTATACCCTCTGGTAAACATACAAAAAGCTATTGAACATGGCCATAGAAATAGTGGATTTACCCATTAAAAATGGTGATTTTCCATATAGTTACGTTAGTTTACCAGAGGGTATGTTTGAGGCTACCAAATGACAAGGCCATTGCATCGCATGATAGGCAAATCTCCCATCATTCTTGGTTGCGTTTGCTGTTTAGAACTGAAACTGTTGAGGACTACAGCTACAAAATACCAACATCATTTAAGCTCGTTCTATCCCCATTTCTGTGGGATAAATTTCCCTGAAAGCTTGGCAAAATCACTCTATCTTTACTGTAGCCAAAGGTGCCCATGATGATGGCTTCTGTGCCATAAGCCTTCCTGAAGCTCGTCTCCTGACACATTTGTGTCAGGCGGCTGTCCCAAAACAGAAACAACATTCCCAATATAGATTCCCCAAACGGTGGATTAACATGGATTAACCGATGCTGAAAAAATAGAGAATCCATAAGAATCCTCAAAACATATTGTTTAACAACATCTTCAAAAAAAACATCGGCCAATCCAAAAGAATTTCATCCACCACGCCTGATCCATGACATCCTCGTCCTCCTTGGGCGGCGGCTCCAAGGAAGGCAGCGGCGAAGGCAGCTCAGCGGCCAACTTTTCGCGGGGTTGGTTGCCAGCGCCTAACGTGGCAGGGGACGCCATTGGAAATGGAGAGTTTTCGTGGAGCTTTTCATAGGATGTCCCAGGGGGGTTTCCATGGGACTTGAAGCATCAACAATAGAGATTGGGATTAAACATAATGATTTAGTGGATGATGGAAAAAAAAAAAACATTTTCTATCCGTTTCTTTTTCCAAAAGATGAGTTGGAAAAAGATGGCGACTGATCCTGGACTCAAATGTTGTGGCCACCCTATGCTATGTTTATGCGAGGTGCTGTAAGCTCCTGGATGTGTGGGTGTGTGTGTGTATGTGTTTGAACATGCGGAACTACAACACTTGTCTTACTTGCAAGTTCTGTCATATCTTCCGTGTTTCATTGTGTATACATTGGTACGAAGTTGTAATGCGTGTCAAGTACATTTAACATATCATTTGAGTATGAGAGAACGACACGCATACCTATACGATATATATACCCATTGTGTATGCTATATTCTAGTATATTCTATTCGTATTCTATTCGTATATGTACACACCCCAACAGCTAAACTGCCACGGATGGCTCCCTTCACCGACGTCCCCGCCTTTGGTGGGATTCTTCTGCTCCTCCCAAAAGGCCCATGACCTTGGGAGACGTCCGACGAACAAGCCATGAGGAAAATGCCGGAGCGTCTCGAAATTGTGGAAGATGTGTTTACATTAACAAAAAATAATGAGAATCCACACTGAAAATAGAACAACCAAACATATCTAGAGCTCAACCACACTGAAAATAGAAAAACAAAACATATTTTGGAACACAGGGACGATTGAAAAAAAACACATATTATGAGATCATGATCAAAACATTGTCATGGTGTATTTTGGTATGGTCATCCGGACACCACTGGGAATTGCTTAAAACAGGTACGGAAATCCCCATCAACAGATTGATGACCATCCTCCAATATGGACAGGCCCAAGTTTTGGCCATGGCCATGGCACATATCGGACATCGCTAACCAGCAACTGATTCAGGTTTTCCGGTGAAACGCAGTCCGTTTAAGTCAATTCTGGGGGTGAAGAGTTTGATGGAGATGTATACAAGTGACCCCTCGAGGGACGAAAATCATTGTGGAATTCTTTTGTGACTCTGGACATGCATTAGTGGAAATGGGGTTCACAGTGCCCAAACCTCTATCCACATCTTCAGGGTCAGCATCCGTCAGACATGGTCAAGTCCCGACTCTCGCTAGTGAACATCCCAAGCCAATAGTTTGTATCCTCACAGTTTTTGCTCATGAGACCAGGTTTGATACCTCATTGTAGCTTGTTCACATTGTTGTTCTCAGCTAGATCATCCCCCCAATTATTAGTATTATCAGCTACATCATTCTCCTTGTTTTGAGTTGAAACTTGAAACATTACAAAACAACATGTTCATTCATAGCTTTTGATGCTTTTTGCAGTACCGGATTTAGTCGTTGGTTGTCGCCCACTATTGTTGGGCGTACCCTGGGGTACCCCTACTGAATTGGTATATTTCACCAAGCTGAAATGTTCGACACATAGAAATTCCGTGAAACCGGCTTGGTGCGTAAATACAGCATCTTTCACCAGTGTAAGTGATACTACATCCTGACTTTAGTTCTGATGTCCCTGCCTATGGTTGCTGACATGTTATTGGATGTCCCCCCATTGGGAAATCCAACCTTCAAAAACCTCAACAAGGAACTCATCTGCTTCGCCGGCAGAATCTCGCGGCTTGAAGGATTCAGAATCCTCCCCATCATCCACCAGATCCTGCACGTCACATGGTCCAACACAGACCCCGAAATTGGGCAAGGGCAGGGAGGTTTGATTCCAATATGGTACATCAACGTATTGATTTGGGGATGGGTCAAAACCTATGTATAGTATGATTGCCATATTTTTTTGGGAATAAACATCCGCTTCACCAGCTATTCAGGGTACAGTACCTGGGGTGCCAGGGTCTTTGACTCATAGCCATTTCAAGAGGGCCAGAATTCAAGCCTTGAACATGTGTCGTCTAGATTGGTCCAGGCCTGACTATTTCTGCTGAAAGCTAGTGCCATGCTGTTCACGGATTCTTCATAAACTGTGGTTTCCATATCCAATTATGGCAGGATTATCCTTTTCCTTCCATGCTCGTTTATTTGTTGTTTCCATTGTCAATCATTCATTTTTGAAGGTTGGGAACTACGTCTTAGTTCCTTATAGGCTTTAGCTTTTGACTGGTACAAGTTTGGGTGTGAGCCCTGACAATTCCTTACTTCGGAGATCATCCAAGTGAGGATCCAATCCTCACTTTACATGTGCATTCCAATTTGTCATGCGTTGGAAAATCATGGTTCGCTCACCGAGTCTTTTCGATGGGACGTTTCCCCCAGTGATAGTGACAACTATCAGCCCAATCTCAACTATCTTCGAACAGTGTTGTTTTCGCACAGGTTTATGGTTCTGAAACCTGACTTAGTCACCTATGATCCTTAACACCCCTCATGAGTTGATATCATAAAATATAATCATAATCAATCATATCATAGTAAGCTAATATAAGCTATATAATCTAAGATTGTCTAATATTAGATTGATGGCTATTCATGGATTCATGGATGTTCTTAAGCCATTTTCGTCACATCATCGACTCCCTCCAGCCCCAGCCCGTCCTTGTTCAACATGGAGAGCCCCACCAGCTCCGGGTCTAGCTTGGGCTGCGGCGCATATCTGGCTTTGGCGGCCAGGGCCAAGCCTGCACCTGAAACCCGACCCAGCGACCGTTCTAGGGAAGACTGGGGAACATGTAAGAGATGATCTGGCATAGATCACAGATTTATCTGAAAAAATGACACCAACCCAGAACATATGAGAGGGACATAATATCACATAATATCACATATTTGGATTGACGTGAAGAAATCGTTACACTGCATAATACCTAAAGTTGATGAGGAGAAAACATACTTTCTTTGCGGAGGATGTTTTCTTAGATCATCCCAATGTGGAAAATACATGGGAGGAACAAATAAACATGAATTGATAGCTGATCACACACATGTTGACGTTTTTTTAATGAATAGAAGCCATGCATGTAGATATTAAAGATCATCATATGTAACCAATGTGTATAGCAACTAGGTCTAAAAGACATACAGTAGTTGTAGAAGACTGTGGAACCACTTTGCCACTTCAGAGTTTGAGGATCTCAAACTACCAACTGAAGCAGACAAAAATGACATGGGACAAGTATGGTACACCATGTCACATTCAAGTCATAGCCATCTTATTGGTATCTATTGGTACTATGCTATCGGATGTGCCACGGTCCAGGGACCTATGGCTCAATGCTCATCTTATGGCAATCTCCCGTTGGCCAAATCCGATCCCCGGTTGAAGGGTTGATGAAACTCCAGAAAACTCATCCAATCATTGAAAAACAACAGAATTCATACCCCATCCCAAAGCCATCCCAATCTGACGTCCACACCTAGGCCCATCTGCAACCAAACTCTTGGCTCAGACTTCGGAGCACGACGGGAAGCCCCAGCACCTTTTTGCAGCGGTCACGTCGTAGGGAGCAAAGCAACCATCGGCACAGGGAGACATGGTGGGACCAGTTCATCACTTGGCCCATTGACTGGGTCACAAAGATGTCTATAATTTGCGTACATATATATATGTTATATATATATATATATATGTTATATATATATATGTTATATATATATATGTTATATATATGTTATATATTGTTATATATATGTTATATATATATATATGCCTATGTAATCATATATATATTATGTATATCATTGTATCTATGTATATATATATTATGTATTATATATATATGCATATACATATCCAATCCAGTAATCATAATCAAATATTGGAGCGTAAACCATTTTTCTTGATCAATCACCGAACATGGTGATTTCTCAGCCATGGATATTAGATTCTGCCAGGGTAGAACGAGGGTTTTGTTTCCCCTTTTTTGTGTTGAAATATCCACACTATTCATGCTTAATCACTTGTTATTTCATTGCATTTTGATGCTTTCATCTGATTTCAGTATGTTTTAATCCCCACACTTTTCATGGGAAACTCCGGAAACTCCCCCTGGAATCATTGTAAAAGAAACGATTCCCCCCGGCGCCTGTCCATCGGTGGCTGACCAGCGCCGGTAGGCTACCGGTGCCCAGACCACCCAGACCCAGGGTGGGAGGACAGGACAGCATGGCCACCAACCACTGTGGATGCGAAACTGCTGCTGTTGTTTGTTGTTTTCTGTTGTGGTTGTTGTTGTTGCTATGTTTTTTTCTTTGAACTTGAAGAAACAATGCTTAAACAGTCTTGAAATTAGAATGGGAAAGCAATATATAATGGTTGCTGGCTGCTACAGCTCTTTCTCGGAGCTGCATCTAAACACATCTGACGTCAAGTTGCAAAGCCAAATTTTGGGTTGATCGTCCTTCCAGTAATCTTGTGCGACCTGCGCTGGCTGAAAAGGCACTAGATATCAATTGTACTTTGCACATCTTTGCACTAACAAAAAAAAAGTCAACCAGGCTTCACGTATCTGGTGTTCCTGGAGTTTTTCTTGTTCGCTTTGAGCAAACTCTTGGCTGATTGATGCTGATTGGGTTTTCTCCATCTTGAGCCTGGAGAGACACGTACAAGTAAGCCATGGAAAATGGCAAGGATGTCTTTGGGGAAATGCAGTAAGCCACTGGACCACACAGTAAAAAAACAAAACAAGTGGGTATGGTGTATAGTGTATAGAGACCCCAAAACAACGATGAAAATCTACAAACACTGTATGTCATCAGGTTTGGCTATGGCTTTGTCTCAAAACGATGGATTGATACCCCAAAATTGGACAAGTTGACTTGTCCAACGTAGCTATCCAAACCACGGGATTCAACTGGACTCAAAGTCAAGAATGCAGTTCCGAATTTTGACATTTATAATGGCTGGATATTAACCATCTTAATGGATTATAAATGGATTCAATGTCAAAGACCCAAACAGACCATGCAGCTGCTCCGTTTGGAGATGACTCGAGCGATGGGAACTTCCCCCAGAATGGGACGACTTGGATGATCAAACGCCCATTTTGATACTCAAAAATATCATCCAAGATGGCCTGCTGGCTGTATTGATGATATCCCATTTGATGATATTTGATGATATACTCAAAAATTTCCAAAAATGATCAAATAATCATCAAATAGCAATAAACATCTGCACATTTTCCTGGCATGGAGGCAAATGTATCAGACTTTGTACCTCGGCCAATTTCAACACTTCTGAGAAATGAAATGAAGCAGAACATCGGGAGATTTACCAACACACATGAGAATTCAGTTGCAGAACATGGGGAATAGATCAACCGAAAATGTAACTTCTAATAAGTCGACAAGGGGGATGTAACCCAACAAAATGAGAATACTACAAACAAGAAAAAGTACGGCAACTGCAACTGGTGTACTATATACAGAACACGTTATTCGGAGGATCTACTCATCCGATTCTGTTTGGCCATACCCACGTAAATGTGTTGGTGTAAGCACGGATGTGTGTAGATCTCAATGTATCTCAGGTATTGAATAAGCCAATCCTCCACAACCACTAGGGGTGCAGGATGTGCTGCCCAAATTAAACCTTCTGTCATCACCACATTTACTGCTCAGTTGGTAATTCGGATGAGTAACGTTGTTAAACCAACCAAAATTAAGCTCGATCTTGTCTCAACATTCCGGGATCATCAAACTGCTTAACCGGTTCGTAAAGGGGTTCAAAAACGGGATGATTTGCAGCGAACAATGGCCAGTTCATCTTGGGGCGCCAAACTGCAACTGCTACTGCGACAGTTGGTTGGTTGCCACGTGTCCCTCTGTGGTGGCTCTTCAGTTCGCCCTTGGATGCAATAAAAACTGATTGAGCGCATCTGCATTTTTCCTGCGCGCAAAGCAGGATGAGGCGAATGTCTCAGATTTTGCACCTCAGCCGTAACATCAACACATGAGGCAAAACAGGCGGGTGTTTGCCAACAGACATGCGCAAACAAACCTACAGAACATGGGTATGGACCCCCGCAAACACAACATCAGGATGAGGATCTAGCATGATTGAACTACCAACAAAAGCAAATTTCTATCCAGAAACAAAAATGGATTTTCAATCGAATTCAACTAACAAGGCTGAGTATGGCAACCACTGGCAACCACAACTGTGGTACCAATGAACCATCCAATGCAGGGACTCTATAGATCCTCCAAAGGTGTACAGTAATTAGGATATAAACCACTTTAAGCTTCGCAGCACTGATCCTCCCCTCAAGACTCACACGGAAAACTCAAGAATGGATTGACAGTTACTTGGGATAAGATTTTTGGATCCATTCTGGCATTTTTTCTTGTTGTAACTGTTAAACCGTTAACTTTCAGCTGTGCATTGTCTAATGTGGTAACTGTAAAAAACAACCATACCATACCCAACCCAATGACTTCCCGAGTGGTAGGATATGGAACAAAAACGTACCCAGAGCAGGGCTCAACTTGACATTGCTCAGTTGATCATTGGCATGATTAACTTGCTTAAGCACCCCAAAAAAATGCAAAGGTGTTCTTTTATGTTGCCATTTTAGATCACTATGAAAGACAAACAAGTCAAAAAATATAATATACTGAATCATATACCCAATTCGCGTCTAGGATTAGGCTTACGACATACCCTGGCAATCTGGACTAGCAATTGAACGCAATTGAATTCCAGCAATTGTATATCATTAATTACCTAGGATCTTTTTGGGACCATGTCGGCTTGGCGGCTACGCTGTCTTCTACAATCATACTAACTTTTTCCATAGCTCTTCATTTGATGGTGTCTTTGTTGAATGTGCCAACCTCAAGGTAAACTAAAGAAATCTATAGAAAACTAAATCCCACCAAAAAAAACAAGAAACCATGAAATAGATTATTACTGCCTATTATACGTATATAATCATAATTATATAATTACATGTGTAGCTTTCTCAAAATGGGGGTACCACCCAATCATCCATTTGATTTTCGGATTGTCCATCCATTAACAGTGCATTTGTTGAACAGTACCTCCCCTATCAACATTGGGTGATACCTATCAACCCGGAATTATCGGTTGGAAAGCCCCATCTCATCTCCAAATTTCAAGTATTTAAGGGAACCCCCATATCATTTATTATGGTCGACAATAGGGATATCATGGGATATCTATCAATGTCCCTGTTTTTCCCATGGTGGGACAGCTGGTGCCAGGGCGCCCAGTCTGCTCCAGGTGGGCCATGTATTGCGACAGCCTGTCTAGCTGAGCCTGGCGGCAGTGGATCACACGGTGAAGTTGAGGTTTTTTTGTGGGAAAATCTGGGATTTGCTGGTGATTTTAATGTCATTTCTAGAATTCAGATATTGTTGGGTTGGGTAATCATAGGTTTTGATATGAAACAAACATCTGCATAATGTTAGATTCATGTTATATAGGACTGTTCGATTGAACCAAATTAGAGAATGTTATGATATCTTGATTCATGGTTAAAAGTATATAGCTGTTAGAGATACTTGAACTGGTGTTTTTCACTGTCCCTTCTATAATTGTTCCGTGGGAAATCCCTATCATGGCCAATCTTGGACTCAAAGTTGATCCAGTAAATGGGTCTGTACACAAAAAGGGATACCTTCAAATGCCATCAAATGGCAATGTGAAAAGGACACATATTTCAGTGGAATGTAATCCCATGGAACAGGCTACCCTATTCTGAGACAAACCCCTAAAGAATATGTGTATTACATTAATATGCACATACATATATCATATGTTGTCTTCCACCGCAAATGCACACAAGTTGAAAAAAATGAGGACGTGTATTTTTACATTGCCACGTTGAACAACCAAAGGGTCTGGACTGGTGGCTGGAGAATCTGGAAGTCTGTTGAAAATACGGAGTGAAATCGGACGTATACCAATTAGTATCTGGTTGATAACCCATGGTTCAAAAGAATCATCCTTGGGTTCGAATGGGGCCTATATATATATGTATATATATATATACAGCAACCTCCAAAAAATAACAGAAAACAAATCTACCAATTGTTTAGAAAATATTGTAATTATAGAAAACTAATAGATCTGGAAGCAACATAAAGTAACATCCTACTGGTTTAGTTCATCTTTTATATAGAAGGATCCTACGTCTCTATCTTTTTGTGGGGTTGCTATATCGAATTGGTTTCGCACCTTTCAATAGTATGTATATATTTGTGTGTTCCATGCGTAAGGTATCGCATGATAAAAACAATCATGAAAACAAACGAAAATATCACTTTCCCCATATAGCTTTTCTAAATATGGTCAAAACCTATATTTCCATGATCAAAAACCTAAATGTAAGGAAATGATCATGGTCAAAACCTGATGAAACCATGATCCCTTCCATGATAAAGTGATGATCCCCACTTTATTCCATATCCATTCCTACATACCCTCTGGTAAACTAACATAGCTATGGAAAATCACCATTTTATAGCTGGGTAAATCCACTATAAATCACCATTTTCAATAGCTATGTTAAATTACCAGAGGGTATTGTGACTGGAAGGGATCATCACTCTGCCCCTTTTCAAAACCGCTCCGTGCCTCGCCCATCTTGATGAGGTCCTCACCGGACTTCGAGGCTGTAGGAGCCACGTGGCCGTCAGTGTCAAGGGCCTCGGCGATTCACCGTTGCTGGTGAATGGATGCAGTTTCCCAGAGTCATGCGGTAATAATTAATAGGTTTTGACCATGTTTGACCTATCCCCGCTTTTCTAAACTTCGGACTTCAAGATGGAAAGGAAACACACTTTTGAAACCAACCCGATATTGGTTGTTTATCCAGTGTTTGCTATATCTTCCCGTTATTGCAGTCTAAATCCATATTTTTTCTCATTATAACAACACCCAAAAGGATAGACATGCAAAATCCCACAAACTTTGCCGCAATTCACCCGCCTTTCTGTATTTTTGGGGTATTACAGTACTATGTACATCTGACATCTGTTTATGTGGTAAACCGAAGAATAAACAATCCTCAAAGTCACCCTATAGGCGGTAAAAAAACCAAATGGTTTACAATGGTTTGCCACATATTGCCACATTATACATAAAAACCACCCAGGTCCCTCTGCAGTTCCAAGTTCCAGGCCCACCCTCTCGTCTCGCAGGCCGCTTTGGCACTGACGGCATCCAGTCCAAGTACGCTGGCCAAGTGCGACAATGACACCACCTGGAAATCCGACCAAAAAATCACGCTGAACACGTGAAATTCATTAAGGAGCATCTAAGCAAATCAATGAGTATCAGGCGAAACAGGTGAATGGTAGCCATTTCTGCTGGTCAACATTCATTCTACTAGGCAAAATGGCTCAAAATCCCTGCAAAAAACAACATTGCCTGATCTTGGAAAAGGCTCCAAACCGCATTGGGGAATGCATTCATTGTGTCCTGGCCTTTTTTTTGGGTCATTTGGGGAGGATTCACCCAGAAAGTTCATGACTAACACCGGCCTTGTAAGCGATGGCTATCTTGTCTAGCAATTCTTCTCGGCTCCTTCTAACAACCTGCGCTGAATTCAGGGCATCTGCACCCATTTGGGGCTACACTCCAAATGCAAATTCTACTGAAAACCCGGCTCTTCTGAAACAGAGTGGGAAAGTGATCTCCCAACTACAATAGCCAGAAACATGTGTGTTCAGTAGAATACAAGTTCACAGGATCTTTAGTAACTCTTTCACCAAGTATTTGAAACACCAAAAATTGACCTACTCAGAGCTGCTTGGCTGTGCCGGGCTCGAACATCATGATTACAGTCACGCACATCAGAGACCTGAAGAGTTACCTGAAAGGCACTGGTTTCTTCCACACGAAGGCATAAGTCATTGATTTCTCTTCAGCGAAGCATATGCGAGCCCAATGTCAAATTAACATCGTCCATTCTACATACATCATCACAGTTTCGTGGATGCAGACATGACGAATCTATGGAAATATGATTCGACATATCTGAAAAAACACAAACCAAAATACCATTGTTCCAATTGTCATCAACCTTAGATACCCTACGAAAAGAAACTAGGCATGATATTTCCCAGCTATAGCACCCTGCTTAGTAAGTGGTTGGTAACCATGGTTGGAAAATCGACCGGTTGTATTCAGTGGGATGGTCTTTTCCTTCCCTTGTGAGGATTCAAAGATTTTTTACAAAAGAAAACATTGAAAAAAAAGAGGTCAACCACACTGCTGCAGAATTTGATCTATTACATCGTCAAAATAACGTATCATTGACCTATCATTCTTTGTTGGAACTATCATCTAGAGCCAAAATTACCATGTGTTGCCATAGATATTGGCATTGATTGTGACACACAAAATACCAAAAACAAAATGGTTTTATCACTAAGGGCACTACGTTGATTCTATCATGATGTGTATATATATAATTGCATAAATACATGTATAATCATGTATATAAAAAAAAATACATTTACAACGGATAGTGATAGAAGTTCAGCAATGATAAAATTAAAATCGCATAAAACAATAAACATTACTATTTTGTTTATGATGTATAATTATGATTGTCCATCCAATTCAGTTCAATCTATCTAGGAGGTTTGCCACCACGACAAAGATTGTTGGAGTACCAAAATGTTAAAGTTTGGGTTTACCACCAAACATCTACCCTCCGGGAATTCAACAATGGAACATGGCTCAGTTACTTTGATAATCTACCTATTGCTGCACATGGTGATTTTCATTTATTTTCCAATCGAAACTCTTCATGTTCCAGAGGATGCCCGAAACATAACAAACAAACATACACAAGACATTATGATACCCTCTGGTGAACGTTTACATAGCAATGGAAAGATCCACCATTTTATAGCTGGGAAAATCCACTATTTCGACTGGGCCATTTTCCATAGCAAACGTTAGTTCACCAGAGGGTATATCCCATTAAAATCATCATTCTTGTTGATTAGATACCATTAAACCACCATTTTTCATGGTTAAATCCCATTAAAATAAGCACCAGTAAGCTGTTTTCCCAAAAGCATCGATTGCTTTTGGACAAACTTTCTTCGGCCCTCCCCGACCTCCGTGACCAGCGGCTGCAGTCGCGCATCCCAGGGGCCAGCCTGGGTATGTTTGCATCTTTTCTATGGGGGGGTTTAACCAACTATAAGATCTTAATAGCATGTTGATAGGGATATCATAAGGATCTATTTAATGGGATTCGAATGGATTTAAGTGATTTTAATGGGTGATAATGGATGTTAATCAATCAAGAGAGGTTCTATTGGGATGCAAATAGGGAATGTAAAAAGATTCGACCACTAACTATAGGGAGTTAGCGGAATTCCATGGGATTTCATCGGGATTCAATCCTCAATGAAGGGATGTTAATGAAAAAAAAAATGGATTTAGTAGGTTCTATGGGGATTTTGGGGGTTTATAGTGGGATTTTATGGAATCAAAAGAAGTGGGATATACTTAATAAATGATATATATATACACACCAAAATGATACAATATAATTTAAAAAATAATATATAGTAGTAGATTTTGTCCACTTTCTTTGATAGCCCAGTAAGCCTGACTCCAATTTTTCAAGTATATGTTTATAATCTGTATATGTATATAAACAATTATTTCAATAAATAATATATATGGTACCGCCCCTGAAACCTACCTTTTTGACATATTCATCAGATGGTTGGGTCAAAAGGGGGTTACCTTACATACACGCTAAGGGTATTATATAATAAATATATGTATATATATATATTCAAATAGTGTATATAATAAGTATGCTATCACAAGTATGCTATTGAGACTGATTGAACTTAACTTCAATGACAGCATTCTGGGAAGAATGCATTCTCTGCATTCTGGAAAGAATGCATTCAGAATGCATTCTCTGCTAAAACCAAGAACAAAGAACCAAGATTTCCCCCAGGACTCCTGCACAAATCTTAGAATGTCCGAAACAAAACCAAGAACCAAGAACCAAGATTCCCACAAGACTCCTGAGCAAATCTTAGTTCTTGGTTCTTGGCTTTAAATCTAAGATTCCCCAAAGACTCCTGAGCAAATCTTAGTTCTTGGTTGATGGTTTTAAATCTAAGATTCCCCAAAGACTCCTGGGCAAATCTTAGTTCTTGGTTCTTTGTTTTAAATCTAAGACTCTCCAAAGACTCCTGGGCAAATCTTAGTTCTTGGTTCTTGGTTTTAAATCTAAGACTCTCCAAAGACTCCCGAGCAAATCTTAGATCTTAGATCTTAGATTAGGGAAAGAATGCGTTCTGAATGCATTCCTGTGGAGATGCATCCATCTTGGGTTTCCCTTCAGCAGGCGGGATAGATTCAACTACCATGAAAAAATCAACGTCGGGTCTTTTCCCCAAGCCTGAAAAACAAATGAGCACACTGTGTCAAAGCAATGTTGCATTTTCTTGAAGGAATGCCCCACCATGTTTAACGAATGCATCACTCTTGTCAATGGAAAATTGCAAAAAAGTAATGCTACACTACAACCCTTTTGGAACTATTGTTGTTTCCAGTGAATACTGCATAGACTAAGAGAGTTTTCTTATTGAAGTTTTTCTGTGCCCTTTCAAACCACTTTTCTTCAGAAGGGCACTGTCAATCTCACAAAGGTAGCATTTGTGATGTTTTTGTTTAAGCAAAGACGGCTCACATTTGTTCATTTCAAGTATACACAATTACTGTCAAAACATTAGGGCATACTTACTCTAGAAAGCACAATGTAGCAGTACTTGTGCCACATGTGCAGCATGTTCTTTTCAATATCCAACTTGTTCTTCAACAAATATAGTGTCACTTAGAGTCAAAGAAATGGCTACATTTCTGAAGATCGTCTTATTTGATTTGAAGAGATACTGCATTTGATTGGAAGATGCCTTGTATGTTGCAGGGGCTGTTTGTGCAACGTGTTTCTTCCTGCCAGAAGTATTGTACTTAGTACGTTATGAAATGGGTCTGTGAATTAAGAATGCATATTTACATGTTGGGAAAAAACACTGATTGATCGAAATGAAGAGATATTTTGTTCAAGAGAAGTGGTTTTCTGCAAAGAAATGCTAACTATTGAAAAGGAATATATACTCTTGTCGCTTAAGGAATGCTACACCCTTTGGATGAAAGTGTCTGTTTGTAAAGCCTGCTCTTGTCACTTAGAATTGGTTCTTCAAGAGAAGGATGCATGTTTGTCCGTCTCTTGTAATCATTTACAGTGTTTTCACTGCCTTTTTCAGGTTTGGGGAAAAACCCAAAGTTGAATGATCTTTTAATGTGGGTTAAATCACTACTTAAGGGAAACTTTGCAGAGAGGTTGAGGTACTCGGAGGTACGTAAATTATACTTAAGACATAGTTTGGAACTAAGAGGTCCTAGGACCTCCTAAGACCCACACATCATCCAAAGTATTGAGCCACTGCAGCAGTACAACAAGAGAGAAACTACATAGTAAGGAAAAAAGGCCTAAGAAATATCTACGATATTGATCATCAAATAGTATGTCTGCAAGATCTGAAGCTGTCCAGAATCCAAAATTCATGTGTCACAAGAAGGAACAAAAACATTGTACAAACCAATGAAAAACTTTAATTTGACATTTGGCCACAGTGCCGTGCGCATTCTGTCAATGTTTGAATTGAAACCCTTCGTTGGGAACACAATACGGTAGTCGAAAACGCTGCAACTACCATCAAAATATGTCACTGTATCTACACATGAAACATCATGACTCATCATGTTCAAGCATCCAAAGTCTTCAAATGAATGAAAAAATGTTGGCTGTTTTTGAAGGCAAAACCAACAAAAATCACTGTAAAACACAATAAAAAAATTCGAAACCAGTGGGTTTCAGGGGGGGCTAGTTTATACATATATATATATATACTGTGTGTATATATATATGCGTATATATATATATGTATTAGTATATTTGGGTTAGTCAAAAACCTGGGACACATGGATTAACGCTAGATCCTTGGAAACAATGAAGCACAAATTTACCACCCCCTCAACAGTTTTAGTCAAACCGAAGTGGATCATACCATAGTCCTCTACGTACAGTTCTATATTGTACATAAGTATATAATCAGAATCTAATTCATTGTGCCAATGGCCAGTTGCTATTTGGGATGATCTTCTGGTCCGGTCTTGCCACGAAACATATTTATTAAAGTCGAGTGGGATCACTATCCCAGGTGGGATTCAGGATGGCACACTCTAAATAAAATGAGGCCAGCAACCAGTACTGGGTTGCTCACCCAAAATCAACATGTAACTATGTAACCCAGTCATTGCGACAGTCTGACCCCGTCAGCAGCCAAGGTCGGAACGGAGAGTTGCGCAAAGCTTTCTGCATATTGCCTGGTCCCATGGTTGACGAAGATTGGGGTACGGTATAGTCTAGTACTGAGGATTTGACGCGGGACAATGCTTCGTCTAGAGCCTTTTTCATTGACCAGTAAAACTATGTAAAAAACGGGTAACAACCGCACTTGGACATGGTCGTGCCACTTTTTTGCGTTCCAGCCACTGATGCTTAGCCCATTTTTACCGGAGCTGCTAAAACAAATCAACATCATATGATTTTACTGTATCGAATCATCAACTTGTTTGGTTACTAAAATGAATATATAGAAAATGCTACTTTTCTGGTGACTCAACCTTACCCTGCAGTAAAGTAACATAGATTGACATAGACCCTGAAAATCCACCCGCACCGAAGGTGCCGAGGCGTGGTAGTTTTATGTTTTGCAGTGGGTGCGACCGGACAGCTCTGTCAGACTGGTACATCGGCCAAATGCACCGGTTCCATCCGTCACGGCCGCAACATGGGCTCCACTTGGGGTCAACTTTGGCCAACAAGGCCCCAACTTCGGCCCAACTTGGGCCCACTTACCTCCAACTTCGGCCCAACTTGGCTCCCAACATGCGCAACTTGGCCCCAAGTTGGGCCCGTTTGGGAGCAACTTCGGCCCAAGTCGAGGTCCACATGGCTTCAAAATGAGGGACGTGGCCAAGCTGTGTCCTAAGTTGCGCCACTTTGGACGCGGCTTGAGCCTCCACGCGCATCACATCTCTTCAATTGTGGGTTCATCCGGATCGATTTACTGACCACTTCAAGTTGGGCCGAGTTGGGCCCCGGGGATTCGTGCAAGGCCATGTTGCCCACGTTGGGCTGGTCTTGGGCCCAACTTCCGCCCACGCAGGACCAAGTTGTGTTAAGCACTTGCGTCCAAACGTGCCCAACTGGCCCGAGTTCGGCGCAAGTTAGGCAGTAAGTTGGGCCCAAAGTGGGCTCCTGTTCGGCCCAACTTAAGGTGAAGGACGGCCAAGTTTAACCCCAGTCGGGCCAAGTACGCCCGCTCGTTTCCTCTCTATCCAATTCTCTGGGTGCGGGTGGTTCTCATTGCGAAGCGACTCAAATACCAATTGTTTGTGGAAACTAATCTTACAAACCCTATCTGCCAGGGTCAATGTTAATTTGCTGAAGAGTGCTAAAATTACTAAAATCCCTAAAATCCCATACTGAATCTACGTCCCAGCCAGGTAGGTCCCACCTGCGCCAGCGGGCAGACAAGACCTGATGATAGGTCCGATAGGTCAGGTATGGTCAAGTGCTTAGGCTGCTTCGTGGTGAAGAAATCCATCCGGGGATTTGTTGTAGCTCCCCAAAATACGATAGTTAAAGCTGATTTAGAAAGTGATTTAGCACCACTGGCAAGTAGGAGAAATCTCCTACTTTTTTGGGCATCTTTTGAGGAATAGTCGGGATAGCCGGATAGCCATGAACCAATGATGTTCTTTTTGGCGAAAAACAGAGAGCCATTTACAGCCATTAATCTTCACCTGTTGTTCAATGGAGTTAACCCTCTATGAACAACTGCTTTATATGCAGTGGAAAAGTCATCTAACTCAGAATTAGTCTTTCAGGTTCCATGTTCCATTTTTTGGGGGGGACTGAGTCATCGAAAGCAACAGCAATGAGTCAACAAATAATAACACATATTTTGATATGAGAAATTATGATAGGATATTAGAGGTGTATCAAAACGATCAAAAGCATTTGAGAAATTGAACCGCACGCAAGCAACTTAATGTTTGAACAAATCAGCCAGCAACTTAATGTCATGATCAAGTTCGTCTTGTGGCCACTCAGCGGTTGAGGTGTCAAGCCATCTTAAGAGTGTTCAGCGGTGTACCACTGCTGGGTCCATCTTCAACCCCAAACTGATCGGATTTCGATGGATTTCGATCCAAAAAAACATGGGATTTGGCCAAGGGATGATCATAGATCAACTAATCTTCTGCCCCTACTATCTTTGAGAATCTTGATTTGTGAACCATGAATCCATGATTAAAGATTGATTAACCATGAACGAATTATTCTTGAACCATGAATTCATGATTAATCCATGATGCTTCAAAATGCATCAAAATGCAACATTTTCATCCGACGCCAGAGACGGTCACTCAGAGCCAAGTTGCTCTATGTGCAGCTTGCGCTTGCACATGCTGTTGCAGTGGCGCGGCAGTCCTAAACATGTTTCTGCCAATATTCACCAAGATGGGAGACTGGTGGTTGGCTCAAGACGATCAAAATGGAAGACCCCCATGCACCCCGATTTTTTATGTCCGCCCCTTCACCGTTTGTCTGTGGTAGATAAACCTCAATCGTAAATCAGAAATCACAGCAACACCAGGTTTTGCAAGAGCAACCTAATTACCTTTTTGTCCGTTCAACCCGCATCTTTGTTAGTTGGATCATATCAAATCCCCATCAGATCAGCCAACTGGGTTCCCTTTGGTTCACCTCTTCCAGAGAAATCTGGCAGCATCTAGCTGACCTGGCACCACGAACAAGGAGAGGCGAGGTTTTCGGGAAGTCAGAAGTCAAGACATGCCCCCCAGTTCTGTTTGTTGGTTTATCACTCCCCGGACTAGTTCGATACACATAAATCATCACCCAATAGTTTTTAGAGTTCTGTTTGCCAACTTAGCAAAGTATGCCGCATTACAATCCAATGAAACACGATAAAATCCCATTAAAATCCTTCGAAAATCCATTAGAATCCCATAGAATCCCATTAAAATGCCCTTTTCTGCATTGTGAAAAACCCACCGTTTTCAGCCCACTTCCGAACCAAGGTAACTATATATCAACTTATCATGAACCCGACCGCCTTCTAGGAGGTAGGCCAGGAGATGCACGGCACAACGCAGGCCTTCCTGCTCAACGTGGTTCGCCTGCCCCAAAGTCGTGGAAATTTGGGCTCAAGGCACAACAAATGATGGATGGCTAAATGTGAATCATATATATATGTATCATATATGCCAATGGAAATATGGGGTTGAATGATAAGATGTGGATTGAACAACTCAAAAAAATGCTCTTAAAAATTAAGAAAGAAGGATCGATAAATGATAAATGTGCAAAATCGGCATATGACCACTTAATAGAGTAAAACCCAAACAAAATTGGATTTTCAGGGTTCCCAATCCTGGCCTGGCCCCCAACACGTGGCGAGATATATATGGGGCATCAAGGAGCTGCGCAACCAGAAGCTTGGCTTTCGTGTTAAGAAACATGGGTGGTACTAAACATCCATTGGATCCCCTACAAGGTACTAGTGCTCCGCAGTTAGAATCTACCCTAAACATCCCTAAACCCTATACTATATAGCTATTGGAGTTCTGTTTACCAACTTAGCTAGCACACTAGGGCGCTACCTTGAAGTAACTTGGAGCAACTTGCTGCGACATCCCCGTCGGCCCTCTGGGCAATCCAGCTTGGAAATGGTCTCTTCTCACACTTTACATCCATGTACATTCACATACATATAATAGTGTATGTGTATATATATATGTATAATAAGAATATACAAGTAAATGTGGTATGAATATATATATATATAATAATGTATATACATAATATAGTACACATAATATAAAATATAATATATATATAATACAATATAATATAATATGTATACATATATAATAACTATACGATAATATATATATATAATGCTATATATAATGATAAAATACCATAATAATAATATCAATAATGATATTAATTAAAACAATATTAATAATATTAATATATATATATATATAATTTATATATATTAATATATATAATAGTAATATACATATAATAATATAATATATATATAATACTATATACAATAATAACAATAGATAATATACTCCATTATACTATACTATACTATACTATAATATAATATAATATAATACAATAAAATGTAATATAATGTATGTATATATATATACATATAATGTATATGTATGTATATATAATTATATATATATAGACACGTACATACTTAGTATACATCTTACATAAACTTTATAGTAGCTCTCTCTCTCTGCATATATATAGATACGTGTGATGTCCCATGATTTTTCTGCTAAACATATAGGTATAGTCCAGCCATATTTGTCTCCACTAAATCCAACCATCTTCCACCTCTGCATCCGGCGTGGGCTCTGGAGGGGACAGCTCCAGCTCCTTTCTGGTTGAGTCAAATTCTGAACCCCATGTTTGTTGGGACATGGAACCCATAAAAATGTGGCCATTTACATATAATATATATATATATATATTATATATATACATACATATATATATATATATACATATATATATATATTATACATACATATATATATATATACATATATATTATACATATATATATATTATACATATATATATATATGTATAATAATTGTATAATATATGTTTCATGGCTATAGTTGGGACATGGTTTCTTGCATATGTCATGATGATTCAGTCAAGACGGATGGATAGCCATGGTTCGACATGGAAAACTCCATGGATCTCCACAAATATTATATAGCCATTGAATATGTTTTGAAGCTTGGAAAACTCCGTGACCAGATAGAACATGAATACCTGAAGTCAGTATCCCCTGATTCTGATAAAGTCGTCAGATAAACTCGTCAGATAACTCTTCACCATGGATCTCCCCAGATGCATCCAGATACCATATCCACCATCCAGCGTCGTCCTCGCATTTGGCTCGAAGCTCTGCGAAGCGGCCGGCGGCAATGAGCTGGAAGACCTCCGGTGATCTTCAAGCGTTAGCGTCGCACACAGAGCCAGGTACCAATATTCATGAACTATGGTGATGATTCAGGAATAGATAGATGGACAGATGGATAGATGGATAGATGGATGATGATAGATGGATAGATAGATGGATAGATAGATGGATAGATAGATGGATAGATGGATGGATGGATGCATAGATAGATGGATGGATAGATGGATAGATGGATAGATAGATGATGATAGATGGATAGATAGATGGATAGATAGATGGATAGATGGATGGATGGATGCATAGATAGATGGATGGATAGATGGATAGATGGATGGATAGATGGATAGATAGATGATGATAGATGGATAGATAGATGGATAGATCGATAGACAAATAGACAGATAGACAGATAGACAGAGAGACAGACAGACAGACAGACAGACAGACAGACAGACAGACAGACAGACGGACGGACGGATGGATGGATGGATGGATGGATGGATGTGCTATACTATGGTACGATAACTCTGAAAAACAAGAGCAGATGGATACGATACAAAGGGCGACATGTATTGATGTAGAGTAATCAACGCTGATTCAGCTCAGAAGTTCATCGATTTCATGCCCTCGCTTCAAAGCGGTCCGGTGGTCTTATTGCCCTTGCTGGATCCCATTTGGGGAAATCCTCTGCAGTCCTCCTATGAACCAATAGTTGGCCATGCAATACGCACATCTAATAAACGTAAATTAATGTTCCAATGGAGGATCCATTTCATTGAACATGCTCAAGTTATATGAAATGCATTTCCAATCATTCTTACAGAAAGCAAACACATATTTCTGCCGCAAGTGGATTTCAACTGATCCATTGGGAAGGATCATGTCTGTGAAGCCTGACTGCCCCGATACCCGGCAACCCGCCTCTGGCGTTTCAGCCTGACTTCTCGGGGATCTTGCAGTCATGGGCTCTGAACATGGAGGATTTATCCCCAATTGTGGATACTTCATTGGAATCATGAGGTTTTAACTCACTGGATTTGTTTGGGTGTTCCCCTTAAATATTCAGACAAACCCAACCAAATAATGTCCGTGATATACACAGGACAAACCCAAATGACGAGTGTATATATTTATATATATATGTATCCCATTATCCAGTATATCTGCATTGCATCCCCATAAAATCACAGTATGTAAATCCCTTGAATATGTTGATGCTAAATCTTCCATGAAATCCCATTCAAATCGCCATCAAACCCTATGAAAACCCTATAAACATCTATAAAATCCCTATCAAATCCCATTTAAGTCCCTCTTGGATCCGACTATGATCCATTATTTCCCTATAAACTCCCATTAAATCCCTATTGCATCATATGATTTCCCTAGAAAACCCCTATGACATCTCCATTTCTGGTTGGTGAACACGACATTTTGAAGGCCGGCACCTCGCCCATATGGCAACCGGCAGGTTGGCCGACCTGGTGCAACCCGAGTGTTCGACTAATACATCATACCTCCGTGTATTACATATTGTGCATATATGTATACGTATACGATGAACATATATATATACATATGTATATATATATACATATAACATTATATTAATATACAGGAACCAAATAAGGTTTTCAAGCCATTTCCAACCAACCAAATTTTGATAACCAAATTGGGTTCCAGTGGCAAAATTGTAAATTTCACCCTTTCCGGATATGTCATTGGTTCTTTGAAGAAATTGCTATGCTCAAAATTGAGGGAAGGCAAACACTTGGCCAAGCATTGAGACACAAATTGGAACGGGAAAGCTACTTGTGTCCCCACATCTACCACCTTGGTATGGTTTATACAAGCCCACAATGATAAAGTCATTTTCTTTCACAGTATGCAACATTTGGAACGCACAGAACTAAGCGCAACTTTGGCGATTGTTGCTTGCATCATCTACCCATGTACTGGTACTGCAAAAACAAACACAACTGGGGAATTTGAAGCGGATGCAAAGAAACTGCAAAGGTCTACTGCAAATGAGCATGATGTCGGTTCACAACTTGGGCTACTGTGCCATGGATTTGTGTTGGACCTTTACACTTTCCTGACATTGTGCATAGTAATATGTATATATATATATATATATACACATTATAGATAGTATCTAATGTCTAATAGGTTCAAATACACACATGTAGGCTAAAACAGGATGTTAGTATATGCAAAATTATACATAGTAAGTATTAATTAATCTACACACATATTGTATATATTATATATAAACATTCAACTATTGCAAATATATAGTAAGTAGTTGTGTGTACCTGTATATAATTATATATATATATTATATATACCTGCATGAATTTGGAATAGCCCACCTGCGACGGGAGGGACACCTCCGGCGCGACCCCAAAGCTTGATCCAAGACATTGCACGGCAATGGCATCCGAAAAAACCTGAAAGAAGGCATGGTTCTGGAAAATGGTTCATTGGTTTGTCATGGTTTGTCTAAGTTTTGTTGTCTTATGGTTCTTAAATGTTCTGGACTGATAAGTGTGTTTTACTTTTCATAAAGTTCTAAGTTTTCAAGCACTGTTCTTTACGGATCCAAATTATTAAATATTCAGGGCAAAGGTGAAGGTGAACAACATGTGGCCCGAGGGATTTGGAGATGTCATCTCTATAGAAATGATGGAGAGCCATCCGCACTTCCGATCTGTACCATGGGCTCTAAAAACAGGAACATAGCTGGTACAAAAATGGATATCATAGGATCTTCACTTACCAAAAAACAATGGGAAAATCTATGGAAAATCAGAACTTGCAGAAGTCTAAGCAGACCATACCCATCTGGATTTTTAGTATACCAACCTGAATTATCAGACCATTCGGTCTGGATTCCCCAAATCATTGACCTATTTGCAAAACGACGTTTTAACGCAAACGATGGGAGATCGAGGATGTGGCACGGCTTTAGTGCCAACGATCCCGTGCATTAACACGCAGAGACTTTTAGACAGTGGGTACTTTGAAATTTGGAATCAATGGTTGATGATTTCAACTAATTTATCAGCCTTGCCATGAAACACACATACGCCGATCCAGTTGGTGCAATCCTCCCAAGTAATTAAGTTGGCCCAGCCAAAGCACCAGATGGGTTATGGTTCATCCAACATTGAAGCCCTTTGGGGTTACTCCATGGTGACCTTTCCACATGTCAGTACCCACATGCGAAAAAGTCATCTGCGGAGAGTTCCGGCCTCAAGTATGATTGTCATATTGAGGCAGAGTCATGCTGCGAAGTCAAAACCCAACAACTAGACATAACTAGACCTTGCTTTGTTCAACCTGACCTTCGGGAAACTCAACTGCAAAAACATGTGTATGGTTTCATCTTCGTTCTACATACAAAATGTCCAACGAAAATGCACATCTTTTGACATGCCTACCCTTTTTACATCTTTTTACTCCGTTTTACATGTTTTTTGCATTCACTCCCCATGTCTTCCATTCCTTGGCGTCGTTCACAGGGGCGGCTTAAAGACCACCTTTCCTCCCAGGGGATCCGAGGACTTCTCCGCTGCTGGCGGCTCTGGCTCAGTCTTAGGACCTAGGGCATGGCATGGCATAGGTCCCAGACGGTCGGGAAAGTCTTTTGGCAACCTCCAAACATCGAAAAACATTAGAATCTATAGTAAATCCAATCCTAAAAGAGGTGGTCAATTCAAGTGTCTATCTGTTTTTTCGCCGGGTTACTATCAATGATTCCACATGATATGATGTTCCTTATATAAGATTAATTCGGGCCTCGACTACCTGATTGAACTAATTCCGGATAGTGCACATCAAAGTTCACCTTGGCTGTGCGTTTATTAGTGAATGTTTGCCTAGTGTAAACGGCACTTTTGGATACTTTCGAGGTATACCGGTATACCCCGTGTCTGAACAAACCCATGCGTGTAAAATAGCTGAAATATGCTGAAATATCATAAAGTTTGAGATCAGAGTCCCCTGGTGTCCAAGAACGTCCAAGAACCAGTCACTGCTCGAGCCAGGAAGCGCCCCACAAAGACGTTTTAGCCATTTCTTTACAGAGATAGTTGACAGTTGGGTGTCCTTGAAAATGGGGTATCCCCGAAAATATGAATTTGAGCGTGGAAAATAATGAACAACCCCTGGATTTGGGGATTCCCTGTTTTCAGACAAACCCCGTTATACGCTACGGTTGCTACTATGCCCAAGTACCCACTGACCAAACTAGGGGTTCCCAGCCTGCCAGTGCCCCCAATGGGTCAGCTGGTGCTGCCTGGGTGCTGCAGCAGGAGAGGAAAGGTTCGGGTCCATAGATCTGTCAGAAGAAACGATCATAGGCCTGGTTGCTCCATTGGAACACGTTGGAACACGTTGGAACTATGGAAGACGACCACCAAATACCCTCTGGGTACTTAAAGGTAGCTTTAGAAAATCACAATTTGTAAACGGAAAATCATCATACATCAATATAAATCATCTATAAATGAGCCATAGCTTCCATGGCTATGTTAAATAACCAGATGGTTATTTACTCAAAAAAAACACAAATCCTGACTTAAACAGTTCTCTCTGACATGGTCAAGTGGAGCACTACGTAGTCAGACGGTCCATTGCATCATTGTGAGGTGAGGTGAGCCATTGGGGACCATCCCAATCATGGGGTCACTTGACAAGTCGACAAGTCGGTCCTGGGCTCAATTGATCAATGAAAAATATGCTGTTTGACAAAAGAAGCATAAATTGCAGAAAAACATTGGAAAACTACCAAAAAAGTACTTGACGGCTAATGATATGTAATGATATTGTGATGGTTATGATATAGTACTACAAAATAAATCAAACAAGTACTTGACCCTGGTGTTGCTCATCGAAAAATGGTAATGATATGTAATGATGGGATATCCGATATATCCCCTATCCCCCTGCCCTCCGCCTCACCTGTGCCGGCGCACCAAAGAGGCTGGAGAGTGTGCTGCCAGTTGGTGCCGCCTGGGCTGGGGCTGGCAGAAAAAGGGTGATTCATGAGGATCCCTCAATGAGGATGATAAAACATGATTATATAATATTATATATGGGGTTATATATGATTGTTGTATAAAACATGATTATTAGATTATATCCCTCAATCAAGAATATATCATATATATATAACATATGAGGTTTCCATAAATGGGGGATCCCAAAAATGGATGGTTTATAATACAAATCCCGTTAAACTGGATGATGTGGGGTATCCCTATTTTAGGAAACCATCGTATATTATATATAATATGTACATATGTATTACAGTACATATACTATAACATACTATCACATGATTGTTGTGGTCTTGGGGGTTCTCATTTTAAGGGCCCTTTCCATCTCCCGGTCGGTTCTGAAGCCCACCACGTTCCTGTTTCACAAAGTCATCATCGTCGTCATCGTCGAAGATGCTGGTGGCCATGCGTCCAGATCCACCAAAGAGGCTTGGGCCACCTGCTAAGAGGGGCCCAAAAGATCCAAAAGCATCTCCGCCATGACAAGAAGATGATCATTCCATGATATGAATCTGGGTAAATTAAAATATTTCACTAACCTGAATTAAGGCCATTTGGGGATCATTTCCCTTACTATGATTATAATGAGGTCGCAGTGAGGTCGTTATAATTTACCCAGATGAATGGCAAGTTGCATGATGTTGGATGCAACATGATGCAATCATACTTGCTATAGATCTATATATAGCTAGTGTTACGGAGGGAGATGATGAAAAAGAATGAATCATGAACTGATCAAAATGAAGGGCTATTATACCAAAGAAAGGGATCGGCTGCGGATTGACAATCGGCTCCTGGAACAAAACCCAGGAATGGGAACATTTTATGAAACAATCCCTGCTGATGATTGTGTTCTTGCGCGTTCGGATGCATTGGGGACGTTTAAAGGTAACGTAACCTATAGCCTAAAAAGATACAAACAATGATAAACATATATGCAAAAATAGAGCTGATTTATCACCAAATCATTCAAGATAGAGTATGTATGAACCAAGCGGATTTTGGGCTCACATCGTAGCGTTTTTGCTACCCCAATGTCTTCCAATTCAACATGGCCAAACTGCTATTGGTGCCTGGGTTCAGTCAGCCACATCGGGTAGCGTCAACCTTGTTTTAGCCAACAACACCGAACACGTCAACCCTGAACACATCTGCATTTCGGAGAAAATGTTGCGAACACAAGTTTTGCGCATGAGAGCTATACCTACTATACTTTTGATTCTGAGCAAACACAATGATCCAATGTCCGTTGAGCCGATCACAGTTAAGTACTAAGTTTTTGCAGCTGCCTCCAGCAGGCTTTCCGGGCAAAGCGAAAGTGGGAACCCAATCAGTTCAGCAATTTCCAATTTTGGGGCTAGTCGCTTAGCCACCATTCCCATGGCTCCCAGCTTTCCCCTCCGCACCGCTGGAAGCTTTTGCTGCCAACGGCGCTGCAAACGGCACCGTCGGCGGCGGCGAGCCAGATCTGAGAGGGTTTCAGACTTGATCAACTGCCAGATGAGAAAAACAAAGAGCCTGCTGAAATATACTGAAAGAATATGAAAGAACAACTACAGTATATTATATGACTGGTCGATTTTACAAATTATGTGTCTATCCTTTGGGGGGGGGTGTTTTACAAAGAGCATCTGCCAAGCAGCAGCGGATTGAAGCGGACCTCACTGTCGCCAAAAAGTCCTCCTCCTGCTGGTTTTGGCGGTTCCTTTGCTGCTTGAATGGTTGACAGAGGAACTGAAGCAAAGAATTAGAACATAATCTCTTTGCCCACAAAATCCACAAACCCTGTTTGCGTTTAATTATGTTTAATTAGTTATCGTAAAGAGTTTTGCAATTCCATCCACTCAATTCCACTCAACTAAATGAAACAACACCTTACAAAGTGAATTTCCATGAATTCCCCATGAATTCCCCATTGAATGGACAGTGACTTCATAGGCGATTGGACTTCATAGCGTGAGAACTGCAAGCTGACGAATGGAGCTGATTTCAGGTAGTCGAATTGATACCTGCTGTCTGTGGCCTACCTCAAAGGAGACCCTATGTAATATTTAGTAGGTACAGTATATATATAATGGAATATATATATATATATTATATTGTATTATATATAATATATATACATATATATACATATATTAGATTATATATATAAATGAAAGAGTCGCTGAAAGAATCGAGATGTAGCCCCGAGGAATGTTGATGGGAAAACAACACTTATATTGTGCGTATCCATGTCATATATTGGACATCTCCCTTCTGATCGTCCCTGTCAGCTCACCGAGAAATCTCCCGCAACAGCACCAACATTCATACAGCAGAAACAAATGAACTGCAGGAGTTCAGACACGAAAAATCAAAACCTTAATGGAAAACAAACACCCGCAACTGAGACTTGAATTGATCCTGAGTGGAAAAAATGTGTGCTAAACCCCAAGCCATCACCCTCCAGTTGGGGATGATTTCAATGATACGTCATTGTGGATGGTCTATGGTTCTGGACCTACCACAAACAACTGCAGAGTCCAGGTCCATGTTTAACCCCAACCCATTAGATTTTTGTTATAGTTGCTGTTTTCAAATTGAGCACTCCGCGTTGGGTGTGTCTGAAAATGGGGATACCAGTACCATAGATTACCATAGTTATGGCTATTTTACATTCTTTTGCCAGAGAAAATGATGATAAACCAGCTAAGATCATCTAACTTAAGCTTATCCTATGTTCCATTATATAAGTGGGTTATATGTGGTAAGCATATAAACTATCATGGGATTATCTCAACAAACCCATTAGATCCCCAAATATATCCCCATCAAAGATTTTCCCATCACCCCAGGTCTCAAACTGATCAAGTGACTGCGGCTGGAGCAGCAGAAGCAACGGCTTGTCCTTCCCCTGATGTTTTCCGCGCATCGTCACCTGGTGCTGGAACCGTAGTGGTTGAAGCAACCCAAAGGTGAAAATATCTGGAGTCTGTGTGTTGAAGAATCTGCTTAGAGATGCTTGGAGTATATCATAGTATATCTACATAATTACCCAAATGTTGTCGTCATTGTAGTCCATGTCTCTGAAAATAGGGCACCCACAAATTAACAGCAAAAAAACAGCAGTTAACAATCAGTTTCCCAATGAAACGACCATTTTATTGGCATTTATGATCATTTATTGTAATATATTAGTAATATAACAATATATGATTATTGTAATATAAGTATATAACTAATATATTATATGATCATTATATAGCTATATTATATAGTTATACTATATGACATACATTTCGGACCGGGGCGGGTCCACGGTACTCCCGGCCTGCCACAAGTGGGTCAGGTGGTGCAGCCTGAACTCAGCAGAGATAATCAGAGGGATTTTCTGGGGGTTCGATGTGGGGATATAACTGATATGATTATTATATATACAATTGATAAATGATAGTTGATGGATGTTGTTCAAGATGTTGTTTGGTCAATTGGAACATGTTTAGAACTATGGAACATGCAAAGCAGTGCTGTGAAGGTCGCACTTTTGCGCCCGTTCCAGGAATGGCATTCCAACCAGTCTCTCTGTCTTTGTTTGCAACCAGGTTGCCCCAACCACTTGGTAAAATTGGGGTGCCTTTGGGGGTGTCAACTGTCAGTACCTGGACTTCTCACTGCAAATTGAAATGATTGGCTTGGGTGGTTCCTCATGGTGAACCTTAGATTCCTGACAAAAAAAAAAGTTATTTTTTAGCTGGTTTGTACGTTATTTTACATCATTTTGATAGCAAAGATTCAATTACAAAAGTATATAATAGTATATAATAGTTTATAACCAAGCTATTAAATATAACCAATAAGCTTGACCAAGATCAGTGCCTCCCCTTCCCTGCGAGCATTGCCTGTGCCACTGGCGCCGCTGCCGCAAAGAGGCTGGAGACGGCGCTGCCAGTTGGAGCTGCCTCAGAAAAAACGGCTGCCGGTCGGTGGTAACCCGCTGGACTACAGGAAACACAAAACATAACCAAAAAAAGCAGGTAACATTAGATAGTGACATATGACATATGTAACATGCGTATGTTGATAATATTTTATAATTAATACGTATGAGAAAGTAAGAATTTTCAAGATGGATTGCTGCTGGTTGCTGCTGACTTTTAGTGATGTGACATATTTTGTTCCGGACAAGGAACAGAATCTGACCAACAAGTTCTTGTTCATCGCTATCCCAATACATGTGTTGATTCATCTTGGGACTAGGCCCTTAGGTCCCTGCGCCTTCAAAGACTTAGAGAAACCCATGGGCCAATGAAAGTGTGACTGTCATGATAATGTCATCATGTGCGGAGACGTTTGTGACATTAGGATACATTAAAAGTATTTAAAAGTACTACCAGGTGTGATTTCGTTGAATTTCATGGTGACCAAATAAACACTAACGTTCAAACGCGGTGATGCTCTCCGTAGCGACAGTGACGGCGTTGGATGATGGGACATGCCCATAGTAAAAGCTTGGATGAGACCACGGGCCATAATTGTGGCAACAATCCCACCAATTGGTACCTTGTTACTGAACTGGACTCTGGACCTTCAAGTCGATCACAAAAATGGTCATCATCCCAGCTATAGCCTATACCATACAGAATGTACCCAACATGGATAACTTCGCATCATACCTTCAGTTCTGATCCCGGTATATCCCGGTCCTGTTTCACAAAGCCATCGTCGTCATCGTCGTCGAAGATGTTTGTGGCAAGGCGTCCAGAGCCACCAAAGAGGCTTGGGCCACCTGCTGGCCATCTTTCAATGGATGTTTCTGACATCATGGATCATGCCACAAACAAACTAAAACGCGTGAGGCTGCGTTTGAACTCTCCGAACTTTAATTATGTGTGCTAACTGTTCTAACCTCTTTATTGACCATGGAACAAACAACATCATGTATCACTACAACTACAAGCTGGTGTCGTTGTATTGCAAGATACGGGCATTGCAAGTTGGGGTGTCACATCTCAACCGTTAAACCCCCACATCTACAGGAAGGTGGTCTACATCTCAAGAGCCATCTGCATCATACTTCAGCTTCGAAGTCAAAAAGGTCACTGCCATAATGCCCTCTCCCTACAAAAGCTCCCCTATATTTATTAATAAAAACTGCCCGAGATTATTTGGTTTGGCACATTTCAGATTGGTCAATTTGACTTTTAATTGATCGCCTGTAGAAAACAATTTAAAAATGAAGGTCCATTTAAAGGTTCTACCCCCTTAATAATAAAAACTAATTAAACCATGTTTAGGGTCCGTGTGTTAAAGTCAACAATTTTAGTTTTTTTTCTAATAGGTTTTTAATTTAATATTAGGGGAAAGCTTCTCCCCCGAAGATTAAATACCCTCTAATAATAACAACTACCCCTAGGTGTTATTATTTGGGGGGAGGGGGGGGACGTTTATATAATATTACGGTGAAGTGATTATTAAATAATTTAAAGATATGTAAAGTAGTGTAAAGTAATTTTAAAGTTTAGCTTACCAACCCGCGGTCGTTCAATCTTCCCTTCCCTCCGCACCGCTGGAAGCTTTCGCTGCCAGCAGTGGCGGTGCAAACGGCAGCGTCGGCGCCGTCGGCGCTGCCGGTGCAGCTGCCGCTGCTGGCGCCGCTGCCGGGGCAGCCGCTGCTGGTGCTGGCGCGTCGCCATCGAGGCTATCAAGGCTAGACTTGCACAGCATCGAAGATGCAGGCGCAGAGCCAGACCTTGAAAAACGTGCCAATATACACGGTGGTGCCGTTATCCAATTGACTACAGGTTTCTGATGGAGACAATTTCGAGAAGTTATAAACCAACTTAGTGAACCATTGGGGCACCACCTTGTACGGATTTGAGCAATCCGGGAATGGATTCACAGCCAATCCCAGCCGATCCCAGGAGGACTGACCAAGACATTGGAGCAGTGTTCAAAATCCCTCTGTCATTACATTATACTGGTTGGTTCATAGGAAATCCCCGTTCTTGGATTATTATAGTCCCCAAATCCCCAATTTTTTTTGGGTAGTAACCGGGTAGAAAAAAATCCCCGGTTACTAACCATCAACCAACAGGGGTTTAGCAGCCACTGCTCACGGCGTTTTGTATGGTTCCATCTCCCTGTCCCAACTGGATGCGGCCAAGCATCAGTGGGTTGAAGCGGACCTCGCTGTCGCCAAAAAGTCCTGCTGCTTTCGACGCTTCCTTTGATGCGCTTCTGGTGTGAAAGACAAACAGAAAGCAATGTGGTACAGCCAATAAACAAACCCTATAATATCATATAATTATTATATAGTTATAACTATAATTCTATAATATATATATATTATAGTTAAGCAAGTATTATCTAATAACTATGAATATATAATTATAGATATATGTTTAATATGATCACCAGAAATGGGTTTTACAAACCCTCCGCAATTGGAGGTTTACTATTGGGTTTACAAAAACATCCCTCATGATTCAGAAAGAATCTTGATTCGGCAGGATAGGCCTCTACCAGTATGTGACTGACAACTTGACTACCAAGTTCGGCCATTCCAAACGCATGGGATAGAGAATCTTTGTAACCCTTCGAAACAACGTTAGTAACCGTTGGCTGCTCCTTCAAAACACCCAAGCCACAAACTAGCCCAAGACCTCAGAAAAGAAATATACCCTCTGGTAATTTAACATAGCTATTGAAAATGGCCATTTATAGTTGATTTGCCCATTAAAAATGGTAATTTTCCATAGTTATGTTAAATTACCAGAGGGTATACCAGCCTCTTGATGATGTGAATACCATCATTTCACAACCATGATCTCACCCTCCGCAGAAATCTTGGAGAAAACAGAAGCAACACCCACACGACCTCCGAAAAAGAATTGGAATAGACTAGACAGCCACATATAGCCGTATAGCCCCATAGACCCATGGACCTTGCTGTAACCAGAGTTGTGATCTTAAATCTTCCATGTGGCAACAGAAGATCTCCCAGGTGCCAACGGTAGAAATCTCTGGGCCTGTCAAAATGGGGGTACCTCCAAATCATCCATTTGATTTTCGGATGTTACAAAAAAAAGACACCATCCAGCTATTGGATTATTGGGGTACCCTCTGGTTATTTAACATAGCCATGGTATAGATGGCCCTAATCGAAATAGATGGTTTACCGAACTTAAAAATGGTGGTGATTTTCCATGGCAAACTGTGAATGTCATAACCATCCAGCTATTGGATGATTGGGGTATACCCATGGATTGGAAACCTCCAAATATCTTCCCCACCAAGTCGCTGCTCCGCCTGCTCCGCTTCCTGCCGCAGTCATGAGTGTTGCAACTTATGGTTTTGGGGATGCCCCATGGATTGGACATCTCCATAGAATAATCATATTTAGTTGCTCTTCACAAAATGGAAAAAAATGCCATTTTGAAATTATGAGATCCACAATTGCAGCTGTAATCCTGGTTGGTCATACTGTCTCTGGTCTAAGCAAGGATCAATGTGTAAGGCTCTTCGGATGATACAAGAATGGCAGTCTGCCAGTTAGACCCATCCTGGCGTTGAAGGAAATGAACATGGGACCATCAAAGGCAGCAAATATTTCGCCTAGCTGGAACCCCAAACAACGGGAAATAAATGATGTTTTCCCCAAACAACAACCATGGCTATTTCAGCTTGGTTGAGGTTTCAGGTCAAGATGGTGAACTATTTTCTGAAGTCTACATAGCTGACTACCTGACCTAGAACCTAGAATTATTAATCTCCCTCCCCCATGTATTTCAGCTATAATATGGAGGTTCCCAATCCATGGGGGTACCCCCAAATCATCCAGTCGTCATGGATTTACCATTTTATTCCATGATTCCATGACTTACCCTCCACCAAAAAAAACGTAGACCCCCAACAAAAATCGACATGTTTTAGATCCTTTTAGCGGAAAGTCATCTTCCAATCCCCTATTGTTTTGGATCTACCCTCTGGTTATTTTAACATAGCCATGGAAGATGACCCATTTATAGATGATTTTCCCAGCTAGAAACCTCCATTTATATCATTTATGAGGGATTTTCCATGGCTATGTTATATAGTCATAACCAGATGGTATTTAAGGCAGGCTCGATGTGAAAATGGCGGGAGCCCCACCTGCCGGAGCCGGCGAAGCTGCCGAAGCTGGTGGCTCAGCTGCCTGGCCGGGTCATGGGTCAGTCTGGGTGGTTTAGAACTCTATAGCTACAGCATGGTGTTGTATAATATCATGATTCTTATCATCATTATCCTGTTTGTTATTGTTATTATTGTTATTATTACTATATTTGCATCATTAATTATCATATATCGATATCGATTCACTATCATGTGGAAGGTGTGAAAATTGAAGTTCCTTACTTCATACGTTGGAAACAGCTGCAAGTCTTCGAGAGTTTCATGGCAGCCTGGGCCTGTCCAATGGCCATTTCAGGGACCGATTGATTGGAGGTACCTACCATACATAAGGCCTTCATATAAGGCCTATGTAAGGGAATATCCCAGCAAAATATGGCCAAAAATATGGTACAGTACCTCCATTTTGGGATCCTGAAATTCCCATTGAAATGATCATGGAACATCATGGAACAAGTTATGGAACTATCACGAAAACGTCTCACGCGCCATCCTCTTGGTTTGAACACTTGGGAAATCAAGGCCTAGGTTCTAACAGGCCAATTGTCGATGACCTTCTGGTACAACCCCTCCACCTTGTCCCAACTTTCACCATGTTGAGATCGACGAGACAAGACCTGTAACTGTGGTAAACAGTTTCCCACCCGAAACCATCAACCATCCCCCATCTACGTAATTTCATAATTTCACCATTTGCTGAAAACTCAAAACCAGATAATAAAATCATATCCAGGAATGAGTTTACATTTTATTGATTTTTATTGTATATAAACCTATGCGTGCTTCGATTTGCACCACCTCAATGAGCTCTGTCCCTCTGCACCTGCAAAGGCGCCACTGCCGCTGGCGCTGGTGGCACTGGAGCGCCAAAGAGGCCAGAGCTGCCCAAAGGAGCCTGGACCCAAGGAGGGCTGGTTGCGGCTTGAAAAGGAACCAAAATCTGGAAGGGACCCAAGGGACCCAGAAGAACAAGGACATCTTTTGACCTACCCTCTGGTAATTTAACATAGCTATTGAAAATGACCATTTTGAATGGGTAAATCCACTATTTCTATGGCCATTTTCAATAGCTACCTTAAATTACCAGAGGGTAGTCTTTTTTTTGTTTTCTTGTAGTTGGTTTTGGAGTAGATGAGTTGGAACATGTTTCAACCATTTCCATGTCTGGGAGTCTGCTAGCCTTGAACTTGTGGGGTCATCCAAAGCTTGACTCACAGACATCAAAATGTTGATGCTCAGAGTGAAACAAACCTGCCAGACAAGAAGAGAAGGCCCCTGAAGAATTGCTGTGCAGCACTTCCAAAAGTCTGGAATTATTCCACTGCAACCCCACACACAGTGGATCTGCAAGGTAGAACTCATCAAAATAAAAAACATAAACAACCCACCTACCAACTACCAAACCATGCGTCATACCGCTGTTTCTCCAAACTGGGGACCTCCAACAGATGACCAATGGTTCTGGTTTGGGGGGTCCCTACGTTTAGGAAAGTTTAGGACACCCCCCGTCACTTCTGAACCCATTGCTGTCCTGTTTCACAACGTCATCGTCATCGTCATCGTCATCGTCAAAGATGTCTTTTGCAAGGCGTCCAGATCCACCAAAGAGGCTCGGGCCACCTGGATCAAGGGAGTTTATATCTGAATGTCAATTGTTGTTTCAATATGCTTCAATTATATAATGGTTTTAATCATGGAATATGGAAAGCTAACCAGAACTAATATTGCTGCGTGCAATGATGGTGGGATATTGATGGAGAGAAAACAACATTGGATGTCGACTGATGACAGTCCGACGACACCCCACGAAATAGTGATACAGTGTAAATCCATGAAGTAAAATTATCTCAGTAAGAAAGGGATGACAGCGAGATATCCATAATTGCTACCAGCAGCTGATTCTGCTGAAAGGGATCACCCAGGAGGGAACTTGCCTCAACATGAATCAAAATACGGACATCCCACAGACAAGGATTTGTGACAAGCCATTTTGGTCCTCATGTCTTGCGAAAAAACACAATGCACACAGAAACTTGGTTGCAGCCTATGTATACACAAGCTATATATAATATACCCTCTGGTAATTTAACATAGCTATTGAAAATCACCATTTATAGTGGATTTTCCCATTAAACATGGTGATTTTCCATAGTTATATTAGTTTACCAGAGGGTACCTCAAGAAAGGAATGCATGGACTTCCAACCAATCAATTTTGGTCTTTGTGACAAAGTGCATCAAGCCTGCAACATTCCCCTGTGATTTCATGTCTGAATTTGCCACCAACTTCCGCCAGGCCCAAGTCATGATTTAACGTGTTGGGATATTAGGGGCCGCACCCAACAACTGGCTGATGGCTGCTGGTCTCTTTAGGTATTTCCATGTATTTCCCATATATGGCGATCTATCAATTTGCTGACAATTGACAAACCTGGATTGTTCATGACTGTTCAAGCATGTCCCAAAAATCCAACACAATAACCCTGAGCATGGTGACCTCTGAAACAAAACATCGCCAAGACCCATTGAATATCTTTGATACCTGCATATAGATCATCCACTGGCTATAGCTGCCTCCCAGGTTACCCTCCGCGCCACTGGAAGCTTTTGCTGCCACCGTCGGCGGCGCAAATGGCACTGCCGCTGCTGCCGGTGCCGGTGCGGCCGGTGCCGCGGCTGGTGCCGGCGCTGGCGCGTCTTCTTCGTTGCTATCGAGTCTCGGCTTTCGCGTTGAAGGAGCTGAGGCTGCAGTGCCGAACCTGGAAACTAGGCAGGGAAAGGTGTGGAATTTGACCCAGCAGGTGATATACTGCAATAGATATGTAAAAAGAAACCGTATAAGTTAAGTAATTATCAGTAATTAGGGGCTCAATAAAGGTATATGATATCAAATAAGTTTTCACTTAAGTTAACTCAGCGAGTGGAAAGCTCAAGGGATGTCCATCACAAACTGGTGGGTTCATAGCAAAGGTACTGTCAGCTAAACAGTTCCCACAAACCTGCTGCGGATGGACTCTATTGATATTGGTTCCGTGAGATCAAAATTCCCACAATGCGAGGTCATAAATCCATATAAATCTTCTGTCAACCGGTATACATAGTATCATATAGTATATCCATTATACACGAGCCAAACGATGCGTCATGATGGGGCTTAATTACCCCCAGTCATCAAGCTTAAAAAGGTGGCCCTTTCCCACGGGCCAAGCAACAGTGGATTGGACCGGACCTCATTGTCTTCAAATAGACCTCCCGTCGGCTTCGATGCTTCCTTTGCGATGCTGCTGTGGCTGCAAGGGATAGACAAACAAGTTTGCTGTTGTTGTTGTATCATAATTATCATTATTATTTGTATCATTAATTATCATATATTGATATCGATTCACTATCATGTGGAAGGTGTGAAAATTGAAGTTCCTTACTTCATACGTTGGAAACAGCTGCAAACCATTAAACCCCTGTAAAAGCACTGGGAAATCTGTGATGCATAACAAGTCTTCGAGAGTTTCATGACAGTCTGGGCCTGTCCTAACATCTAAGAACGGTACAGGGCAATCACCAAATTCGTTCTGCCCAATGATCATGGAACATCTTTATCTGTATCTGTTTCTATACATGCAATTAATCATATATGCATCAAACGGGTCCCACAAAAATAGATAGACACATTCGTCATCCTCGAAACAAAGCATGGAACTCGACGGATTTATCACGAAAACGTCTCACGCGCCATCCTCTTGGTTTGAACACTTGGGAAACCAAGGCCTAGGTTCTAACAGGCCAATTCTCGATGACCTTCTGGTACAACCCCTCCACCTTGTCCCAACTTTCACCATGTTGAGATCGACGAGACAAGACCTGTAAATGTGGCAAACAGTTTCGCACCCGAAACCATCAACCATCCCCCATCTACCTAATTTCATAATTTCACCATTTGCTGAAAACTCAAACCCAGATTATAAAATCATACCCAGGGCCCAGGAATGAGTTTATTACATTTTATTGATGTTTATTGTATATAAACCTATGCATGCTTGGATTTACACCACCTCAATGAGCTCTGTCCCTCTGGTTCACCTGCAAAGGCGCCACTGCCGCTGGCGCTGGTGGCACTGGAGCGCCAAAGAGGCCAGAGCTGCCCACAGGGGCCTGGACGCAAGGAGGGCTGGTTGCGGCTTCAAAAGGAACCAAAATCTGGAAGGGACCCAAGGGACCCAAAAGAACAAGGACATCTTTTGACCCCAGTCTTTTTGTTGTTTTCTTGTAGTTGGTTTTGGAGTAGATGAGTTGGAACATGTTTCAACCATTTCCATGTCTGGGAATCAGCTAGCCTTGAACTTGTGGGGTCATCCAAAGCTTGACTCATAGACATCAAAATGTTGATGCTCAGAGTGAAACAAACCTGCCTCACAAGAAGAGAAGGCCCCTGAAGAATTGCTGTGCAGCACTTCCAAAAGTCTGGAATTATTCCACTGCAACCCCACACACAGTGGATCTGCAAGGTAGAACTCATCAAAATAAAAAAACATAAACAACCCACCTACCAACTACCAAACCATGCGTCATACCGCTGTTTCTCCAAACTGGGGACCTCCAACAGATGACCAATGGTTCTGGTTTGGGGGGTCCCTACGTTTAGGAAAGTTTAGGACACCCCCCGTCACTTCTGAACCCATTGCTGTCCTGTTTCACAACGTCATCGTCATCGTCATCGTCAAAGATGTCTTTTGCAAGGCGTCCAGATCCACCAAAGAGGCTCGGGCCACCTGGATCAAGGGAGTTTATATCTGAATGTCAATTGTTGTTTTAATATGTTTTAATTATATAATGGGTTTAATCATGGAACATGGAAAGCTAACCAGAACTAATATTGCTGCGTGCAATGATGGTGGGATATTGATGGAGAGAAAGCGACATTGGATGACGACTGATGACAGTCTGATGACACCCCACGAAATAGTGATACAGTGTGTAAATCCATGAAGTAAAATTGTCTCAGTAAGAAAGGTATGACAGCGAGATATCCATAATTGCTACCAGCAGCTGATTCTGCTGAAAGGGATCACCCAGGAGGGAACTTGCCTCAACATGAATCAAAATACGGACATCCCACAGACAAGGATTTGTGACAAGCCATTTTGGGCCTCATGTCTTGCGGAAAAACACAACACAATGCACACAGAAACTTGGTTGCAGCCTATGTATACACAAGCTATATATGATATCTGGGTAAATTATAATAATTCACCTACCTGAATTAAGCCCATTTTGGGGATGATTTCCCTGACTAACCATGATTCCCAGTGAGGTCGTAGTGAGGTCGTTATAATTTACCCAGATAATATGTATACCTCAAGAAAGGAATGCATGGACTTCCAACCAATCAAATTTTGTGACAAAGTGCATCAAGCCTGCAACATCCCCTTGGATTTCATGTCTGAATTTGCCACCAACTTCCGCCAGGCCCAATTCATGATTTAACGTGTTGGGATATTAGGGGCCGCACCCTACAACTGGCTGATGGCTGCTGGTCTCTTTAGGTATTTCCATGTATTTCCCATATATGGCGATCTATCAATTTGCTGACAATTGACAAATCTGGATTGTTCATGACTGTTCATGTCCCAAAAATCCAACACAATAACCCTGAGCATGGTGACCTCTGAAACAAAACATCGCCAAAACCCATCGAATATCTTTGATACCTGCATATAGATCATCCACTGGCTATAGCTGCCTCCCAGGTTACCCTCCGCGCCACTGGAAGCTTTTGCTGCCACCGTCGGCGGCGCAAATGGCACTGCCGCTGCTGCCGGTGCCGGTGCGGCCGGTGCCGCGGCTGGTGCCGGCGCTGGCGCGTCTTCTTCGTTGCTATCGAGTCTCGGCTTTCGCGTTGAAGGAGCTGAGGCTGCAGTGCCGAACCTGGAAACTAGGCAGGGAAAGGTGTGGAATTTGACCCAGCAGGTGATATACTGCAATAGATATGTAAAAAGAAACCGTATAAGTTAAGTAATTATCAGTAATTAGGGGCTCAATAAAGGCATATGAGATCAAATAAGTTTTCACTTAAGTTAACTCAGCGAGTGGAAAGCTCAAGGGATGTCCATCACAAACTGGTGGGTTCATAGCAAAGGTACTGTCAGCTAAACAGTTCCCACAAACCTGCTGCGGATGGACTCTATTGATATTGGTTCCGTGAGATCAAAATTCCCACAATGCGAGGTCATAAATCCATATAAATCTTCTGTCAACGGGTATACATAGTATCATATAGTATATCCATTGTACACGAGCCAAACGATGCGTCATGATGGGGCTTAATTACCCCCAGTCATCAACCTTAAAAAGGTGGCCCTTTCCCACGGCCAAGCAACAGTGGATTGGACCGGACCTCATTGTCTTCAAGTAGACCTCCCGCCGGCTTCGATGCTTCCTTTGCGATGCTGCTGTGGCTGCAAGGGATAGACAAACAAAGCAATCTTCAGACTCTTCTGCCGATTAATCATCAATCCCTTCCCCGAATATTATATTAACATATATTAACATGATATAAGCCTTAAACGAAAATCCCGGTTTAAAAAAACGAGGATTGGATCTAATTATTCATTTTGGGTCCACTATACTAGGTCATATTCTGGGGATGGGATCGCCCAAAATCATCCCTGGTCCAGTTGGATCCTATAGGAATGGAGATCAACGTATGCAACACATTATCTCAACATGGCTTTGTCTGAAAATATGGTATAGTCTACCCCATTACGTTTATCATGATGTGTTCCCCGTTTGAATGGTTTTTACACAAACCCAAATCATTGTTGATATATGTTGATATGTTACAGTATATAGCACATAAGATATCACCATGACATCCCATTCAATTCGCGGTTTTGATGGTTCATATTGGGCTATACTTGGGGGTGCAGGAATATGTCTGGATATATGTCACCAATTCTCACCATAGTTATAGTAGGATCCCAACTTGTTGGCACTTATTACCACAATTGTAACCAGTATGCATCATTATTCATCCCAACTGGTTGGATCTATCCCATATCCCCATATTATCCCCATATCATCCCCATATTTTCCCCATATTATCCCCATATTATCCCCATATTATCCCCATATTCTTGGCTAAATTATACCATAATAGCTGTGAACAACCCCCACCCATGCGCCACGCCCAAGTGGCCGCTGCAGCTGCGCTGGCTGCGGAAACAACCTTGCCTCGGATGGCTGATGTCTTGACATGCTCGATAAAGTTATGAATAACATCTGGGAAATTTTTATCATATGGGTATGGGTCAATACCTATAGATACATTTTTAGTGGGATGAACATCCAGCTAAACCAGCTATTTTGATGTGAACTACAGGGGTACAAGGTTTTGACACACTGCCATATGTCACTGACCTGAATAGTTCGGCCATATTGGGATAATTCATGATAATTTCCCTTACTCACCACGACTCCAATGAGGGAGAACAATGAGGTCGACATAATGTCCCCAGATCATATGTATACAGCAATAATATGTCAGTGGCTGGTAAATGTCCTAATTGAACATCACCCAACTATGGGGATATGATCTCCAACGGATACGGCCGAAAGTGATGTGAAACAAATCCGATAAATCCAAAAAGCAGGACATTTACCAACCCCTGTATGTGTACAGTTGGCATAGTCGTGTTTAAATATGTAATATGTGACATACTGTGAGTAAATGTGAGTAATGAATCAAAGATACTAAATTATATATAAATATCATTATATACAGTAAATATCATACAGTAAGCCTACGGTATGTCCGCTAATATACAATATACCTGCATCTCCCAGTGTGTGCAAAAAAAATAAATATTGCCTTTTCAGGAATTATTGCTGGCGGCATTTTTTTCTGCCTCCGAACAGTTTTTGCATTTTGCATGTGTGTTGCCGGTTTTGAAACGGCGAAAAAAACCCAAGGAAACGGCGAAAAAATCAAGAGCCCAAAATGTGGAAACTGAAACGGCGAAAATTTAGGCAACCGGCGATGATTATACGTTGCTGTTTCAGATTTCGAGCGAATTTTTGCACAAGTGGATTATCCAGGTACCATATATGATATATGAATTCATATGAATATGAATCGTGCAAAATAGATTCCATATCAAACCCATGGTATGTCTATAATTTCTACATGGGCTTCCAAGAACATTATTGAGATCATACCAAGGGCACGTTCAAAATATCGTTGATTTGCTGGGTCTCCAACACTGGTGAACAATGCAGAGACTTTTCATATTGTGTGACCCCAAAACCAATGGTTTTCATGTAAAAAATCACGAATTTCAGATGATAAATTGGGTTGACTGGACAAAGGAATTTACAGTCAAACATTAACTCTTTTCTCTCTTAAATTACGATGTCATAACATGTCATAACCATTAAAAAAAAAAAAAAACACCCAGCTTGGCACCCAGCCTTCCTCCGGTTCAGCTGATGCCTGCAGCTCAGGGACCTATCTTGAACCATGGGGGTAAAGTTGGGGTTAGTAACCATCAAGATGATCAAGATGGCAATAGTATGAGAATATGATGAGATGGAGCTAACCAGTTGGGATTCATAATTACATATAATTACTATGTTTGAATATGGCTATAACCCCTATGTTTGTTGGGCTATAACCCTTAACTTATAGCCATGGTGAAACATATTCACTTGGTTCATGGGAACTGCACACACAAGTTGGTCGGGGCTGGATTCAAAATGGTGTAGGGACCAAATATCTCCCAATATCTTGTCTTGATATGCAATACTAAGATACTACAGTCATTTATATTGCATCTATCATATTCTAGAACATTCTATAATCATTTTTGTGAGATGTTGTGATAAGGAACTACTACATAATATCTATAGATATGAGATCATATAGTATATAGATGAAACTACGACATAATATCATCTAGGATAGATGTAACGAGCCTTGGGAGCTGCGCCAAAAAGGCTGGAGCTGACACTTGGGGCAGCCTGGCTCCATCGGTTTCATGGGGATTTCAGAAAGGGCAAATACTGGGGAAATGATGTTTTTTTTTATAGATCATGGTGAATCACTACTGGGAAAATAATGGGAATAAGGGAAAATAATGGGAAAACAATGGGAAAATAATGGGAATAATGGGAATATAATAGTTAATAATGGGTAATAATGGTTAATAGGACAATTTCATGGATACTTATAATGGAAAAAAGAACCATAATGCTTAAATAATGGGTTCTTACAGGGGAGGCCCGAATCCGGGAAAGTCACCTATTGGTGATAGCTGATTTTGAAGACATGTGTCCGTTTTTGGATTTTCAAAAGGAATTTTGATGCAAGGGAATTGCAATTTAAACCACGTGCAATACCCATATCCTGGACAATATGGATTGATGATGGTTGGCTACCGGCAGCTACTGGTACTGTAGCTGGCTCCAGCTAATCACATTTTTTCAGAGGAAACATCAACCCAGCAGGGGAGATGCTACAGCTTGGCCGTGTTTCAACTCGTCTTAAATCATCTTCATTACCCATAGGATCCATGTATGGTATATATGCTAACATTGGGGGTATATTGATGGTAAATGTTACCATATATATAGCATGCATGGATCCTATGGGTTGTTTCTCGCCTGTGGTTTAAAAGGGCTATGGGCAGAAAGCAAAGCAACAGGATACCTGACTCTGACACAACCAAACCATTCAGTTTTTCCCCGTTCACATATTTCCATTCATAACTGTTCATGAATGCTTTCCTATGAGGAAGAACAGTACTGATTTCCCATTTCCAGGTTTGACTAGCTGCATTTGATGCTTGAAGGACTGCAGAGTCTGCAAAGTGAGAGTTTCTATCATCTACTGAGAGCCCTTAGAGAAACCATCTGTACATACATCACGAAATGGTTCCTACATGTTACGTTACTACATGTTACTACAACATCCCACCTACCATACCAACATATACCACAGATCCACGGACTATACCACAGCAGTTCTGATCCCATCGCTGTCCTGTTTCGCAACATCGTCATCGTCGAAGATGTCTTTCGGGCGTCCACCTGCATCAATGGATCCCCGTGGAGAATCCATGGGTCTCCACAAAGTTGGTTGCAACCACAATCACTATACAAGATATACCTCAGGGATACCCTCTGGTAATTTAACATAGCTATGGAAAATGGCCATTTATAGTGAGTTTTCCCATTAAAAATGGTGATTTCCATAGTTATGTTAGTTTACCAGAGGGTAATACTAAGCACATGCACTTCTTTGAGCTTCAATATGCTTCAATCCTACACCTTGTCAGTTTCGTTCTGACTCAATTGCCATTGAATCATATCCCAAGCTGACAGAGATTGGCATCAACAGAAACTTGTCAAAAGCACACTGCAAAGCCACATTGTGTCTGTATAGATCCCAGAACTCCAACTTTTCCCTCCGCGCCACTGGAAGCTTTTGCTGCCACCGTCGGTGGCGCAAATGGCACTGCCGCTGCTGCCGCTGCCGGTGTCGGTGCGGCCGGTGCTGCTGCCGGTGCCGATGCTGGCGCGTCTTCTTCGTTGCTATCGAGTCTCGGCTTGCGCATTGAAGCTGAGGCTGCAGTGCCAAACCTGGAAGCTATGCAGGTTTGTATGGGGAGTTGATTTAAAAGAGTTTTGCTGAATGTTGCAGAAATAGGAGTCGGAACTATAGACAATTTTCTTAGTTCAATCAGCAGACATATAATCAGCGGAAAAACTGTCCAGAACATAAGTTGTGCATGATGGTTGGGTTTCACTTCATTGAAAGTGGGGTTCACGCAATTCAATTTAATCAACCAATCCCCAGTCAACCTGGTAGTGTGATTACATAATCCTAAGCTGAACCTACAGAGGAAACGCACAGCTTGGGTATCCCCTGAACAATGAATTTGGCATCCTGTCCCCAGTGCGGCCAAGCATCAGTGGGTTTGAACGGACTTCATTGTCGCCAAATAGACCCCCTGCTGGTTTCGATGGTTCCTTTGCTGAGAAACTCTTGCAGCGTGAATTCGAGTCCGTGAGTCCAAACTGCATGAGTTGCATTGGTTAGGTGGGTCTGAAACTACCAGAAAAATATCCCTGAACGATGATTTTAATGGTGAAAATTATACTTATCGTAACAAGTCACCATCAGAATTGGGGTTGTGGTTCCCAAGGTCTGCATGGTTGACCAATTCTCACCCAAACCTCATTTTATTTATGATTCCCATGAAAACAATCACCAAAAATCTTTGATGTCACATAATTCAATACAACATCAGCATTACTAACAACAGCTTCCAAGAAGTTCCAAAAAAATCTGGGTGATTTGCCATGAAGCACCAACATACAACAATCATGTGTGGGTCACTGGCTGCTCCTGTTCTGACTTCACCCAAGTCACGGCTGCAGTTGCTTTTGGCACACCTGAAAGTCAACCATTGGTCGATGTGGACACCACAAGGCTATAAATTTATAGGGATTGTTCATGGAATTTCATGTATTTTAACCTTCAATGTAAACGGATTTAAGAGGAATTGACCACCACATGTGTCTTTTAATTCAACCTACCATTTTTCCAGGGGAACAACAATGGATATAGATCATCGGGATACACTAGGATCGAATAGTTATATAATTTAGTAAATATATATATATATATATTATATAAAATATATAATATTACATGTATATATAATATAGTTTAATATATATATATATATAATATTACATATATATTATACATAATATGTATTATATATAATATATAGTATAATATATATATATATTATTTATATATATATAATATATATAATATATAATATATAAAATATATAGTATATATAATATATAGTGTATATAATATATATTGTATTTAATATATAAAAATATAAATAATATCAATAATATAAATAAAATATATATATAATATATATAATATATATAATATATATAATATATATAATATATATATAATATAATATATATATATAATATTAAATATATAATAATGTAAATAATACTAAATGGTTATGGGGTGGTTTTGGGCCTGTGGTTTTTCAGTGGTTTTCTGGGGGCCTTTCTGGGAAGCTGTTTGAAGTTGCGCGGCAGCATTGTCTTTTCCTGCAAGGCGAACGTGTCTCAATGCGGAAGCGATCTGCACAGGTATTACGCGCAGAAAAAAATCCGCATACGTGCGCCTGCCACGCGACATTGGCCGCGGAGCATGAGAGATCCAAATCCCTTTGCGTGTCACCCACCTCCACGCGCGGCTTTGGATTGCAGGATCTTGGCCCGAGGCGACTGCGGCCCCGCAAAGCTTGCGGTAGGGTCCCTCATCAACTGCCACTGGTGCGCTGTGGGGGTTCTCGGGCTTCCACTCCTAGGGCGGCGCGCCGCAGGATTCCCGGGCGCTGGTTCACGTGTTTCGTTTGCTGCAGCCCGTTCAGCTGAAAATAACTGCAGATGAATGGGTGGTTGGATTGCTGAAATGGTACTATGTGATATGCACCGTATTACGCATATAATGACCCCCAAAGAGTCTCCAACCCCCCCCCCACCCCCCCCCTCCCTTAAGAGGCTTTCCCTGGGGAAGTGCTTAGACAAGCTGCTCTCACACTACTTACTCTCAAAGGTTTGCTTCTGGATTTTGCTACTCCCCCGTGAAGGCAGTCGAGTAACAATTCCAGACTGTTCCATACTCTTATCAATGCCCCTGTGCAACACCCTCAAAAACATCGATCTTGAGCAGGCCCGTTACCACCCCGAAGCCTACTATATATATATTATAATGTATATATATTATATTATATATATGTAATATCATATATATATATATATCATATGACCAACAATATGTGAATCCGTAGAGATTACCACCATTTCATTGGATTTGAGAGGACACTTATCAAAGTGTACCCTACTGTACGGTGGCATTGTTAGGGAAAACCCGTGGTTTCTCTAGCAAATGATCTATAAATGCTGAATTGTCCATATATGTCAAGTAGTCGAAGGAGGATATGGGTAAACTATGTAAACAACAATTATGTATATTACATTGTAAATGCTATACATTATAAATAAAAAATGCGTATATATCTGCATATATACCTTGCAGAATTAGTGAAATTAGCTGCGTGCCGCCTCATAGCGAAGAGGAAAAATCACTCGGTCCACACTAATTATCAACAGCTAGTACACAACTTCTGTCACCTATTTTTGGCAAATGGTCATATATATATATGCATATAATATTATGATCAACAATATGTGAAACTGAAGAAATTACCACCATTTCATTGGATTTGAGAGGACACTTATCAAAGCGTACCCTACTGTACGGTGGCATTGTTGGCTGAATTGTCCATACATGTTAAGTAGTTCGATGGAGGATATGGGTAAACTATGTAAACAACAATTATGTATATTATTATACTATAAATGCTGTTTATAAATAAAAAACATGTGTATAATTGTGTATATATCTGCATATATGTAAATATGTATATACTGTGTGTGTGTCAAACACTAAAATCACTGTATGATAGGATTCCGAGGACTCTCTTCCATCCACCCATCATCCATGAAGATACATCAAATTATATAATCAATGCACTTGCATTCAATATCATTCAATGCATCCAATCCCACCCAAGCATCCACCATCCTATAGTACCCAGTTGGAGAACTGGGCTCCGTACCTGTTGGCGCGTCTCTCTCAGCTGGTGCCTGTCGTGTCGGTTGTTTCAGGATTTTTCAGGCACTATCCCCGCGGAACACTTGACAAACTCAAATCCGGCCGCCCTACCCTGCCAAAAACATGTTCCCTTCGATAACACATCGCCCCTACAAGCCTTAATGTCGTCTAAACCCTCCCTTCCTTGGTAGCATCAATGATTCCCTACCTCAATAGATCCTGGAAAATTATAAAAATCATGTAAATTATCAAATTAAAATTCATATATCCAAGAACATGGAATATTAGTAACTAGTATTCCATCTTCTTGGATATATGACCCCCCCACAAACCATTGGTATAACTGTACAACCCGTATTTATGGTGACCTGCCGATGAGATCGCTACGTATCTCACCTTTGCTGGCGGCACCGTCGGCATCGCTGCGCCGAAAAGGCTGGAGACTTTGCTGCCGCCATCCTGAAATCGTCTGGATGGAAGCAACTACATATGTGATCATATGTGACACCAAAAAACATGTCAGAATGTGATAGAATGTGGTAGTGCCAGATTTTGAAGATAGTTGGAGTTGTCCAAGTTCGACTGATGGGTTAAAAATCGTTGATCCGGGGGGAGGAAGATCGCAGTAAAAACAACTACTGTACTGAGAAATGGTCCATATACTGAGAAATGGTCATGCTCCAAGAAACTGAAATGCTGCCGGACCCAATTTACCGCTGGGATTTCCTGAATTGGCCCTCATTCCGCTGCAACACAAGTTCCTTGAATTTGACTGAACTGGACTTCCAATGGTCACAATATGTCACAATAATCCCACCTGTGGGACCTATATACCACACCAAAATGTACCACAAATAGTGCCTTCAGTTCTATAGTTCTGACCCCGCCGTCCTGTTTCACAACATCATCGTCATCGTCGAAGATGTTTCTGGCCAGGCGTCCAGAGCCGCCAAAGAGACTCGGGCCTGCAGGGGGTGCCAGCTGCACGTCCCAAATGGCAGTGTCCTTTAAATCCTCTATAAACTTGCATGGGATGACCATTCCAGGGAATTGCAACACGTTGCAACATAAGGAACTCATTGCAAATCGGTTGTGATCATAGTTGAGAATTCGCGTTGTCTCGCGTAGTCGAACATATGATCACCCAAGAAGGGAACCTCCTCGATAACCGTTTGCAACATATGGGCATGTTCGCAAAGCCGTGACAAACGTCCCAGCATTTTGATCGATTTTGGTGATCCATCACGGTGTTGCAAAAGAAATCATCACAGAAAACTGTTTCTTGTGATTTGGGCAAGTGCGTACAATTCAAAAAGAAGCGATGCCAAGAAGTTGCCTTTGTCTAATTTTTGGACCAAGTAAATTCCTGAGGCTTCACTATAGATTGTCTTTTTTACCATGTTTGATCTTTCCATAGGTGATACACTTGGAGGCGCTTGTCTACTTCAAACATCTTCAAACATGGACTTAGCCAATGTAAACATGATAAAATTCGTCATAATCATAATCTAATTTTGGCATATTTTGGTCATCAACGTTACAGGTATCTGCTTCAAACACCCAAAAATCAAATGGGAACCCAATCTTCCAAGGTTGGTGGGGGTTCAGGCCAATCTGGCCCTTGAAACCTGCTTCCTTCCCTCCGGTTGATGTTTCGACATATTATGTGATACAATTTTTATGGGGTAAACTCAACAATCAATTCCCAACTGGATGGTTTATACCAGGTACCAATATGTATACATGTTGCAAAAATGCGGATAGTTCATTCTTGGGCTTAGCACATTTGCAGAGTTGCTACTACCCCATTACCATAATGTTCAAGAACTCCTTGATGTGTTCACTTGACTATTGCAATATGAACTTGGGATTTGGGGCTCCCATGTGAAAAAAAGTGGAACTTTCGACCATGATGGCCCTGCAGAAAAGTTCACCCGTTGCTGGTTAGTATGTTTTCATGTTTATATGGCAGCAATAGCGCGTTAAACCAATAAATGGGAAAATATATGAAAAGATACCGTATGAACTGATCTTGACTCCAACCGAAAGTTCAATCAATCTATGGTCAAATGATTGAATTACATCATGTTCTTCCTTATGTTCACCAGACCATAGCTTATTCTAAGAATCAACAAACTTGAAAAAAAAACGAGACAAATGAAACAAAATGGAAAAAAACAAAAAGCAAATCAGCAAAATCCAAAAAACACAAAAGCAAAATAAAAGGGGGGAAAAAAAGGGAAAATCAAAAAGGAAAAATGAGGAAACAATGGACTTGTCCATTTGCATTTTTTTTTGCATTTATTTTGCTTTCTCGATTTGCTTTTTTTTTGCTTGCATTTATTTTGCTTTTTGCCTGGAAAAAAAAAACATGCAAAAGAAAAGCAAAAAAAAAGCAAATCGAAAAAGCAAAATAATGCAAAAAAAATGCACATGGACAAGTCCATTGTTTCCCCATTTTTTCCCTTTTTGACGTTCCTTTTTTTCCCCATTTATTTTGCTTCCGGTTTTTTTCAGTTTTGAAGTTTTGCTTTTTGATGTTCCATGTGTTTTCCTTTTTTTGCATTTTTTTTTCAAGTTTAAAAATCATTAGAAAAAGCTATGGAGGAGAACATAAGTTTTTCCTATGTCTCCAACCGAGAAATGATCCGGTTTTCCCCTTCCCTCCGCACCAGCGGAAGCTTTGGCGGCTGGCGCTGCCGGTACCGGCACGTCTTCATCAAGGCTATCGAGTCGCGACTTGCGGTTGGGGGAAGAGGAGGCTGCAGTGCCAAACCTGCCATGCAAAGTTCAAAGGAGCTGTGGATTTGCAACCAAACTATAGCACTTTTCATAAGGAAAATATGATGAAATATGATGATTCACTAGGAACTGCCAGGCATTTGAGATGATTTCTGGGAATATTCATGGATTGGTTCTTCAATTATTCAACGAAAATCTTAACCAGAAACCATGGTGTTCACCAACGAATACATGGTGTTCCTGCAAATTTGTCCACCCAGATGGGGATTGGACCACTTGGAATGTGATTGACATCACCAACACATGTTGCAAAACGATAAAAAAGTGAACCAGTGTTAATATGTGTCAATGAACATTTTAGGGGATTCAACTTGATTCAACCAAAGGAAATTAGGATATAAGATAGTCCGCTGAAATGGGACTCCCTGTGGTTTTCCAACATGGCATTGATATTTGCATGATTGGTGGTTCTTGGGCACACACAAAGGTGAATGTGTCAAGTGTCAACATAATTCTGTTTTGGGTACCAATCTTGAAATATCCCCAAAACTAAGCAGGACACTGCGATTGACGTTTCCATCCATCCATACAATTGAATCTAGAAGCCACCCGAAATTCTGGGAACGGTGGGTCTCGAGTGCGGTTCCGAGTGCTGACGTTTTCAAATAGAAATCTCGAAAATCATCATTTGGTTGTGAGTCAAAGCCCTGGCACCCTATAGGCCCTAGGTACCCCAAAAATCCCTAAAATAGCTGATTCTTGGATGTGTTTTCCTCAAAAATCATGGTAAATCCATAGGTTTTGGCCCATCCCCATGTGGAACTCTGCCCTTCGAAAGACTGCGGCCAAGCATCAGTGGATTTGGGCGGACCTCGTCGCCAAATAGACCTCCCGCTGGTTTCGATGGTTCCTTTGTGGCTGATGGTAGACGAACAACTCCAGGGTACTCAAACAATTTCTTTTCGAGATGGGGATGGGTCAAAACCCTGGTACCTAGTGAACCCCAAAATAGCTGGTAAATGGATGTTCATCCCACTAAAATGTATCTATAGGTATTGACCCATACCCAGATGCATGAAGGTGAGTGGGAAACCTTTTAAGGTAGAATCCACCAATGGATTATCGCAATCCCCACTAGCATGCATCAACCAACAGGGCTTGCTGAAGACCGAGTCACTTGGGCCTCAACCTTTGGCTCACCTAATCGGGGCACTAGGAAGCGGGGTCACAACCATAGCAGCACGTGCTAGAATTCATGGAATGTCCTCATTTCCTAAACGTATATATATATAATTATAGATATAATGTATTATGCATACGTATAATAATAATTTAATATAATATATATATACACATGTATATAATAGTATATACGTATATGTATAGTGGGCTGTAAACATGTGTAAACCACACGCCTTTCTAGCTGGGATGCATATAGCCGGGTACAGATGTAAAAATGTGGTCCATCAAAAAAAATGCCAATTGAATTGGGAAAATAATGATGAACCAGTGTTTGAAGCTACCTGGTATACCCTCATATGTTTGGACAACCCAAATATTGCCAAATATTATCTTTGGAGTATAGGTTTGAACACTGTGGTTCCTATGTGTATATATATATATACAATTACATACATATATATATATGTATATATATACATATATATATGGCTGTGAGCATAAATTCTGGTATGGATCGTTCCGCAGTGATCCGTACTATGGATCGGGAGTGCTTACGTAAGGTGCCTGATCCGTACCCTTTCGTAAGGGCTCATCATAGCATACAAATTGTGCTGATACTCTTACTATCTCCTACTTGCTATTACTTCTCCTCCTGCTACTGTTGCTGCTAAAACTGCCACCACTGCTAGTAGAGGGAGCAATTAAAAAAAAGCAGCACCAGCAGCAGTAGTGGCAATAGAAGGAGGAGATGCAGTAGCAGTAGAAATAGCAGTAGCAGTACCAGTAGTACTAGTAAAAGTCATAGTAATAATAGTAATCTAATGGAAGTAGCAGCAGCAGCTGCAGTTGTACTAGGAGTAGGAGTAGTAGTAGTAGTAGTAGGAGTAGTAGTAGTAGTAGTAGTAATAGAATCGGTCTTTCATATTGGCATTTGTTGTGGCGTGACTGGGTTCGGGTATGGATCGGGTATGGAACGGGTATGGAACGGGTATGGATCGGGGTATGGATCGGGACACGCTATCTGGGCCGGCTTTCCCGCTATGGCTGTGAAGGAAGAGAACGGGGTATTTCTAGTCTGGTCTAGTTCTACACGTGCCAGGCAAAGCAGAAACAGAAGGAATTGTAATCATAGCGCCACTATAGAAGTACAAGAAGCACCTAGTGGAACTAGAACCAGTCTTACTAGCGTCCAAGGTGCACTTGCAGTATTGCTAGTAGCTAGTCAACTAGTTGCATTTGTCCAACTACCAGAAGCACACGGAGGAAGTGAATCAGCACCAGCAGCGGGAGCAGGACCGCAGGAGCAGCAGCAGAAGCGACAGCAGTAGCAGCAGCTCCTGGGAGGAAGATGACTAGTAGTGGCAGCAGCAGCAGCAGCAGCAGCAGCAGCAGCAGCACGGAGGCAACGGAGGCAACGGAGGCAACGGAGGCAACGGAGGAGGCAAGCGAGCGGAGGCAGCGGAGGCAGCAGTAGAAACAACTGTAGTAGCAACGGGAGTAGCAGTACGAGGTTCAGAAATAGTATTAGGAGAAAAAGCAGCATTAGGGCCAGCATCAATCTTTCTTCAACGAGAAAGGGGTACGGATCAAGGGTATGGATCAGGGGTATGGATCTCGGGTATGGATTACGCAGTATCATGGGGTATGGATCGGGGTATGGATCATCGAGTATGGATCGTGTGTGGGCCCGGGACCTTGATCCATGCTTTGTATTTTTACCCGCATCCCTATATATATATACATCATTATACATCTAGAGGATATGAGCGTAGAATACACCTTGGACCTCCAGATTGAGGATTCCAGCCCTCGGTGAAGTCTGCAGTACATAAAAATGGATAACAAGCCGTCGGATGGCGATGGTGCTTGCTGGTCAACATATTGGGAGGATATTTAACCTATGAATATGTGAAAAACCAGCCAATATGTGAAAAAAAAATATGTTCACCTATAAAAAAAATGGTTACCTGGTTCTTATTGATATTTAACAGGCTCAAAACCCTAAACAGAAAGGATTTATTGGGAGGGCCACCGACCTGGGTGGAATCTCTTTGCCCCGCCTGACGGCGATGCTTCTGGCCCGAGCGGCTCCTGGTAGGTGAGCTTTACCCTCCAGGATGATTCTTGAACATGATGGGCTTAATTGGCTTAAGCAACAGTCGGACCCCAACATATCTCAGTCCGGGCCAGGGCTTAGAAAAGCCACTGGTTGCCAGCACTGATGGTCAACCCTATGGTAGGTGGCTTCGTTCTCCCCAAGCCCCGGAGCCTGGCGCGGTGGCCTGGCGTTGTGAGCAAATGAGAAAAACCATGGGATTTCCATGGGATTTTCTAAGGTTTTCTCTAGTTTCAGACCATGTCAATGTCAAGAATCACCTACCAAAATTGGATTTTAAGCAAGAGAGTTGGCGATATAACCGAATTCTATGGGGAAGGGCTGAGTACCCAGGGTTGGCCAACTGTCAGACGGAAACCTGGCACTGGTGTCATGGGCCATGTAGCCATGACTTGGCTGACAGTTTCTTTCCAGTTCCCAATGCTGTTGATATCCACCACTTTGGACATGCCCGTCACTAGGTTTGAAAAGATGTTTCTAGAACAGTTTTTTTGTTCGTGTATCCCTATTAGTTGTGAAATGGATTGTGTAAGATGTGTATTATCATTATTATCATGATTTATTTATATATATACATAAATAGACATAGATATATTATATTGTCTTCATTATACCATCTGGTTATGACTAACATAGCTGGAACATCACCTTTTTTAGAGCGGTAAACCATCTATAAATAGGCAATTTTCCATAGCTAACAGCCCTGGATGTTGTGCTGAATCATCGCCTCGGCGCCAACGTTGCCAGTAAACCAAGACCTGAACGACAAGGACCCCACGGCGGGATTCGTAACGGATATCCCGGGGATATGCTGGAGATATATATCTAGGTAAATTTGATCATATTTCACTAACCTGAATTAAGGCAGGCCATTTTGGGATGATTCCCTTTACTAGCTATGATTATAGTGAGGTCGCAGTGAGGTCGCAGTGAGGTCGTTATAATTTACCCAGATAAATGTATATTTATATGGAGATATACAGTAACATTTGGATATCATGGGAGCGAATTAGCATGAAAGCCATTCTATAAGCCCAAGTTGTGACAGATTGGGACAAGTAGGTTAAAGTACATGGGTACCCTCTGGTAAACTAACATAGCTATGGAAAATCACTATTTTTAATGGGTAAATCCACTATGCCTCGCCGTGGAAACAGGAAACTGGTGATTTTCCATAGTTTTTTGTATGTTTACCAGAGGGTACACAACTTTACACACAGCTATTGGGCTACGACACAACTTTCCAGCAAGGCAAACTCGCTTGCAACTTTCCATGGCTAGCTGGACGATATCACAACATTTTTCAACACATTGGAGAACTGCATCCTTTTATGCAAATGGTGGCGTTCCATTGACATGGCCTCGCAAATATATAACACAAAATAGATTTTTTTTAAAAAAAAAAACATGTTGGTATTGTTATTCATATCCCAAAATGTTGGGACATATCTCTACTTAAGCTGTTGGTGTTTCAAACAACTCCCAAAAAAGTCCCAGAAACTGCCTTCTCCAGAGGGAGCTGTCCTGGTCTTTCAACCGCATGAGTCAACACCAAATAATCCCGAACTCAAATAAAAATCAAGGGATTAACGCAGCAAATGGCCATCGATAGGTGTCAATAATGATCAATAATGGTTCATATGTTTTAATGGTTGACAGTGATTGATAAAGGTCACTAATGGGTGGTTAAAAAATACCTTTCTTCAGAACCATACAGTCAATGGGAATTCCAGGATCCTAAAATGGAGGTACTGTACCATATAAGGCCATATTTTGTGGGGATATTCCCTTACATAGGCCTTATATAGGCCTTATATATGGTAGGTACCTCCAATTTAGGTTCCTGAAATGGCCATTGATACAGTAGGATTCTTAGCCGTCTTAACCACTCCACTGCCCTGAAAAAGAATCCGATGCTAAGGGGAGACCTGGGTTATCTCCATCCCAAACCAGGGCTGGCAGCTTCATCCCATGGCTTACGAGCCTTGTCAACTGGCTATGGATCACAACCCTGGTACCATTATCTTCACACCAAAATAGCTGGTAGTTTTAATCATAATGGATAACTGGTTGGTGGTTTCAACCCCTCTGAAAAATATTAGTCAATGGGAAGGATTATCCCATATATTATGGAAAATAAAACATGTTTGAAACCACCAACCTGATAATAATAGTGGAATCATAATATATCCTGATACTTTTCTATCAACTGGCTATGGATCAATAATATATTCCATAATTAGATATCAGATAAAATATAGACAAATCACTTTCTCTGAAAGCTCCAAGAATCAGAGTCTCTGCGCAGCAATTTTTTGGCAAAAAAAGCGCTTTGGTTTTGCAAGTCTGGGCCTTAAATAGCCTTAGGGTCCCTGTCGCGAGAACGCCTGGGATTGGAGGGACCGCTCATTTGGGGTCTTCAACGAGCTGGGAAGATCAAACAGCAACCCGTCATGCAGAGTTCAACACACATATATCATATCAACTCCACATGACGTCGAAGAGAAAACTGCACAAGAAAGGTGAGGAAGTAAGTACCAGTGGCCCATCTATATATATATATATATTATATATATATATATGCAATGCTCACACATTGAGCACATTCATCGAAGCATAGACTCATGTGCTAAGTTTGGGATCAAAAGGAAGAGCGCTGTATGACCAGCTGAGAACGTGGTGCCAAGCCCCACCTGTGTAGCTAGGGTCTCCAGCTAGGCGATCCCCACTTGACTCCGTCAGCCTGCACGGTAGCGGAGCCCTGAAGAGGGCGTCCAGGGACTTTTCTTTTGTTTGAAACTAGCCTGCAGTCGTAGGGACCACTGCGGGAACACATGGCGGATAGAGGAGTCAAGCATGTGGAAAGGAACAAAGAGGGTGTGCCGATGTGGGATGGAGATCCCACAACCTTCACAGAATATGCCGAGATGGCAGGCCACTGGCAACAGTCAGTGGCCTACCACAAGCGCTACCTATGTGGACCAAAGCTGCAGGCCGAATTGAGCGGCTCTGCCAGACGCTTTGTGATGTCCATGGCGCCTGGGTGGATCTCTTTCGATGGTGGTGTGGACCGTTTGCTCAACCACCTTCGAATGCATCTCGGGCAACCACAGCTTTCTGAGATGTCAGACTACATGGCCAGATACTTCAAGATGAGCAAACGCAAACGGCATGAGACCATGAACGAGTACATCACCAGAAAAGCTGAGTTGTACATGAGAGCATGTCAGTCTTTGGACAGGGTCCAACAACGATACGAGCCGGAAAAGGGCAAGCAGGGATCCAGCACCAACACGTCGTCCAGGCCGCCCTCACGACCAGGACTCACTACGGATTTCCTCAATTCCTTGGACGGGGATGATGACTTTGAGGAGTCCCACCACCGAGAGGACCAGCAGCAGATCGAGAACGATCCGTGGGCTCAGTGGCAGAAGGAATCCTCCCAATGGTGGCAATCTGAGGAGTGGCACTCAGGAGGTTGGTGGACTGATTCATGGGAGAATCAGACCAGCCGTCACTATATGTCTGCGGAGACCTATGGCAAGACCATGGATTTGTGATGGGCCTGATTGGGCCACTTTGGCACAGTCAGGCATGAATGAAGAAGGCATGTCCATCCTCAACGATGCTGAAGATGAAGCACAGCAAGCACTGGTGCAGCTGGATCGCAACCGCCGCACTTTGCGGGAAGCTCGCGCCAAGCAGCACTATGTGAAGATGAGCCGTCAGTACTACCGATCCAGTACAAGGCCTACTACCAGACCTCGAGCCCAATACTCCAAGGAGGATGGACCAGCCAGCAATGTTGCTTGCTTGTCATGCGGTGGAAACCACAGAACATCGCAATGTCCCAAGAAGACAGCCAATCACTCCACGGCGGCTACCGCCGAAACCCAAGAGTCAGCACCGTTCATCTGCTATGCCCAGGAGCGAGCAGACAATCAGACCGGCCTTGTGGCCGAAGAGGCCTTGTCGGCCGCTGGCTTGGTGACCACACGCGAAGCAGTGGAACAAGGGAAGGCCATCATAGATGGTGGAGCTACTCGCACTCTTGGCTCAGTGTGGGCAGTTGAGAAAGTGATGGAGCTCAACGCCGAGCGCTCAGGCGACAACGGCCTTTGCCGTGTGGATGGAGAGGACCGCCCGGTGTTTGGCTTTGGGAATTCTAGTTCTGACAAATGCCTTTCTACTGCATGGTTGAAAATTCATGCTGGTGGACAACCCGGCCAGCTCAAGGTACATACCTTGGACAAAGGCCAGGGACCAATTCTTTTCTCAATAGAGACCCTTAGGACCCTAGGTGCGGTAGTTGACTATGAACATGACCTGGTAGTGTTCCGCCACCTAGACCCTAGTAGGGTAGTTGAATTGGAACGTTCCTGTACAGGCCACCAGCTCCTTCCCCTCACTGAGGATTGGTTCACTAAGTCAAAGACTTCTTCCACAGGGCCAATCCCAAGTTTGAGCACCTATATCTAGGGACAACTCCTTCCTGATCCGCCGTCTGCCGGAGAAAGGAAGGTCGAAACGTTGAATGCAGACACCGAAGCACAACCTGAGGATGTGCACAATGCCAGTTCAGTTGCTCAGAATGTTCAGCAGTTGTTTGGTCATGGCAATGTAGGGGATGGTCAGTGTAGTACTCAAGTTGAAGCCACAGCAGAACCACACACACCTCTCTCATCAGCAGCAACGGTCTCTGTTCGAGAACACGCTCATACCAGTTGTAGCTCACAGGGTTCACACCATGGCTGCCTCGCTGTCCAAGGCAGAGATCCTGGCGGAGCTCGGTCGCCTGGGCGAGCTGCCCCCCAAAGACTGGAGCAAGCTGGAATGCCAGATGCGCATGGAGGAGCTTCGGGTGGCCCAGGGCTTACACCCCAACCCGAAGGCGCGTCATGTGACGCCACTGCGCCGCCTGATGATTCAGCTCAACCAGGCCTCCACCAAGAAGGACCGCCTGCAGCAGTTCTGCCGAGACTTGGGAGTGACCTACACCGACTCGGACACCATCCCAGTCCTGCAGCGCCGAGCTGCCCTGACCATCTACGACAAGGCAGCATCAACGGCAGAGGACCCAGTGGGGTTCGGCAAGCATGCCGCTCGCACCTATGGGGAGATCCTGGAGCACGAGAAGAACTATGTGACCTGGGTGATCCAGACCTACCAGGAAGGGGAATGCGACCCTCGCTTGGCTCGTCTGGCGCGCTGGCTCCAGGAGGCGAACCACAGGAAGTACGAGACCGATGCCCAGATGATCAAGACCGAGCCCGGAGCGAGCTCGCACAGCTACACCGTGGAGGAGATGATCAACGAGGGGTACACCATGAAGGCCAACCTCCAGCAGAGGGGCGTAGCTTCGAAGAACTCTGTCTCATCAAAGAGCGTCTCCTCGAGCCAGCTGGAACAGGCCAACCAGCAGATCCAACAGCTGATGGCGACTGTGGGTCAGCTTCAGAGCGAGATGAAACAGATGAAGTCAGAGAACGAGCCACGCCGCAAGAAGGTCCCCAGCGAGGCCTCCACTATGGGCAGCTTCGAGCAGGTGCCCTAGTTGCTGATGGAGAAGAAGATCCTTCAGGACTTCCAGGACTGAGTGACAGTGAGACTCTCAGAAATGGCACTGACCCTAGTCCTAGCACAGACATGTCCGAACCTCAGAATGCACCACCAGGTTTGCGCTTGAAACCGGGAGAGGCCAAGCGCATTGAACGACTCACAAAACATGGTGTTTCCAACTTAGTTCAGGGTTTTGTTGGAAAGGAAAAGGTGCAGTTATTAGAGGTTGCTTGTAGTCCTGATAGTGTGTTGTCTTCGGTCATGCAAGAGATCACTGGGAACCCCAAAGCTGCCATACGTTTGTCACTTTGGAATCAACATGATTTGGGTACTAACGAAGGGGTTCGTGCGGTTCTGGACAAGATCGACTTGCATGATCCTGAACATGTTTGGCTGGCCCCAGAATGCGGTCCATACTCAGTGATGCAAAATGTAAATCAGCGTACCGAGCAGCAGAAGCAGGAGTTGGCTGAGAAACGCAAACAGGCACTGAAACAGTACGTAGGTTGCGCAGTGATTTACCAATATTGCATACAGAGAGGCACACATGTCACATGGGAGTTGTCACAGTCTTGCCAAGCATGGAGGTTACCACTGTTGCAGAAAATAGCCAAGAAGTATGAACCAAGGTTTTGTATCATCAGAGGCTGTCAGGTGAACCTTCGAGACCCCAAAGGGAGATTCATAAATAAGGGTTGGAAACTCATGACAACTCATGCGCTGCTTGCCGACAGGATGCAATTACCTTGTTCATGTGGCCCCCGAACTGAACATGTGGCATGTGAGGGTTCGCTGACTCGAAAGACCGCTTTCTATACCAGGGAGTTTGCCATACGGGTTTGTCACGCGGTGTTAACTTCAGGAACTCATGAACACTTTGTCCAGGAATTGCAGGGACATAACCCCGAAAGTCCACTTTTTGGTAAGGGTACAACTTGCGTCTGTGATGAACTTCAGGCACATGAGGCACAGGTCACATGTGGACACTGTCACCATGACATGCAGGGTTCAAGTTCTCATATCATGGCTGTTGATACTAGGAAGGGTTCTACCACTACCATGAGTGCGGAAGAAATCCGTAGGAGACTCTATTTGATCCACTCATCCACGGGTCATGGTCCCATCAAGTATCTCATCCAAATGCTGAAGCGTAGGGGTGTAGGACCTGAGATCCTTCAAGAAGCTGAGAAATTCACCTGCCCCGTTTGCCAGGAGAGAGTGAAACCACGACCTCGCAACTTGGCCTCACTGGAGCCCTTGCCGCCCAAGCTTGCCACCGTGGCAGCAGACATAGGTCACTGGTATCACCCAACCACCAAAGAGAAGTGGCAATTTGTGATTTTCGTAGATGAGGGATCACGGTTTAGAGTAGCACGCATGGCCTTGCATGGTAGGAAACAACACGTTTCAGCTGCACTTTTCCTGTCTCTTTTCCGAGAAGCCTGGATAGAGTACTTTGGATATCCCCAGAACCTTAGACTGGATCCGGATGGAGCATTCCGGAGTCACGAGATCGAAGCGTTTTGCGACAAGCAGCACATCCATTTGGATGTGATACCTGGAGAGGCACACTGGAAGTTAGGAGTTTGCGAGAACAGTATCCAGGCAGTGAAACATATGCTGTCAGCAATCGTCGAGGATCAACCTGACATCGCCGGTCCAGACGCCCTTGCAGAGAGCATCAGGGTGTTGAATAGCCGGGATGTGGTCCGTGGCTACTCACCAGTTCAGCATGTTCTTGGACGAGCACCTGATGAGTTGGGAAGATTCTTCACCACAGTGGAGAACCCATGTCCTGAGTTGGTGTCAGAAGCACCAGCACAAGGCCATGAACGAGAACACCAAATGCGATTGGTTGCCGAGAAGTCACTGCTGGAATGGAATGCTCAACAGCGCCTGACACGAGCTACCAACTCAAGTCACCGCCGAGTCATGGACTTTCAGGCGGGAGAACTGGTCTACATCTGGAGGCGACAGCTGACCGGAAAAGACGCACAGCAGAACAAGGCCGGCGCAGGCCGTTTTGTGGGTCCAGCCCGGATTTTGGCTACCGAACAACATCGAGATGCCCAAGGCGAGCTCCAGCGTGGAAGCTCGGTCTGGCTCGTCCGAGGCCGGAGGCTGCTCAAATGCTGCCCGGAGCAGCTTCGACGAGCTTCAGAAAGAGAAGTGATCATGACAGAGTTGCACGACCAAGAGCCAGCTACATCTTGGTCCTTTCCCAAGGTCGCCAATGAGCTTGGGGGAAATGAGTTTGAGGATCTGTCGGAAAAGCCTGATGAGATGGAATGGGAAAGAGCTCAAGATGCACAGCAAGAGTGGCAGCCCACTTGTCGCTATAGGCAGAAGGGCCCTCCACAAGGACCATCACGAAGTTCACCACCGACACATCCAACTCACAGCAGTCAGAACCGTAGCCGCTCACCAAGAACTACGGAACCCACACATGGTTTCATTGCCGGCCCACACTGGTCTGACTTGGTGCCCCAGTCCTTATTTTTGGACACTCCGGAGGTGGCTCCAAGTTTCATGAGGGATCAGTGTATGGCCGTGGAGGTAGGCGTGGAAATGCCTCATACTCCAGGACAATCAGAGCGCGCTCTGAAAAACATGTCTGCGTACCTGACCACGGCCCTGAAGAAACGAGCAGTAGAAGTGTCCGAGAGGAGACTGACAGAAGAAGAGAAGAATGAGTTCAACAAGGCCAAGGCCGTGGAGGTGAGCAACTTCATCGCTGCCAAAGCCTTCGAAGCACTTCCAGGTTCCTTGCGAGTCAATCGAGAAGATGCAGTCAAAATGAGATGGATACTGACCTGGAAGATCAAGGAGGATGGCTCCAAGAAAGCGAAGGCACGTGCAGTGCTCTTGGGCTACCAAGACCCGAAGTACGAAGAACGGGCCACCATGGCGCCCACTACAACACGACAGACCAGGCAAATTCAGCTACAGATTTCAGCAGCTCTGGGATTCGTGACCCAAAAGGGAGATGTGACAGGAGCCTTTCTGCAAAGCCGGGAGTATCCCGACCAACTGCTGTGCATACCAACACCAGAGATATGCATCGCCATGGGCCTCCCACCAGAAACTGTCACAAGGGTCCGTAGGGCTTGCTATGGACTTGTTGATGCTCCACTGGAATGGTACAGATCGGTATGCACCTTTTTCCAATCCCTGGGCCTACAGCGATGCTGGTCAGACCCTTGCTGCTGGAAGTTAGTGGTCCAAGGTGAGCTAAAAGGGCTCATCAGTGGACACGTAGATGATTTCCTGTTTTCTGGCTGTCCCAATGATCCAATATGGTCAAAGACCATTGCGGCCATTCAGAAAGAGTATCGGTGGAGCGACTGGGAGCAAGGAAAATTCACCCAGTGTGGGGTTTTGATTGAGGCAAGACCTGATGGTTCATACCAGCTTTCACAGGAGCAGTATGTCGAAGAACTCAAATATATCCCCATCAGAGCTCACCGAAAAAGAGAGCGAAATAGCAACACTGATGACTTCGAGAAGTCACAACTTAGAACACTCCTTGGAGGAGTCAGTTGGCATGCGCAACAGGTAGCACCACACTTTTCTGCTGAGGTCAGTGTTTTGCTGTCAGAAGTCACCAAGAGCACAGTTGAAACCCTTTTCAAGGCCAACAAACTTTTGGACCAAGTGAAGAACATGAAGGGTCATAAAATGATTATCCACAAAATACCCCCTGAAAAATTGGCTTTATATGCTTGGGCGGATGCGGCTTCCCAAAATCGTCCGGATGGGGGTAGCACTCAGGGGATAGTCATAGGTTTGGCCACTGAGGGTTTGTTACATGGAGAATGTGAACCTGTCAGCATCATGGCCTGGCACTCGTCCAAAATAGCCCGGGTGTGCACCAGTCCGGGCTCAAGTGAAGCGTTTGCCGCAGTTAACGCTGAGGACTTGCTTTGTTTTTGTCGTTTCCAGTAGCTGAGATGCGAGGTTTTCAGGTCAACATACGCCATCCTAATGAAGTTGTCAACAGTATCAAGGGATGTTTGATCAGTGACTCTAGGAACGTCTACGACAAGGTAAGTAGTGAAGTGCTTTGCGCCAAAGGTGCCGAGCGTAGAGTCGATCTTACTTTGATGCGAATCAAAGAATCACAGCATGTCAACCAGGTCATAGTGAGATGGGTACACTCAGATGCACAGTTAGCCAACTCGCTGACTAAGGGTCGCGAACTGAGGCAGCTCCTTCTGTTCTATGACTTGGGACATGTCTGGCGTATCGTAGAAGACCCCTCCATGTCCAGTGCCCGACGACGTAAAGAGCAAGGTTTGGAACCCCTAGAAGTACCAGATGCCACTGCAAAGCAACACCACCACAAGCTGCAGCATAAAGAGCGAGGAATCACTGACCGGATCTGATGGCCTGCGGTTTTTCTTGGGTCTCCTTTTGTGGTTTTTCTGTGTTTGTTGTTTGTTGATAAGAGCTGAGCAACTGGATGTCGGGGAAGAAGCGGGCATGCAATGCTCACACATTGAGCACATTCATCGAAGCATAGACTCATGTGCTAAGTTTGGGATCAAAAGGAAGAGCGCTGTATGACCAGCTGAGAACGTGGTGCCAAGCCCCACCTGTGTAGCTAGGGTCTCCAGCTAGGCGATCCCCACTTGACTCCGTCAGCCTGCATATATATACATATTATATTATAACCCACTCGGTATTAGACTCAGTATAAGTATAAGGTATAGCCACATATTTGGGGTACCCCTGTGTCATGCATTTTTTTCTCACAAACTGCATGATTCTTGGCAAAGTCCCCCTGTTCCCCACCTACAGGACCTACAGTGATGATGGCCCCTCCATTTGCAGGTCTTCCAGGTTCCCTTTGCCGTCTAGACCGGTAAATTGAAAAGTCTTCCCTCACTGGCTAAGTGGCAAACTGACAGTCCGACCGGAGAAACCACCGAAAAGCCAGAAAATACAGCTCAGAGAAACCAAAGAACTACAATAAATCTATAGAGAATCTAGATATACAAGCGTATCCTGAATGGCTGAATGGCCGATGGTGCTTCGATAATCCTCGAACCCGCAAAAAAAAACAAAAAACAGGAGAGCGCCACAAAGCTTTGTCGAATTCACCGAATTGCCAAATCAAAACTATAGCTGCGGTATCAAGTCATCATAGGATATCCATGGATATCCTATAGGCCTATAGGCATATTATATGTGATTTCACAGTCATCACCTCTGTTCTTGGCTTCGTTTGCCACCGCTACCATTTTGTACGTCGTCTGGTGCGCACGTCCCGTAAGGGACTTGAGACGCACTAGAACAGCTGAGAGGTTCCCACATGCAATTGACAAGCTGCAACAGCCAAAGAAATTTGGTCGATTTTGATGAGAAAATCCATCCAGATTCAGCTTCGAAGCCTTGAAGTTGAAATTCGAATCAGTACCAGGGGCCCATGGTGCTAGTGGCGGAGCTTCTAAACTCCCGAACATCTCGTCTTAGCCCATGGGGCTTCACACTCTCAATTCATTCGATTTTATGGAGGAAGTGCTGGGAACCACCATGGCTGCACACGGCAAGCGATAAAACTGAGCTGGCTGTACATGGCCAAAGATGACCAACACATAAACAGATATAAACAGTCGTTCTTGAGCTCCATAGCACCGAGCGGCTCTTTGACTCCGAACGTGCCATGAATTCCAAAATTCTTTGCGATGTGATTCACCTGTTTGGGGACCAGTTCTGCAAAATTTCTGCAGGTGAGATAAGGTTCAAGCATCCATTGAGCTCGATGCTTTCAATCATGGACTCTCACCAAGTTTCAATGTTCATTGAACTATAAAATCATGTCCCACGGGACATAAATGGATTGTTATCAACCAATCCACCTATTTATATTGAATTATCATGATAAATATATAATGATATGCATGACAAACCCTAGTAGTAACGCTAGTAATCCTAGTGATGAACTAACTCAGCCAACCATAAGGCACCATTTTGTCGTCATTCCTGCGGCCACGCCAGAGAACTGGATGCCGCGAAGAGCCGGTTCCCAACAGGTGCCCGCACCACACACTCGAAATGGTCATCCATGATCATCCATGGTCATCCTAAATCGTCGTATGTTGATGTGCACAGCCCTGGAAATGTGCACGCGTCACATGAGTAGAGGCAGCCTTAAACAGTGGCTGTGCTCACTTGTGTGGGTAGAGAAAGCCTAAATGATTTAAATGTAACAGCGAAGAACTCACTTTCAGGTTTTACAAAAGTCGCAGTCATGTACTTTTCGTGGTTTTAATTAACTCTGAGACTTACCCCAGCCTGCATCCTTCAGGTGGCAACAAAACCAACACAATTAGATCGATCGTGCTAGCAACGACAAAACATGTATCAACAAGTTCAATCAATGGTTGATCAATGTTGATCGTGGCATCAGAGTCTATCATCCACCAGTTTGCAGAAATGAATTGCACTAAGTGATCAATTGTCATGACTTTATGATGTTCAGAACAGCTGAGTGTGTGGACGTCAACAGCACCCCTCTGGCAGCGGGAGGGCCACTAGCTGCTACATGGAATCCATGAGTCCATGAGATGGATTTTCCCATGGATTTTCTAGCTGAAATTAGGGTCAAGTGGTTGGATTGCCCCATGGATCAAGGATCACTGGCAAAGTCAGGGTTTCGTAGGACTCAGTTCCAGGTTGTGATCATAGAATTTGGCTGTGACTTCGTATATCTTCGTATCTGAAACATCGGTGACATAAAGTATTCAAGTACATTCAAGTACTGTAATGACTAAGGTACCTATTACCTAAGGATTTCCCCTTAGGCATATGACAATTTCCATCGCAAGTGGATGATTCTAGTGAGATCCTAGACAGCCAGGATTTGCCCATCCCCTACGGAACAGCCAGGCACACTCCCGCTGTTCAGACACCAAGCCCGACTCAGCACTTGGTGGGATCTGGATCTCTCAAAATTGATGCACGTCCCTTGTGGTCGCATCAAAAAAGTTCTGAATATTGTTCATTGACTTCCTTGGGTGTGTCTGAAAACGGAGGATGGATCGGATGGCCTTTTTGGAAAATGGTATGATGAACCGGTGGATGTCATTTCTTATTGGGGTAAATGAGGGATGAACCAGTGGATCTACCCCCAATACATTGCCGTTCTAGCATTTGAATGGGATGGGTATGGGTCAATACCTATAGATACATTTTTAGTGGGATGAACATCCATTTACCAGCTATTTTGGGGTTCACTAGGTACCAGGGTTTTGACCCATCCCCGGATAATGATCATTAACTACTGGATTTAGGTTGTTTCCATTTGTTTTCCATAGTTCTCAGACAAACCCATTGATCGCATCACACCGGAAGAAGTTTTCGAGTCAGGCTGCCTTCGGACTTCTGTGACTCGGCAAGCCTTGGCTCAGCAAACACAAAGTCCAAAGTGGTTTGAAAAGAACATTGAAACATCATGTTGGATACTGGTTAATAGCCAAACACGTCAAAAACATTTACAAAAAACATGCGAAACAAATACTGGTTAGTAGATGACGATTTAAGAATCATCCGTAAAGTATTTGTCTATCTCCTTGATTTTTTCGGAGCTTCTCCTCCATTCTAGCATCAAATAGCATCAAGCACAAGGGGCACCCCCTACCATCAACTGCCAGGCAATTGGACAACAGCCCTGTTGTATCCGGTTCTTCTCGGCATATCAAAGGCCTAGTTGCTGCACCATGGCTTGATCACACTCAAATTTGCAGTTCATGCCTCAGCATGCACTGACAGGTGGTGGGACAGAATCTGAGATTCATGAGGCCATGGTTGGTACGCCTTGTTGTAAATGGGAGTTTTACACCAGTTGGAAAGATATCAGTATAATTACACCATATATACGTACGTTAGATATCATTAGATACATGTGTACATGGGCAATATGGATTGGTTATCAACCCCTTACGATTGCTTCGATGCACTATCAAGTACCAGCAGGCAAAGCCAACTGCAGTAGGAATGGTTCTCCCCAGGCACTCCAGCCTACTGTTCTAGTCTCTGAAAATTAGCATTACAGCCATTAAGTCTTTACGTATTCAAGGACTTGACCAAAAATGAGATGAACTTTAGATGGTTTAGCTCATAGCAGTTGCACATGCATCACAAATGAGGATAGTGGAATCATTTGCGGCTCGAGTCCGACAAAACCAAACAAACATCTCTGGTGAAGAGCATGGGCTCCTATGGGCTCCTATGGGCTCCTATGGGCTCCTATGGGCTCCTAGATGCACGTAGCTATGGAGCTAGAAATGCAACACTTTAAGGGGTCAAAATTCAAAATATGTCAAATGAGGTAGATGATTGTTCCAAACAAAAACCTAGGAAAATCCCGATGGTTTGGCATCAGATCTGGTTCCAGGTTGAAACTTTCCCAGGCCTCCATCTTTCAGAAGAAGATAAAACAGTTTCCAGATGTCCCCTTCAACCGATCCAGTGAATTTGCTGAATCACCATCTTTATTAGGCCTGGTTAAAAATTCACCATTTTTTGCCGGTGAACACCCACCAACATCCCTGACCCAGCGAACTTCACCCCAAATCCGCCGTGCGACAGAAGAGAAAGCTGATGAAGCCACTCATGCCTTCCTTGGCGAGGGATCAGGGTGATCAGCCCATGGCGAACGTCGCCATGGGAAGCATTTTTTCGCAGCAAACAAAAGCAACGCTGCAGCAACCAAAGAAAAGATAGAAAAGTCAAATCCGAGTAAAATTGCGATAAACTAATTATACTTTATCATATTTGTGTTTTTCTATCTCTTCTGAGGTTGCTAGAAATAAATAATACAGTACCCTCTGGTGACAGTTTGCTATGACAAATCACCAGAACCTGAAAGGCACGTCATGGTTTCCATAGCAAACCGTGACAAATTACCGGACAGTACCTGGCTGTACGTTCAACCGCAAACCAATTGGATGTGAAATCAATGGTTTCCACGCATCCACCAAAATTCAGGTTGTCCCAAGGACCTAGATTAATGGGAAAAGTGAATTTCGGTATTTGATGGGTCATCCGACAAAACGAATAGGATTCCCGGCACTTCGGCACAGAAATTCATAAATTCATTCAGAATTCCATAAATTGGGGGGGTACCCCAAAATAGATTGTTTTTACTGGAAAATCCTATTAAAATGGATGATTTGGAGGTACCCCCATTTCAGGAAACCGGACACCATTTCAAGATATTGTTTTTTCTGAGACTCCAGCTACAGGTTGAAACTCGACCCAGAAATGACAGAAGTGGAATCAATTTCGAGCCCAAGTGAGTGGCCAAACCTATGGGGAACATCATCTTCCAAATATTTCTCCACCTGTGAAATCAAGGGATCGTTTTCCCCACAAAAATCATCATATCATTATATCCGGTGAACTCAGCCCCCCCAACTGGTCTTTTCTTTTGGCTTCAACATGGGTTATCCTCTGCCAATTGGCTCTACCCTCAATCGTAGCTATTCATTGGGAAAATGGGGGGTTTGGAACCCAATGGATTGATTTACCATCTGGTTATTTAACAGTTCGCCATGGAAAATCCCCATTTTTAAGAACGGTAAACCATCTATTTCGATTAGGGCCATCGAAAAACGTCATAACCAGTGACTCTCCAAAGAATTCCTCCACGGCGCGAAGGTAAACTCGAAGTAATGCGCAATCTTTTCACCTGGACCTCCATGAGTTCCGCCCATGCCGTTGTAGATCAAGAGTTGCGTCACCGCCACCGCCAGGGTAAATCCAGTGGCCTGGCGGTTTTTCACTCAGGGTGGATGTATATTGTATATATATATATATCTATTATAGGTATTATCATGCACACTGTACATGTATCGTATATATAATTATATATATATACATATTGTCTAGTATGGGGTTTTGATAAATCACAAACAAAGATATGCGACTGTATATAAATACGATATACATTCAATACAGGATTCACGCGTACAACAAACTGGCAATGCCACATGTGTGATTTCCTTTCCATGTATCAAGTCTAGTTGAGGTGATTACATGATGGTCTGCAATCTGCGGTTTTATCTGAACAAAATCATGTGAATGTTTCAATCCTTCTCCTTCACGTCATAACTATGATTCCATTCACTCACATCAAACAATTTCGTAGAAATAAATCAAATGAGTGAGTCTTGCGGAAATCCCTATGGCATTCATTTGTACTGTTTGGTTTTAACAGGGGTTCCCAGAAGTGGTCTGTTCATAATCCACAATAAAATAGCTAGTGCAACCAACTTGAAGAACTAATCAACCATCATGTATCAATCATATCCCATTTTGGTGGTCAAACACCTACAAATGATGGCTAAATCCTCGTCAAATACTACAGTAAATCAGCATTAAGCAACAAAAATCCACAAAGTATTTTGATCACCATGTAACAACCACCAACCACCACCAGCTTTCCCCACCAGCAATTGGAAGAGGACACTGCCATCCGCCAGCAGTGAGCGATGTCTGGCCAAACTATACAGAAAAATGAAGTCCAGGATAGCCATGGTGATTTCCTGACTGACTAACTGGCCATTTCAGGAACCCAAATTGGAGGTACGTACCAGGCCTCTAAAGTCCATGTAGGGTCTAGGTAAGGGAATATACACCCACAAGATGAGGCCTTATATATGGGACTGAGATGGACTGAGGAATTTGTCGGCACATATACCTCTGGCTATTTAACAGTTTGTTATGGAAAATAATCCGTTTGCACATTATGATTTACTTATTAAAAAAATGTGTTTTTCCATACATACAAACATGTATATATATATATATAAATATATGCTACCCCCCCCTCAGAACCTATGTTTCAGAAGCTGCGACCCTGCTTGAAGGCATACTGCCATGTTGCAATGATTTGAGAAAAGAAGACGGCAGGTGCTGTTGATTTATAAATAATTTTCGATTTATAAATTCTCAGGATGAAATTAGGGATGTAGCTTTAAATTATTTGACAAGATTATCTTTAGTACGTTCTTTTGTAATTAAGAATCCTTATATACTTGATTCAATTGACATTACTCCAAATCAAAATTTTGTTGAATATTGCAAATTCAATAAGATAGATCATAAAAAAGTTATGGCAAAAGCTAAAGAGCAGTTTTTAGATAAGGGTTTGCTTGAAATTTTTCAATATATTTTTTTTTAGAAAAAATTGTTTAGGGGTATTGCCAAATGTTATGTTACCAGAAAAAATAGGCTAGAAAAATTTTGTATTCAAGATAAAAAGATAGAAGATATTAGAATTGTATATGAAGAGTATAGCATTGATAAGATTATTAAAAAATCTTATCAAAACTTATTAAAAGTACGAAATCACGTGTTAAATAAAAGACAGATGTCTACAAAAGGGGTGAAATATAAGAATAATATTTGTTACTACTCAGTTGTATCTAAACTACAAGATATCAATTTTCAATATACTTTATATGATTTAAGTCCTGGTCAAGTAAGCAACATTATAGAAGAAAAAGAGAAATTCGCATTTATAAAGTTAGAAAATTATGAAGTGTTAGGAAATGATAAAAAAGATATCACTAAATTAGAAGAATTATATAGGGATATGTCTGCATAAATATACATAGAAAAAGTCCATACGGATTTATTTAATTATTTCCCTATACAATATAGCTTTGAATAACGATTATACAGAGGATGAAAACATATTTTTTTTCAATCCAAAGAAAATAATTCAGTATTATCAAGAGGTAAATACTAAAATAAAAAAATAATTAGGTCAAAATTTTCTTTTAGACCAAAATATATCTAGAAAAATTGCATCAAATCTCACCCAAAATGGAAATAATGAAGAGATATTAGAGATAGGTCCTGGTCTTGGCAATTTAACAGTTATGCTATGCAAAAATCAATCTATAAAAAATATTATCCTTGTAGAAAAAGATAAAAATTTTGAGAAAGCATTATGTAAATTAAAATTAAAATTTCCAAAAAAATACTAGTATATTTTACAGATTTTATGCATTTTGATCTGAATATATTAAGTAAAAATACAAAAATAGTAGGTAATTTACCGTATAATTTAGCTACTCATTTTATCAAGAATTTTATATTATAGAACAAGATAAAAATGTTTTTATGATTTTTACAATTCAAACTGAAGTTGCAAAAAGAATTTGTGCAAAATTAAACACAAAAAGCTATGGATATTTGAGTGTATTAAGTCAGATATTTTTTGATTGCAAGTGTCATTTTGATCTTTCGGGGAAGATTTTTTTTCACAAACCAAAGTTTCTTCAACTGTAATTTCTTTATCGCCTAAGAATTTCAGGCTACAAAAAAATGTATTATTTTTTCTCAAAAACATATTACATGCTGCATTTTCTCAGAGAAGAAAAAATCTTTCTAATTCTTGAAAAAATGGGAATAATTCATATACAATAAGTTTTATATAATATATAGGTATAAATCCTACAAGTAGAGCAGAGCAGGTAAGTCCAAAAAAATATGTTGAGTTAGCTAGGGTTTTGCATAGCAAAATACAAATAAGCAATATTAGTAACATATACTGATGGATTATGTCTTCATATAAATATGATAAGAATAATATATTCGTTAAAATAATTAATAATCAAGTATCTTCAGATAAAGTATATCAAGATGATGATCTTATTATTATAAACGATATTTATCCAGTAGCAGAGCATCATTTTGTAGCAATACCTACCATTGAATGTGTAAATTATGATCATTTTTTAGAAGTGGCAGATAAAGAGGTTATAGTTATTTTTTTGTAAAGATTAAGCATTTTATAAACAAGATGTCTATACAAGACAATTGTAGATTAATTATGAATAATGGCCTTGGTCAAACTATTAGACATTATCATGTTCATATTATCTCTGGAAATACAATTAAAAAAGATGAAATTTTAGAACAAATGCAATAGAAAATTAATAGTAATGCTGAGTTTAAATCTTTAGATATCCTTGATTAATTATATATTCGGCTGTTCTTACAGCGTTTAGCGCAGCTCCTACCCTCAAATTATCACTTAATGCCCATAGGTCTATGATTTGTTTATTTTTTCCTTGCCTTAGTCTGCCAATACGAGTGTAATCTGTTGCTTCTATTGATCGAGGAGTAAGATGTTCATATTCTAAATTATTGACACAGCTTGGGGTCACTTGATTTTTTCAGTTTTTTCAGCTTTTCGGGTTTTCACCTTTCAGGAGAAGCCTAGAACTGAAAAACTGAAAAACTGAAAAACTGAAAAACTGAATTCCACAAGAGAAGAATGGACCCCAGACTTCTCCTATGGAATTCAGTTTTTCAGTTTTTCAGTTTTTCAGTTTTTCAGTTTTCCCACTGTTGGTGCCTCAAATTTAATCGGAACAAAATCGGTGCCAAAATATATAAAATTCACTGCAAATACCAGTAAAATTGAAGTCTGCATAGGTTTTGGGGGGGGGTACCAAATATATGTATATAATTATATATACATACATACAGTAAATGATTTACCATTCTCACAAATGGTGATTCTCCATGTTCAAACATGTTTTACCCATTAAAAAAAAATCTATGGCAAACCGTTGCTATTTGCAAGAAAAAATACCAAACAATATTTGCCAGACGACTCCATTTAAATTGAATATCAGAAAACATGTCAGAATATGCGCCAGAAAAAATGCCAGAAAATATGCCACATAAAATGCAAGAACAAACAAATATATGCCAAATAGAACGGAACGGTTGAGAAACTATGTCAGACTGACATGTCAGGATATTTGCCATGGTGGGGTTCACACGAAGTGAAGTCATTGTCATGGGTTCAATTTTCCCGAAAAGGAAACGAACAACGAGGTCTGAAATTTCAGAAGACAAGAAAAAACAAACACAACAAGGGAAGAACAAAATTAGAAAGAACATGATTGATTACCTGAAAACTGTGAAAAGTACTATGTGTATTTCACCTCGTTTACTTTCGGGAAATCATCAAAAGAAATCCGAGGTCCAGTGATTGATGTCAACGAGTGTGGATCTTGACAAACTGACCACGAATGACAATAAAAAATAGCTAATATTGTGCTGTACAAAGGATATACCATGATATACCACCGATGATCTTGACAAACTCACGGATTCTATCACAATCTTGTTGAAGTCTGGGTTGCTACCTTTTCCCGTTGCTGTTGGTTTACCTACCATGAAAACACCGGTGTGAGAATGCTTAGAACGTGGTAAACCAAAAAAAACACATCTCCCATTCACCACAAATGATTCGTATAAAACATCCCGAATTGTATTGTTTAGTTTAGCACATCAGCACCACTACTCTTGGTGTTCTCTCAATGTTTTGGTCCATTTCAACACTTCCCTAAACCAGCCCCCAACATCCCATACCACCACAAATGTCGCGCACCTTAGATACCACAAAATAACGTCTCGTTAGTTCTACATGTATATGAATATATAATTACTATATATCATATAGCATGTTTTTGTGTCAATACAGTGTGTGTATATATAAATACATACACAATGCGTGTGTATATTTATATGCACACTGTACATTCGATATATATATATATATCATAGATTATAATTTGTTTTATGGTAAATGTGGTAAACACAATAATAAACCTATTTGGGATGATCGATACAAGCCATAAAAAAATGTAATTGTGGGGATGGTTTCTGACATTGGGTTTACCACATCAATCTACGTGAAATCAATCACCAAAATCATATCAATAGAGGTTTCCTGCAAAGATATGGTTTAACAAGTTACATGTATCATATCATATATCATAATATATTATTCATACTTTAAACATCGTTAAACATATATATATAATTATATATATATGGGTATTACATATGATTTATTATTAAAGCATCTTGAAACCAATCACCAAATCCAAAAACTTTCTTCGCCAAAATGCGTTGCTGTACTCGATCTCGTGGGACAAAACTTCGAAGCTGCTCAGGCTGACAGTCACCAAAAATGCAGGGACCAGGGTGAGAACCACATTCCTTCGTCGGAACAAGATATGGGGCCTCCACCAATGGGATTACACCATCAAAAACTGGGATTTCATTGGATTTTAGCAATGAAAACTATTGAAAAGGATACAGAGGAAATCAAGTGGATAGTCAATCCAACCATCATGAAGAAAATGTGGCTGATCGTCTATGAACCAGTACTGAAGACCGATAAGAACATGCGCCCACATTCTGACTAAGTTCCAGGATGTTCCAGTACCCCAGAGTTCCAGAAGCCTCACATTCTTGGAGTGTAAGCAGTGTTCAAAACCCCTCTTGGTTGATGATGATAGGGGACTATACTACCCAATATATTGGTGATTATAATACCCTCTGGTAAGTTAACATAGCTATTGAAAATGACCATTTATAGTGGATTTTCCCATTGAAAATGGTGATTTTCCATAGCTATGTTAGTTTACCAGAGGGTAATCCAATAGGGGAATCGATTTCACCAATTTCAACCATTTCCCCCATAAAAAAAAGGTGACATCTCCACTCCAATTTTTTGCTTAGTCAGCGAGGATTCAGCACCATGACCGTCTTCACCATGAGCCTTGGATCGTAGACAAATCGGCTTTCGGGGCTAGCATCCCGGCGTGAAAAAACTTACCACAAAAAAAATGTTGGGACAATGGTTATCATGGCTAATATGCATATATATATGTTGTATATATATATATATGTTGTATATATATATGTTGTATATATATAAATATATATGTTGTATATATATATATGTATATATATACGTATATATATATATATACACATAGTTAATAGCAATTGAAAACTAAAATCCCATTCTATACTTTCATAACGGTTAACATGGGTTTAATGGGAATATCATGACATGTGTGCCAGGATCAAACGTTGGATTGTATTACCATAAAAGGAGATGGTCATCAATCCATACATGTTCCCTTGATCCAACTCTGGGATATGTTATCAACCAGGGGAAACAAAAAAATAACAAGCGTAGAACCAACAAAAAATGGTGCTCGCATAGTATTCCGGCAACAAGAGATGGGGTAGGATTCTTTGTTTTCAACAAGATGGGTGCTGAAAAGAGTGGGGAAGCACTCACAAATTGTCGAGTAGCCATATTTCAAAGATTTTCAAAGCGAATTTGGACCCACAGCCCATTACTTTAGATCTTCTTCTTCGAATCAGCCAGGCAGCGGCCGTTGAAAGATATCTTGAAGCTGCCGAGGGCATCCTGTGAAGCTAAGATCTGGGTCAAAACAGGTCAAACCATGGGAAAATATGAACAAATCACCAGCAAACGTAGTGGATTTCACGAATTCGCCAGCAAAATATGATGGTTCAATGGACTGATATGGGGAAGAGTTATGAAAAGGTACGATATATACAGGAGACATCGGGAAACCATTGTTTTTCTTCCGCAAATCCATTGGATTTCTATGGAATTTCTATGTTTTCCTGCAATTTTTGGTGAACCGCCATGACCTTTAGCTGGTTGCTCTGTGTTCCCATTTACCTTGGCGCCCGTCTGAGCAGCGCCCTGGCAAAAATGGTGGAAACACAGGGCCCGCAACAGGACAGCATTTTTCAAACACAGCTCATGCGAAACGATGGACATGGATGGTATGGAATGGTATGGAATGGTATGGAATGGAGTGCTCTTTGCATGTGAAATGTGCATAAATGTGCTGAACATCTGATCTTGCCAGCCGAAACAACCGGAGCCTATCCCATGCCACCCTTCCCGCCTACCAAGGCATAGACTTGCAAGCAGGCAAAGAAGAAGGTGGCCCAAAACTCAGTCCTATGGAAGAGCAACTTGTGCTCGCTTCCTAGGCCATGGCTCCAGCCACCCCACCTTGATGCATTTTATCTACATACCTATATAATCTACGGTCAACAAGAAAATTCTTATAAGACCTATCATCAACAGGATCAGTTGGCCAAAAGTTACATACCTATATAGTCTATGGAAAAAAATAATTATATATATATATGTGATTATATATATATGTGATTATGTATATGTGATTATATATATATATATGTGATTATATATATGAACATATTATATATATATATATTAGTGTTATTATTATTGTTGTTATTTAAAATAATATGATTAATATATTTATATATGATTATATATATATGTATGATTATATATATACATGATTATATATATATGATTATATATATATGATTATATATATGATTATATATATATATGTGATTATATATATATGATTATATATATATAACAGGTAGGACACATAATATTCAATTTATGTCATTTGCAGCGACCGAGGCACGGAAGAAGTCATCCATCGAGTTGATGGTGAAGTTACAGATGTTGATTCCAACCTGGGACCCCCTTCGTGTCAAACATGGCGGGCTTAAGATGTTTATGCTGGGAAAAGCCCGCTGAAAATGATGGTTTTAATATGTTTTAATATTGTTTTAACGGGGTTTAAGATGGTTATAGCCTGGTAAATCCCGAAAGAAATTATGCTGTTCATGGGACATGTTCCCTATTTATAAACGATGGTTTTGCTGGGAAAATCCTCGAACAAATGATAGTTTTTAGTTGGGAAAATCAAGGGTTTCAATCGGAAGATCATCTGATGCAAGCTGCATTTTGGGTTGTGAATGTCGATTTCAATCCGAAAAATGATGTCATGGTGATTTCTCACCTGAATTTGGACTCCGGGAAAAAGAAAAACAACAAATTCCAGCTTCCCAAAAAGAACAACTTGGTACAACTAACATATGTCATATGTCCAACAACTAGGCGGTCTTCCCAAACAGCTAGGATCACGATGCCTGGTGACATTGGATGATAATCTTTTGAAGATCCACTTCCTTGGTCTGGTTCCTCTATCATATCCAAGTTGATGGTATATATAAACATGTAATAAGATGGAGATAGGATAGTATCATATATTGGTTTAGCTATAAGTTTGCATCTATCGGTAGTGGTATGTATACTGTGTACATATAATATAATAATATATATATATATTATATATATATAAACTATACCCACTTCATCCCAAGTTTATAGTATATTGATGTATTTTGATTCAAACTCCAAACATGGACCGGTGTAGGGCTATACCGTTTATCTAACGGCAGCTATCTACAATGAATTCAACGAGCTAAATTTACGGTCTTATGGGGATGGCTTCCCTTGTTTTCCATCGATCTTCGGAAGACTGTTCCGAAGACTTTCCAAAAAATGAAACCATCAACTTCAGTGATTTCCAAAGCAGGATCCCCCACCATAGTTGTTTCATGCGAGATTTCTATCTCCGGCAAGGGACATAGACTAAACTTGCAATGGCCAAGTGGAGGTTGGTGTTTGACATCCCTCGAAGACGATTCCTCCCAGGATTCTCGGAAAATGGCCATGGGGCCGAACGGGAAAATGGGAAAAAATGGCGAATTCATGGAGAAATCCCCTGGTAATCTGCCACTATTTACTACAAAAAAACACATCAAACTGGTGTCAGGAAAATCATGGCAAAACATCTGATGGCAGTTCCCGAATTTGCATAGCAAACTGTTAGACTACCAGGGGGTAATCCCCACAATTTGCTGCTTCCCAGTACCATAGGGATTCAATCAACCTGTAGCTGTATCGACTGATAAACTCATTTACCTTGGGGGCCACGCATTGCTGTAAACCAATCAGTGCAGCCCTTTTATGTATGTATATATATAGGTGTGTATCTGATTGTATATATATATATTATTATATATACCAGTATGTATGCTTTTACACAGGTGATCAACCATTACAGCCACCCATTTTTAGTAGCAGGCATCACAAGTTTTGGAGAGTCTCCAATTCAGGGAAACCTACAAGACCATCAACCAGCAGAAAAAAATGTGCAGATGCCAACTGGCATTTGGGTCCGCATGTCCAGAACCTTTGACGGCTAAGATTGGATACTGTACCTGGCAAGGGATTACTTAATCGGATTATTAGTCTATGTGGATAGTTGCGAATTTGGCAAGTGGATATTAGCAAGCTACCCATGTAAGCTGCAAAAAAAGGATTTTAAATAACAAAAAACAGTTCTTTTCAGATAAATGTGTAAAAACGATCACCTTTTCGGGGGCCTAACTGCAAACTGAGCGAAGCGACTGGAAGCAGCACCTTTGGGTATGGGCCGGTATGGGTCAAGAATGAAAGATTGACTCCAAATTTTGTTCACGATCAAAATCACTGAGCTCTATGAGTCGAGGGCCTTGAAATTTCCCATCTGAGCCAAGCTTCAGCTTTTCAGCCAGAATCGCACTGTCCACCCTGCACGAACTGCCAAGTGAAATATATATATATATAAGTATATGGATTGGTAGCTGCTAAATATCCGGACTCAACTTGAAGTAGAGATGGATACAGTAGTAGGAACATATAGGAAACTTAGAGGGTTATGTAAATGCGGCTGTGGTTGTGGCTGTGGTTGTTGTCGTCGTCGTGTCTTGTTGCATAGTGGCATACTGTTTTGTGCAATGCCTCTGCCTTCTACGGTCTCGGTTGAGAATCTGATTCAGCGATGGTGAAATTCAAAAGACCATCCAAAATAGTTACCCTCTGGCAACCTAACACAACTGCTAGATTACTGCTAATCTATTTAGTTTTTCATGATTTTCCTCTAAAAAAATGGCAACATATCTGGTGATTTTCCATAGCAACAGATTCCCAGAGCTCCTCCCCTGGACGGCCTGCATTCCGAGGTCACGTTGCAGTAGAGGATGTTGAAATTATCCGTATGCCTAGCCAACGCGCCTTTTGTTGAACCATGAAATACACTTTTCTGTATTAGCTATTAATATGATACTATGTATATATATATAGAGAGAGTGTACATATATTTACATTTCTGTATGTATACTCATATGTATATGTATAATCATATGTACATATATACAAATATGTATATACTTGTGTGCATACATATAAATATATATATATATATTATACATGCATGTTGTACATAAACATATATATATATACATGCATGTTGTATTCACGCCTTGGGCTTCCCTGCATCGTGTTTCCACAAACCAACCAGCCGATGGATTGGGAACCCATTCCCACAAAAAACACGTTGTAGAACCCACATATGATTGGTGGAAACTGATTAGTTATGATACAATATGTATATATATATATGTTGTATAATATGTATATATATATATTATAATATGTGTATATATATATACGTATGTGTGTGTGATGACATACTAATCATGATGGTTGGGTATCATAACATCATGAGTCAAGCCATAGATTTTGATGCTTATGACGTTGGTGCTCACTTGGGATCAACTAAGAAGCCTCCCACAGCATGTCGCCAAGTCGCAAAGTATAGGGCGCTGCAATCTCTTCGGAGCAAGTCATGGTGGATCCACCGAATGCGAAGAGGAGCTACTCTCTTTATATTGGGGAGGCACTCACAGGAAAGTTGGGGTAAAATCCCAAGCTAAGGAAAATGACTTATGTGTAGTGCACATTTCAAGTGGCCCACTGTTTTTCAGCGTCCTTCAACCTGTTGAGGGTGGAGTTTCATGTGATTTTGATCCAGCAACTGGAATGCACCGCCGAGCAGAACATCATTGAAATCGTGGGGACACCTTGTACAACATGTGTATATAGTACACTTATTTTGGGTACAGTATTGTACTTGCATGTGTAGCTATATGTATATAATTATATTATATGTATATAACAATATATGCAGCATGCAACCCGCAAATCCACCATGTTCGCTTTGAAACTGACAAATATAATGGAGTTCTAAAACCAACATCCATCTATCCGTCTGGAAGTAAGGTACCCTAAAATCCAACTTAATCATACTCTTCCCCTTTGAAATGGCGGCAATCAGCCACTTTCAAACAAGCCCAAAGATTGTGTTCCCATTGTTCTATCAAATTGCTGTTAAATCACCCATTTGTGGTTTGTTTAAATCCCCCCATATCTCAACCTTAAATCTCATGCGACTCTCCTGGTGGCATCGTCATCAAAGATGCTGCCTCCACCGCCCACCTTCAGCCTTAGCGGCTCACGTCACCATGTTTGTTCGTTGGACCAATCTTGCTTGGATAGGTTTTCTGTGGTAACCTCAAAAAGAATCACAAAAATAGACTTTGGTACTGTAACGTCCTACTAAATACGAATTTTGCGTTTCCATCACGTTCAATCTCCTTTGGGGACTATACAGTTGTAATACAGTTGTATTTACATTTTGTTGTACTTCTCCTGATCTTTAGCAGGTTGATGTAGTTTGCACCCCAAAATGCTTGGCCGTTCTACACCGCTAGGACGACCAAAGCGTTGCTCCACATCATTTTGATCGGCCACACAGGCCACACAAAATGGCCTTCGATATCATAACTCTAATCCGCAAAGAGATGTACTGTTTTGTTCTAAACACATCAATGGTAAAAACATATTATAGGCATCATTATCATCATTAACTTTATATGCATCATCATTAGCTTTATTTCTTAAAAACTCATCTCAATTGTCAATCATACCCTTATCTTTTTATAGTAGGCTGCATCCTTATCTTTGGCATGGGTTATGATGATATGATTGATATGATGTAAAAAAAAATAATGATGATATGATGTAAATATATATATATTATTATAACTGAACATATATTCATTGATTTTGGGTTCATATGCTATGTACAGTCCCCAGTTGGCAGCCCCGGATCAGCTCCCCGGACGGTCCACTGTCCCTTTTCGGCCCCGGTTTGGCGGGTGCCTGGCAGGGTGCGACTGGCAAGTCACCATGGCTTAACCAATCACTAAGTCATGGTCATCCGGTCATCCATGATGACTGGATGATTTGGATGACTGGGGGTACCCCCTATGACTTTTTTGAAAACTCCATATGGCTTTGCTTTGCTTTCTTTCATTGTAAAACAGGGATAAGACTAAGAACCAATTCCTGCGTAGAAATTTTGGAACCCAGCGACTGGGTCGCCATGAAGATGGGTGACTTAAAAGAAACAAGTTGGGATGGAAAAGACACCGAAGATAAAAAAGCGTGCATGGATAATGCACTGATCAACTTTCTAATTATTATGTGTATATATATATATATACACTTATATAATGTGACAACAGAACAGCCTGAAGTTCATAAGACTGTCATCAAAAAACAACTTCAAACATTGGAGTCATTAAAGATTCCCCAAGAAAACAGAGGTGGATTTCCCACTATCGCCGCCAAACAGCGGTCCTCTTGGTTCAAAGCACCCGCATGTGCTGGAAAAGGTCTTTTGAACCCCCCAAAAACGGTCGTTTTTCAAACTGCGGCACTCCCAAATTCAAATAGTCGAGACTGACTGTGAATTTCCGACAAAAACTTCTACACAACTGCTTCATTTGGAAGCCCCCAGACATCTTTCGGATTGTACAGTACCAGGATGTGTGCGTGAACTCAGGAAATGAATAGACACTGCAACAATTTTCACTGATCAACACTTATCACACATCCAAATATTGTTCCCATTTATCATGGGTTTATGATTCAGTTCCGAACAACTACCCTCTCGGAATCGAACATGGCACTTGAAAAACATATCATAAAATCAAAAATCAATGAACATCATCTGTTGCCACATATTCATGGATACAATTAACATAATTCACAACAATGGTTACAATAATTCACTTCATGGATAAAATTAATACTACCTCTTCATTAATTAGCCATCTCTATAGTGAGATGTTCAACTAATTCATGACGAGAGGGTAAGGATCCCCGAGCCAGGCCAAGTCACATCATTGAAGAGAGGATCCTTCACAGAGCGGTGGCCGGCCCGGGCTGGCAAGGTCCCGGGCCGATATCCGTTGGTCACCAGGTTACCCTTAAAATATGACTAATAGGGGTTCCTGTAAATTTTCCTTCAACCAAGTCTGGGACATATAAATATATATATATATATAAAATGATACTAATATAGCATGTCTTCACTCTCCTAAGTTGAAACATAGCTGGCATATATTGGAGATGCCATACACCAGGTGTTTGCGAACAGTCGGGCCTCGCCAAAGAGAGACGACGCCGACGCCTTGAACGAGTCGACAGATGTCGACAAATTTACCACACGAAAATTCACATGAAACGATTCATCATCTGAGAAATGAATACATAGAATGAATTATAATCCAATTTTAATTGTGACGTGTGTGAACCTGAATTCTAACAAGTCACGAACTTGGACATAGCTGAAAGATGGCCATTTAGGGATGACTGTCTGATTCCCCTTACAGTAGAAACCATCATTCCAGTGGCGTGACCGATTCCACGCCAGCCTGGGCTTTTGCTGGAGGCTTTTGCGCCTGGTTTGTCGTTTCATGGCATCGTAGATCAACTGGTCAATGATTATCATGAATCATAATGGGATATGTTATCATATTGTAGTATGATAAATAGTCTAGTATATCTAAAGAAATTGTGTTGCACTATATTATACTGTATTATACTTTATTATACTATATTACACTAATTCATACTATATAATACTATATTTGACTATAGTACCCTATATTATACTATAGTATACCATTTAATACTATATTGTAATATAACATACCATATTATGTTTGTTATTATACTATATTATACCGTACTATATCACATTATGTTATATTATATCATATCACGATATATTATACTATATCATGTTGAATCATATGATACTATATTATGCGTTATTGTATCACAATATATTATAGTGTATTGTAATAGAGTTTGCTATATACTATGATATTGTAGTACATGATATTTTGTCATACTATGGAAGATTCTATTGTAATATACCATGCTATTATGGTAAACTATATTGTGTCATATAATGAAATATTATGGATTGTTTTATTGAAATATAGTAATGTATAATTACAATTATACGAATATTATCAATATCAAAACTAATCTTAGTGTCAATATTCATATTAAAATCAATATTGAAAGAAATATAAATAAGGATATTCATTATATTATATTATGTCATGTTCTAGGTGACGGCGCCGATGGAGGGGCGGGACTGTTGTCACTTTTGCACAGTGTTTTTTTGGGGGGAGAGTGGTTTTGGGAGGGTGTAATCGCGTCCTCTGGTCTGCGTTGTCAAGAACGATTTGCAGCTACTTTGTAACATCTTCTGTAAGCAACTTGCAAGACGTTCCTGATACGTTGTAACATCTTCTTCAAGTAACTTTCAAGACTTTCCTGATACGTTGTAACAACTTCTTCAAGTAACTCGCAAGACGTTCTTGATACGTTGTAACATCCTCTTCAAGTAACTTTCAAGACGTTCCTGATACGCTCAAACATCTTCTTCGAGTAACTGTAAATTGCAAGACGTTCCTGATACGTTGAAACAACTTCTTCAAAGTACCTTGCAAGACGTTCCTGATACGTTGCAACATCTTCTTCAAGTAACTTGCAAGACGTTCCTGATACGTTGTAACATCTTCTTCAAGTAACTTGCAAGACGTTCCTGATACGTTGAAACATCTTCTTCAAGTAACTTGCAAGACGTTCCTGATTCGTTGTAACATCTTCGTCAAGTAACTTTCAGGACGTCCCTGATACGCTCAAACATCTTCTTCGAGTAACTGTAAATTGCAAGACGTTCCTGATACGTTGAAACAACTTCTTCAAGTAACTTTCACAGCGTTTCCGATATTTTGTAACATCTTCGTCAAGTAACTTTCAAGACGTTCCTGATACGTTGTAACATCTTCTTCAAGTAACTTTCAAGACGTTCCTGATACGTTGTAACAACTTCTTCAAGTAACTTGCAAGACGTTCCTGATACGTTCTAACATCTTCTTCAAGTAACTTGCTCGACGTTCCTGATACGTTGTAACATCTTCTTCAAGTAACTTTCAAGACGTCCCTGATACGCTCAAACATCTTCTTCGAGTAACTGTAACGTGCAAGGCGGTCCTGATACGTTGAAACAACTTCTTCAAGTAACTTGCAAAACGTTCCTGGTACGTTGTAACATCTTCTTCAAGTAAATTGGAAGACGTTCCTGATACGCTGTAAATCGTTGTAACATCTTCATCAAAGAACTTGCAAGATGTTGCTGATACGTTGTAACATCTTCTTCAAGTAACATTCTCAAGACGTTCCTGATACGTTGAAACAACTTCTTCAAGTAACTTTCAAAGCGTTCCTGATACGTTTCAACAACTTCGTCAAGTAACTTGCAAGACGTTTCTGATACGTTGTAGAATCGTCTTCAAGTAATTTGGAAGACGTTCCTGATACGTTTCAAATCGTTGTAACATCTTCTTCAAGTAACTTTCATGAACTTCCTGATAGGTTGTAACAACTTCTTCAAGTAACTTGCAAGACGTTCCTGATACGTTGTAACATCTTCGTCAAGTAACTTTCAAGACGTTCCTGATACGCTGAAACATCTTCTTCGAGTAACTGTAACTTGCAAGACGTTCCTGGTACGTTGAAACAACTTCGTCAAGTAAATTTGAAGACGTTCCTGATACAGTTTTTGCGGATGGTGTGCAAGCTTCGTCCACGGTGATCAAAGAAGAATGGCCGAGATGTCGAGTGGAACATGTGCGCCTTAAAGATGAACAATTTACAAAAATTGTCCCAAATGGATCCAAAGGATCACCGGTAGCAGGCACACAGTTCATTGACCGAACATGGGATCATATGAAATCATACTCTCTCTTCAAGGAAAATAAATGTACATGGAACAACAGCTGCCTTGATGAAACACTGCCTAATGTGGCAATGGTTGCACGAAGTGTTAGCTCCTGGCTACTCCCTTTGGGATCAGTTAGGAAAGCTTTGTAGAAAACACAACAACAGAGTTGGACTATGGCGTCTCGCATGAAGATGACAAAAGAGTGACGATTGTCCACTTTCAGAAGCGCTGAAAGCGCCGCACTTCTACAGGCGCCGCAACCATGTTCTACTATATCATATCATTTTACATTGCACTACATTGTAGTGAATTATACTATACTATATACATTATAAGAAAATATAAAATAATTAGTATATTATAGCATGCTATGTCTTAATGTATTATCGCTTACTATACTGTAGTTTAGTGAATTATGCGCAACATTGCACTTGTACTGTACTATACTATTCTATAATATGTTACATTCTATCGATCATGTTTACTGTCTCACATTAAAAAAAAGCCGCGAAATCCCCGAAGACGTGGAGTGTCATCCATTGGGATACTGGGATTCGCTGGGCAATGTCATCCATCCCACCTTGGGAATTCATACTTCTTAAACCCCGAGAAGAGGGGAAATGACCATCTCCGGATGAATGGATTCATCTGTGTAATTTTAATTCATTTTAATTACAATATATATATATATAATACAATAGTCCATCTTATCCATCTTTTGACTATGGATATGTTGATTTACCTGTTGATTTACCAGAGGGTATCCCTGGTTTCTGTTGCTGGCGACTTGATTATGGCACCGCACCGGCGGCTCATCGTCAAACAAGGATGCTGCAATGGTAGGCTTCGGTGTGGCCTGCTTCGCAATTTCAGGTGAACCAAAAATTGCAGGGATGGCATCAAACATATTCAAAACATTTCAAAACTGTGGATTTCAGCAAAAAATGTGGGAAAATGATGTTGATTTTAACTGATTTTAGCCGCAGAATTAAATGTGAACAGCAACGATGAGGATTTCAGCCGCAAGAGATTCTGTGCTTGCTTCAAGTCTCAAGAATGGTCAAGGACTGTTCTGATGTTTTGTATGGTTTTTTAAGTTCAACTTCTGGAATTCCAGCATATTCCAGCGTCATGCTTGAGGACATGATTGATCCTATTCTTCAGAGATTGACCATCCAGGAATCCTCAGCACCACCCATCATCCAACTCTCCAACTCCAACAGCCAGCCTTGGGAGCTGCCTTTGCCTGCGACATGGCAGATCTTCAGGACCCAAATGGAGTCACATGGAGTGTATCTTGTGTATACCCTGCATAGACAAATCCATAGATTCTTTGAAAACATTGGAGATGACGATGGGCAACACGTGGGATTTTGACCAGAACTTGGGGGGTGATACAGTTAATACAGTACCCATCGAGATTTGGGTTGTGGGATTCTGACCAGACACAAAACCAACTATTTTGAATCTTGACATACACTGCATATTTTTCTTTATCAACATTCCAGTTTTCATTGTTTAAGCAAACCCAAAGCAATCACTTTTCTTAAAGCTCTGGTATTTTTGGTGTGCATTCATTTGACAAACAGCTTGTGACGTCTTGTAAGTCTCATGCCACATCCGCTCGTAGCACTTCTCTGCAAAACGTCCTGCTCACAATGCTAAAAATAACTACAAACTCACCAAGATTGAGCAGCAAAAAAAGCTCTGAAGACCGCTTGGCAAGCTCACTCCCACCAGGATCTGGTTAAAACCGCTCCCAAAAGTCAAGCTCTGAAGACCGCTTGGCAACGTCACTCCTTCCAGCCTCTGGTTGAAACATTGACCAAATGTTAGGCTCTTAAGACTGTCTGGCAAACTCACTCCTTCCAGCCTCTGGTTGAAGCTATCTCCAAATGTCAAGCTCTCAAGACTAATTGGCAAGCTCACTCCTTCCAGCCTCTGGTTGAATTCATCGCCAAATGTTAAGCTCTTCAGATGAATGGGTAGGCTCACTCCTTCCAGCGCCTGGTTGAAATGATGGCCAAATGTCAAGGTCTGAAGATTGCATGGCAAGTTCACTCCCTCCAGCCTCTGGTCAAAATACTGGCCAAATGATAAGCTCTGAAGACAGCTTGGCAAGCGCACTCCTTCTAGCCTCTGGTTGAAAGACCAGCCAAATCTCAAGCTCTGAAGACTGCTTGGCAGGCTCACTTCCTCAAGAGTCTGGTTGAAAGCACTGCCAAATGTCAACGTCTGAAGACAGCTTGGCAAGCTCACTCCTTCCAGCCTCTGGTTGAAATGATGGCCAAGTGTCAAGCTGTGAAGATTGCATGGCAAGCTCACTTTTTGCAGCATCTGATTGAAGCTACCTCCTAATGTCAAGCTCGCAAGACTGCTTGGCAGGGTCACTCCCTCAAGAGTGGGGTTGAAAGCACTGTCAAGTGTCAAGCTCTGAAGACTGCTTGGCAAACGATCTCCTTCTAGCCTCTGGTTGAAAGACCAGCCAAATGTCAAGCTCTGAAGACTGCTTGGCAAGCCCACTTCCTCAAGAGTCTGGTTGAAAGCATTGCCAAATGTCAGACTCTGAAGGCTGCTCGGGAGACTCACTCCTGGCAGCTTCTGGTTGAATCTATTTCCGAATGTCAAGCTCTGAAGACTGCTTGGCAGGCTCACTTCCTCAAGAGTCTGGTTGAACGCACTGCCAAATGTCAACGTCTGAAGACAGCTTGGCAAGCTCACTCCTTCCAGCCTCTGGTTGAAATTAAGGCCAAATGTCAAGCTGTGAAGATTGCATGGCAAGCTCACTTTTTGCAGCATCTGGTCAAATCTATCTCCAAATGTCAAGCTCTCAAGACTGATTGGCAGGGTCACTCCCTCAAGTGTCTTGTTAAAACCGCTCCCAAAAGTCAAACTCTGAAGACCGCTTGGCAACGTCACTCCTTCCAGCCTCTGGTTGAAACATTGACCAAATGTTAGGCTCTTAAGACTGTCTGGCAAACTCACTCCTTCCAGCCTCTGGTTGAAGCTATCTCCAAATGTCAAGCTCTCAAGACTAATTGGCAAGCTCACTCCTTCCAGCCTCTGGTTGAATTCATCGCCAAATGTTAAGCTCTTCAGATGAATGGGTAGGCTCACTCCTTCCAGCGCCTGGTTGAAATGATGGCAAATCGAAATTTGTTCAAGACTTCTGGGAAGATATTGCAAATACGCACTGGAGCAGGCACCTTTTGTTGCTTCTATCCTCGCAACTCCTTCCAGTGCGAGCTCTCCCTCAGAGACTGGGAATCCATTGACAACGCGCCAAGCTGCATACACATCTGTTGGAACAAAAGTGCAAGAGATCGTTGCAGTCTTACCTACAATCCCTTGCTCTTGCAACCTTTGGTGGAGCAACAGCGGTGCATTCTGGTGATAAAGTGTGAATCTTCTCCCTTTCTTTGAAGGAAGTCGCTGCAAGACCATGTGCCGCAGCTCACAACCCAGAGCGGACCTACTCAGGGTGAATTTGCATCCTTCACCATTGAGGCATTGCACCTGAATCTCAACCGCTTCAAAGCCACTGGCTGGCCCCACATAGCCGCCCTCACAGCCGGGCATCAGGTGACAAAGTCCAATGGCAGTGAGAGATGGGTGAATGAATGCTACTCCAAAGCAGTATTCCGTTCTCAAAGATAAACCAACAACAGGTGGACTTGGAGGCACTCACGCATTTTTTTTGAGAAAACGGTTGGTTCAAGACTTCTTCAACAAACAAATACATACAAATACAAATACAAACAATCCCTACTGATAATATTACAACTACTAGCTCATGTGACATGGTCATCATCAGCATTACAACTACAACCAATTCGAGCACATGTTCACAGAGAAAGTGTGACCCGTTTTTCTGCTTGGATGGTGGTTATTTGGTCCTTGCATGCCACCAGATCTGTCCAAAACTCTATCAGACTTGTCCATGACGTAGTATAATATATCAGTGGGTTGTTCATTTCCTGACTATCTTGGCAATTCTGAGATCCTCTTTTCCATCCCATTTGAGCCAGTGTCAGTGTTGCTTTTTTCTACACAGGTGATTGTCCAGATGGTTGGATCTCAAATCCAAGGATCGATTCTGTCGCGCGAATGCGATGGTGATATATATCCAACCAACAATGAATCAACTCATGAAACAATGATCCACTTTGAAGTAGCAAATTCGAGTGCAGTAAATTGCCAAAGTTGGACACACAGACACACATGCACTTTGAGTTTGGATTCCTTGCTGCATGACATCCACAGACCCCAGCTTCACCCAAATCCAACATCCACAACATTTCCTATCTGCGCCTGTGGCCCATCATCAAACAAGGATGGGGCACTTTTGCCTTTGCCCTGGCGGGATATTCATGGACAGAAACTTGAGGCACTTCCCAACCAGGTAGGTGTCTTGCGCCTCAAGACTCGCGTACGCTCCAAAAAGATATCCAAATACATGTTTGACCAAGTCCACAGGGTACGTGGCCAACATCAGCTGTGGATGGTGGCTCATACATATGCTTTGGGTGTTGATTGTGCGCCATACCGATCCAAGCAAAGGGGTACATAGGTTCAAACGGGTCACAGGTTTTGACTTCGACAAAAGAGCTGATGTGCTAAGGAACTGTTGGTGCAGCATGGTGCAGTTCGCTGGCGGTGGGCGGCACAGAATCAACCTTAGATAGCTAGAAAAGCCATGAAAGCACTTTGGCAAAACTGGAAAGGCTTGGAGGACAACTTAGCCACTTAATTGATCGACTTACAACAAACGTCCCAAGATTGGATATAGATGATATAGTGAACACATTGTCATTCTAATCATTCTAATTCATCCAGATGATTTCCCCAATAAAAACCTCCCATTTTCCAAGAGATAAATTCCCGCACCTTCGTGGCTGGCGCCGTCTTGGCCGTAGGAGCCTGGCTGATGCTGAAGCAATGGGCTGAGCAAAGACTTGAGATTATTTTTTCGGGAAACATAATCAGGTTGGTATTAAGTCGCCTTTCTGAAACGGGAAACCATGTGTTTCTAGCAGCAACGATTTGGTTTTCCAGGTTCAGTTTGTCCCTTCAATTCTGGGACTTAAACGGCTTTTAGTGAAGCCTGCGAGAACATGTTTCAATAAGTGCATCCAAAATGTTTCGCCATGTTTTCTAATAATATCATCAATTAATATAATATAATATGATATATATATAATTTGATATATATATATAGATAGATACATAGATCATATAGTCACTGTGTGCACACTTTGCCATGGTTCAACCGGATGACCATCCCATGCTCCGCCGGCTCCGCCTTGGCCGCCTTGGCCTTCGGCAGAGGCTCGTCATCAAATAAGGATCCCATCTTCGCTGGGGATGCCTGCCGCGAAATGGGTGAACATCATGCGACGCTGAGATACCCTGAATGGAAGCAGATCATTAGTCCAAATGGTGAAATGGGGAGTTTAAAAAAAAAAAAAAAAAAACTCTAGGCATTGCATGATCTGAAAACGGGTAAGGATGTAAAAGCGTGGATCTCTCCCTTGTGGCAATAATTTACCTGTACTTGGGTTGAAGCAGCCCTGAGTTCGGAAAGACATGGCACCCCATTGTACCCCATTTTTTCCCCAACAGAAAACCGCAAGAAAGTGGGGAACATCCATCATTGTCTGGCAGATCCATATCATCACATTGAAATTAATTACATATGATTCAAAACTTAGTAGTTATATGAGTTACTGTAGACCTCCATTTATCAGTTCGACCACCATATTTCATATTCATACATACATATGTATATATATATATATATGGCAGAAACCATATATATATACATACTAGACATATATCAATCAGGTCCATCCATACATATTATATATATATATCATACACATATTAGTTCTACAATTCACACACATATATATATATATACACAATATATATATGCCCATATGTATGTAATAAATAAATATGTATGTATGTATGTATGTATGTATGTATGTATGTATGTATGTATGTATGTATGTATGTATGTATGTATACCATATATATATATACCATATATATCAGTCTTAGACATTTATGTAGATCAAATCTATTCATCTTCCCATGCAGCTTGCAGCCCAGCCTGCGCTAGCGGAGCCTTGGCCGAACTGGGGAGGGGTCCGAAGAAAAATATGGGAAATTCATGGGAACTTTTTGGATTTTAGAGTGAAAATAATGGAAATCAAGAGATTTTAACAGGGATTGAATGGGATGTAAGGGGGATTTAATGGGATTGAATAGGGAAATAGTGGTTCGTAATGGTGAACCGTTGATGATAATGGAGACTTAATGGGATATTTAATGGGACACTCCGTTGTCAAACGTGGCTGGCTGGGAAATACCCAAACTAAATGGACATGGTAATAATGGGACATCACCTTATGAATGAGGTATTTTCTATTGCCATGTTTGATTAGCATAGGGTGGAAGCTTTCAACCCCAAACTGGTCCGGAAGACATCTAGGTCTAGATTCAGTGAAAAATAATCTCTACTGTCTTGATGGTGTGCTTTTCGAGCATGTTCAAAGCCTAGGCCCTAGTATTTGTCTTTCTTGCACGTCACTATTATATCTTGTATTCCTTGGGAACTAATCAGAACATATCAGAACTATATTATGATAAATTCAATCATCAACCGTCCCCATTTTTTGCCATTTTTTCTCCGGTTTTCCCCAGTATATGCATGGGTCTCATCGACGGGACAACAGCCAAGCTGCAGGTGCATCGTCATCGAACAAGGAAGATCCGGTCTTGGCTGGCGATGCAGCAGCCTTTCGTCATTTCAATGGCGTTGTCCATGGACTGAACTGGCTTTACATACCCATAGGATCCATGTATGCTATATATAGTAGCATATATACCATACATGGATCCTATGGGATATAAATCATATTTTACATGGCTGTCCCGTTATCCATATCTGCAAAAATGTCTTTCATGCGGAAAATGAACATCTGAAGCTCATGAACCATCAATCTTCGATGCTGTCAGACCTACAGTTTCTCATCCCACATCTCTTTTAGTGCAACCGATCGCTCTGGAGGACAAGTTTTTCTGGCCGGTCGAGCCATCACCAAGCAGCACAGCGAATGGGAAAGAAACACCTGGGATAGCCCAAATTTTAGTGGATTATCATCGTCCCTCTAAAAAAGGTCACAAAAGGGGGGTATCCCCTATTTTCAGACAAACCCACATGTTTTTTTTTCGATACCAATACAATCAGTTGCTGCGCAGATGATCTGCTGTCACACTTCAGTTGTGATCAATCATCCTGAAACAGGCTCAGCATGGTGATATAAACCACCCATGACTGGGCATGATTTCAGTCCCACCATGCTCCACCAAAAAAAAAATGGACCTGGGGGATGGTAAACATGGCATCGTTTTACCCACATTAGACCCCCATGGCCCCATGGATTGATGATCACCACCTGGATTGGTGGCTCGTCAAAGAGCGAGGCGCCGGGGGAAGATGTTGCAGCCTGGAGCGAACTGCTGAAAGCGGTGGCATGGAGAACACAAATGGAGGATCAGTGGGTAGAGTCTAGCCAACAATCCAAGCAAAGCCACTGAACTGAATTATGCGAACATTTACAGTAAACCACAAGATTTATCAATATTTCATGGCAAAGACATGTAAAAACTATGGTTTCTTGTAAATCATCTCTTCAGCCAATCCATTGAAAAAGGAGATCAATAAGTTGTACTTGGTGGATGACAAATAAAGCTATCCTTTTGGACAAAACAGGGGGCATTTGGGAATATGGTTTTACCAGGTTTACCATCAGTGATACAAGATACCTATTGGTTGTGAAAATAAGGGGGTTCCATGCTTCAACTAACCAGTTGGAAAAGGATATCAATGGACCAGATGGGGTAGAATCTGCTCAATGACGGGACCGATGGGTTATTTTGGGGGATAGTACCCCAGTTTTATGTACGAGGGCGTTTCAGGTACAGTAGCTAATTTGGAGGTGCCTGACATATCGACGTAAAGCCGGTGGAAAGAAGTATTCCCTCCAAAATATGGGTTCATATGACACAGCACCTTCAGTTCAATGTATGTAAATGGATGTAAATGGGACATTGGTGTTGAAGAACGTATATTTGGCTAGATATCACGCAAAGAATAATAATAGTTGGGTGGTTCCCACCGACAACAACTGGGTAGTTGTTTGAGAACAAAACCAATCAACCATGAAGGACAGAATCAACAATCATGGGGAGTCGCAACAAAACATGGTCTGGTTGGTGGTATACCAACTATCCTGAATGTATATATATATGTGTATAATTATATATTATACATAATATGTTTTTCTAAGTTGATCAGGTATCTTCGCTCCAGATAGGAATGACAAGTCAAACATGTAAGAAAGAGGTTGAAACCAATACAAAGAACAACAGTCACTTGGAAGCTGGCCGGTGGCAATCCTAAGGCCAAAGACACCTCCGAAAAAAAAATCCTGGATCTTTCGAAAACCTCTGGTAATTCAACATAACTGCGATAGAAGCCATGGCCCATCTAGTTCGACGAAATAGCTATCAAAAATATTCAAAAATGGTGATGTTCCACAGCAAACTGTTTGTTTACTGGAGGGTAGTAAACAAAGTTATAATAATCATGGTGACAAATCGTTGTCCCCACAAGAGACGGTCAAACACAAAGATGCCATGGGGATTGAGGAGAGGAATAATGCTCGTTAAAAACTTCAATTTCACTGGGGTTCATGGTAGAATAGAGATACATCTATACTTCATGGGGGCTATACACCAACTTACAAGTGGGGGAACTCACTTTATATATGTAAACATAGAAACACCTTTGAAGGGAGTTCTGAGTTGTGTGACTTATATATATTATATATATATGTGTGTGTGACTCATGAAACTTATGGGCATCACATCGTCCACAATCCGTTTATGGGCATCTCAAAAAACTGGCACAAAAACACATGTCAATAGAAAGTTTGAATTCCCCTTTTTCCCAACAATCCCGTGCCAATGGCATGCTGCCCAACAAAACCATCTGCAGCGGTGCCTGTGGTTTCTTGACTTCCGTCGGTCCTTCATCAAATAGGCTTCCAGTTGGTCTCAGCACGCATTCTGAGGCCCAAGCCCATAGCTATTATTGGATATCCTCACAAAAAAAGGCTTTGGTATATTCTCCATGTTGGCAAAACAGCAAGAGTATTACAGAACTGTAAACTACCCTTCCCATACAGAAAATGCCTTTTAAAGTTTGGGTGTTTCCCAGCTAGCCGCAGCCATGTTTGAGGATACTGGAGGGTGCCTTCCTTGGACCAAGAGGCTTTGCGGGGCTTTTGCTTTTCCCCTTTCCTTTGCCCTTCGCCTCAGAAAACCATGGGTGGAGGGGGATTCAAATTCTCAACAAATACATGGGCCCTTAAGTAAAATCATGTTTAAAATTTAAGGTTGGATCTTACAACCAAATTCTGTGTAGTGTTCAATACCGTACATCGGTACTTGGAGACCCAAAGGTAATGTCAGTGAAGAAATCAATTGTGATCCCTTCTGTCAATGCCTCACCACGGTATTCTCCATGAACGTCATCCACACCCGCCACCACTGAGTTCCTAAAACTTGTTACAGTTTCCCCTCGACGATTTGTATTATGTATGAAAATCAATGTAAGACATGCCGTTGTGTATTGACCTAACCTGTTGGTTGGCAACACGTGCTTAAACCAGCATTCTTCATGGTAAAACCACCATTTTCCCATTTTCCATAGGGTAAAACCACCATTTTCCCATTTTCCATAGGGTAAAACCACCATTTTAAGCGCCCGTGTGTAGGGCCGCATTTCTGACCCCCTCTGACATCGCCGTGCCGGCCAGGTGCTCCGCCCAGAGGCGGGGCCAGTCCCAGTGGGTCAGAGGCCTGGCCCTGCAGGCCCAAGCCGAACAAAGAATCCAATTGGACAAAATGTTGGCTCAATAAATGTTAAATCTACACTTAATCTTCTATGAAAATGGTGAACCACAAGAAATCTTGGTTGTAAAATGGTGTAAATCTTCTGATAGTTCTTGATGACCCATTTGTTGGACTCCTTTTTTTAGACATTGGATCAGCTCCGTGGAGCCGACACCGCTGAACACATTGTGTGAAAATAGACATGTCACAGACAGTATATGGCATAGATACGTGGAAATCTCATCCAACAAGTAGCAATATCCTATTGTTATCTATTGTTTCTATCGACAATGTATATGTATATACAGTATCTATCTATCTATCTATCTATATATATATATATGTGATATATATATATATAGATATATATGATATATATATATATATGATATATATATGATATATATATATATACATTGAAGCTTCTGAAACTTCAAGCCACACCCCCCAAACTTGGCAATCTTAGCTGACTATGGATCTAGCCATTGCCAATCCGCTCATGATGCTTAATGATGCCGAGAAAATTATAGGAATCACCTGAAATCAGGAATAGGACCAGGACTGGGATAGTTGTCCCTATTAATTAATCATCATTCCAGTGACGTCGCAGTGAGGTCGTTACAAGTCAGCCACATATATATATATATATTATATATATACATATATATATATTATATACATCCCCAATTATATCATATTATATCCCTATGTTCCCCAGTTTTCTTGCTGAAATCCCAGCATAGTCCCAATCTATCCATTAAATAGTGATATTTTCACCCATATGCATCGACTCCAGCGCCAGTGAGGTCCCAGTGAGGCCTCCTCAGCATTGCCCTGCCCATCTCCCTGAAGGCGGACATCTGAAATTGATGAGATTTCAGGTCACACATATGTCACATATGTATGAAATCCACAGAATAATGGACTTTTGGATGAAATGTTCTGAAAAAAAGGGGATTGAAGATTTGGGCGCGCAACTAAATTAATATGGGAATTTGAACACCCCAAAATGGTCCTTAAATGGAATGTAAAACTAAATCCACTGCATTTGCGGGTATCCTACTTGAGAGACAAACCCATGAAATACCTTCAACATCTTGAAAATAAGCACGTGAAAAAGATGACTAACATCTTGGAACCTCGAAGTATGTCTCAATTACCTTGAATTTGGAGCTTTTGACCCCATAACATAGGGGTGTCATTATGTTTCATTGGCTAAAGTAGGGGATGTTTCGGCTCTATTTGGAAACAGGGATTCCCAAGATTATTGGAAACATGCTGGTCCGTCTGGCCTGCCGTAGCAGGGGATGGGACAATTCTCCAACCGTCAGGCTCCAAATAAAAAGCGTTCGAAGCACTTGGCTGATTTGATGTTATTCAGCATAGAATCGAATTGTCATCAGGAAAGGTGGCATGAAAAGTGACTCGAACAATGGGTCAAGAGTTCAGACACAATGGTAAGATGTTGAACACCAATCCAAAAAAAATCGGCTATGTCAAGGTTTTGGAATGACAAATCACCCATTCCATCCCATTCCCATTCCTTGGGATTCTCACTATCAATGAGTTATTCTCCCAGGAAGATGCCGTCAGGCCCAATGTGATTTGCTGTGCGATCTCCAAAAATTATCTCTGAAGGTCCATTGTCATTGGGTCGGTTTGATGGAAAATCTACCCCAAACTGTAGTAGTAGTAGTAGTAGTAGTAGTAGGTTGGTTGGTTGGTCGGTCGGTTGGTCGGTCGGTCGGTCGGGCGGGCGGTCGGTCGTTCGTTCGTTCGTTTGTTTGTTTTGTTTTGTTTTTTTGATGATAAATTAAACAGTATTCTGGGAACGTGGCATCCATTTCTTTGATGGACAACATATGACTCATCTGACAGTAAGAACACATAAAGCACCCCCAAATCCCTGGTGATTGGTGGGTACGTACGTGAGGTTATACAGTAACCCAAGATCTTGCAATGATTGTTGATTGGTAAAACATGGTAAAGCACTAGCTATACTCTCCAAACACAGGATAAAATTAAAAATTATGTAAAAAATGGGATAGCAAATAACCTTTGGAGTGCTCACCATATTCCTTCCCAGCTCCCATTCCTTTTTACGGGGGCACCATGGCCCTGTAACGTCGGCTGAACGACGGAGGTGCCACGGCTGGGTTCCCCGCTGAACGAAGGCCATTTCGAGGCAACAGAGTCTCGAGGGGCTCCATTAAAAGCGGCACGAATGCTGTGCCATATCTCAACTCATCTTTAAATTTCACATCTTTCATGCTCACTTAGACGACTTAGATGGTTCCGTTTGGGCCAAAAAACTTGATAAACAAAGACAGAAACTATAGTTTTTTTAAAAAAGAAATGGTTCAAAGGACATGTCTTGAGCACCCTCCCAACAGGTGATACCAGAAGATAAATGGGATATCCATCTCCATTGAAATAACATTCTTAATGACATTCCGGATACTTGTGGTTATAGATATACAGACGAAATATGCATAATAAGGATTAATTGGGAATAGATAGATAGATAGCTAGCTAGCTGGCTAGCTAGCTAGGTTGGTAGATAGCTAGCTAGCTAGCTAGATAGATAGCTAGATAGATAGATAGATAGGTAGTTTTCTAGCTAGGTAGGTAGATGGATAGATAGTTTGCTAGGTAGCTAGCTAGCTAGGTAGATAGATAGATAGCTAGGTAGCTAGCTAGCTGGGTAGATAGATAGATAGATAGATAGATAGGTAGCTAGGTAGGTAGATAGATAGATAGCTAGGTAGCTAGATAGCTAGGTAGATAGATAGATAGATAGATAACTAGGTAGGTAGTTAGCTAGGTAGCTAGCTAGATAGATAGATAGCTAGGTAGCTAGCTAGCTAGCTAGCTAGGTTGGTAGATAGATAGATGGCTAGCTAGATAGATAGATAGCTAGGTAGCTAGCTAGCTAGGTAGGTAGATAGATAGATAGACAGCTAGGTAGCTAGCTAGCACGCTAGGTAGATAGATTCATAGGTAGCTAGGTAGGTAGCTAGATAGATAGATAGCTAGGTAGCTAGCTAGCTAGGTAGCTAGGTAGGTAGATAGATGGATAGCTAGGTAGGTAGTTGGCTAGCTAGGTAGATAGGTTGATAGATAGCTAGGTAACTAGATAGCTAGGTAGGTAGATAGATAGATAGATAGGTAGCTAGCTAGCTAGCTAGATAGATAGATAGCTAGCTAGGTTAGAAGATAGATAGCTAGCTAGCTAGATAGATAGATAGATAGCTAGGTAGCTAGCTAGCTAGCTAGGTTGGTAGATAGATAGCTAGCTAGATAGATAGCTAGGTAGATAGCTAGCTAGCTAGGTAGATAGATAGATAGCTAGCTAGATAGATAGATAGATAATAGCTAGGTAGGTTGGTAGATAGATAGATAGATAGATCGATAGGTGAGATGATGGAAATCACACGTGGAACTCTCTGAGACAACGTTGCCACTTTGGCCGCAAAAAGGATTGAAATCATTCATGTCCTGGGTTGACATCTTCTGCGATTCAATGTCGAAATTTAACATGATACAGGACGCATGTGTGTGTATATGATACATGATCTATCTATTGATATAATGTGTATATATATATGAGTGTGTTCACTCTATGTATATAAATCGATTCCATGCATTCTGTATATTACCTTCTCCAAGCAATGCTGCGCATTGATGATCTACTGAGTCATTCTGCAAGATCCGTAACAAATCGCAAATCGCAGAAAATGCGCAACAGTTTCACTGCAACAGGACACCCTGTTCAAGATGTTCCTGACTGACTGGCAGCTTTGTGAAGAGATATGACTTCTCATATCTCCGGGTTGGTGGCTTCAACGCACCTGAAAAATATGCAAATATGCTTTGGGATTATGAAGATAGAAAGTCTGTGAAACCACCACTGACTAGACTCACATTTGCCAGCAATTCAGCTTTGATCCGTTTGCAATGCCTGCGTGCGAATCCGAATTTGTCTTCAGACAATCTACATCCTCACCTCAGCAGCTGGGGATTCAACAAGGTCAACGACCAGGCATCCAAAATGGGACACAACGACCTGGTTTTTTCCATCAGAATCACAAAAATTCTCCGGGGAATTCCCACTTTGGAAAAATGGCTTTGTCTAATAAGGGTACCCAAAATAATTAGTGGTTGATCATGGTTGATCATCATGTCAAACAGCCATTGCCACTGAAGGATTACCAACGAAAACTGGCCCACCATTCCCGCTGCTCCAATTGAGCCATGAAAAATACACTGATACCACCCCATGAAATATTGGGAAAGAAAACCTCTGAAAGGAGTGGTAATATATTGTGATTATCTGCAATAAAGGGTAACCCTATATCATATATCTTAGATTCACACACAAATCACTTACTGTATCCCACAATTATCAAATTACCCTCTGGTAATCAAACGTGGCTTGCTGGGAAATCCACCATTTAGTTCGATGAGTTTTCAAGCTATAAACCTTCGTTTATAGGGGTTCGATTACGAGAGGATATATCATGATATATCCCAGTAAATATCCCATTAAGCATCCCGATAAACATCCCATTAAGTATTCATGATTGTCATTGATTCGCTATTAGTAACCATTGTTTTTGCCATTATATAAATCCCATTAGATCCCTCTCAAATCCCATTCTTCCCCAATGATGTCATGCTCCCATTGAATCCCAGTGAGTTGTTCGGAAATCAAGGGGATCATGGGATCATCCTCCACTCAACACCCCTGCCGTCCAGGACGCCCTCCATCGGACCACCACTCTCCGCACTGTGCGTCGATGTCAGGTCGTCCTTTTGTGCGTCCCGAGGACCAAAGAGATGCAGCGGCTGTACCTGCCACGGGAGGATTCCTGTAAGGATAGATGGGAAATCCCAGTAAAACTTAGTACAGTTATGTATGGTCATTGTATGTAAATGTGAAATGACATGAAAGGAAAATACATCAGGATGCCACCAGCGAACTGAAGTGGTCCTAAATGCTCAAACACGAACCTGACAGGATACAAAGAAAAATCTTGTACAATGTGATTTGAACATCCACAGGCATGTTAGAAACCGGTTTATCTTTAAAAAATAGAGGCATTGACTGATTCACTCGCAATCTATGACCATTTGAAGCGGGAAGACGAGGTTCTGCACCGATGGATTTAGAGGTGTCCTCATTTAAAAAACGCTTGGATGATGCTGGAAGTTTGAATTCATGCCTAGTAACTAGCTATAATAATCTCCTTGCAAGTGTAATACTTCATGGGCTATATGATATATGGGTTATAACCTGCAAACCATTTGGGTCCTGCCAAAAATGGGGAACATCTTTAAACAATATCCATAGGATTTAGGGATACACTTTTTTCAGATAAATATATATACATATTTTATCGGAAACTGAGGAATCATTGTTTTTTCAGTATGGTGAATCGCCATCAAAGAGGTAGGCAGCATCACTTTGATTGATTTTTTGTTAACCCGCCTCTAAACAATTTGGACATATGTAAACAACCCATGGAAAACACCATGGTATAGGCATGCAATACGCCGGATTGATACATATCTTTCTAAATCTTTGTTCTTGCAGCAGAGAGCCATCTTTCTGTACGGAGGTCAGGGGGTTGATGTGCTACCAAAAAGAATACGGGAAATAGATGGAAATAGTCCATGATTCATGCATTGGATCATGATGTCATTGAACATCATCAAACCTTCAATATATATTCACCCGATTTCACCTCAATCCAAACCATCATTGATTATTGATACATCATCATGCTTAGAAATTCCCATCTCTTCGACGCCAAGGTGCGGGGCATGCACCTTCAAAGGGGCAAAGTCGAGATAGCCGAGCACCGTCCGCGGCCGTTCCCTTCACCTTCTCGCCGCACCTGATGAACTTGCCTGGGCAAGAAAGGCTACCATTGGGTCGGGGATTTTGAGATTTTTCATGGAGTGTGCCTAAAATTCATGCCATTGCTTAAAGAGGAAGAATAAGGGAAACATGATAAATATATATATATATACATATAGAGAGTGTATATATATATATACATATACATACATATATATATATATGCGTATAATATGAACAAACTGAGGGATTTTGTGTGGAGTGGGGCCCTTAAATTATGGCATTTTTTGGAGAGAAAAACATGGTTAACCAGTGGATGTAGGGGTAATTATTCGATCAAGTCCCAACATTTGCCCAGCGCGTCAAATCATTCTATTTTCTTGACAAACTCATGGATATGGATCAAGTGAAAATATGGGTATGACAGGGGGCCCCACATTCGAAGCGGGTCATGTTTAGGATCAAAAACCATCCGTGGCAATGGCCATTGGCCCATCATTGGCAGGTCGCTTAAAAAGTGCAGTTCAATCGCAGTGATGGTGAACTACTAATGTTTTGACCAACGAATCAGTACACAATCTATCCCATGGTTTCTGTATGTTCGATAGTCTATGTTTGATAGTTTAGTGATAGTGTGATTGCTGAGCTTTAGAGATTCAATATATATATATGTATATGCATATATATATATGTATTATGTATATGTATGTATATATATATGATGAAATGCTATTAAAATGCCAAAGGAAATCACCAGATTGAATCCTCAGTTCCCCATCTCAGGTCAAGCAGCTGCATAGATCTTTGAAGGGCGGAAAAAACTTTTGCATTGCAGCCTGAAGAAATTCTGAGCCGGAAAATAAGATACTTTGGGTTGAAGAAACATTTACTAATCCCGTCCCCCTATTACTAAACCCTCCCCAAATAATAAAAACTAGGGTCCATCTTTAATCTTGGAAAATTTCAGATTGGCCAATTTGACTTTTTATTGATCCCCTTTAGAAGACAATTTAAAAATAAAGCTACCATTTGTGGGCTTCGCCCCCTAATAAAAAAAGAAAAACTAGTTAACCCGGGGTGTTTATTATTAAGGGCTGTCCGATTTTTTTAGTTTTCTATATTAGGATTTTTAATTTAATATTAGAGGGAAGCTTCGAAATCCAATTTTTGGCAATATTTTAATTGGGTTATAAAAGGAAATTGAATTGATTTTGAAATCGACAAACGTAGTTTTTTTTAATTAAGGGTTTAAATTTATTATTAGGGTCCGCTTCGAAATCCAATTTTTGTGCATATTCTAATTGCGTTATAAAAGGAAATTTAATTGATTTTGAAATCGAAAAAAAAATATTAAGGGTTTTAATTTATTACTAGGGTCCGCTTTGGTTCCCGAATAATAGATACCCCCCAATAATAAAAACTACCTGAGGTGTTTATTATTTGTTATTATTTGTGGGGGGGGTTAGTATTAGGGGGAAGGGATTATTGAGGGAAAACATTATTGAAGATGTGTTTCGGTTTTCCTATTGTTTGCATTGCAAGAAAACACGTTTGGATGGTAAAATATGCTAAAATTGTATAAAAAATCACGTTGAGTTGGTGATGATGAACTTGAATGAACTTGAGCCATCCGAATGGTTGCGATCGAACCGCTGAAAGAACCGATGGAAATCCCTCATCGGATGGTGCCAAAAAACGTTTCAGAAAACTGCCCCCGGGCCATTCCAAAGGATGGGACCGTCCTGTTGGAATTCCCCGTGATTTTCCGAGAAAATTCATGGGATGTTTCTATTGCCAGGTTGGACCTCAAAGGCTGGATTCTTCTCTAAGAGATCAGCATTTTTATTGGCGGTATAGCCTGTTTTTTTTTATGAAAGAGTGGGATGGTTCGAATCATCCAACTTGCTATTTCTTCAGGTTTTTCTTTCAACTACCATCTGGTAATTTAATAATATTTAACATAGCTATGGAAAATGAACATTCTTAATAGATTATATAGGTGTGTAGATCATTGAACTAGACAAGTGGGCCATGTTCCACAGCAAACTGTTAAACAATCAAAGGGTACACACACACCAATTTTACCATCAAACCCCAAACATTGTCTTTGGAAAATCCTTTTACTACATATTATATGTATATATATATATATATCTATATTATCACTATAAGACTATACTGTAGGACTATACCATAAGACTACAAGATATAACTATTTTGAGGCTTCCATGTTAGATTACAGAGCTTCCACGTCTTAGGGGCCATTCGTTCCATGCCCTGCCAGGGGCCCATGCCGCCTGTCGTTCTGCCGGCGACATTCTCATGAAGAGGAAGGACCTCTCCGCATAAGGCTGGAAGACCTGCCGCTTTGTTGCTGGAGATACCCAAGGAGTTGAGTTCATGTGGTGAAATGTGGTAAACACCAGTGAAAACCATTCCTGATATCACCAGTTTTATGGCTGGTAACAATCATCCGCAAATGGTAGGTTTATTATTGGGTTTACCACATGACTTGAGACGTATTTCTGAAGTTATCCTGCTGCTAAATCGTTCGCATAGATATGGAAAATGCAATGATTTCCATGCCTCTTCAATGCTAGAATTTGAGGATGTTCCATATCATCTATATTATATAGTTTACTATAGTTTACTAGAGGCTAAATCCAGATTCTTCATCATCCCATGTGGAACTTCGGGGCCTGGATCGTTCAACTCCCCGTACCGCCGGGGGGATGGGCGGTACCGCCCATGCTGGTTGTACCACGTTCACAGCTGTCGCACTGCTGCTTAAATGGGCGGTAAATGCCCTCAATTTCGAGGCCAAAAAAAAACAGAGTGTTAGTGTTTCAGCAAAAAAGGCATCAGCAAGAGGCGTGGAATTTGGATGAATCTGGCATATATTGCAGTGCAAACCCTGGTGAACCCAATAATAAACCATCCCCAAAATCATCACACATGGGTGGCATAAACTATCCCCAGTCATGGTAGGTTCATTATTGGGCTTACCACATTCGAAAAAACAAATAAACTATAAATAAAAAACGGCAGTTGTTGATAGTTAAAATTCCAATACCCGTTGGCAATTGAACATAGCAATGGAAAATTCATGAACATGGTCCATTTGTAATGATTGAAACAAACACTTTACCTATTGACACTTGATACCCATACCCTCTGGTGAACTAACATAGCAATGGAAAATCACCATTTTTAATGGCAATATCCACTATAAATGGCCATTTTCCATTGCTATGTCAAATTTCCATAGGCTAAATCCCCTTCTTCCAGGTAACGCTGAAGAAAAAATCGATCCCGCTCCTCGATGTCCCGACGACGTCCTCGTGGACCCAGCTGTAAACGACACACCTCAAGGCCTTGGCCAAACCTGAGTGCAGATCCCCGGGGCTAACCACCCATCGGCATCCAAGGTGTAAAGGACAGGGCGGATAGAGTCTTCGGGCTTCTGACTTAATTGTTTACCCAAACAAATACGTACTGAAGTTATCTTAAGTTCAAATCTTAGGGTGACTTTGAGGACAATGTGTGAATAACGGTTAATGTTTTATTTATGGCTGAGATCACCGTACTATATACTCCAAGTACAAACAGTGATGAGATCAAAGCAAGAGAAATACAACCCAGAAAAATGGGGTACCGGATGGTACCGGGCACAAGCAACAAGAACTAGATTCTAGATGTGATCCACGAAATGAGGAAGCAACCTCCGAAAATGGGGATAGTCGTAACCGAGGGGGAGCTATTTGGGATGTCGGTCAAACATGGGCAAAAGTGGACTCAGGCTCTACTTCAACTCATAGTCAACTGTATATCCAAGACCTGTTCAAACTTGCTAGATTTTCTTTCTTCACCATTCCTTGGGGGATCTTCAGAAAACCTACCAATCACAGAACAACACATCTCGGCAGCTTGCAGCTCAGCGAATGGCAATCTTGGGAGAAATCTCCTCACCATCAATATAGTTGAGGTGTTTACTTGGGGGTGCATCCCATTAGTAAATGGTTAATAAGCCACATATAGCTCTTATAACTGATGATATATCCATATATAGCTGGCATATACTAGGCAAACATTAGCCACTTCGTAGGTGTTTTCTGCACATCCAAGATAGACAAACCCCATTGGTTACCCTCTGGTAAACTAACATAGCTATTGAAAATGCCCATTTATAGATGGTTTACCTATTAAAAATAGTGATTTTCCATAGCTATGTTAAATTACCAGAGGGTAAACAAAAACAACCACTTCCGGTCGCATCAACGGCCCTTGGCCACGCAACGGTTGTGGCTTGCCTTGGGAGGAGTGCCAAGCGCAGACTCGCTGCAACAGGGCATGCCACAGCTGATACGCTTGCCAGGGCGAGATCTTGGAGCCTAGTGGCATGGGGCGATGATCATGGGATTGATGTACGCAAGTATTTTAATGAACGTAGACACCTAAATATAAAATATTAATGGAATACGTACTAATGTAGAATTTTGTAGATGAACTGAAAATTGGGATTTACAGTACCCTTAAGATATGGCCATTAGATACTACCATAAATATCCATAAATATAGAAAATCAGTAAAATGACGAGCCATGCACCCACTCCGAGGATGTGGAATTGGGATCTGTGACTGTGAGATATTTTACTCAGGCTAAAAAACTCAAAAAGATAGGGGACTATCGGGACTATCGAGTTTTGGATTCTACAATCAGCTTCACCTTCGACAGACAAGTCGACTCCTGGGAGCACCACAATTACCGGTCAGCTATTCCAACACTTTGGGAACCCAAATATGCACTTAAAAGATGGCATATTGAGATGGATATGTATATATATAGATAAATATCATTTTGTATAACATATATATTTATCATCATATACCTTCCGTATTATCTGTAAATGTTTGATTTATATAACCCAGCTATTTTCCGAACCGTGATTTTTCACACACAAGTCGTCTCAGCCCAGTTGCTTCTCTGAATATTTTTCGGAAGCCAACCATCCCAATAAGAGTCGACAATTAGCGATGGTCGCATCATCATCCCATTTTAGGAACAGAACAGAGAACAACATCTCTGAACTATTAATTATTATCAATAATAGATAGATAATCACTGTAATAATAAATAGATAATCACATTAGTGTATTCACTGATAGATAATAACTTTAGCAAATTGATTCCACCATTTGTTTAACTATGCTTAACTCCACCAAACCAATACAAGAACTTGTTTGAAGTATTGCTGATAGCCCCGTACGAAAATTGCTACTCAGTTCGAACCCCATATCTATCCACGTATCTTGATGGTTAAATCAGTTAAATCCCATCAAATATGATAGGTTTCACAGGTTTCACCCCCAATGTTGGTGGCTTCCCAAGGATTTTGGGGCTTCACCCAGCATCGCCACCCGCCTTCGCTGTAGCCCTCGAAATCCCCATGATCCTCATCTGGGTCTGTGATCCAAACCACTTCCTGGTGGCAGCTCAGTCATGATGAAATCCCGCCGTTTTTCATGACGAATTACTACCATCTGGTTGTGACTAACAGTTCGCCATGGTATAGATGGCCCATTGAAATGGTTTACCGTTCTTAAAAATGGTGGATCTTTCCATCTTGGCCATGGCTATGTTAAATAACCAGAGGGTAAAATCCCAATGTTTGTTGCATTCAATTTTGGTGTTAAATCCATGTTGGTTAAGAGTTGCCATTTCCTAAACTAACAGTTCGACCCTAAGAATGGCCCATGTGTAGATGAACAAAGTCTTCTGACCGAGAGTATATGTTAGTTCGGGGAATAGTAAGTAGACGTAAGTAGTTCAATCCCGATTATTAGATGGCTAAATCCTTACCAGATGCTCAACTCGGGCATCGCCCTGGGATCCGATCCTCTTGGTTATCAGCGAGACGGACAATTCAACAGGCCAATCCGCCACGGCTTTTGCGACGATTGACGCGGACTTTGCTCCAAACACGTTAAAACTAACAACTATATGGATGTCCTTGAAATGAGGTTTGGTGGAACACAATATATCAAGTCTGCCATGTCATGCACCCAACAAGTTTTTAAGGTGTGTAATTCCCTACGTATGCGTGTTGTCCATTAAGGGACAAAAGCAATTCGATCAGAACATGACTCTGAGATCAACACTGCATTGTCTCCCTAGAGAACGACCCGCATCACGTGTAGATTTTCTGAACGCGTGGAAAAATGAGGAATACAGTAGCTTTCGTATATCACGGGTTTCCAAGAAAGTTCAAGGCGGGACAACAAATCGGGTGATCATGTGTGTGTAATCAGCCCAACCAGCTCTTGCATGAAACAATCTTGACCCAAGCAAGTAAGTGCATCTTCCAATCCATCTTCCCCAACAAACAGAAGTTTAAAAGACATCTGCAATATTGAAATTCAACAAAGCTAATTACTACTCAAACAGGTTTAAGAATAGGGTGCCTTTCTTGGTCAAAAGAAACATTGCCATTTGGTGCACAAGACAAGCCAATTGGGGGTCAATGAATTTAGATACCAATCTAAAAGTGTTCAGTTCGAACCGCAGTCTCCGGCAGCAATCCCAAAAAATCTCCGTTGGGGAATATTACACATATATCAGGTGTAGTGTACTTGCAATTATTCCATGGTATTCCCATATAATCGTTGGTTTGATACCAATACCCTCTGGTGAACGTGTACATCACTATGGAAAGATCCACCATTTTATGGGAAAACTCACTATCAATGGCCATTTTCCATAGCTTTTTCTATGTTTACCAGGCCGGGTCTCTGGGTGAAAAATCCCCGGGGTTCCACCACTGATTTAAACAACGCCAGGCAGCGCTGTCACGGTGCCAGCTTTGGGTGGAAATGACACCATGTTCGGTGAACATGCCCCAGTGCATCGCCACATGTGCCACGGCCGGCAGGGCAAAGCCATACCTGATATTTGGAGATCTATGTATGTATATGTATATATATATATATGGAGGTAACTATCTATAAATTAGGAAATAAACCAGAGGATATATTTGTAGACATATTCTAATATCCATCTATACCTGATATATGGATAAATCATGTAATGTTTGTAAGAGGTAACTATCCCAAAATAGCCTTATTGTATCTTATTATCCATATTTCAGGTCAGTGAATTATTGTAATTTATCCAGAGATACTTGGTGGATCATCCCACTTAGGAAGTAGCTTAGTTCACCCTAGTTACAGTATAAGTGGATTAAGCCTAGTTCTCCCACTTATGACTAGGGATATCACCTACTAAGTAGGATGATCCACCAAGTATATCTGGATAAATTATAATAATTGAACGGACCTGGAATATGAATATATAATAAGATATAATAAGGCTAGTTTGGGATAGTTACCCCTTAGTAATCATCATTCCAGTGAGGTCCCAGTGAGGTCGTTACTATATATATATATATACATGCATATGTTTGTCTATGTATACATCATGCAACAAGAATCATGATCATAACAATACTCATGCCAATATGGATAACAACAACAACAACAAATACATGTGTAACTATATATATATATGGTAGATGTATATACCAGAAACGCACACTGCATATAAATAATACATCACGAAACAACATACTTAGAGACTCAGAGAACAATTTTCGTAGAGTTCTGATTTTGAATCAGACCAATCAGCCTGCCCAAAACCAGGATGGATAAGACTGGAAAATGACCAGCTTCTGTTTTCCACAGGGTCTTCCGTTTTGACCAATGCTGACATTGCTTTGCGCAATCTCTTTTTCTAGGTCAGCCCCCACTAGTCATCCATTGTATTCATACTCCATCATAGTACTATGAATGGCTGATTTGCAGCTTGACCCCCATCTGGGCAAATTCTGACCGGTCACGTTGTGATCTCGTTGTGAGGTTGCTATAAATTTGGCACTTCCCAAAGCTTTGGCCAAGGGGCCGTTTCGGGATGGTCGAACCACAATCCAATTCCCATCGAAGTGGTGAGGTCATGGAGGGAAAATTTCCCACGTTGCAATCGAAACCCAGATCTCCCCTAAAATGAATATGGTTTTACAACAGAAAATCCATGAACATCCGATGCAAAATGGGGGTACCCCCTTAGAAACCAGGCTTTTTCAGGGAATTTCCACATCATTGGCACCATAAAATGGGACCATTTATGGGGGGCCTTAATATTGGGGGCCTGGGATTCTCCCAAACCACGCCCCAACGACCAGCAGTGACCAGCAGCAACGGCTGGATCCGGCGCAGGTCGAACTGCTGACGCCACCAGCGAGAAACCGAGCGCAGTTGCAGCAGTTGCAAGCTCTGCTCCTCTGACGCCTTAGACGCGAAAGGGGAGCGATACGTGCTTAGGAATGGGTAATTCAAATGTGTATATATATATATATATGTGTAATATAATGCAATATATACCATAATTATTTATATATATATATAATATATATATATATATTTGAGATAGTGTAAAGATGTGGTGTATGTCGGATACTTGTTTTATATTATATCAATATCAATTTATATCAAGAAATGTCAATAATGATCAAATATTATATATATATACGGTTTTTGGTTTTTCCATTGCTATTTGATGGTTAATAATGGCTATTTAGTTGTAATTACATGTAATTACTGGATAATAATGATTACAAATGGTTCATTATGATGTATTGGTGAGGAATGGTTAATGATCATAAGAATGTTTAAATACTTTCCAGGGGCAATATAATGGTTAATAATGGTTAATAAGAATTAGCACTGATGAAATAAATTGGTTATTTACTTGCAATGGTGAATATGACAAATGATGGTGAACAAATATCATTATTATGGTGAATCATCATCAATCATGTTATTGCTTGCAATAAATGATGATTCCCATCCCACACTATTAAATACCCCCATATCGGCTCCCAAAATGAGCAAATCCAGTACTGTTTCAGAGGTGTTGGGCTCAGTGGACGCTGCTTGTTTCACGTAACGCGCAACGTAACCACTACATGAAATTCATCAACGGTAGGATTGAGGTCACTTAATATCTTACGTATAGTTCCCCATGTTGATGTAGTGAAACTTCACCGTTTGGTGGTTGGATAGTGGCTATTGATGTCGTATAGCCTCGCAAAGTGATATGGATTTGCACAAAGAAATGGGGTTTGATATCAACAAGACTGGCGATGCAAGCAGTAATCATAGGGACAGCAATGATAAATCAACCAAAATCAACCTGGTCAGCAAATCAGAATGGATTGTACCCTCTGGCAAACGAACATAGCTATTGAAAATGGCCATTTATAATGGATTTACCCATTAAAAAAAGTGATTTTCCATAGCTATGTTAGTTTACCAGAGGGTAACAATCTTGGGCAAAACACAATCAGGTTCAACACCGAAAAGGCACCATTCTTTGGGATGATTGCCCGTATCCATAGGGGTGCAAGGAGTAGTATGGTCATCCATCCCAAATGGGAATCTTTCCAATGGGTAAATATGTATATATATATATATGTTACTTATTTTTTATTTCCATATATCTATCCATCTATCTAAATATCCATCTATCTACTGTATCTATCCATCTATGCATCTATCAATCTATCCATCTATCCATCTATCCATCTATCGATTATCTATCTATCTATCTATCTATCTATCTATCTATCTATTGATCTATCCATCTATCTATTTATCCTCATATCTAGGTATCCATCTATCCATCTATCTATATATCTATTGATCGATCTATCCATCTATCCATCCATCTATCTATCTACCTATCTATCCATCTATCTATCTATCTATCTATCTAGCTAGCTATCTATCTATCTATCGATCTATCTATCTATCTATCTATCTATCCATCTATCATCTATCCATCTATCTGTCTACCTATCCAGCCATCTATCTATCCAGCTATCTATCTATCTGTCCATCTATCTATCCATCTATCTACCTATCTATCTATCCATCCATCCATCTATCTATTCATGGATTCATAGTCATTCCCCAATATTCGATAAATAATGTGTCGACATGTGTCGACCATGGCACACATGACATCAATGGGGGTTTGGCTGGCAGGTGAGATAGAGACAATCTGCTAAAACACAGACTTTAGTCACATTCCTGTCTTACTTTATCATATTTAATATGATACCGTATCATAGTTTATTATTGATATGGTTGTCATTGGAATGCAGCAAAAGGGGCAATGTGAGAAAACGAAAGGTCCCAGTCCAGCTTTCCTTGTCATAATTTTGGGGATAGATAAGCGGAGGGTCACTCAAAATCTTATTCCTTTCTTAATTTAGTATTGGATGCAGTCCCACAATTAGGCCCAAAGTTGTGAAAATGCTTCACGGTTTTACAGCGGCTGGAAAGCTGTTTTTGGGAGTTAGGCCCCACTATGTGACCCAGTGCTCCGACATACTGAGAAAACCTATGTATACGCAATCATAAGTTAAGAATTGTGTAGTTCTACATGAGGGTCCCTCAATCTTTCAAGGTACGAGTGGCAATGATTTGATGCAGCCCCCAAGATACAGTTTTGATTGGAGCCGAGTCCATCAAATTCTTTTCACAGTGCGTGCGCTGTATACTGGCATTGTTGTTCAATATCATTGCTACCGATAAGTATCACTATAATGTGGGTAAAACCATGTCATAAACAAGCCATGACTGGGAATGGTTTTATACCACATTATACCACCTATATATTTATGGCGATGACTGGGGGATGGTTTATTATGGTTTATTGTTGCTTTACCTACATTAATCATGACTCTGCCAAGACAACCCAACCCTGATCTGATAGCAAGCCTGGTTCAACCCTGCAAAGGTGACCCAAGAATCGATAGCTAATCAGCCCTTAGTGCTTGGTGGTGTGTTTTTAATATGTTTTTAATGTTATGGATACAAATATAATTTAATGTCATAGTGATATATATACATATATATATATGATATATGTTATATATGATTACATAATATTACATATGTATAGTTAATGTTTAATGTAAATCATACAATTGCGGCACGGGAAAGGTAGCTGAGCGCGCCGCGCGAGTCAGCGCGCCGCGCGAGTCCCAGCTGAAACATCAGCCCAGCTGCACGCCCCAGACGACTTTCTGCAGGACAAGACGACTTAACCCAAGTACAGTACCTTGTATGTAACATCATAGGTATGTAGAATATGGATGCAATGCACTGCAATGTCTGTACAATATTGATCAATACTGATCTGGTAAACGCAGTCCAATATTATGATGATCAATATGATACTATCAATGATACTATATTAGTCCACAGTAATCATGATCCAATGCAATGTCTGTACAATATTGATCAATATTGATCAGTATAATGACAATATGATCAATATACTATCCCCAAGTCATCACCATTTCGCTTTCAGGCATCCACCAGGCCAGGCAACACAGCAATGCTCCCAGACGAGCATGCGCAGCGTGTGTTCATCCAGATTCAACGACGCCATCGCGCCGGCGTTGGATGGGCCAGATATAGCCAGATATAGCCAGATCAACAAAGAAAACTACGGGAATAAACGTATTTAAACACACCATCTTGATCGTTACAACTTGTATAACCAGTGATTATCGGCCATCTTCATTATTAAGCAGTTGCCAATCTAGCTTTGTTATGAAACAAAATCTATTGAGAACCACCAAGTGATATGATGATTCTATATTGATGTAAGGTTTCAGCTGGCAGGGCTCAACGGTTCAGATGGTTAAGTGCAAAGGCTGCTGGGGTGAGAGAGTTCTGAAAGTTACCCTTTGGTAAACTAACAGAGCTATTGAAAATGGTGATTTATAGTTGATTTACCTTATTAAAAATGTTGATTTTCCATAGTTATGTTTGTTTACCAGAGGGTATATAGCAAAATACCCAAAGCAGAATATCATCCTCGCAGAAAAACTCGCGCGGGTCTGAATTTGGGCTGGCTAAGACTACAAATATCGCTTCTTCACCAACATTGGTTCAAATGGCTCAAACTATAGATCAAAGATGGACCAGGGATTGGCCGAAAAGTAACTGAACCAACCACCCAGCGTGCTGTTTTCATGGCACCAATGGCTGGCTGCTAACCTGAGCCATGTAACTCTGCAGCGATAGCTATGTCAAGGCATGCGGTAAAGGCATTGAGCAACATGCCTTTCCTACCAATTATGAACCACTTGTGATCATTGGGAAAATCCACCATCTATAGATGATGTTCCTTTCATTTTGTTGGGATCTTTCGAGCAAATCGGGTCTGGGTGCCACAGGGTACAACCATTGAAATCTCAACTCTTTATGGTTTGCATCCAATTTCATTATTCCAAATGCATCCCAACTCTGATTTCATATCACAAGTATGTTTGATGGCAAAAAAACACCAGCCTTCAGTAATCCAAACCCAAAGGCATTATTTGTTTCAGTGAAACTCCAACTCTCCACGTTTCATGATTCATCGTTAAAATCCGAATGCCCAAGTCCTTGGTGATCCAAATCAGGGACGAACCCCATGGCTTTGAATAGACGAATCCCCATTCCATCCCAGGGTTCATTATCATGCGCCCTATCGGCCCTAGATGGCCGTGGATTGTAACAAAATCGTTCGGATCATTCTCCCTGTCATTATCCCTGTGGCCGAACAATATTGGCCTATTTTCATGATTATTATTATTATCATTCATTGTCCCTATCAAATATACCATTTTCAAAGAAACCCATCAAGTTATTGCTGGTTACTGAATCTATCATTCAATCCCATTGAATCACTAATAAATCCCATGAAAAATCACCATTCAATCCCTATTAAGTTCCTTGAAAATCCCACAAAATCGCAAAATCCCAAAAAAATCCTATAAAATCCCATTAAATTCCATTTAAAAAACATAAGATCCCTACAAAATCTCACAAAAATCCCATCCCCATCCCCGGCTGCAACCTCTACGGGACCACCCCGCCGCGTCAGCAATGCATTCAGCTGACTGGCGAGGTTGGGCGGCTCCGGCGCCAACGAAGTGGGTGCAAAGGAAGGCGTGGCCTGCCAGCCAGGGAATGTCATGAAGGATGTGGATATTATGAAGGTACATAGATGTGTATATAGATCACCATATTATGTATATTATATATATATTATATTATGATATTATATTTATATATTATGTGCACACATACATAATTCATATAATATGTCAGAATATGATAGAATATGTCAGACATGCCAGTACATAAATCGACTTGACAATGATTTCAAATAACCAAAAGCTCGTTGTTGAGTGGCAAATCCATGGTGCAAACAACGACTGGCTGGCGGCTCCAGGCTATAAACATGATGTTCACACCTTGCTGCGCACCCAAGCCCAGCCCCACGCGAGTCATTGTGTATCATTCTCCAGTTTTTTCTCGGATGCACACCAAGCATATGGATAAGTTACAATCATTCACCAATCTCAACAGTTTCGCAGTTTGGGAACAATTCCCCCAATCCAATTCCCATCATTGTGGTGGCGTCGCGACGTGAAGTCGTTATAGCCAGAACTAGTTGGAAGGCAGATGTTGTTTGGTGGCCAAACCAGCCACAAGTACTTGGGTATGATAATCAATGATAATGGGTCAAAATTAGGTACCCCAACAATTGGATGGTTAATACTAAAGTAGACTAACATCTGTGGTCCCCTAGGTCTTCCATTTTGACCCACATCCACTTGTCAATGGGTATAATGTGGTAGTACAACGGCATAATCCGCCCAAATAGGCATGAAACATGGCTGAAACCTAAAACGGCTCAAACCTCACCGGCTTGGTCTAAACCGAAACCATACGATACCATGGGACCTGATGTGGCGAAACAACTAGTGTCGAATTCTGTATTCAGTTGAGCAGTTGAGCCGCAACAATGTCCATAAACGTCTTGAAATTGGAAAATCAATGCTACAATTTTCAGAAAACCCCACATGATCAAAACTACATCACCAAGTTCGGCCTCCGCCTCACCCCAGTCAGCGGTTTCATCGGGATCCACAGCCTGCGCCATCCAAGTTCTTGGGATTTGCAGTGCTTAACAGCCCAGGGGGCCCAGGGGCCGACTGTTCGGGGAATTCAATGTTTCAATAGAACCACTGCCATTCATAAATTTTCAGGAAAAACCACAAAATAGCCTTACTTATCTTACTTTGTTGCACAAAATCACACTCTCACTTCACATCCAAAAGGTTTGTTGCTTCACCCAAGAAACACAACCCCCTACCAGGCAGCCTCCTCTTCGACCTCTTCCGTGGCAGGACTGGCAGCCACTGCGGGTGTTTCTGTTTCGCCCAGGAAGTCCTGGCAGGTTTTCAAAGTCGTGTGTATATTTCTATATAACATTTAATGGGTGTTCTAAGTTGCAAAATGCAATACTTTCTGGATCTAGTGTGAAATGTTATAAAAAGTCTACCTGCCTTTACACAGAAATCTATACATCAGGGTTATCCATGGATTTAAAAAAACAACACATCAAAAGTTTTAAACCAGGCATACTAAGACTAAGACCTACGGGGTTCGATTTTAGCACATCGCCACGGTTCAACTTGGCGTGTCTGCAGTCAGGATTTTTCGCTTTAGAAGATCGGGTGTGCAATGATTTTGACCATCTTGGTAAACCCAGCCCAGCCACTTCCTGTTGTGGCCATGGTTGAGACCATCTTTCACCCACTACCGCCATAGGGAGCACCCCGTCCTCCACATTTCTGATGAACGAATTCTGCCAGGCCTTTTCGAAGGCTGCCCCTCTGTTGATCAGCCACTAAGAGGACATGGATGATGTTGGATCTCCGGACTCAACAACAACTGTGTATAACTGTATAACATATATAATATAAATATATATATATTATTCAATTTAATGATGTATGTATACTGTACAAGTATACATCCAAAGATCATGGTCATAAAATAGATGATGTACGTATGCTGGGCTAGGAAGGATGAAGCAAGCAATTCTCATCCCGATCCACTTCTGATCCCATCAAATCCCCAAGGGATCCCATACCCCATAGGAAAATGGTTTGGTTTTACATGCCCCATTTGTTGGCAAAATCCCGTAAATCCCACTAAATCCACATTTTGCTCCCATCAAATCCCATTGAATCATATGAAATCCTATATTATTTACCGACTAATTTCCATTAAAACCCTATTGTTGTTGATTAATCACTGGTTAAAAAAGAACACAATGTTTTCATTTTTTTTCGCGAGCCTCGCTGCCAATGACCGGTGGCAGCGGAGGCATCTCCTCGATCACCTCGATTCGTAATGGCCGCAGGCGGGCCGCAGGCCGTCTTCGTTGGGAATGGAGAGAATTTTGAACCAACAATGGATCCAAACAACTTTGGTTCAAAGTAACAAAGATAGTGTACTAACAATAAGAAATACTACGTATCTTTGGATCCAGTCATTGCAAAGATTCTACAACCAGCAACAACTTTGCAGCAATATAATCAATAACCAGCAATAATTATTGGAGATGATGATCAATAATTATTGGGATGATTAATGGATTATGAAGATTCTAACAAGCAACAACTTAGCAGCAACCATCAGCAACCAGCAGATGTTTCCAAAACCTGGTGTTTTACTTGGCAGGCTTTAGTTAATCATCCCAAAAAAGGTCCCAGCTCTGGGATTTTCCACTGGCTTCACCACCATGGAAAGCAGTAACAGTAGATAGACCATTTTAGGACCCCTCAAGTCGTCGCCATCTTCAAAATTCGAACATCATCTTGTAAAATCTAAAAGAAACCTCCAAACGTCCGAAGCCCTTTAAAAAAGTGTCCATCTTGCTGGGCAAATTATCATATGATATCATATGATTCACTGAAATCAAGTTTGTGGACCCATCACTTGGGGCAGATTTCCCTTGCCAGTGTCAAAAACTTACTGCTGAATCCCCCGCATATTGCGTGGGTTTTCATAGGGGTTCCCTGCTCTTGGATTATAATGCCCAAATATCTAGAGAATTCTAAAAAATATATAAAGGGTATAGTATAACATGGTATAACATAGTATAACCATGTATTAGTATATAGCCGCTACAGTAGAATAATCGACCAATTTGCTTTGTTTGAAATTGCTCAGTTGTTATCATTTATAGAAAAACTTAACCATCATAATCCCCTTTGATATGCCATAAATATGCCATAAATCAGTTCTTGGTTTTCTTCCCGGGAACCAAGCCTCCCATCCACCTCCGGGATTGGCGCGCCGCGTGCCTGATTCTCTACAAAGTTTTGTCCCAAGGACAAGGCCTTCTTGATCGCATCGAGTTCCACCTACGAACCGGATCCCTTCAAAAATGGAGGTCTCCATTCCGTGGTACCCCAGTCATCATCCAGGTTGATTAGTGATAATGGTGATTAGGGATGATATGGGAGGTTTCCGTTTTGTCATGTGGGTACCCCACTTATCATCCAGGTCATGGATGACTATGACTTTGTATTGAAACAACCATGGTGACTTGGGGATCTCCCATTTTTAGGAAACCCCCATATGAGGCATTTACATAAGTTTTACCCTGCAACGTGCGTGAGGGATTAAATGAGTCAACATGAGTTCATGAACGATCAGGAAATTAATTGCATTTCACCAACAAATGAGAGTATGAAACCAACCCTTTTATGGTGACATTCCATGGGTTTTCATGGGGGATATTTCACCAGCAATATGATCTGGCTTTGTTGAGAAAGGACATGTCCAAACGAATGAAATTGCAATGGAGAAACTGATGATGAATGATGAATCGCTTCGATTTTGGGTAGCCTGCCTTTAGGCAGACCGATATCACCAATGACACCTGATGATATCTGATGATATGGAGATGGAAGTTGATATCGGATCTTACGATGTGTACTGCTCTAGAAAGACGTGTAAGACTTACTAAGAGATACTCTTGTTTCAACTCTTGGCCGCCCTGAAGATAATGGTCATGAAAACATCCCCGTTCCTGTTGAGTATCCCGAAATCTTGAATGACTAAGAACCCCAATGACTGTTGGTTCATATGCTCCAGAACTGTCTGTGATACCAAAATAACTGATCTGCACCAAAGGAGCTGATTTTTTGAGTCATGAAACTAAGAACTTCTTGTGGGGCTTAGCTGACCACCGGTTCGCTAGACTTGCCAACACATATTAGATATTATATCATATATGATCTCCAAACACCATTGGTAAGCAAATTAAGAAAGAGACAAGGAACCATGGAGTCTATGTAGTTTCCAAAAGGTTTGAACAGGGTCTTGGTCGTCAGCCGGGCTTCATGAATTTCATGATCTATGGAAAAAAACATGTAGAAATCATGGGAAAACCTACTGGAAAAAAAACCACCAGGGGTTCACCGGCGCCCATGTTTGCCGCGCCTCAGGCACCGGCTCCACCAGACAGCTAGACCAAAGATCCTGCGATTTTGATCGGAAAGTTGCTGTGATTCGAAAGGAGTCATCCGATGTTGATCCATGTTGATCCTAAACGGTCCTAAACTGGGGGAGTTCACCTTCAAGAATTGGGATGAATCAGCATCAACACAAAGGTTTTTCTGATGGGTTGTAGTGAAAATTGCAATGTCAACTTCTGTGGTTTTAACCGTTTTTCATATTTTTTAATGATGAAAATCCACAACTATGGGAAATCCCAACCTTTCATGGGAAATGCATCCTATGGTACGACTAAGGTCGCCCAAGTCCTCCGTGAAAGCTGTCGGATCGACCTGGAAATGTGGAAAACTTTCCCTGGGAACACCTCAACCAATACCCATTGAATACCCCAATCCTCAACTTTGTTTCTGGCTGTGTTGGGTGCTGATCCATACAGTTTTTGATTCTGCTCATATTCTCAATGTATCATTTATAATTCTGAAGATGAGAATCAACGGGAATTTCAGGATCCTAAAATGGAGGTACTGTACCACATGTTTGGCCATATTTTGTTGGGATATAATGGCCATTGATGAGAAGTTGCCAGAAGATGCGGGGTTGATGGAAATGCCAAACACCTGGCTTGCACACGGACTGACCACCGGAAATACCCACCTTGTCAATCTGGGGTTCCCCAAGTGGTGAGAAAACTCTAGTATATAGTATACTATTAGTATCCACCAGAACTGGGAGAGATGTACTAAACAAACAGTCGAACACAATGGATGCACATGGAACTTGATTTCTTTCTGAATGCTTGGAATGCATGAGGCTCAGAAGTTCCCGCATGTGGGATATAGTGCGCCTCGCAGAAGTCACTTGTCAGTTGGGATCGTCATTGTCATGCCAAATATTGTTGAACATGGACATGAACTGTGTATTATCTTAACTTTTATACATACCCATTGTACCATTTACTACCATTTTATTACCCATTATACCCCATATCTTGGGGTTGAGTCCCCACTACTAGTGGGCAACTCCACCACCATGAGAAGTGTTTAGGGCCCACAATCCTGACAGAGAAGATTGAACAGTTGGACAGTCGGAACCTATAGGTTCGAACATACCATCTAGAATCTAGATGAATCGTTCGAACATCAAACATACTTCGTTCTTTATTGTGGTTGCTACCCCCAACCTGACATGTCTTACAAGCCCGAAGGAGTAGAATGGTCTCATAGCATGTGCAGGGTAGAAAGAGTATCTACACGATGGGGCAACGCATCCAGTATGAGACCTGGCTTCAAAGACGCTTAAAACAGCAGAACTTTGTTCCGCTGTTCGAATTGATCCACAGTAATACTAGTACAGCATAGCAATAGCATAGTACATCTGAGTGGTTTCAATCGTTTCCTCTTGGTGCCTTCGTGAGTGAAATCAGAGAAATCAGCAGAAGCTGGATCCTCATCATCCCCGCACCATCCCCATGCTGCACTTTCCCAAACATTACATGGCCAATCTTCGATCCCTAAAATTTGCTCAAAATATGCGGAAGACCAAAAAAAACTATCTCTCACCAGTTGGGTTACCCTATTTGTCAATGGCCGGTCATCTCTCCCATCAGATCGCCCTGCAGATCGTGCCAGAAAATCTGGCGCTTGGCTCACCTCTTCCTCTTCTGTTTGGATCCGATGTTCTAAGAACTGGCTTTGGGCCTCGCTTGGCGTGTCCGGGTCCACCGTGTAACATCCCAGGTTACAAGGGCTAATTTGGCTTGGCTAGAAGTAAAAAAAAACAACACCATGGCCTTCTGGAGATGTAGTGTACCCCAACCCCGGTTGGAGTACCCCTGCCACTTACCCTCTGGTAAACTAACATAGCTATTGAAAATGGTGATTTATAGTGGATTTACCCATTGAACATGGAGATTTTCCATAGCTATGTTAGTTTACCAGAGGGTAACCCTGCCACTTAGGGGATCTTATTGGCTCAGGCTTAAAAACGCTACGAAGCAAAAAGGGAAAGGACAGAATTCCCAGAGCCTGCACCCTGCTCTGTCCATCTCTGTCCCGCTGGGACAGCCCACCAGGACTTCCAAATGGCAGTTCGCCGCGCGGAGCTTCAACCCCACGGCCTGCGTTGGAGGACTCGTGGCAAGTTCTGAGCCGTTGAAAAATGGGTGCATTGGAAAGCTTTAAACGGAACCATGGCTTTATGCAGGAAAACCTGAGAAAACAAAAGCAGAGGTTGCTGCCAATTCTTCTCCCTTGAATTAATTTCAAGACCTTTACATCCATGGACTTAGGTGACTTTGCCAGTAGCGTTTGCGCAGTTTGGGGATGTTTAGTTTGACCCTTAGACATGGCCCATGTGGAGACCCCTAATTCGATATATCTACCACAAGAGTTCTTGGAATGATGTCTACCGACTTAGCTAGTGCACCACCTTGCACAATGTCAGGCCCCAAACTATAGGGAAGTTGGTTTAACTAGGCTATGGATGCTTATGATTTAGTGGTTGTTGCCATTTATCAACGATGCTCAACATTATCCCAATATCTTCCCAATATTGTCCATTTAAGTTGATATACTTATAATGTATAGATATATATATATATGTATAAGTTCCCAAAAGTAATTCAACTTTATATAGACTATATATATATATAATAGTCCCATTAACCACATCCCATGTATGGTAACTTACACTTGTAGATACTACATATGTCTCCATGACCTATACTTACAAACATTTATAACCCTCATGAACTACATTCCATATATGGTGGGTCAAAATCAAAGACCTGGAGGATCACAAGTTTTATATAATTTAGTATTAACCATCCAATGCTTAGGGGATCTAATTTTGACTTACCCTATGGTAAACTAAGATAGCTATGGAAAGTTGCCGATTTATAGATGGTCTGCCTATTCTTAAAAAAAATGGTGATTTTCTATAGCAAATTGTTAACAAATTACCAGAGGGTATATCAACATTAATCATCATTAATCACCATTGTGAACAATGATTAACTTTGATTGACTAAGATTAATCACTGGTTGGTGGGTTCAACCCCTCTGAAAAATCTTAGTCAGTTGGGATTATTATTCCCAATATATGGAAAAATATAAAACATGTTCCAAACCACCAACCAGATCATCATCATATTCCTGTTGTTGTTGGTTTATAGCCAATTAACCACTATTAACCCATCCCTATTAACCACTAGTAAATCACTATTACCCTCTGGTAATTTAACGTAGCTTTGGAAAATCACCATTTTTAATGGGAAATTCCACTATAAATGGCCATTTTCCATAGCTATGTTAAATTACCAGAGGGTAACCACTAGTAAATCACTATAAATCCCATTAAAGCAGTAAATCATTAACTGACCATCTTATACCATGCCATGTTTACGCCTCGGCTCGCTGCGATGATGCCAGCAGCTGCTTCTCCGTGTCTTCGGCCTGCCTGGAACGTCAACAACGAACATGGCAATGGAAAATTCCGAACTGGGCAATCATCTAACCCATAGGATCCATGTATGGCATATATATGCTAACATTTGGGCTATATTGATGGTAAATGTTACCTATAGCATACATGGATCCTATGGGTAATGGAGAATCTCTCCGAAAAATTGTTTCCGAAAGTCCATGAAAATCCACCATTGGACCATCGATCATTTCCAACAAAAAGTCACTGGATTGACCCAAGGCGCGAAAGCGAAAAGAAATGCCATCCATCGACCAGAATCACCCCTTGGGACCATCGTAGTAATGTGGGATTCGCCATGTTTACCATCAGTATCCATCAGTCATCACCATAGATTTCAACCCCCAGTGGCTTGCGGCCTAAGAATGCCATCGCGTAAAGATTGCAGGGCTCGCAGCAGCAGTTCGTCCTGGCCATCAGACTTCGGTGATCTCCATGGCACATCGGCATTCCAATGGTGCGATAAATCCATCAATTAAGACATGCGGATTTATCCTGAATCTCCCTATCTTGAGAAACATCACCTATAAATGTCTAGATATGTCTAAGATAAATGGTGGATTTCACATATGAGCTATTGTTTTTGTTGTTTGACCCCATACGCCATTTGAGTTTGTCTGAAAATTGGATACCCCTAAAATGCAGCCACTTCTTTCGCAAGTGTCCTAGAAAACATGTTATGTTCGGAACTTTGGGGGTATGCAATGTTTTTGGACAATCCCTATATCATCATATGTTTGCCATATATCCCCGGTGAAATGGTCGGCTTTATACCCCCATATTGGCCAAACTCATTACATCCCCATCATTTGTTATACAGAATGAGTATGTACTTATTGGTTATATAAATCAGAGTCCCATTCTATTCCATTGTATCCTACAAACTTGTTGGTTGCGACAAGTTACAAATGTATTCCATTATTAACCTCAGCCAATGGGGCATATCACTTATATCATGACATCCCAGTGGCTGATTCTATTGGCTGGTGATACTACCCCCAATCGGCCATAAATATCTCCATCATTGCAGCGGGGTTACCGAATCCCCAACGTCTACAAATCCTCCGTGAAAAAAAAAACATGTATACCTACTATATCGGCTGAATAATTTTCCAATGTTTAAGGACAACCCCATGACAATTTAATATGATTGGTTCTAAAAAAAATACTATATATGTATACATATAATAATTACATCCCCACACTCCCAATTTTGATGATATATATATATATATAATTACATATATATACTATTATGTACTCATATCGCAGGACAACCCATAATGTTCGTTGGTTATATATCCACATTCCAGATATAATCAAGGCTTGTTGGAAAATCCACCGTTTGGTCCATGTCCATCCATTTTCCCAGCTACCCTCTGGTAATTTAACATAGCTATGGAAAATGGCCATTAATAGTGGATTTTCCCATTAAAAATGGTGATTTTCCATAGCTATGTTAGTTTACCAGAGGGTATAAACCTCCATTTTCATCTCATTTTTAGTTCAGAAATTTCCCAGCTTGCCATGACTAGTCTGACTCGTCCCATCGACATCGATCTCACCTGAACCGCGTCCCAGGAATCGCCGGTTTGATGGAGTTGCTGAAGCCTCAGATGGTTGCGAAATCCTGCAGTTGATAGATGCTAAGCTGCTAAACATCCCATTATTTTGTTTGGGTTTCAACCATCCGTTTGGTGGTGCAGGATTTCACAACCCTCCACAGCAGGTTTCAATACTACGTTACTAAGTCATGGTCATGACTTGGATGATTTGGGGTCATAGGATTGGACAGCCTTATAAATGGATGTGGAAATAATTCCTGGAGTAGATAGAAGATGGACATTTCAAACCATCTTCATTCAGATGACAACGTCTCTCGTCAAGTCCCAAGTCCAAAGTCCTTGGGGGGTTTCCTGCGAATTCTTGTGCGAAAATAAAAGCCATCATAAACCCAACGTGTGCCATGATTCGACGTGAGCCCATCACTTGGATATTTTCCACAATCACATAGCTATATATGAAAAAAAAAGTGTAAATATGTCATTTCTAAGGACAAACCCATCTTGGACGGTTAAAACTTAAAACTATAGGGATGTTCTGACTGAATGCCCTCGACAACACCACCTTGGCTGCGGACACGGTGGTCACATCCATTGCGTCAAAGGCGAGCTATCTTAATGGCTATTTGAATGTTACTTTTGGAAGCCATATCAAGGTCTAGTTTGATCCAAAAGTTGAGGACCCATGCCCAAAAAGATCCAAGAGACTTGGAATAGTAAAGGGTGTTTTTTAAGTGGAAATGAATGGCGCTCTTTGCCCGATTTCATTATTTTTTTTGCTTCAAAGGTCTTGGATGGAGTTAGGTGTGCATGGTATATCATTGTGATGGATCATCTACTTTATATTTATGAATAATTGCATATAAATAGCATAATCATATACATAAATCACTAACCTGATAAGTTCGGCCACTTTGGGATAATCATCCAGATGTGTCATGAAGTGTCCACATATTTCCACCCGTTTCCGGCGACTTGTATCGGCATGCAATCAAGCAGTGAGAAAGAAAAGGCATGTGTTTGACTGATATGTATTAGACTCAGTGTTACTGTGATTTTTTTGTTGCTGTAGCCTCTTCTGCGGTGATGATCATGCTGTGGTGACCTATCCTGGGGACATCAATGTTGGTGCTTACCTTCCCATGTCCATCCATGAATCTCCCTCCATCAAATCTTTAGTTTCTCATAGAATTCTAGATGTCTCAAATAGGATTTACCCTCTGGTAAACGTTTACATAACTGTGGGAAATCACCATTTTTTATGGGCAAATCAACTAGTTCTATGGCCATTTTCAATAGCTTTTTGTTTGTTTACCAAGGGTAGTGTCTCTTCAATACAAATTTCATCTGATTTCCCAGATCGTCCAATGAAACCAGAATCCTCAGAAAAACTCAGAGAGGCTCCACGACAATCGTCACATCAACGACGTGAAACATTTGTGACAACGGATCTGTGTACAAGGGGAGGATCACAGCTTCACTGGTGTGAGCTGTGTTGCACAATAAATCCAGTTGAATCCCCATATATACACTTCGTGTCAGACCCTACTGGTATGCAAAGACAAAAAAACTTACACGATGTTACACGGACACAATTAAACATCCGCGCATCTCATTACATACAGTAAGTATTATCTTACAATTTTGATCAATTTTGTATAGCAATCCACAGCCATTTTTTGGGCGCTTAAGGGTGTCCTCTTTCCCAATATTCAACAATGGTGTACCGTACCCTGTATGACAAATAATTGGAGGCCGTGGGTGGCTTTCCAAATAGACTCTCCGATCCAATAAAAAATGGATATCAATCAATCAATTATCAAGTGGATCAATTTGGTGACAAAAGCAAGTTAGATCTCAGATCTGGGGAATATGTGGATGGTTCGACTTTTGAAGATCTTTTTCGCACAGAAGTCCCCTACAAAAAACCGTGGCTGCCAGGGTCATCCTAACGTGATGTCCAGTGAGTCCAATTGATCCTCCCTGGCTCCACTCTGTCCAAGGTCCCTTGGGAGCAGCGAAAATTGGCCAACTCAATGGGATTTCCAGGATCCAATTTATGGAGCTACGTAAATGTACCATATTTTTGGCCATATGAATTGTGGGGAGATTCCGAAAAAAAAATCCTTCAATCTAGGATCCTGAAATGGCCGCAACGGATCATCCAAATACCCCGCGGCGGTTCACGCTGTACCAGCCTTGACCCTGGGCGCGTTCCGTTCGGGGCGGCGGTTCGGGGCCGTTCCAGTGCCACGCGAATGAAGAAAGTGATCTGGTGATAGTATCATCATTAATGGCTACTAATGGGATTAGTCTGGGTTATTAATGGCTATATGTCTATTAATTGGCTATTAATGATAAATTAATGTGGATATCCCAACATTACCATTATGATATCTAAACTTCAAAAATACCATTATGATTATACAACAATGATAATTATCCATTTAGAATGTGGATAAAACCATCTAATAAACCACCCATGACTGGGAATAGAGTCTATACTCTATACCACCTATGATGACTGGGGAAGGGGTTTATGGCATTGTTCTAGCCACATGATGCTGTATCCAATTTAGTATCTAATTGTTAAATGCTGAGTAGTTTGGCAAGTCCTTAGACTTTACAAAGTCTGTGGCAAGTCGTGGGACAAGTCGTGGGATTGTCGTCTATTCAGTGGGATCCTCAAAGTTGATGGGATCCACAAAATCCACAGCTGTCCTGGTTGTTTTTGTTGAAGGACCGAAAAAAAAAAGTGGAGCAATGCTGACTAGATTCACTAGATTCACTAGATACTGTCCATGTAAAAAACTGGAGCCTCCCATTTTCCTATAGATGACCACCTTTCCCAAAACATGGAGGCTGTTAACAGTGAGTCGACCAACTCGCGGTACACAACGGATCTCCAGTTATCATCCATGAAGTTGGGGACAGCTGGGAAAGTATCCTGGTTCCGCCCAAAAACCTATTTTGATTGGACATTGGATGCGGGATTCTGAGGTTTGTGAAAAAAACAAGGTCTGCAGATGAACTTCAATCAAACCTCAAAATACTCCCGGAATTGTTTCTTGGGAAAACGTGCAGTTTTAAGCCCGTCGTTTTTGGCGTTAAAAGACATGTTCATGTTAATGTTCCCACTGAGACTGTCACAGTAGTGAGTTGGGGCCAACGCCGTATACCATTGTATACCAACATGATCCCCTGACCCCTGAGAAATCTCAGCAGGCGAACGGTTCGGATGATGCGGATCTGGCGGCTGAGCGCTTGGCACCAAGCCCTTCTTGTAATCTCGAAATTGGTGGGAAAAATGTTCAATCCGAGAAAATGATAGAAAATGTGGAAGAAATAATTTAATAGCCCATCATTCATATCTGTCCATCTTTCCATGCATTTTCAAAACTTGAAATTTTCGATGAACAGGCTGCCAGTGCCATGGCCGCTGGCCATTCCAAAAAACGCTGGGGATTCGGTTCGCCCATCCATTCATCCCCTGGCTGATGGGGCTTCCCATGTTGGAAAAAATGATGGCACATGCTGGTTTAAAAAAGATGAACCAGCAAGAGACTTCAAGAGACTAGCCTGTTTTCTTGAATCAAACAACATCAAATACCAAGGTATTGGGGACTGGGGACCCTTTTTTGAGAGCAAAAAAGGCACCTCCTCATCGAGATAGAGCACCTCGAAGTTGCCAAAGGGCAATGATAACCTTAGTCATCCATAGGGCTTCAAGTCATCAGGGCTTCCCCATGGATTCACCAACCAGGTCACTTTGCGCATCAAACACCATGATTTTTTCCAGGTCAAAGTCATAGATCTTTGGGGGTCGCCATATTTTGCGGTCTCCATCCCTTAAGAAAATAAGCATTGGGGCAAAATCACCATTGGAATGAAGAACATGATGATAAACCAGAGGGTTTTAGGGCTAGCTTGTTTGGGACAAAGTCATATGAGCGAATGTACTCCGTATAACTTTTATATGTGCAATATGTAAAATGTGTCATTATATGCAGTAGATGCTTGTGTCATGAACATACGGCGATCTTGAAATGTACATAGATCATCATGTATATATATATATATACACCATTATATATACACATATCATTATAAATACATATATACCATTATACATACATTTTACATATATATATATATATATATACATATAGCATGCATATAATGCATATACCATTATATACAATTTTCTCCGCCTAGGCCCGGCCTAGTTCTGACCCCTACACGACGTTGAACCCGGGTTCACCCGGGTTCACCCGCCATTTGGGGTCACAATTTCCACCGCTTCAGCCCATTTCGCTCCATGGCTCTGCCAGTCTTTCAGTGGCCCCTTGCCACACTGATGTTTCTGAGGTTGTGGAGTGGAATTCCAATGAATCCCAGAAGAAATCCTCGAAGATGAGTCAATTGATCATCCACAGGGGGTCTGTTTGGTACCACCAAGTTCTCCACTTACCTTCAGAAATCATCCGATAAACACTATACTACACTTACCTTCAGCGTTTTTTGCCATCAAAAACCGCTCGAAGTCAGCTATGATCATGTACAATAAAATGGCATGAACAGGCTTTTGTTAGTCCCCCGAACAGTTCAACTGATGAACTGTTTGAGACCATGGTTACGACCCACCATCTGCCAACTAGCTGCATTCCAAAGATATCGCAGCAACCAAAAAAAGATGCTGAACTTTAAAAAGATCTGCCTTAAAAGGGGCACTGAAGGGCCGAAAAAGCCCTTCGACAGACCTGGATGTTTTGGGCGAGGAACTAGGTCAACACTGAGAGACCCTGCTCCAATGAAAAATATGTTCCTACTGTGGATGGAAGAAATCCTGCACCAGTTGATAGATGGTTTATCTCATTATTTATAGGGTTCAACATGTTTCAACCATTCAAGGTGGTGCAGGATTTTGCAAGCATCCGTATTAGGAGGTTGCCATTTGCTGCCGCTTCCAATCAGTTCCAATCAGTTCCAGCAGCTCAATTTTGGCACTAGTCTCAGCTGCATCAGCCCCCATGGCAAATCATAGCATCCCCCATGGCATCTTCAAATTGAATGCACCACCGGCCGGATTTCAGGGAACACATACCAGAAACATCAAGGAACCATCAGATTTCTACCAAAAGCATCGCCAAACATCTGCTGGATTTTCCTGTAGATGTTCCCTTCGACCAGTCCTGGGATAAACAATAAAAACATACTTCATACTTAAACACTGCATGAGAGTTGGGTGAAGGTGGCTAGAGGCGCCAGGCTGCGCCATTGCCAGGGGTTGGATTTCCTGCTCTGAGCAAGGGAAAGTCGTTGTCCCCTTGTCCAACTCTCGGCTCCCATGACGGCTATCTCTGGTTGATGGTGCAGTCACCCGCAGAAACTACATCTGAACCTCTGATATGAGTGATTTTTGACTAATGATCCCAAATAAAATTCCTTTGTAAGGGGCTTGTCCAGAATAATGGTACCCAAATGGTACCCATTGGTACCCCAAATACATCAAATAGTATAAAAGTGCCACATCTTCCCCAAGAAAATGTGGTACTGTTTTGGGGACAACCATTTCTGATTGTGTTGGGGAGCCGCGCTGTCCAGTCTTTTTGGTGGCAACGGATACTGGAGTTTGAAGCACACATCATGCGCTGAAAGAGCCATGAAACATTGAAACCTCATTGAAACTGGACATCCTCTAAAATATCAAAGACGTGTAAGGAAGGTTGGAGCGTGCATATGGCTAGGGTTTACAATCCTTGTGAATATCAGTTAGCCTCGTTGATCCACGTTGGCATGCCATGTGATCATCGCTATGTCGGTGTCGTTTCTGGGTTTCATTTGAGTGCAGCCATGTCCCTTTTCGGGAATGATCCCAACAAATCTGACTGCCCCAAAATGAGAGTCGCAACCTGCTGTTCTATCGTTTTTCTCCATCAAACTCCAGTTCCAACGGCTCAAACTCACCAAATGACCAATAAAGAACTCAACGAGGCCTCTGCTCCGAAAGGATCTCGAGGACAAGACGTTTATCAGCGACGTCCAGGCTCAGAATCTGCGGTGAGTTCCTTGGGATAATTTGGGCCAGGGGGGGGCAAATTTTCCCGGTTGCCGGAAACTCAAAACCCCAAAATGCCTTTTTTCAATGGCCATTCCAGGATCCTGGAATATCCCCACAAAATATGGCCTTATATGGTACAGTACCTCCAATTTAGGATCCTGGAATTCCCATTGATTTTTGTACAGGGGGTTTTACATGGTTTACTAAAGAATACCATCGGAGATAACCATCAGCAGGGACTGAACTAAGTCAGCAGGGGCTTCTGGCGAATCTCCACCACCAACAACCACTGCACATGGGATTTTCGAGGTTTTTTTTACGAAATAAATCAGGGTATAAAATAAGCAAGCATCCTATGGGGATAGTTCATTTCAGAAAGGGGAATTCGTGGGATATAACCAATGCTACGACATGGCTTGTCCATAAGCTGTGTTATTTCAATTTTTATGACAATCCCGACAATCCCATGTAAATAATATCAACAAGCCAGTGAGTTTTTTTGGGTATCCCACTTTTGGACAAAACTGGACCCCTAAATATACTTCATTCTGATTTACAACGGGAAGGAAGTCCGCAAAGATTCATGGATTGGCAAAAATGGGGCAAAATTGCTATTGTGGTTCCTCAAAAAATAAGCAGCCCAGAGTTTCTTAATCGGGGATTGATACGAAATTCATAAGTTGTCACTTTCTGACCCTACAACTTCGTCGGCCCCAACCCCACTCAACTCCCAATATTCGACTAGGGGTATGCTTTACCATGTTTTACCTGATCAAACCACAAAAATATCTGTACCATTCTGTACCTCCATGAAATGATCTAATGGAAAATCAGGAAAAAACTGCAGGAAACTCTACCGGTAATTCTTCCCCATGAATTTATGGAGGGGTCCTGAACCGCGGCCCAGGTTTCTCCAAGGCAGCCACGTACCTCTCCATTCTCCTCATGTGACTCTCGTGCATCTCGCCTTATGGATGCAACAGGCTTCTCTGAAAATGAGGTAGCCCTAAAATATTAAAATCCCATGGTTTAAGATGCTGTGTTATTATATACCTACAATGTGTATATATACATATATATATATATGAGTATATTATAGATATATATATATATGAGTATATTTATTTATGTATATATACATATTATCTTGTTTCGATCAGTAGCCTCTTTGTTAGCATGAAGTAACCTAACACAACCTATGTAACAGATCCAGCCCCCCACGATCACCCATCAAGCTTCCTGGCAATGCCGAAAGAGGCCACTAAACATACTAAACCACCAAACATGGCCAAACAGAACTCCAGTTCCGTTCTTTGAGGCTTGCTATATTATATATAGGCCATACATATCATTATTTGCTGGGTATGTATCCACCATTGGACAAAACCACACTTGCAACGTGGGAAGCACATCGGCTGAAGCCGATCCATCAGGATGCGGCAGTTCACCAAGAGAATTGTGACAGCGGGCGCCAGCATTAAAAAAAAATTACTTTACTTCGTGTGATCCCCACCATGACATTTCTACATTTTCTTACTGGCAAATCTTCTGGCATTCTATCTGACATATCTTCTGACAATCTATCTGGCATATCTTCTGGCATATGTTCTGGCATATCTTCTGGCAAATCTTCTGGCATTCTATCTGGCATTCTATTTGGCATTCTATCTGGCATATCTTCTGGCATTCTATCTGACATATCTTCTAGCATTCTATCTGGCATTCTATCTGGCATATCTTCTGGCATATATTCTGACATATTTTCTGGCATTCTATCTGGCATCCTATCTGGCATTCTATTTGGCATTCTATCTGGCATATCTTCTGGCATATCTATCTGGCATATCTTCTGGCATATTTTCTGGCATTCTATCTGGCAAATCTTCTGGCATTCTATCTGGCATTCTATCCGGCATATCTTCTGGCATATTACCTGGCATTCTATCTGGCATATCTTCTGACATATCTTCTGGCATTCTATCTGGCATTCTATCTGGCATTCTCTTTGGCATTCTATCTGGCATATCTTCTGGCATATCTATCTGGCATATCTTCTGGCAGATTTTCTGGCATTCTATCTGGCAAATCTTCCTACATGAGGTCCGGCAGGGAACACTTGGCGTGGATACTCGCGGTTGAGGTCCGGCAGGGAACACTGGGCGTGGATGGTCGTGGTTGAGGTCCGGCAGGGAACACTGGGCGTGGATGTCGTGGTTGAGGTCCGGCAGGGAACACTGGGCGTGGATGGTCGTGGTTGAGGTCCGGCAGGGAACACTGGGCGGGGATGGTCGTGGTTGAGGTCCGACAGGGAACACTGGGCGTGGATGGTCGTGGTTGAGGTCCGGCAGCGAACACTGTAGATCGCGAGTCGCAGTTGAGCAGGAGGACGAGGAGGACAACGAGACGAGGAGGACAACGAGAGGAGGAGGACAACGAGAGGAGGAGGACGACGAGAGGAGGAGGAGAGGAGGAGGAGGAGGAGAAGGCAACTTAGATAAAATCTAACAACCCTCACCTGGCAGGTGGGGAACAAACATCAGGATCATAAAGAGAACTGCAGCATTGCTTGATATTGCTTGATTCTTGGGGATTTGAAATATGCTGACATCATCTGTCGAGAAAAAAGCCCGACATTTTTCGTGGCCTGCCTGTCACTCTGTCCTGACCACCTTGAACCGCCATGGACCAGTGTACTTTTTCGCTTCCGAAGGATTCCAATCTATCCTCCAAAACTGACAGCCATGCGTTTGCCACCTTTGGGATTTTGAAGCCCTACGTCCCCTTAACATCCCTTAACATCCCCTAAGCATGTTTCTCTGAGGTTCTGATCCGACCCAGCACAATATTATATGATCTTCACATACTGGAGTTTACCAGCGGTTTCACCCCCAAATGGCTGGCTTTGGAATCTTTGGCTTCCAGAATTCTCTGAAAAAATCGACCGTCCAAACCGTCCAAATCGGTCAGAGGTACCATGGGGGTACCCAATTCTTGGACCACACCGGGCGACGATTTGGCGGTCAACCAAGTGACGATTTGGCGGTGAGGGTACACCTGGCACAGCTGTCGCAGTCCAGGAACGGAGCGTGGATTGTTTGGTGACTTCCATTCCTGCAAAAAGGCCACGGGCAGGGGCCCCGGGGTAGCCAAAGTTGTGCATGTTTTTGCGTATGTAAACCATATGTAAAGCATAATCCATGATAATCCATGGCTACTAGATGTATCTATTTTTTATGTATTTCTTTCAGTTCAGTTCAGGTCAGGCAAATTGGGAAAACCTCGAAGAAATGCAAGGTCCAATGCCGAAGTCCTAAGGGAATACCCACCTCCGATTTGGCCACCCGGCTTCACATCCCAGGGCATGCCCATGCCGGAAAAACGGCAAGGAGAGCGTGAGATGGTCATCAATTTCATCTGTGCCCAAAAAGGATTGAACACATATCATCAAAACTAGGCAAATAGTTAGAGTGTGTCTTAAAGTGATCTCTTTACTTTGTACTATAAATCTTTTTGGGATCCAGTTATATGGAGATTGCCACTCTTGGCAATGTGCAGTACCTAAAATAATCCCGGTCTCCTTGATCATCACAGGCTCCCGGCTCATCTTGACAGACCGCGGTGGCGGACACCGGATCAAATGCAAGGACCTGCGATGGAGATGGCCATGGGTTGGCGATGGGTTGGTCATGGTTGGCCTGTACCTAGTTTTTGTCACCATCCTTCGCCGAAGATGTTCAATAATCATTGGAGGGTCCCATGAGGGTGCTTTTGGAGGACATTACCCGTCACTTTGACCAACCAAAAGTGTGCCAAAGATAGGGTTTTGCTTGAAATCAATCAGTCAGTTTAAGGGACATATGGCAGTGTGTCAAAACCTTGTACCCCTGGTGAACATCAAAATAGCTGGTAAATGGATGTTCATTCTCCAAAAATGGTATTAATAGGTATTAACCCATCACCATATTGTGTTGAAGGAAACCATGATTTTGATCTGCAAATGTACAACATTACTGTGATCCTCCCTTCAACCAACGGTGTTTCCAGGTTCTTTCGACCAGCAAAATCCACTGGAAACCCATGGCTGGCAATCAAGGCACCCTGGTGTGTCCCTTCCCCATGGTTGGACATTAAATGAGATGAATTGACTTACGGACGAACCTTCAAAGGTGTGCCTTTGTCTTTCACTGTGGTTTTGCCTGAAAAGAGAAAATATGTGTATATATATAATTATACATATAATCATATATATAATATACGTATAATATTATATATATACTGTATATTATTACCCTTCTATGCACTGATTAATCACTAATTGCCATATCTCCTATCTTAAGATGGTCTACTTGGGGGTATCGTTACCTCAAATGCGGGCAGCTTCGACTGTCGATTCTGTGTCATCAGGAAGCGGAAGGAACGTTAAACAAATAAATATGTACGTCTATTTACAATATATGTAAGATAATATAGTACATTTGCACTTTTGAGAATATATATATATATATATGTGTAATTATATATACATGTAATATTTGCATTGTAAATCTACAGTTATCTAAACAAAAATATGGACAAATGTTGGAAATATTGAACTCATGTTCCATATCTTAGTCATCTTATCTTAGCCAACTTTGGGTTAGTGGAATCAACATTCAGAATGCCAATGTTTGTGCATCCACCAATATATGTTCAACTGAGTCACCTCCGCCTATTCAAAACAAGATTGCCTCTTTGCCCTCATGAGAGGGTCGGAACAGCACTGGTACTGACTACAAGAAACTGAGGTGCAGAATCTTGCAAAGGAAATGCACGGCAAACCCATAAAGCCCACATGCCCAAACGGCCAACTTGTGTATGGTTGATGTTGGTTTTTACATCACCGTCCCAACTATATACTTTATGCCCACCGCCCCCTTCCAATCCATTTATGATTTTTGATAATGTATCGAACCTACAGTAGATGGACAAATTATTCAAACCCCGCATCCATGAGTTGTAGGATAACCCCTGCCCCCCCAAATTTCAACGTTATGGTTCCGTATCTTTGTTCTTGATCTTAGGTTTTGATTTGTTTCGTCCATTCGAACGAGCGAAACAAACCAAAAAAACAACATTGAAATTGGGGGTGCGGGGGGTTATTGGATTACACGGGTTTGAATAATTCGTCCATCTACGGTACGGGGAGCGGTGGTCAGCAGGAGCGCAGAGAATGTGACGGGTAATTTTTCCTAGTTTGTTTTTTTCTGTTCCATGATACTTTGTCTTTACGCGCGCTTTGCTGGTTCAGTTCCCGCCTTCTTCCATTTCCTTTCCTTAGGCGTGATTGCAACTGCTGTGTTTTTCCAACTCCCTTACTTGGGCATGATTGCAATTGCTGTGTTTTTCCAATTCCTTTTCTTGGGCGTGATTGAAAATGATGTGTTTTTCCACTTCCCTTTCCCGGGCATGATTGAAAATGCCGTGTTTTTCCAATTCCTTTTCTTCAGCGTGTACGAAGTGCTGTGTTTTTCCAGTTCTCTTTCCCCTTGCCAGTTCCCTTCCAGTTCCCTTCCCGGTTCCCTTCCCAGTTCCCTTCGTGGATTCCCTATGTTTTTTCAAGGAAAGTGCGTTGCAGAAGTTTTTCTCTAAAATAGAAAACATTTTAATTTTTTTTAATGCTGTTCATCCAAGTGATCTAAAACTTAGGAAAGCACAGCAAATCCGCGAAGGGAATTGGGAAGGGAACTGGAAGGGAACTGGGAAAGGGAAAGGGAACTGGAAAAACACAGCATTTCGTACACGCTTAAGGAAGGGAATTGGAAAAACACAGCATTTTCAATCATGCCCGGGAGAGGGAACTGGAAAAACACAGCATTTTCAACCACACCCGGGATTTGAACTGGAAAAATACAACATTTTCAATTACGCCCGGGAAAGGGAAGTGGAAAAACACAGCATTTTCAATTACGCCCCGAAAGGGAATTGGAAAAACACAGCATTTTCAATCAGCCTCGGGAAAGGGAACTGGAAAAACACAGCATTTTCAATTACGCCCGGAAAGGGTATTGGAAAAACAGAGCATTTTCAATCAGACTCGGGAAAGGGAACTGGAAAAACACAGCATTTTCAATCACGCCCAAGAAAAAGAAGTGGAAAAGCACTGCATTTGGCACTATTATGGCGATATCATGTGATGACTTATTTTTTTGAAAAACGACAGGTGTCTTGTCAATGCAAAGAAATGGAAGAAATAAAGCTATTGTACTATTCAGGATACATGGTGGGTCTCATCATCCACTTTTGTGGCGTTGTGACTGGATTTGCTTTTCAATCATGGGGTGACTTCTTTGCTTAAAAAACAACAGGTGATGACAGGTTGTGTATTGCCAATGCGTAGTGTGGAAGAAATGAATACATCGAGGAATCATGATGGGCCTTATCATTTACCTTTGTGGCGTTGTCACTGGGCTTGCTTGTAGACTCATTGTGACACTTGGGGGGAGAATATAATTTGTAAGTTCTTAGCAAAAACATATGCCAGAAAAATGCAAAACCATGATGAGAAAGTAAGCGCGTGAGACAGTAGATGGACAAATTGTTCAAACCCTGCATCCATGAGTTGTAGTCTACCCCCTGTCCTCCCAAATTTCAACGTTATGTTTCCGTATCTTTGTTCCTGATCTTAGGTTTTGATTTGTTTCGTCCATTCGAACGAGCGAACCAAACCAAAAAAACAACATTGAAATTGGGGGTGCGGGGGGTTGTTGGATTACAAGGGTTTGAATAATTCGTCCATCTACGGTAGGACCCATGGCATTACTCTCATTCAAACATCTTCCACATTCGAACCATCTGCGGATACTGCCCACATCTGCCCACCCTTCAGCCCTGCCTGGCTGGTACTTGCTCCGCAGCCCATTCTGGAGGTGAGTCCAACTAAACAAAAAGAGATGAGCCAACGTGCTCCTGCTGTGACATGGACAATCTTGGATAGGTCAGGATGGTCAGGTTTTAGGGTCACAGAAACTGCTCTGGACATGTTCTCCAGCAGTTCGGACCCCATGGCCAATCTGTGAACTGACTGAGCTTCCCAACGGACCTTGTACTTTGAGCTTCAGCGCCTCCCATCGGAAATCCCCATCGACAATGGAGATTTTTTCAGAGGAAAAACATGGGAAACATATGGGGAAAAAGTCAAAAACAACTCTAGAAAATGGAGGTTTTAATGGGAAAATACATGAAAATATTGACAGATCCGCTAGAAATGGATTTTTGAATAGGAAACTCGTCCAGAAATTGATGACTTGTCCATTGCGATGTTTGATTCCCGGAGGGTATATCTGCTTTCTACCCCGATACAAGTAGGCCTACAACTACCACTAAGGTTTACTCGTGTTATGAGCCAGATATGGTCAGCTGGGATCCCAGCTTTGTACTTGCTAAATAGCTAAATAAGTGGAAATAAATGGCTGCTTCTCGGTGTTGGAAACCTCCACTGCTGGCCAGGTTTATGGATGCTTGGGGCCCGGTACAGATCGGCCAGGCTTGGTCAATGATGCAATGATGCGAATTCGGACATGACCTGCAAAATATTCCAAATGTCTCTTTCTTTGCAGTTTCATGGTTCAAAGTTTGTTACCATAGATAGATATACATGGTAGGTTGTTTTTCATGGCTCCGCAGAGCGAAGGAAACCTATTTGGCTTGATTGCTGCGAATTTGGGGTTCCCTTTTCCATCCATCGAACCCACTGATAAAATCTTTGGTGTGTACGATTTCTTATTCACAAGAGTTTTTGGGGCCAAACTTTGACGACTCCGACCCATCTACATCTACCTAACCACTTACCCTCTGGTAATTTCGGTAATTTAACATAGCTATTGAAAATCACTATTTTTAATGGGAAAATCCGCTATTAATCGTCATTTTCAATAGCTACGTTAAATTACCAGAGGGTAAGTCACTGATCCTGACCACCGCAGCTGCGATGTTTTTGTCCGCCGTGACAGTTCTGTTGCTCCGCTTCCGCTTCACCTTGAGATCGTGGATCATGTGACCATCATGGCACGGTGCCCTGGTCAACACCAAATTTGCGGTGGTATAGCTGGATGTTCATCCCCAGAAATATGACAATAATTTGCAATAATCCGTTTGACTATGTCATAATGTATGACTTTTTGACTCATCTCCATGTAAAAAGACATCTATAGATGACTTTCCCACAGCTGTCCAATGGTGGGGATGGAACATGATTGAACATGGATCTCTGGTGTCAATGGTGAGCCTCGTTGCGAGTTGGTCCTGTTTGTGCTACGCTTCTGACCACAAAATGCAAAAACAATGAAAAGAAAACAATAGGTATCTCCATCACTTCAATCATCAGTTTCTGAGCGGCTAAAGATGTGCACCTCAATCACTTTGGGCCTTTAGGACCAAACGAGCCCACGGCAGCCGACACAGGACGCATGGTAAGAGCTGAGGCACATCGCTTGGCTAATTCTTGCTTCTCTTCCCAAGTCCTGGCCACGCTGAGTGTCAGGGGCATCTTCTATCGACAAAAGCGTCAAAAGTGGCATGGAACTCTCAAGTCTTCGAAGGATTTCCGACAATTTTAGCGTTTCGTGGCGAAAAACCAGTGGTCGTTTGCCATCTCTTCGCGACTTAGACAACTCGCATCAAGTCAGAGCTCCGGGGTCCCTTGGGGCCCTTGGGTCCCTTGGGTCCCCTGGGTCCAAAAACGGTCCCCGTCCTTCTGGGCAACGAAGGATTTTCCATCAAGTGCGACAGGGCAAATTGCATGGCGATCCTGGATTGCACAATGCTCAGGGGGTAGCCACTGTAGCCACCCTAACATCCATAGCTGGGTGTGTCTAAACATGGGAGATGCCGATACCCTCATTTTGTGGCACTCTTCATAGCGAAAATGATGAGAAACCGGAAGATTTCTTGGCGGACTGTACCTCATTTTCGGACAAAGCGAGCGATTTTTTGATGTGAATAGCAAGGTACAAGCATGAAATGACCCAAGCATCAAGAAAGATACCCTCTGGTAATTTAACATATAGCTATTAAAAATGGCCATTTAATGGCCATATATAGGTGATTTACCGAACTTAAAGATGGTGCTTTTATGTGCTTTTCTATACTTATGTTAGTTTACCAGAGGGTAAGAGATAACCGATCTTTGCACAAGAAATCTCAGGTCCCAGGTCACCATCCAAAACTCTGACGGAAAATCCCACCAGTACTGGTTCCTTCAACAAACTGGTTTATCTTCCAGTTGGGGAAGTCAATGGTGAACCCCAAAATCATCCAAAATATCGATGTTTAAAAATGTTTAATGGGAAAACCGGCATTTTGGGGTACCCGGGTACCCCAATTCTCCGAAACCGATCCACACGATCATCTCAAAGTGCCTGAGATGTTGGCTACTGCCATATTCCACTTCCAACTGTGATGGCCAAAAGGGTTCAGTGGCTTTAAGTCCCCAAATGGACCCCTTGCAAAATTCTTCATTAGTCCCTTCAAAAATATCATATCATATCATATCATATCATATCATATTATACTATATTATATTATATCATATTATTACGTTATAATGTAATACATCATAGTATTGTATTATATCATGTCATATCATATCATATCATAGTATATATTATATTATATCATATCATATCATATTATATTATATTGTATTATATTGTATTATATTGTATTATATTGTATTATATTAAATTTGCTTATATTATATATCATATCATACCATATTATATAATATTATATTATATTACATTATATTATATTACATTTTGTTTATGTTATATTATATTATTCTATGTTGTTTTATATACTTGATTTTAAATAATGTTAGATGGTATTATTTTATTTGATAGTTTTATTTATATTTATATGTGTATTTGATATTTGTATTTATATGTATATTATATTATATCATTATATTATGTTATAATATATTGGTTCATTTTATGTTGTTTCATTTTATATAATGTTATATGACCTTGTTTGATTTTATCGTGTATTTACATTTATACTTATACTTAGAGTTGAATTATATTATATTATATTATATATTATACTATATTATATTATATTATTATATTGTTATATTATATATATATATTAACATAGCGTCTCTTTTCAAGAAAAACAAAGTGGACCTTGCAAAATTCTTCCCGTCCAAAATTAGCAGCACCAATTGACGAGCTCCACCAGTTCATCCCAGCGGCGCAAAGCGGGTGCCCTTGGCCAATTTTTCCAGGCCATGGTAGAGACCGCTGCGAAAAATCACCACATCCCCCTTGAACAACTCCTGGGGTTACGGCTTGGACTTGAAGTGATTGGATGATTTCGGAACCATCTGGTTGTTCAAGATGTAGTTGAGATTACAAATGGGTATAACCATGGTTAGAAAGCCCCATAAGCTGTGATATAACCCCTGTAACTATTATATCATGTTTTATATATATATACATATATGATCATATATGTGTGTATATCCACTTACAACTGGAACTGCACTTCCAGTACAATGATCCGTCAACTGTGCATACAACCGTAATGGCTCATTTGGTACCCCAATTTTATCACCGATGCCCTGTCGCCCTGTCGCCGCAGAGCTCCTGGCAGTGTTGGCGCCCGACATCTTTCTTTCCAGGCTGAACAAAGAATTTCCCTCCTTCATAGTCTTCGCCTGTCGAGCTGCGTCAACAATGTGAACACCGGTGGAAATGCGAAATCCCCATTAGCCATCGATTAAAAATGGATTTTTATTGATTTTCGCATAATTTGTGGAGTCAAGCAAGCAGCCAAACCTGCTTGTTCTGTTGTTCTTTCTTCATCTCTGTTGATCCAAAAAATGCTGATCACATCTGATCACCCAAGGCCATCTCATGAAGTACTGGTTGGTTGATGCGGGTGATACTTATTAGCAATTCCACAACAAACCAGGTAGGTTAATAGCCCCCTATATGATCCAATCACTTTCAACCAAGAATGGTTTGTGTGTGTTATTTCACAATCCCTCACCAGGCAAGACAGGCCGCCTGGGTTGCTTAGAGGACACATCACTTGGAAGGGAAACATGATGGTACCCTGAAGATCTCCTTGGCTGGTGAGGTTTTTATAGCTCCTGGGAATCCTCTGGGTAATCGCCTGAATCGCCATGGATTGGCGACCATCATCCAATATGGTGGTTTCCTACAATGGGGTACCCCAAAATGGATGGTTTATAATTGGAAATCTTACTAAAATGGATGATTTGGAGGTGCCCCATTTTAGGAAACCTCCATATGGGCATAGACTGTATAGAATCCAATTTTGACTGACTATGGCAAACATGAGGCAATTAGCTTTGACGGCTTGTTGCCCCAGTGACACGGTGCGTGTGTGTTTTCGGATGTCGATGCATATCATCAGTGGCTCACATAACCTGCAGATCCTTGAAATGCTAGGGTGCTTTGTGCTACAGGTCATATGAGCTTTAAAAATATAAAGTTGGCAACTAGTCTATAGTCGAAATATGTCGAAATATATAGTAAGCCACCCCCAAAAAAAAGGGATATACAATTGTTCACTATTCTAATAGGATTTTTCTTTCCCATCTCTTGGGGGAATTGCATGGAATTGCTGGCTACAGTATATCAGCCAATTTACCATTCAAACGTTCAACTTAAGAAATAGACTCATCAGCCAAACCTCACTTTGGTCTGGTATTCTTCCGTCACCATAATCCAATTCGCAAATCCAAAGATCGAGTGATATGAGATGCATCATGAATAATCATCAAACCTGCATCATTGAAAGGTCAAACGTCATCGAACAACCAAAACAAACAAAATTCATCCAAGGTGTTGAGAATTTGAGAACACCCCAAACATATAGAAATGTTGCATAAACATAAAATGTTCAGAGTTTCGTGGAACACACCAATGGCAGAACTGCTATCGGACTCATCGGACGATTCATTTTCTGGCTGGGATTCGATGTGGTTCCATGAAGCCGGTGGGGCAATACCTGCGACCGGGACACGGCGGGCGGTTGGATCTGGAAGTTTCTGAATTTTTTGGAGACCTGGACCCCGAGAAGCACCAAACTTTGTCAAATCCCTATATTCTTTGAGGAATCCCGGTACTTTAGGAGTTTCCCTGAAAGTATTCGGGGCCCAGCCACTTTTAGAGGGATGGTTCGGCAAGGTCGACTCAACAGCGAAACTCCATGAAACTCTAATGTCTTACGGATATCTAAAAGTGCGAAAACTCTAGTGTTGATGTTTATGATTAGTTTATGATGGTTTCTGATTGTTTATTGACTCAAGGACCCCTCAACCGCCATCAACCGCCTACCTCAGGCAGATGGAGGTCGGAAGCCTCTGTGGAGGCTGGGCGTTTCTGCAGATCTCCCAGAAGTCTTCGATCCTCGAAGCACAGCCAGCTGACCCGGCCCCAGTTGGCACTGTATAATACAGTGGAATGGAGCACTTAACTTGCAACTTGCTTCAAAACAGCCGTGGTTACGACCCCAAAAGGGTGAGAGTTAACACCAACAAAGAGGTAGTTAAGAAACCACAGTCGGGGTTCAGACACCCTGTGCACTTGTGGTACACCCACTTCCCAACTGGGTTTGTTCAAAAAATCGGAGATCTAAACCGAAAATATAGCATGTTTACTAGCGACAATGATTATCAATCAGGAGACTCGGCGGTTTTTCATGAGTTTTCCCCCTATGTTCCATGGTTTTTCCCTTTTCCCATGGTTTGGCATGGTTTCAAACACCCAACTTTTTTCCGGTTGGTGTCGTTGGCGGATACTCCTCAAGGGCCAGGCGTTTTGGAAAGATCTCTGCTTGAAACATAGAGATCCTGAGCTGCGCCATGTGGATGTCATCTGAACCAAGCGACAAATGAGGATCCAAATCATGGACCTCTCAGAAGTGGCTGGTTGAAAGCTAAACATGAGCAAAACCTCTGTGAAACTAGGCATTTAGTTTCAGTCAGCTAATACTGACTAACTTTGCTAGACCGTTTCCACTCAGCAAGAATTGTCCCTTCATGTTTCTTTTTCTTTGAGTCTTTGGAACACACACTAGATATCACTCGATACTGAAGTCATCTCAAATCTCACAGGTACCAATCCCAGGCAATCCCAGGCATCCCAGTAACGTAAAAAAACCAGCGAGTTTCTGGGTGTTGGCCACAGGGAGCAACTCAGTGTAGAGTGCACTTCGCAGTGCATTCATTGGTGAAGGCAATGGTTCCTGAAGATAAGCGAACTTTCCTCAGAGATGGAGGTACCCTGCCCAGCAAGCAACCCTTTGTCATGAAGAATGTACGAAAGCCATGGGCAGGGCAGGAAAATCATTTGAGAGTACTTGCTGTGGCTGTATCATGCTGTATTATGTTCCAGTGTTTCAATGATGTTCGCAACCTTTTGAAACCATCTGGCTATGGGTCAAAATATGAACCAACAAAAAAACGGATGGTTCAAAAAATGCAACCCAAGGTAAATAATCCTAGTCTAAGACTAGCAAATACATTTAAATACCCTATATTTGGGACCCAACAATACGTGCCAAGGCTCCATAGCCAAAATTCATGGCCTTCCTTGGTGAAAATCTGCAGTGCTTGGGGTGTTTTTTTGGGTAGCGGTAATTGGTAATTGACTTTTCTTTGCCGGCTTACCCTCTAGTAATCTATGCTGGCAATGGAAAACGTGTGGAAAATTCGAAAATCTCCCAGTTACATATAGATGGTGATTTTGATTTTCTAGTAAATGGGGGTTTTCCACTGCTTTGTTATTTCGTTTTTGTACCAGAGGGTAAGTCAGTCGTCACTTACTGAACCAACACCTGGCATTCAGATCCGGAGGATCCAGCGATCAAACCGAATATTTCGGATACACAGATTACACAGCAGCGCGGTGGAAAAATCCTGGGAATCCGGAATTGGCCCATTTTTGCTGGGAATCACTTAGGAATTGTGAGCAAAAACTATATAAAAATCTGTTCAGACGTGTTGAGACATGTTGAGACCCATACAGAATAATGATACCAACCGGCTAATGATGCCAACCGATCATTGTTGTTTCATATTATGTCGCTGGGTCGGTCAATATACCCCCATAAACATGACCTACATATTCAACCACCATAATCATCAGTGATTTTGATGTTTTTGCTGCTTCCTATATACTCCCTTTTATGGCAGAGAGGCAACGCCATCAAAATGGTTTGTCCAAGAAGTAGGATTAGACTGCAAAATCCACTGATTTTTCTCATCATGATCCTGAGCAAAATCCTGCCACCAACGGGTGAATAAATCATGTCGCTGGATGTGTATGTTATACAGAAATATGCATATATATATATATACACATGGTACCCCCCCTGGTACCTACCTTTTAATTTTATTGGTATTCACGTGGTTTGGTGACTGGTTTACATGGTTGGAGTCTATACGTATATATATATATATATATGTACAGAGAGAGGATAGAAAAGTTAGAAACCTGGCAAAATATTCGGAAAATATCATCTACAATATCCTGGACATGTTTTTCGGCATCCTTTTGGGGGTATTCCCATGAAGTGGTTGGTTTTACTATCCTTATAACCATCATTAATATCCCATGGTATGTTATACCACTTTAGACTACTATATTAATCTATATTAAACTATGGAATATACCCTCTGACAAACAGGCACATAGCGAACTGGAAAATCACCATGTCTAAGTTCGTTAAATCAGCATAAATCAATATAAATCAGCTATTTCTTTGGCAATCTTCAATAGTTATGTTAGATGACCCAGAGGGTACCCTCTGGTAAACTAACATAACTATGGAAAATCACCATTTTTAGTGGGAAAATCCACTATTTCCATGGCCATTTTCAATAGCTACGTTAGATGACCCAGAGGCTAATCCCCCAGATTTTCACCAAGAGTCAGATCCACCAGCCGCATCTTGGGAGGACCATCCAGCTTCACGGGTGTCGAGTCCACCTGGAGCTCCACAAAGCTTCGCCGGCGCGCCGGCGCGTCGTGGCTGAGGATAACTAGGGACTATGATTGGTTAATGATTGGTTAATGGTGATGAATCTTAGTGAATCTTGGAAAACCATAGGAAAATGGTAGTTTAATGGGATTTAATGGGATTTACTATGGTTAACAATGGTCAATGATGGGGATTAATGACGATGAATGATGATTAAATCTTTGATATAGCCTCTGGTAATGACTAACAGTTTGCTAACTGGAGAATGGCCATAGAAATAGTTGATTTTCCCGTGAAAAATGGTGATTTTCCATAGTTATGTTAGTTTACCAGAGGGTAGATGATCGAGAATTCATGCGGATAAACCAACTCCAGTTTTTTCACTAGAGTTTTTATATGAGTTTATGCTAGATGATAGCTACACTCAATACTAATTTGATGGGGATTATAAACCTAAGTGCTAAATCGTCCAAGTCATTCAAGTGTTCCGTTGTTTTCTTTGGTCGGTAGGGATTAAGCTGCAAAGTTGACAGAGTATGTTGGCGATGTTTGTGGTGTATTTCCGGTAATTCAACGGATGCAAGATGTACTCTGCACTCTGAAATGGGAAACTCGGATGTAGAATTTCTATGAATTTCTGGATGTTCCTTTGCTCATGTGCCGAACAGAATACTGTCAGTCATGTTGATCTGTTGCAGCACATGTTGTGATTTCAATGTACTTGCACTGAAAGCAAGAGCAGGCCTTACTATATATATATATTAGACAACTTCGCGGGAAGATATACCTGGAAAGCCTGGTGGTGCAACATCAAAAGCATAAAGACTTCCAGCATCAAATCACCTAGGCCATGGTGGCAACTGGCTGCCCTGCCTGAAGAATATGAGTGGCAAGGGCTTTCTGGAAATCCTTGAGAATTGTCTGAAAAATCCTGAATTCTGCATTACCAAGATATGGAAACACAGTTTCCATTGGGTTTCAAATTTTAGATCCCACCTTGGGAACCACACTTTGACTGTTCATGATGTTCATGTTTTACTTATTGACCATTGTCATTTGTATCCAGCTGTTTGGATTGTGAGAAACTCTCTGAACCAGACCGAGTTCATCCCTTGAGGTGGCTTTTCCAGCCACGAATCATCAAAATATCTTGTTATGGATCTTCATCCATTCGAAAAAGGAAAAACATCCGTTTTCACCCCTCCCAGTTCTGAAAAAATCATGTTCAAATCCCCATTGAATTCTCGCAAAAAAAATGAAGCTTTCAACAGATTTGAACATGATTGATTCATCATGAAACCATAATTTTTGGTGAAACCATTCTCGCTTAAACAGATTCTCGTTTTTTTACCATCATGAAATCCCCATTGAAAGCCATAATTTCATGAAATGGAAAATCATAATACCATTGAAAACCGTGAAATAAGATCTTATAATCATTGAATCTCCATGGAAAACCATTAAAAAAAACCATTGAAGCCCATTGAAAACCATACCCTCTGGTAAACTAACATAACTATGGAAAATCACAATTTTTCATGGGAAAATCCACTATAAATGGTGATTTTCCATAGTTATGTTAGTTTACCAGAGGGTAATTCCCATTTGAAGCCCATTGAAAACCATGGAATCCCATCCCGTTTTTCATCTCCATCTGGCGAGCCGCAAGTCCCTCAGGCCATATACTCTCCAAGTCTCCCTGGACCTCGGCGATGTATAGTAAATTTTACTATATTTCTATATACTTATATGTATATGTATATAAAACAAAAAATAAAACTATAGAGATATAGATATGTATGCATATCTATGTGTATATATTATATTATATTATATATATATGTGTGTAATTCGTGGGAACAATATCTCATAGGTTCATGAGCTTCATGGTGAAGACTGCCAAGTGTTTGTGTGTTTGATCCACACGGCCGCATGGCCACAATGGGGTTGGACCCTTCAGAGCACCGCAGCCCACAAAGAAATTTATCAGTACAGTTTAGGAACTTAGTAGAACTTTAGGACTAAACTTGACTCGTCATGTTTTCTCCATTTTTGGGGGGTTGCTATAAAATATTATAAACGACATGATGAAACATTTGACTAAACCTGGCCCCGCCACAAGCTCTCGCAAGCGCTGGATGCTCTCCTTGGCATCGTGGCAAGTCACGGTGATCCCCATCCATTGAATGGATATGTTTTTGGTTTCAATGGATTATACGTGTGTAAATTTGGGTAAACAAGTGTGGCTTTCATATGTTTGAATGGATTACACTTCGTTGGGCTCTTGTTTGGGTCTGTACTGGTATTTCTCTGTGCGTTTCAATGGTACACAAACATACGTAAGTGATAGTCATTGATAGTCCATACTACTCGCACAACCTTGGCGAGCGGCTGTGGGGTCGCAAAAAACCCTGGGCGAAAAAAAAAAAACATTCCATTTTCAGAAAGTCATGAAGAAAGTAAAACAAAAATTTGAATTCTGAACTTAAAGTTGGGATATGGAGGTTTCCTAAAATGGGGTTTACCCCAAATCATCCAAAATTCAACCATTTTAGACTATTGAAACCCATGCTGACTTTGAGATCCCTCATTTTAAGAAACCTCCATGTGTCCGGATGCTCATCTACCCAACTTGGCTAACTTGAACTGCGCCACCAAGCAGCCAAATTGATGAACTGTTTCAACACAACAAAGCCCTGACAAGGGAACTGAGGTGAACCAAGCCCACTGATACATTGACTGGACTATATTTTATATATTATATTTTCACTAGTGCACAAGTTGCTCACACTTCTTTTTCGACATGGGGATAGCGATCGGGACAGATCTCTGTCATTGAAAAATTATTGTTGCTATCATACATCGATCACTTACACTTTACATCACTTTACTAACCTTTCAGACCTTGATGGACAGAACATGGGACTACCCGCACTTTCCCCCACTTCTCGTAGTCCAAGATGACTTCAACCTTCAGGTAGTCGATGATCTGGTCAAGCTTTTCCCATTCCAACCTTGATGGAGGGTCTGCCACATTACTTGGTGATGGAACACGTGCGTACCACGATAAGCTGTTGTTTTCAGAGTCTCTCATCATGGCTTCCACCAACATCTTTCTGCTAGCGACTGACTTGGTCGTTCCGCTCACAAAAGCTTCCTTCACCCCCTCATTGTCAATGAAAAAGATGACCCTTGCACTACCAACTAGGTTCACAAACTGTCTTTTGATCACCACTATCGGCAGCATCTCTGCTTGAGCTATGACCTGCTCATGCCCAAACGACTTCCACTGGTCTGTGATGGCCCCCGGGTACCTCAAAACCAAATGCAATCGGTTTGGCTGTCCTTGGTGAGAACATGACTGCCCCACAAGATGCGAAACCACCTTCATAAGCACCATCTGTGAAGATGATGCACGGGGGTTCAACATCCCAAGCGTTCAACCTTCTGGGTGGCGCTGACTCCAACATAGTGGCCGCTTGAACCAGCGCCTCCTCCACTTCGCTGTTCAACTTCTTGACATACTTGCACATGAGAGACCTGAGTTTGATGGGCTCGAGCAACGGTGCTAACCAACGCCCACTACACTGCGACTCTCCAAAGTTGAGCCTACCATATACCCTTGCAGCCATGCTAGGAGGAAAGGATCCCATGCTCTTGGCTTCCTTGATCACCTCTCTCAACTCACTGGCCCTTTCAGGTTTGTTCCTCACTTTGCAGACTCCCTTGTCGGCTTCTGAGAGGTCAACCACCACACCTAGAACCACGAAACTGTCGCTGGGTGGGAGCCTCTTCTTTGGCTCCTCGGCTATCTGCCAGCCCAGGACCTTGAGGGCACTCTCCATGATCACCTGAGATTTCACAGCCAGGGGGGCTACATCCACATGCGGAAAATCATCAAAATAATTGACTACCGGGAGCATGAAATACCTCTGCAGCACCTCTCTCAAGCCCCTTGCCAGTCTGTTGAACCCCATGACTGCTCCTGTTGCCCCAAATGGGAGCACATGAGAAACGAAAAATGAAACTGTCCCATCTGTTGGTTCCAGCACGCCAAGCACCGCATTACTACGGTCCGCGGGCCTCAAGGGCAACTGTTTATATGCCGCCTTGAGGTCCATGCATCTCCCCTTGAGACCCACAGCTTTCGACCTGAACTCTGGTGCCTTCAGACCTGACAGCTGCATTCCACTACTCAATGTCACTTGAACATCTTGTCTGTCAGGGGGTCCCAAGACTCTCATCCAAGCCGCAGATATCGCCACCACCTCGTCCACTCCACCAAGGTCCAGCTTCTCACCTGGGCCATAACACTGATTGACTGAAAATTCACTGAGGTCATCAATGTTGCGGATCTTCGACCCTTGTAGAATACCAAACCTCCTACTTGGGGTCCACAAGTTGCCTACCACTGCCCCCACTTGCTCCGCCGACATAGGTCCTTGAAGCCAACCCTTCTCGACCTCAGAGATGGTCGATGCCCAGACTTCCTGGGCAACGTCAACAGGCCTGCCATCGACTTGAACCTCCCGCTTGGCCATGTGAGGTGGGATTTTCGACTTGACCTCCTCTTGTGAATACTTTGCAATCTTCCACAAATCATCTTGTGTAAGCTGTGCAGGTTTGAACTCTGGCTGGAAACAACCTGTATCCCGGCCTTGACCTGTGATGGGTAACCCAACTGCTATGTCATGAACCAGGTTGGTGTCCCCATACCCAACTTGTCTCAAGACTTCGTCAAAAAGCAGAAGACTCTTTCGCAAGATTTCGGCTACCTTAGGCTCCATTGCCCTGTGAAATTCCAGCTCTCTGGGCGCCAACTCTGCCGCCCTCCTCTTCAGCCATCTCAATCGTTTAACACGCTCTTCATGTATCCAGTCAGTCCCCTTGGTGACCACATGAAACATGGCTGTGAGGACGTGGTCAGGCACCGGTTGACATGTGTCAAAAGGGTGCACCAGCTCCAAGGACCTCCTAATGCTGTCTTGGAAAGTCATGGGGATTCCAACCAGTACTGACATATGCACCGATTTGAGCTCGTCCCCGCACTCTTCCCCGCTATTGTTGGACGGTACTGCACTAATAAGCCTGGAACCTGCTGGAAAAACTTTGCCTGCAAGGGTGATTTCACGGTCAACCCGTCCCTTCCAGTGCTGGACCACATTGAGGTCCACCTGGGCAGTCACCAGGAGGTCCACGACCTGTCCATCTTCAGGGAGCATACCTGGGCTACGGCGGCCACGGGGTTGTCTCCCCGCAGCGATTTTCCATGCCGCATTGGACTGTATGACTGGTGAGGGCCCTTTAGGTTCTAAACTGATTGGCAAACGTTTGGAAACTGCACAACGACTGATGATTGCTGCAATCTTCTGACAAAGCTGGAGGGGGTACTCAGCCTCGCTTGAGGTATCATACGCCCACTTGCCATCCAATGTCCTGCTTACTGACCACTCCTTGTGCTGGTGAGACTTGTCACACCTTGCAGCCAGGGCATTCAGCTCAACGCAGTTGTGCAATAACGATGTCCGTTTGTCACGAACTCCCCCATGCATGCAAACATGAAAAGTAGTGAAAAACACTCCAGGGAGATCAAAGAGAGCAGCAATGCATGGCACCAACCACATGTAGCTGCCGGTGGGGTTCTCGATAAACACAATGACTCCCTTTGAATGTGCAAGTTGAAAAACATATGCAGCTGTGTCGTAACATAGATTTGCTAACCGCACTCTCTGAAGATTGCGCCCGGACAACCCGGGCAGCCCGCTAGGCCACTGTGCACTCCTCAATGGTGGTGGCTGAGGAACTCCTAGCCGGCGCAGGCGAAAAGGGATGGGCTTATCTCTGGCTCTGGATGCTGTCCCACATGGGGGGGCCATGGGGATGAAGAAGACTGTGCCACCTTCCACCTTCTGCTCAATAAATTTGCGAGCTTCTCCCTTAGTTAAGTCCATCACTATACAAGGTCCTACTCGGTTCTTACACTTCTTGTGATCAATGCCTATGGCGAAAAATCCATGCAACTTCAAACATTTACTTAGTTTACATGACCCGGCAAACAACTCAAGAGTGCATGGCTGCAAGGCCTGCACACTTTCACCTAGCTCGGCGGAGTCATGTGCACCATCACGGTGCATATCTGTACAAAGATTGGATTCCGGGCTGATGCTTGCATCAGCAGACTTAAAATCAGCTGCCCCACTCACATCTGTGCGGCCGTCGGGTCATTGGGAACATTGTTGGGCTCCATGGTCATCCTTCCAGCACTTCATACACACATGCAGCCCTTTTGCACACTCGCCATTCTGCACCTTGTTGGTGCAGTTGTTCAGCTGGAACCCATAGCAGATCCTCTTGCCCTTCTTCATGGGCTGGTACCCCCATAGCTCCCTCGGCATCTTGATGGGCATCTTCTTGACCTGAGGGGTCACTGGGGCTTCTTGGTGCTTGCCCTTCTTGTCCTTCTGCGAGCTCTCAGCTTCACGCAATCTCTCCTTCAGGCGCTGGTTCTCCTTCATCAGCTTTCGTTTGCCGGCCCCCACTGGCTCTGTGTCCTGGTCACCAGATGATGCCGCCGCTGATGATCTGGCGCCGGGCAACGGCATGAGCAAGGTGGTGAAGGCTGGGTGCACCAAGACTTTGTCCACCGCCAGGTCAGCCAGACGCTCACCATTGGTGTCCCTGCCCAAGTCACCTTGGAGATCTTCTGCCATGAGCTTCCATGCCCTCCGGTCCGCCTCGGCCAATTGCTTCAGCGTCACTTGGGCATATCCCATGGGTGGCTCTCTCTGGTACTCCTGGAACATCCTGTCCACCAGCTTCTCATGACTTGTGTAAGTCATGATATCGGCCACTTCCATGGCCAACCCTCTGCGCATGTATGCCTGCCTCATCCTCAGGTCGGTCTTCAGGTCCGCGTCTGGCAGTTTGGTCTCGTCATGCGCCTTCAGGTGGCCACTTGCGTCCTTCTTGATCAGCTCCTCGGTCTTCACATTCTGCATCTCTTGATCCCTGGTTGGGATTTCATGAGGCGCCAGGTAGCGCAATTCGCCTTCAACCTTCATTGAATGGCACTTGTCTACCACATGATGTGCCGGCTCCAGCTGATCACCTATCTGGAGGTGAGGGTAGCGCTGCTTCACCTGCGCCCACCTCGTCTTCCTTTCCACTGGTGGTAGCTTCCTGGTCTTGCTCCCATCGGCTTCCTGTGTTCCCTCCAGGCGTGTCCTCAGCTCTGCGGCCACTATCGTGTAGGCCTCATGGTACAGCTTCCTCAGTTTCGGCAGATCCTGGTGATCGTTCCTCCCCAGTATCGGCCTCACCACCTGCTCCATGAAAGCCGTATCGTCCCCTGTTCCCGGTGCCCAGCTGCTTGCAAAGGCAAAGGTGGATAGGGTGGTCCATCCCTTGCCACTCATCAGCAGCTTGTAGCCATCCAGCCCATTCTCCTTCAACTTCGCATCGAACACGGCCTTGGACTCTGTCAGAGTCGCCATGTCCCCGGTCACTGCGGCTTGAGCCACTTCGTCGCTAGCGGCATCAGACCACTCAGAGAAAAACCGACTGCACTGAAACACATGTTCATCACAACTGCACTACCACCTGGTCACCTGCCTCATTGCACATGTGTCGAACTACCCAACATGTAACAAGACATCTCTCAACTGTTTCGTTTCAAACAACTGCACTGCATCAACTGTTGCACACATGAAACTACTTAACTGTTCTAGTTACTCACATCTTCACCACCTACTTAACATAGACAACTGACATCCCTACTCTCACTCACTCCTTGCACCCGGCAGTCCTCATAGTCGCACTTCACACCGAAGGACTTCCCTCGATCATCCACCTGAGCCGGACAACCCGGTCACTTTGATGGGAACAACTCCCGCCAGGACAACCCTGGCCACTTGCATGCACATCCGCCAAGTGAAACTCACTCAGCAACTTGCGCCATGATGCTCAGCTACTGCGCACCAGACTAGTTCACTCAGACACTCCACTGCGCTCACTTTTCGTCGCAACGAGCTGAGATCATTGCTCCAGTTGGGCTCTGGAGTAACCTTCACACACTTTGCACCTGCTACCAACTGCATGCACTTGCTCATCTAACTTGACTATCACAGCAGTGATCTTACGGCCACACGCCAGCTTACCCTCTTCAGTGCTGGCTCTATGTATGGTGCCTGTGATACCATGCCTGTACAAATCAACACCTGATTTCTTCGGAGGACCTACTACCGCCTGTACAACTGCCTCGAGGTTGCGCTCAGTTTCACTTTCATCCACCTCATCTCCGGACTCTTCACTCTCCGTCGACAGCTCTCCAACCTCGGCCAACCTCACACTCTTCTTACCAGGCGTTGGGATCTCCTCCATACTGAGGTCGCCTCTCTCCTCCACCAGCAAGTCGTCATCAGCATCCTCAGCATCTCCCATCTCTGCCGGCGGATCCTTCCATCTCTCGGATCTTGGCAGGTCAGGTCGAAACCTATACATCCTGATGTCTTTGATCACCTTCATCAGAGCATCAAGACCGCCAGCCAATGCATCCCTGCTGTAGATGACCAGGCTCGTGTCTTTCGGTTTGACATGATACCCCATGAGTCGCCTCAGCTTCTCCGAGACCATCGCCTTAGCCATCCAGCTAAGGGCAGTAGCCTTCATGGAGTGGGCCCCCACGTTGCTCATGTCCATCTTCTCCATGGAGTATCTTTTCAGCAGCTCACACAGCCAGTTGGATGCCTCGGAGGTGGACAATCTGCTCTGGCTCCATCCTCCACCTGTGATGGGGGCTGGCATGAAGGGGCGACCAGGGAGAGCTCTCAGGCCAGCTTGAGCTCTCAGCCTCAAGAACTCTTCGGCCCATGCCACTCCTGAGACTCCCCTGCTTGGGGCCACCACTGGCAAGATTCTCCTTGCCCTTCCCACGAGGGAGTCCGTCTTGTGGATAGTGGTCCCTCCCTCTATGTAGTCCCCATCAAGCTTCGGCTCTTCCTCGATGCCCTGGCTGTCTCCGAACCTCAGTCTGCCTTGCACACACAGCAGGCAGTGCCCAGCAAACAACCTATCTTGTAGCGGGGCCAGCGGGTTCTCGACCAAGGCTTCCAAAGTCTGGATCTGGTGGACAGTGAGTGCATCCCTCTGTCTCAGAACCCTCTTTGTGACGTAGCTCCTATGTGCTGATCCAGCTATCCTGCCACTGTCCAGCACCTCATCAACGCCTTTGAGCTGCAGGGTGCCCTTGCAAAATGCCAGGGCACTTCTGAAACTGCCTGCTCTGGTTGCAGGAGCTCGGTTCTTTCTGAGATCATCCACATACTGGTACACTTGTTGTTCACGTAGAGGAAAAGCTGCAAGATCTCTGGCTTTGCACCACCTGACATACAGCATCATTGCACTGAGCCTCACTTGGAGGGTGCCATTTTTCTTACGTGCAAAGATGTCCTCCAACACGTTCTCGCCTGACTCATCCAACATCTGCCCAGCCGCACATTGGTCTCCAGCTTCATGGATGACCACCATCCACCCTGCCATGAGCTTCGTCCTCTCGTCGGCCTCAGCTTGCTGCCAGGCTTTGCGTTCTCCGTCAAGAGGTTTGAACCCGCTTCTCACGAAGACATCTGCTGGCATCTTGTCATCCTCCTTCGGCTCCACGATCTCTTCCTCGACCATCAGAGCAGCTTTCATAGCACTAAGGTTGGGCATCTTCATCACTTCTGGTGCTTTGCCTAAAACCAGACCAGCGAAACCTCTCTCCCAAGGCATCTTCAGGCAATCCGGTATGTGGGGCTTGAGCTTCACCTTCTCACTCAGTCCCATACCTCCATCCACGGGCTTGACGACCTTTGCTGCCTGTTCACCTGAGAGGTCTACGGTGGCTTGTCTCTTCAGGATAACACCCAGCACTTGCTGCAAGTCACGCTGTTCAGTTGCAACCTCTGGACCCTCTTCACCTTTCCAAACTGCATCTAACTCACTCTGGTACTCTTCATCGAAAACCTCAGTGGGGCTTCCCATGTCCACGTCCTCTTTGGCACCGCTCTCCATGGCCACCAGCTTCTGTCGCATTTCATGGATATTCCCCACTAGAGGGTCCAGGCTCAGTAACTCATTGGTAACAGGTTCATCCTCCACTGACAAATCCACAACAGTCCCCCGCTTCGTACCCCCATTTCTGGGACTCTCTTCATCACTAGAGATTTCCATGGCAGCCATGGTGAACAAAAATACGAAGGGGGGACATGAACTTGTGCCAAAATGGCACGGGTGATCAACCGTTCTTCTGCTCATGCATCATCACTGTTGTGCACTCTGTAAAAGGCAACATTACTGCATAACGGTCAGCATATGTATATATGTTTATATATATATACAATATATTATACATATATTGTATATATATATGTGTGTGTGTGTATGTATGTATATATATATTATATATTATGTGACATATAATATATATGTATGTATATATATATATATTTCATATACAATCATACGATTGTATTTACATAAATGTCTGACATGATTCTATGTGAATTTACACAGATATATGCATCTGATATCCTCTGGTATTGTCTGATCTTGTAGGGTGGGAGTAAACCCATGCCAACAAATATGAACTTGTATCCATCTAAAGAGATGGGCAATAATATAATGTGTTTGAAATAACCACCCAGTTTTATGTTTTGGTCTTGGAGGTATGAGATGCAACCACCCATTCGCGAACGATTCTTTCAAAACTAAAGGGGAAGAAAAAAAAAGTGTCTTGGGGAACACTGAGTCGCCAAGCCATTTTCCTCGCTCACCAAAGCTGGTAGCACCTTACCGTTTGTGTGAACAAACAGCTGTGGATAAATCATGATAAATCACTGTGTCCATCTACAGCAACCTGTCCCACACTCCACGCCCTGGTTGAGGTCTTCCCGACCTTGGAAGCGGAAACAAAGATTGCTGTCAGGGTGTGCAAAGAAGGCGTGTAGACCGTGTAAACCAAGCTAAGCACGCATGACGTTCTACTCTACCTAGACCCGACACCCAACGCGATGCTCCCAGTAACTGCTTGTAAGATTCGCATCTGATTCAAGCGCATCCCCACATGGAACCACTCCACAGCCTGATGTCAATGTGAAAACCACTTCAATCCTCCACATCATTCCACATCTGGGCATCCGGGCACAAAAGAATAAGGAGCCGTTGGTGTCCACGAAGCCGTGGCAAAAGCACAATAGCCACAACAACTCCTACCCTCATCCAATCCAATCACAGTGTTTCAGTTGGGGGCAAAAATATCCCTAGCGATCTAAAAAACCATAGGAAAAAACATCAACAAATATGAAGTACACATTTTTCACAATACCATCAAAAACCACAACAGCCAACAGAAGGCATCTAAAGTTCTTTTTCCAATCCATGGGATTACCCCCAGTTCTCATCCAAGTGACTTGGGGATTCCCAAGTCAACTGAAGAAACCCCTATGGCCTATGAGTATTTCTTCAAAATTTGGTACCATACTTGGATGGTTACTGAGATCTGTGGTCCCCCAGTGGTCCAGGTACATAAACTGATCCATTCAACGATAAAATGTCCCAGAATAAACAAAAATGAAAGAATTTTAAAATCAACGATAAAAATTAGAATGTTTAAAAATAAATAAATAAATAAATACTGAAACAAAATGAAATATATAACCATTTTTGGGGCGGATCACAGCGCCTCCGTTTCCAAGGCTTTTCGCACAGCGCTGGTCTTCAAGGCGCTGGCCACACGAAGACACAGCTCAGCTTCTTCCCTGGGAGATCTAGCCATGCTTTGGTGGATTTCATGGACATATCATGGGAATTCATATGGGTATGGGTCAATACCTATAGATACATTTTTAGTGGGATGAACATCCCTTTACCAGCTATTTTGGGGTTCACTAGGTACCATGGTTTTGACCCATCCCCATATGATTTGATGGGATTTTCTGGGATTCTAATCATGGAAACTGGCGATTCAATGCGGGTTAGACAGCCAAGATATGCCGAGATACTGCATTTGTTGATCCATGTTATCCCCATTGGTGAATACGAATAAACCTTGTAATCCATTAATGCTTAATCAATGGTTCATTATTGATCCATTTTGAGGGTCCCTATCAGGCGGGGCTCCCTAGATAGCTAAGTTGGTGCAAATAAGTAGGCTATGGTTTACGGCAGATATATCATGATACTGATAGATATAATGATGATGAAATGGAGAGATTATGACCGACATCTTATAGCTAATCTTGTATTACTTCGGATGTTCCCCTTCCTTGTAACAGTGACCACAACTGGACAGCACAAACGGAGCACCACAAAAATGCTCCAAGTTGAGTTTATCTCTGATCAGAAGTCCCAACATGCAGCCATGCTCAAATCAGAAAACACTGTTTTTCCACCACGCCTGCGGAAGCTCCATGGTGCCATCAACATAGGCATGGGTTGTCAAAGCAGTAGTAATGGAACGTGCTTTGTGCAAGCTTTGCACTACAAAGTAGTACTGGGAAGTACTTTGTGCAACTTTGTAGTACAAAGTACTACTGAGAAATACTTTTTGCAAGCTTTGTTGTACAAAGTAGTACTGGGAAATACTTTTTGCAAGCTTTGTAGTACACAGTATTACTGGGAAGTAGCTTGTGCAAGCTTTGTAGTACAAAGTAGTACTGGGAAGTGCTTTGTGCAAGCTTTGTAGTACAAAGTAGTACTGGGAAGTGCTTTGTGCAAGCTTTGTAGTACAACGTAGTACTGGGAAGTGCTTTGTGCAAGCTTTGTAGAACAAAGTAGTACTGGGAAGTGCTTTGTGCAAGCTTTGTAGTGCAAAGTAGTACTGGGAGAGCTGGGTAAGCTGGCCAATTAAAATCAATTGTAAATAGAAATCTCTAGAAAAAGCAGTTTTTTTGCTGATTTTCTGGTGCTCCTTTGTGGTCTCTGATTGTGCTTTCTGGTCTTCATTTGTGCTCTCTGATTGGACTTGCTGGTGCTCCGTTTTGGCAAAACCTCTTGCCTCTCTGGTGCTCCGTTTGTGGTCTCTGATTGTACTTTCTGGTGCTTCATTTGTGCTCTCTGATTGGACTTGCTGGTGCTCCGTTTTGGCAAAACCTCTGGTCTCTCTGGTGCTCCGTTTGTGGTCTCTGATTGTACTTTCTGGTGCTTCATTTGTGCTCTCTGATTCGGCTTGCTGGTGCTCCGTTTTGGCAAAACCTCTGGTCTCTCTGGTGCTCCGTTTGTGGTCTCTGATTGTACTTTCTGGTGCTTCGTTTGTGCTCTCTGATTGGACTTGCTGGTGCTCCGTTTTGGCAAAACCTCTGGTCTCTCTGGTGCTCCGTTTGTGGTCTCTGATTGTGTTTTTTTTGCAAAGCGCACACGGCGACAAGGACAGCCGAAATTGGCCAACTTTACCGTGGACAGGCTGTCTCCCAAAGGTGTTTTTCGGCACCTTTCCTGGTGCTCCCTTTGGTCCTTTCTGGTGCCTCTGCTGGTGCTCCGTTTGTGGCCTCTCCTTGTGCATTTTTTTTGGATTTTTACTTTGCATTGTTGCATCAATCAACATTAAACTATATTAAACTATGTCCGATTTACTGGCATGAGTTTAGGGTTTAGGATTTTGCATGGCCGACCATACCGTGTGACTGACCGCAACATATCATAGAATCAGATCCATGCGGCCCATGGCCCAAATCACTTTTGAATTCAAATGATCACACAACACAACCTATGCCACATGTCTGGGATGTCAAAGCAAAGGGATGCCAAAGCAAAGGGATGTCACAGCCAATGGGATGTCAAGGCAATGGGATGTCAAAGCAATACAGGGGATCCCGTCTGGTAACTTTGGGGGGAGACCAATGAGAGAATTGGAGACAGGACAGCACCTTGGATTAGAGAATGACATGTGATATGGTGGTAGGATTCTTGGAGGGAGAATCATGAAAAGAATGATGAGCTGGACACCAACTCCAAGCCACCTGATGAAACAAATGCCAAGGAAACGAGGACCAAGACATAAAGGGTTAGAAAGCACCAAATGGAATGATGAAATTTCTTACCTAGGCTCCGAAAAGTTAATGTCATTCTGGGCTGTTTTCCTGGTGCTTCATTTTGCTTCTCTGATATGTGGAAATCCATTATTTGGCTGTTACAAGGGGGGGGAACATCCGAATGTATTACTATGTATTACTGGTATCTCAATTTTGGGGGAGATCCAACAGACGGGGGGGCGCCTGATCATGTTTATGGTGAGGATACGATGACATGCCCGTTTTTGCGGGTCTTTTAATTCGGGATCCCTCATGATGATGGCAGCCAAAGTCGGGGGAGACCCTTCACAGGCACGATTTCCCACCGGTAATTCTTTTTGCAACTGCCATGCTGAACCAAGGATCGTGTGCACAAAACGAAACTGCAAGAGGACATCTAGGGTCATGAGTGGGCTGATATATGATGTTATTTAACCCACCCACCCATCATAACAGCCAGATGTACGAATTGCCGAAAAAGGTTAGCATCCCCAGCAGTGTCAAGTAGTCTTCCGACCACCAACTGTTACCAAGCCAGCAGTGTCCATGTCAAAACCCGGAAAATCTCCAGATTTTCTATTGGATGTTCCAGGTTCGATGGATCGATGGACCCCTTCTTGTGAAACGAACATTTCATCCTATTAATTACTTATATAAATCCCTATTCTTGATAGTAGAATCCCAAGAAATTGCGCTAAACAACTGTTTTAAAAAAAAACTATGCAGCCCATTAGAATCCCAAGAAATCCATTAAAATCCTATGGGGAAAAAAACAACTCTAATTTATAATAGCTAACCGTTAGAACACACCTCTAAACGGCGGCTGGTGCTGGCACCTGGACTTGGCACTTTGGCCACCCTCCAGGCTAGCTGTCATAGCTTCATCCATGGCTCTGTCGGATGGCAATTTGCTGCACTGGTATGCAATTTTCAGAGGGAAAGCAATGATTGACCATGGGATTGACCAAAGGATTTGAGATGATTCAGGGGGATAACACCATGGTCTTCTACCTTCAAATCCGGGGGGGGGGTCCTCTAAAGTTTGCCTTCAACCAATTTTGGAAGGATATCAACACGATCAACCATTTCCATTTCCAACCGATACCGCTCGGCATCAACCAACATAATTAAGTGGCGATAATCATGTTTAATATGTTGGACATGTTTATATATATATATGATATGATATGATATGATATGATATGATATGATATGATATGATATGATATGATATGATATATATATATATGTATATATATATATATGTATATATATATGATATAAGCAACAAAGTAAACAATAGGTGCCAAGAGGTCTACTTCGATCTGCTTGCTGGATCGGCACCAGATCAAAGCGAGCAACCAAAGTGGCCAGTCGGGATCATCATGCGGGGTGAAAGCACCAAGCGAATAGCCAGTGGGATTGTATTTGCTAGAGTATCTCAATAGTAGTAGTATATATATATATAATAAGGTGTATATATATATATATAATAAGGTATATATAAATAATATATATATATATGCTATAGTATGTATGTATATATATATATATAATGTCTATAAATGTTGGCTACTGTATCTGTATCAGTCAACCAGAATTTCGAGCAGAAACCGAGCAGAAATCGATGGAAACCTCTGACCCCACATCCGGAGACGTCCGTGTAGAACTGTCAATAGATTGGTCTAAGGGAAAATCTGCAGGAAATGTTACCATGTTTCGTGGAAGAAACCTGCAGGTGTCGGGTGAAGAATTTCCCCAACTAAATCCATACATTGGAACTGATCCACCATTAAAGTCGGGTTTCTACGGGATTGTGATACAGGGGGGAAGTGTTTAAGGCGATTGTGATAGAGGGGGAAAGTGCTTAAGGCCAAAGGCTGACTTTTCTGGATGGGACACTGGTTCAAATCTTTAACCATATCCGACATCCTAAGAGCCCAAATGCTGGTGACCCCCCGCCTCTGGCACTTCAAAGCCGAAAACCCTGGCAAGCCCGGATTTCTGGCTGGAATGAACGATTAATACCCCCTGATCATTTGTCAGGTTGCTATTGAAATTGCCAATGTAGCTCGATGTTTTTTGCGTGTTACAGTACTATTTTGCATTGATATTCAATAGCTATGTTGGATTACCAGAGGGTAGTGGAAATGATCTTAAGTTGACAAATAGCCATAAATAGCACAACGACAGTAATTACATGTAATTACTGATGATGTTGATGTTGATAATGTCAAAGACAAAGATGTCCCGCTTGCAAGCGCTCCGCATTGCAAAATGGAACATTTTTCCGATGCATACCAACATTGGCAACATTCAAACATGTCCAGACCTTTTTGTGTCACCGAAAAATGACAACTCTTCTGAGCGTCTACATCAAGCCGTATCGCTTCTCGCATCCTAAATCGACTCCCAAACGACTCCAAATGCGCCCGCGCGCACCGCTGTGGATCAACACCAAGACCGCGAATTTGAAGTTCCACCTTGGCATCTGAAACACAATTCGCGGCCCTTAAAGTGCCCCACGGTTCGCCCATTCTTCAGGAGTGGGATAACCAATAGAGTCAGCCCAGAGTCAGCAATCATTTGTGGTAAACAGTGGTAGTCAGCCAAGAATAAGTCACCATTTGGGACATTTATCATATCTCCTATAAAATGGATGATGAAAATCAGGGTCCAACTGTTCATTTACCAGAGGGTAAATCTCCATTAAACACCATTAAACCACCATTAAACCACCATGAACCAACCATTTGGGGATGGTCATCACCGATAAGAAATCCAAGCCACAGAGTTCTCGGAGGTCACCGTGTACTCGGTATAGACCCGCTGGACCAGCGCGTCCCTGACGAAGTCGGCGTTTCCGCGTTGTTGATCCAAGGGTTGAATCATCTGGGCACTTAGTGACAATAAATATATTATATATATAATTATTTATAATGATATATAATGATATTTATAATTATATATTATATATAATTATATATAATGATATATAATTGTATATAATGATATATAATTATATATAATTATATACGATTATCTATAATTATATATATTGGCTATCCATCAAACTTCAAAGTATCATGGGTTTTGGCCCGCCTCAAAATCTATAATATCAACCACGGTTTGCTCTATACTACGTTGTGTATGTATATACTAAAGTTACTAAAGTGTCTGTATACAATACATATCTAAGAATATATGTCAGTCACTTGGCAGAATATGCACATTGCACATGCAAGTATAGATACGATATGATATTACTTAATTCCGTACATGAGATCAACCTCATCACCAGCATGCGCATCGCAGCTTGAAAACAGGATTCCCATGAATGGATCAATAATCTCCATCAAACTAGCCAGCACCCCCCTTCATCCGTCATCAAGCAAGAGGGGTCAATTGGTCACTGAACATTCCCATATTCCCCATTCTCTTCCCATTTTATTTCAAGTATATTCCCATGATATTCCCATGATATTCCCATGATATTCCCATGATATTCCCATGAACATACACCGTGTTTTGACCATGGCAGACATGGAAAAACCACGACTTGCAGACCTCCCTCCCTACCCAAGGCACTCCGTGGCCGCTTCCTTCAGGCCGCTGGCCAGCGAGGAAGGTCGGTACTCGATGACGTTCGCGATGATGCCTCGAGCGTGCCAGGCTGTGGAGGTTTTGTTCGTATAGATAAGAAGTCCCAAAAATGATATGGATGATAATATTATAGTGTGTATATATAATTGTAGTTAATATTCCTAATGTAGCCGAATATATGTTAAATGTAAAGAATGGTTGATAATGGTACTAACCCTAAATAATATGCGTGGTATCCTCCAAAAATAAAAGATTGCTATGGAACATGAGCCATTGAGTGATGTTTTCTTCTATTGAAAATGATGATTTTTCCACAGCTATCTTAGTTTGCCAGAGGGTATATGTATATAGGAACACGCAGCGTCCAAAGATCTGTCGGAAAATGAAGGAAAAAACCCTTCCAGGTCCCCAAAGTAATGGCAGCCATCAATAAGGATTACCACAAGTGATCATCATCATCATCATCATCATCATCATCATCATCATCATCATCAATCCATCATAATCCATCAAGGGAAATTCTTGATCCCCCTACAATCATCAACCTACTGTGGTTTTTGAGTCCTGGGGTATAACTCATATCGGTCTAACTCCCCTCATGGACGACGATCATCCTCTTTTTGGTCCCTGAAAGCCAGGGAGATAGGAATGGGGAGATAGGAAGGGCCTAGCATGGGGTAATTTCACCAGCAAATATGGGGAATTTACTAAAATTTACGTGTTGAATGAACAGAAGATGAAGTTCATTGACTCAAGATGCACCACCCATTTAAACATATCTAAAATAAATGGATTGGATCAGCTTCAATTTCAGCAACTATTTTTTTGGACTATAGAAACGATGATCCAACGTGGATTGGCTGTAGATTGTCCCAACAAAACCAATCCAACGGTGATTTGGTTGGAGCCAAGTGACCATATTTCCAATAGTAAATGATGCAATTAGTGACCATCCACGTCATGGACATCTCTTGAGGGTATGGTATACTAAAAGGTCAAGTCCCACGTAGGCCAGTGATTGCTAGTAGCAACAATACAGGGATGTATCGGACATGATAGGATTTCATGAGGATTTCCACCATTTTGGGATGGCGGTTCTTGATATATCTAACTCACTAGGCCAGTGGCCATCCCCAATGCTCCCCATGGCATCCGCCTTTCGTCGAATCAATCTCCTGTCCGATCCTCCTGATGCACGAAAGCTTCGTTGAGTTGATGAATGCGTCTAACGTACCTCACATCTGTGCAGTTGTTTTCCAAACAATGATGTTTTCTGAACATAGTTTCACCAGTAAAGTGTTTCATTAGACGAGCCACTAAGTCTCCCAAACATGTTGCATGGTACTGTACACCATGAAAGAAACTCAAATCCGTAAATTCTTGACGCGTCTGCAGATTGAGTCTAACTTCCATCAATGATGATCAATGTCTATGGTCTCACCTTTTCAAACCCTCTGGTTCAAAGAAATCAATGCGATTAACTGATTAACCCAAAGATCACAGATAAACCATACCCAGCTCTATGCAAAAATGGCAGGCTTTATAAGTCGGAGGGCAGTTGGAAGCCCCATGAAATACACCCCTCAAGTTTCCCATTCCACGCAGTCCCAGTCCCGCTGTCCCAATAGACGAGAAGGGCGTCGTGGGAATATTTAGAATGTCCTGAAGGAGGTTCTGGATGGGGTCCCCTGGAGCGTTGGGCTGGTGGATTTAAGAAACTTCCGGAAAAAAATTTGGGGATGGGTCAAAATTAGTTACCCCTAAAAAAGGATGGTTAATACTAAAAATAGACAACGCCATCTGTGGTTTTTGAGTCTTAAAATTTGACCCATCCCCATGTTTTTTCATGTTTCTTTTTCCCAAAAAAACCTGACAGTTGCAGGATTTTGAGGTCAATTCTGATTCCAAGTTCTCCAATCCCAGCACCAAGAGGTCCGGAGCATTGGTGTAGATCAAAGTCCACTCCCCACCTGAGATTTCGTCCCAAAGCTGACATTTTGCAGCTGGGTTGCAGCTGGGACGTACCGTCTCAGCGCATTCTCACATTGGGGAAACTCCTTTAAATAGAAGCTCCCAAAATGATCAAGCAGGGGTTCTACATCCGGGCTTGAGTGATTCGCACTTTTGCCCAAGGCGAAGCCGCATAAGTTGCTGCCGGCAACAAAGCCGAAACACTCTCAGGTGGCGGCAACTCTCACTCGGGAGAGCCTAATTGTACTAAACATGGAAAGGCTGGACATTTCCAGCCACAAGATATGAAGACTCACAAGGGAAAGGAGGGAGAAAGCTCGACCTTTCGCGTCACCTGCGAAAAAGTGACAGCAGGTCGTGGGAGATTTATACCAATGGGGTGACCTGTATAGTTCCTACTGCTTGATGCTGATATCCAGTTGATAAAAGATCATGATAGGTGGCAAAGGACTTGATTCATGACAGTCAAGATCGCATCCGCTGGTAGCCTCGTTCCCAATTTTGGTGGATTGGGGCCCCGGTATGGATCAAAACCCTTAATCAAATATCTGGTACTTACAGTGGATGCTCATCCCCCCATATGGAAAATCCATGAAAAACCATTGCTGGAGGTTTTAACTCATCCCGTTCAACTTCCATTGTTGTGGCTATGGATCAAAATCAAAGACCAAACGGCTCGACGGCTTAGTCCATTTTTCGTCATGAACCCCCAATTGGGGTAATGTATATGAAACAATAATGAACCATCCCCCAAATCCCCGTTTCTGTAGGTGGTATTTTTACTATTCCCAATCATGGGTGGTTTATGGCATTGCCTTATGTTTGTTAAATCTCCATTGTTGCTTCAATTTCTCCATCAAAAATTGGCCAACTCCCTGCATCGCCTATGCATCGCGGCGCCGTTGTCGGCTGGGGCCACCCATCACTTTTGGACCTCAGTGAAAGGTGCTAAGATGTGCTAAGCATCAGGATTCATACTGGGTATTTCCTAAAATGGGATAAAATGGGTACCAAAAGCTATGGAATTCACTTATGAAATAGCCTAATTTCGGATGGTTTGGGTGTAGCCTTATTTAAAAAAAAAAACATATAATGGTTTGTCAGCGTCTATAATTACATGTATATAATTTTCGACAATTGATTTGAAATGCTTCTTCATGGATCAACGCGGAAGTTTGAAAAGGCTTCGCCTCCAAGGACTCTTTCTTAGTTTCTACATCCCCATTTTAGAGCGTGTCTCAAAATAGGGTATACTATCTAACTCATAGCCTGTTTAGTAGGGAAAAAAACATAAATATGTGTATATATTATATATATAATATATATATATTATAAATCATGATTCACCAATGGATGGACTGGGTGGTTTCTCAATATGTTCAGACAACCCCACAGCTCTCTGGCTCCCCAGCCATGCCAGCTCTTTCCAACTCCACGGCCACCGAGTTCGCTTCGCAAGGCATCAGCTGCAGCCTTGAAATTTGGGGACGTAAACTCAACAATAAGGGTGAAATATCATGGGGAGATAATTAGATAATGGGTATATAATTTCATGGATTCCAATGGGAGAAGCCTGTTTCTGCGACCCCAACAACGACCACGACCAGGATTGACCATCTATTAATGGGGGGTTCACCGTTGGGGGGGTTGGCTGAACCATCTGAACCGACCAAAAAAAAGAGGTTTCTCAGAAAATCGAGGATGCACCAAAAATCAGTGGGACTTTGACCTCAAGAGGCAAAGAACTCCGGTTTTTTTCAGTAGAGAAATGTACATAACTACATTTGGCCGCAGGACTTATTAAATTCTCCAAAATAACTTAAAATACCCTCTGGTAAATTAACATAGACCCTGGCAGATAGGGGTTGGAAGATTAGTTTCCATTAGAACTAGGCTATTTTCAGGGTCTATGTTTATTTACCAGAGGGTAATCAAAATAAAATATGCTCTACTCAATCCCAGCCCACCTATTTGGTCTGAGGAAAACATCGCCTCTTGGAGGTCACCAGCTTGGTGCTGCCTTTCAAAACTTTCGTTGAAACTTCAACCACATTTGGAGGTTTCCTGAAATAGGGGTACCCATGGGTACCCCCAAATCCTCCATATTTCAATGGCATTGTCCATTATAAACCGTCCAATTGATCGTACCCCCATTTATGGAAACCCCCATTTGAACAGAACCCTTTTTTTCACAGCACTGAGCCCAATTTTGGGGCATCCAGGTATCGCTTGGTCCCCCAGCGGGCTCATCTTTGGAGATTTTCAACAGGATCTCTTCCAGACCTGGGAAAGAGCGATGTGGAAAACCCGGGGGGAAATCCCTAGGAAAAAGGACACATGGAGGTTTCCTCATGGTTGGGGAGGTACCCCCAAATCATCTATTATAAACCATCCATTTTGGGGTACCTCGATTTTAGGAAACCTTTACATTACAGTAGTTTGCAGATCCTTCAATGGCCCCAATCATGATCAGATTTGATCATGTTGGGCACGCGAATCGACCCCTTCCAAGGAATCCCAAACAATTCATAGCACAAGATCTTCAAAAACGAAGATAGCAGCAGCGCGCCACCAAATGCCAAGACTATCTAGAACAAGTCAGAAAAATAGAGCATCAACAATATCATCATCAGGTCATCTCTATATATCAACAAATATCAACAACGCATTTATCAACAATCAACAGGATACATCTACATCTACATCATCATCATCATCATCATCATCATCATCATCAAAATCATCAACATCAACACATATCCCCTTAGGATCCCCGTTGCGGACCCCCGTTGCGCCGCAAATGTCATCGTCGCGCCTTCCACGCCCACCACGCGGGGGCCATGTGGCAGGCTGCTCTGCAAGCGGTAGGCCGCTTTGATGACCTCCACGGCCTACGGTCGCGGATCCCATGGCCGCCTCTCGACTCATATATGATGGTAGTAACTTATAAAGGTAATCTATAATGATAGTAATGTGTATAATATATATATATAATATTATATATATATATCATAATATATATGTATGTATCATATAATAAATATAAAATATACTAAATAATATATAATATACTATATATACGTGTGTATATATATTATATACATAAGATATAAATATAATATAATATAATATAATACAATATAATAAAAAAGAATAAAATATAATATAATATAGTATAGTATAATATAGTATAATATAATAAAATATAATGTAATATAATGTGTACAAATAAATAATAATATGATTTATATATATATATATAATATTATATATTATATTATATTATATATATATATATTATATTATATTATATATTTATATATTATATATTTTATATATTATATATTTTATATATTATATTTATATACGTATATATAGTATATATTTATATAGATATTATATTCTTCAGTCCTTTCAATTCACCAAGTTGTTTTGCCACATTTTGCCATGTTTGGGAGGCGGGAGATGCTGCTTGAGCCTTCTAATTGGGTTAAAGGGGCTCAATCGCCACCAAAGCCAAGGTCAGGGTTGCAAGGTTGAGGAAATTCCAGCTATTTATTTGCAGGGAGATACCACCGCAAAAAAATGATGGGCCAACAACCGGACGAGTGGAAGAAGTAAAAGTGAGGACATAACTTTGGGCAGCCTTTTCAGTGAGAGGGCAGTGCCCCAGCAGCCTTTGGCCAGAAGTTTGCTGAAAAAACGAACAGTTTTCACCCTTGAGCCATGTCCACACAGATTTTCGCACATAATGAGCAATCTTACCATATCTTACCTCTTTCATTTTGGCTTCCTTTCCTTTCAGTGCTTCAGTACTGTTCACTTCCATGGCAACGGCTGGGATGCGCCTTCAAAGGCTGGTGGAGCTGGACACATCCCCGCGCCAGCACCGCGTAGAACTTCTCGTCGGCATGGCAGCCCTCTTTGATCATGGTCTCATAGACCCCAAGGGCCCGCTCAAAGCGCCTCACAGCTGGCGGCCCGACTAAGAGGCTTGGAGCCTCCAGGCCCATGGGCCCATGGAGGTTGGCTTCGAAGTATTTCGAAGTGCCTTGTGGATTGGAAATTGAAAAAAACTGCTGGACTGCATCCACTCATCACGCTGTCACTTATTGAATTCCCCCAGGTCAAGTTTTCACTAACATAGAATATGCCTAGAAGGCTTAGTCAGTCGAGAGTCCTGGAAAGGATTAGTTCACACACCAGTACAGGCTAACTCCATTTTGATAGGTCAAAGACCAGCTTCAAACAGAAACATCATTGGCGCTCGTCCCTAGCCAAGGTACCGGTTCTGAAAGCATGCGTGGATCAAACAGGTGTAGACCTGGATATTGGGCTTCAATCCATGCTGTTCACTCAAGTCCTGGCTGTGGAACGGCCCAGAATGGCTTTGGAACTTTGGAAGGTGACTTAAGATGACTTATATAAGTGTATTGAAGATGGCTTTTACATCGTTGGGCTTGCATGTGGAATCTGTACATCGTGAAGAAATGGGTCATTGACGTCCATGGTGCAAAAAAGGGCCAGGGCCCCAGGGGATGACAGGGATGCAAAATCCTCCCAGTTCGATGATGTTCCCATGAATAAATGCTCACTTACAGCATGCTCGGTGATTTGCCAGCCATGTTTGATGACAGTCAGGATATATCAGATATATCTCATGATCTCCGAAATTCCAATTTTTCATACTTTTTCTTCATGATTATTCAAATCTCCATGGACATCCCCATGGTTGATTGTTAAATCCCTATGAAATCCCCATGGAAATCCCAATTTTTCATGGTGAAACTCCCATGGGAAATTCTCTGGAAATCCCAATGCTTCTCCTCGACCATCTGCATCGCTTGGCCCAGGCGTCGCGCGTTACCGAGCCTGGATCCCGGATCCCAGATGGGGACGAAATGCTGATGACTGGGGGATGGTAAACATGGCATTGTTTTACCCACGTTAAATCATATTAAACCCGAACAACATTCTTGCTTGTGACAGGCTGTAGAAACTACTAGTATACCATACCGATCCTTGGCGGGTATTGATATGATGAAAGTGAGTCTGTGTGCAGGCGGAACTCATGGGATTTAATACATGTTTTTGCGAGCGGATGTTTTTGGTCATTAAATCATTGTCATGGGGATTAATAAATTCCAATATTATGGGATTAATATACCCCAATAAATTCCATGAATGATGATAAAACTAGCCATAAATCATGTCAACTCCGGGATTTATATATTTTATATGGATTTATAGGTTCTGATTGACTAGGGGGTTCGCCTCAAGTAGTGATACTTGGCTACTAAGATGGCTCCAAAACTCCTTGTCAAACAGCCTAGGGCCTAGGGGGTTCTTCATCCGGAGACTGGGGAGATCGTTTACTTATCACTTGGCTGGTTGAACTAAGTACATCTGGAACGTAGCGCCGGACTTGTTCCAGCATGCAGCGCACAGTTGTGACTTGCTCACAGTATCGCTGGGCTTCCACAACTCTTTCGGAACTACTGTTCCCCAAAAGAATACTCTTCAGTAATTTAACCCCCATGTGTAGGCCCTACGAAACAGATAAATTGTGATAAATCAATCTACAGGCAGAGAACTGTGAATTGCTGTAATTGGGCCACAGTCTCTGAAGCTGAAGTCTCTGGAAGTGGGATGGTTTAATTAATTTTCAATGACATGATGCAAGGATATTTCAGGCGTTTAAGGATGGTTAAGGGACAAAAAACACGAAACATCAGGAAACCATAGTGTTTCCCCCAATAAACATATGATATATATATATATATATACAGTATCAGATTTCATATATTTCATGATGTTTCATGCAGACTTTCCCTTGCAATTCACACATCTACAACCACAAACCAAGCTAAAGCTGCGGACGGAAAACAACTTCACCAAAATGCTCAAGGTATAGTTGCTGGGCTTGATGCCTGAAGCCTTCATTTCCTGCCGCGGGTGGCTGCAAAGGTGATGTGGATGTCCATATTCTTTAATATGTCGTTTTATGTCCTTATCTGAGATATGTAATGCGAATATAGTAAGCCCCAAAAATATAGAAAAGTATTTCATCACTATTTAAGTAGGATTTCACATGTCTATCTTTTTGAGGTTACTTTATATGCGGAGTACAATCGTACATATTCATCTTCTGTACGCTTGTTTTGCTGGGCCTCGCCTTCCAGCAACAAACAGCCACATCTCACTGACCCAGACGTTCAGGACACAGCTGCGAATGCAAATTTGCACCCAAAGAAACGCGTGTATACGAGTGGGTAAATGAAGATAAATGTAGGAACCATTTCCCCCAAAAGTGACTTGCAAGCCAACTCTTTGCGCAAATCCGGCCGCGAGTTCGCATCTCCGCTCTAGGGCCATTCAACTATTCACACTTATAGATATACAACTATAATACTATAGCTATGTCATCAAATGTCATCCAACTAATTCCGAATGTGGAACAAGCATTCCTGACATTTCCAGGCTATATACAACTTTCATCATATATATATATATATACGTATATACACATATATACTATTTTCCAATATAGCATTCTTAAGGTTCCTGCAACAACTTTCCCAAACGCAACCATCTCCATCTCCAGATATCTCCAGTCACCTCGAGCACCCGTAGGGCTTCAGAGACATTCCGTTGCTTGGTGCAGCCGTCGAGGATGGAGTTGTACATGATTTCATCCGGGGTAAAATGCCCATCCCGTTTCATCTCCTGACTCTTCAGATCAGATCGCGGAATCACTGAACTTGGATTGATGCTAGATATATCCATGGGCAATGGGGCTGGTTATAAACCAAATTTATAACTGGAGAGCACCACTTTGTTCAACATGATCATCCATGGAGGAAAATAGCGAGAATTCATCGAACAAATATGGGATTTTCGAGCCACGTTTGATTACCAAATGGTTCTCCCACTAACATCCCCATTTTGTTGTTGGTTTAACCCCTATTTATTACTTTGAAACCATCAAATCCTATTTTACCATGCCCAGATCGGCTCAGCCTCGAGCACACTGAAGGCACGTTCCACGTCACCTAAAGCGGCAGTGGGAAATGATCACAGGGTTCCAAAACTATTTTCATGTGAAAAACACATATATCATTATATGATGTATTATAATATATATGGGTAAATTCTCATATTTCATATTTCACTAATCTGAAATAAGACCATTTGGGATGATTCCTCTAGAAACATCTAAAAACATGACCCAAAGTTTGGCGGGGCACACCGCTATTTAACATTGTTTCACAACAAACGCAAGTGAAACAGCCCCAAAAAAACATGCAAAGTGAACATACATATCAGAACCATCCAGTGATGGCTGCTGTACTGGAAGAGCCAACTTGTCATCTCTGGATGTTAAACCCATGACGGCCAGGTGGTGAAATCTGCCGAAATCTTTCTGCAATGGGGTCACCTGCCAGGCAATAGCCCTTGATGATGGTGGAATAGGTGATGATGTCGGGGTCAATACTCGTCTCACGCATATCTTCCAGCAACATGCTGGCTTTCTCCATGCAGCCGCATTTCGCGCAGGCGTCCAGCATGGTGTTGTAGGTGATGGTGTTGCACGCGATGCCGTTGTTTCGCATTTCCTGCGGCAGTGTTGATTCACCTTGAATGTTCAAAAGTAACCGGTGTCCATAACTATCCATTTATACAACCAGCCGAGGCAAAACGAATACATACAAAGTTGAATTTGACCACTGGCAAAAGGTAAATGCTGTAAAGCTAAAGTGGGAGTCTCTTTCGCTCTACTTCAAGACACTTATGGGTTTGCCTGGCCCAATTTTAGCACAGTGAACGGCCTAGGCTAAATCCTGCTACCGGGGTACTGGACCCAAAATGGGCGCACCAGTCAAATGGGGGTACAGAAACTGAGGCTCAACTCGAGAAGTCCAGTACGCGCCTTATAAACTGCAAGCACTTTGTCAATACGTTTGGAGACAGCAAAGCCTTTCAAGACAGTGGAGTATACCACCGTGTTGATCATGCTTTTGCCTCAGATTGGATCGCCAGGTGCCCTGCAGATCTGAACTGTTCTGCCACTTGAAATGGAATGAAATGGACCATCGAGATGAGAATTTTCACCACATGCCTGCTGTTTGTCCCCTGATTGTTTCTGATATTTCTGGTTGGTCCCACCTATCCCTTTATACCCTACACCACACTGTTCAAAGCCAAGCCACGATCGGGATACTGCAACTGGTCCTGGTAAAAAAGCACACACCGCTTCACCCACGATTTTCCCAAGACGATCACCACAAATGGGGGAGTTTATCATCTTCTTCCCTAAAGAAAGGAGGGTTGAACCATAGAATTTTTAGGGCTTTGAGATGGCAACAAACCATCCTGAAATGGGCATACATCTTCAAAAAAATTACGCTTTTGATAGTTAAATCCCCATTTTTGATGCTTCTCCAGTGCCGTGTTCAAAATCCCTTCATATTCCCTTGCCTTACGTAGGAGCTTGCGTTCGCTTATATACGTTTTCCAAGGTTTGGCTTACGCATCTCTTACGGAAAACCAACCTTGGGGATACGGATATGATATGCAATTTAATGATTCAATTGCAAAGGAGCCACAATGGGTCAGGGGTCAGTGAATGCAACCTTCGCTTACGACTCTCTTACAGATTGCTTACGCCAAGCTTACGGCAAATTCCGATCTCATAAAACACTACCATGAAGACAGTGGCATTCATTTTGGCCTGCTTACCCTATATACAATGGCATCATCATCGACATTCACAACGTGCACCAAATGAGTCACACAACCTTATTTTAACCCCAGCTCTCATGGCCTGACATGATCTTCCGGACGGCCTACGGCAATATGTTTCTGACCAATGCTTACGTCAAACCTTTCGCACTGCTTACGAAACCCAGGCAAAGTCTTAAGACTTGATGGACTTTATGCCAGCATATGCCAGCCCAATACTAAACATGCAAAGGGGAATTTCGAACGCTGCTCAGCTTGAGGTATCCATTTTTGGACAAAGCCACCTTCTGTTCACCCCGTCCTGCACCAGCTGCCATGCTTCCTCGCCCTGTTTGTTGATGACCAAGGCTTCCACCACGCAGCCAATGGTGATGGCTGTTGGCTTCACGTTATGCCGCTGCCTTCTAAGGCCGGGCATCGTAGCTTGCGGGGAAAGACCGGCCAAAAAAAACTAGGGATGGGGGGAAGATGAGGATTTCTATTGCTAACTTGCCGGCTGGAAATGGATGGAAATGGTAATGTGTGATTTCAGCATGTTTCAGCAGCAACGAAGGTTTCGCAAGACAAACATCTTTCACTTGTGATTGGGAGCCAGTACTGACAGCTCAGCGGAACAAAATTCTTAAATTCGAACCATAATTGATACTCTCTATGAATTCAACTTAATTATATGTTGAATTCTATAATTGAATTATATTGAATTATAATGTTTATATACTTTATAACTGATACTCTTGAACAACATGTCTCCTCTTTGCGCATCATCCCAGGCCATTGGCAGCTTGCTGGCAAGCGACAGTTGGGCCCAAAGCTCACGAACCTGCTTGTTGCCCATGGCCCGAGGCTGGGGGACAAATATCCATAGCAGGATAGCAGTTACCCTCTGGTTATGTCAAAATAGCTATTGAAAATGACCATAGAAAGAGTGGATTTTCCCATTAATAGCATGGTGGATCTTTCAATAGCAAACTGTTAAATTACCAGAGGGTAAAGCCTGAAACCAAGAAATGTAAGAAATGTAAGTGCGGCCGGACTTGTAAATTACTGAATTCAGACTGAACGCAGACTTTGCCACGTCTCACATAAGCCAAGCCGACAGCCACATGGGTTCCTTATCTTGAATCATGTTTTAGAAGATACCAGCAGAATGAGAATATATGGAGGTTTCCTGAAATGGGGGTACCCCTAGATCATCCCTTTTCATAGGATTTTCCATTATAAACCAACCATTTGGGGGTGCCCCTATTTTAGGAAACCTCCATATTGCCTTGGGCCTTAGTGTATCATAGTACCATTTTTGCGATTGCATCAAATATGTACCATGATCCAACATTGGATGCATATGGGTTGTGGTCCATGTTATGGTCATCAATTCCAATCCGACCATCATGGGTACATACATCTATTTATCCACGTGTGTATATACATATTACATAATATACGTATATATATTACATAATATACAGTATACGTATAATATATATATTACATAATATATGTATATATATATACGGTACGTATATATTGCATGATATATACATATATAATATATATTATAATATTATAATATATATATATGCATTGACTATTTTTTAGCCCATGTAACATGGCTTATTTTTCGCCGCTGCTGAACCCCAAGTAAAGCCATTGACATTTCTCACCAGTTCTCCCAGGCCTGATGCAAATGTCCGGCTTCCCCAAAGGCTTTGATCATGGCACCATAAACGGGGGCAGAGATGTTCCTGCAAAAATTCGCCCGCAGGATGGCTTCGAAGCAAAAACTACACCCTAGTTCCAAAGAGTGAAAAGGTAGTTTTATAAGTTAGTCATAAGTTGTACCTTTAGTATCTTTTAGTGATGTGGGATGATGTGGGATACTGTATTTCCACGGCTATAAGATGCTATAAGTTTTTACGAGGCGCCAGTGGGGACGGATATCAAAATGGTGAGGATTTGCATTGAACCAAAGGGGTCATTCCTTCGAGCATTTCAAACCAAGGATACAAGCACTGAACCTTGGGGGGCTACCAAACAACGTTTTTTCCCAATGGTTTGGCATCAATGAATATATTTAATATAGCAATATATAGTACTTTTGCAGCATCTGGATGCATCTGGATGCATCTGGATGCATCTGGATGCATCTGGATGCATCTGGATGCATCTGGGACATTCGATGCAAACTTGGGATGTGATTTTTCAATATCAGCACCAGGGAAATGATCCAACCAAACTGGGGTCATCAAATGGTGAGTTGTTGAGGTACTGATAAAGTACCCTCTGGTAAATTAACAGTTGGACCCTGAAAATCACCATTTTTTAGAGGAAACTCATCTTCCAACGCCTAGCTACCAGGGTCTATGTTATTTTACTGGAGGGTATATCTTTCATATGTGTTTTTGCTGTTGTCGGAAGCTTCTCCCGTTGAACACGCACATAAAACCCTGCTAAAGGTTGTTGCTGTTATGCTCTGGAAATCTCTGGAATGGATCTGGCTTCCAAAAACGGCTTGGCCAAGTGACTTGAAGAGGCCTTTGGTCTTGTAATGCTCAATGAAGTCTGACAGTGTCTCTAACTTCTTGATACCTTGTGGCTTGGCTTGAAGATGGACCCTGGAAAACTGGGCATGATCAACTGTTCAACGTCTTGGTTTCACGACTCTTTAGGCACATTGTCACCCTAGTCTTGACCATTGAGACTCGCTAATGGCTGAACATTTGAAGATTACCTTCATGTACCCTATGCTTGAGCAATGCGGAATGCGTCGCAAGGTAATGTTCCCAGTTCCTGCGTCATTGTCAATGCTTCAATACTTATAGCTGAAGGGAACCATAGGTTCCCCCATTGCAAGTCCCAGCAACCATGTTGGGCCTTGTGAACTAAGCTTGTTCACCCACGTTCATGTGATCCCTCTCAATGATCACGACATCATAATCCATTTTTACAGCTATATGCCTTGAGAGAGCCTCGAATCCTTGAGCCCTATCCTGACTGCTGGTTTCAACTCATCTGAAAAATATGAGCCAATGGCGGATCATCGTCCCCATGTTTATGCTCAAAACTAAAATATTCCCAGGGGTCGAGGCTCGGATGCAGGCTTCGATGATGGAAGAGAAGAGGACCTCATCGATGGGCTCCTGTGCTGGTCATTGATGTCAAACGTCAAGGATGTCCCCCTTAGCTACTGCTGAAATGTTGCCAGAATTAATCATTAGCTACTTGGGGGTGCAGTTCTATATAAGTGTGTATATATATATAATTATATATTGTTAATATTATATCAATAAAATTTAATAACCATACGTATAGTTATATAGGGCTTATCCCAACTTATCGAGTTATTACCATAGATCTACTATGTATCACCATGTTACATCCATATTATATAATAACCCCAACTGCAGGCCCGGCCCTTGCCAAGCACTCCTCCACGCTGTTGATGAGCTTTAAGACACGAGCCTAGCTGGGAACTGCCAGGCTGGATGACCCCGGATCACCTTTTTCGCTGTTTCTTTTGTTGGGAAAATCTGCAGTTGAAACATGTTGAAACACGGGTTTTGACCATCAAACATGGATGGTGCTTTCCTGCAGATTTTCCCTTAAAATTCAATCAACATGTCATCAGAATCCAGGACAGTAGGAAATGATTTGAGCATGTGTCAAAGTTAGGTATTGCAATCCCCTCCAAGAATTCCATGGTTTCCAACTGCTGGTTGGTCAGTTTTGGGGATTTTCTCAATGATGGCCAATTCTGCGGTATAATCCATCAAGCTTGGTGGTGCCATCAAAACTCACGGTTGATATCGGTCTATCATCATTTTGCCATATGGGTATGGGTCAATACCTATAGATACATTTTTAGTGGGATGAACATCCATTTACCAGCTATTTTGGGGTTCACTAGGTACCAGGGTTTTGACCCATCCCCATATTTTGCCTATCCCATCTATCAATATCTATCAATCCCCCATTGACCCAGCCATCTCCAAATCCCCCCGTTTCATCCCAAATCTCGCGACTCGAGGAGCCAGATCGCTCTCTGCAGAGTGTTGGGTCAGCGATTTCAGCAAGATGGAGCAGGTGATGAGATTCGCCTCACGCGCCAAGCGCCGAAGAAATGTTCGGCTGGACGACATTCAGATCTTGGCTTCCTATCAAAGCTTTATAAGCTTGGAATAGGCAATTATTCGTTTGGTAGCTGTGATCGCTGTGATTGCTGTCCTGGCACCAGTTTTTCTAAACCCCATGGAATCGAAGGTCTTTGAGGTACTCAAACGCCTGGCGTTTGATCAAACTGATGACGCATGGCTGTAATTGGGTCGGTTAGGGCCCACTGATTTTGCTAACGCATGGACATACCATTGGGTGTCCCCCTTGATCGAATGATTCTCGGTCCCTTTGAAGGTGTACTTTGCTGATGCCTCTCTAGCGCGGAATCCGAAAATTCCGTGTCAAGGTTGTTTTGTTTGGTGGTATATATACCTACCCCTCTGAAAAATATATCAGTTCGTCAGTTGGGATGATGACATTCCCAACATATATGTATATATATATATGGGTATGGGTCAATACCTATAGATACCATTTTTAGTGGGTTATTCACATCCATAAATCCCAGCTATTTTGATGTGAACTACAGGGGTACAGGGTTTTGACCCATCCCCATATATATATATATAAATAATTTATATATATATATATATATTATATATATATATATTCCCAATATATATTCCCAAAGTATGTTCCAAACCACCAGTTCTTTTGTGCCGCCTTCAGGCCGGCCGAGAGCATTTCCTCCACGATGCGCCACATGCCCACGCGATCGCGGGCCGCCACCTTGGCGTTCAGCAGCTCGTTGTAGGTCACCTGGGAGTGGGATTTTTGGTGGGGAGTTTGGTGGGGATTTTCTAACATAACTATGGAAAATCACCATTTTTAATGGGAAAATCACCATTTTTAATGGGAAAATCACCATTTTTAATATGGATTGATGGTGATTTACCCTCTGGTTATGTCAAAATAGCTATGGAAAATGGCCATAGAAATAGTGGATTTTCCCATTGAAAATGGTGGATCTTTCCATAGCTATGTAAACGTTTACCAGAGGGTAGTAGGGAATGAGGGAATGATCCATGATCACTAGTAATAATCATCCCAGCAACTCCCAGCAACCCATCCATTCCCTACGTAGAACGCATCAGTAAGGTTTTTCTGATTTGATTTTTTGGGGATTCAAAGCAAGAAACGATGGATGTTTTAGGGATATTGGTGAGATTGAGGGATGCTGAAAAGCATGGGGATTTTTCTCAGCAACATTCAGAAATGGGGGAATTAACAACCTACAAAGATGAGGTTGATGTTCCAGGAAAAAATAGGATCTAAATGGGATGAGGATGAGGATTCCCAGGATCGAAACCCAAGTCGGGCGACAAAAAAAACTATTGATGCGGATTCTTAGCAACAAAAATGATGGATTTCAATGAATCCACCAACAACAAACGGAGATTAGTTTAATTTCAAAAAAGACATGGGATGGTTCTTTACCAATAAGGGACGCATTTGATGACCCAACTTGGTGATGATCATTGGGTAAACCATTGGGGATGTTGGCCAATGTGTTTTTTGTAGGATTCGTCTATACAAGTGGTGAACATATGCCAAACTACGGAACATGGTTGAAATTGTTCCGTTCCTTTGAAATGGTGCTTGCCAAAACGTGTGACTCCCGTCCATCCCAAGACTTGAGGCAGAAACTGAGGCTCAAATATGAATCCCTTGGAACTAGCAATATAGGGATGCGATATCATATACCAAAAAATAGAGATCTGGCGTGATAGGTTGCACAAGCCCAAAGTTGTCAGTGGGAAAGATTTTTTCGGGAAACAAGAGAAGCTGTGTGTATCAAACCGAGGCATGCAGACAGGATGAAACAGACAACCTGGGTTTGTCTGAAAATGGGGTACCCCACAGCCAGCCATGCTTGATCATCATGTTCCCCTTTGAAATTGCAACTTGTGGTATCCCCTATTTTCAGTCACACTAGCATCCACAGAAGAGGATCATGATGTTTCTTGATCTTGACTCAGACCCGATGCACCGACCAGGAGGTGGTGAAATGTCCCATCTCAGGTTTCAATTTTTCGTGTCTTATTGATTACAGCAAACATCTTCAAGTTTGTAGACATTTGATTCCCTGAAATCAACCATGGAAGCCATTTCACTTCTTTCCTTGCCATAAATTCATATAGAAATCTGCTTATTTAACAGTTCGCCATGGAAAGATCCACCATTTCTAAGAACGGTAAACCATCTATTTCTATGGGAAAATCCCTTCTAAATGGAGGTTTTAATGGGAAAATCATCTATTTCTATGGGCCATCTATACCATGGCGAACTGTTAGTCATAACCAGCGGGTAAACTCATCGAAATTCGCCACCATCCCATCCACGGATGGCGCCTTGTTGGCGCTCAACCCCCTTGAGGACATCTGCTGTACCAAGTCCCGGGCATCTGTCATGCGACCCGCGGCCAAATAGCCCTGAAGAACCGCGCCAAATGGTGGAAGAAATGCTGGTGGCTGGAAGAAATGCTGGGTGAATGGTGGGTGAATGGTAGCTGAATGGTTTTTTTGGGTCAAAACATGTCCTGGTACCCTGGTACCCTGGTACCACTCTGTTCTGATCCCCGAAATGGACAAAATGATAACAGGATGGTAATTTATCCAACGGATTGGTTGGTATTGACCCATCCCCTGATGTATTTGTCATTGTCATATATGTTAAAATCAATAAAATGTATATAAACCGTTCTTTCCAAACACTGTAGATTCTGTTGATATATAGTGTATATATATATGTATAACTAATTGTACGGCCAGCACGTGTGCTATGCCCCAAAGTCTTTCGGGATGATTGTCGGAACCCTCATTTTTGGTGACCCTTACAGTACTTGTGGCTTTCTAGTATTTGGCGATCTAATAACCAGATGATACCAGATGGGAACTAGATGGCTCTGGGTTTGCGAACCCAGAGACGTTGTTGATGACCCTCTGCTGTGAATCTGCTGTCCCCCAAAACTGTTTTTTTGTCACTGTTTACATAAACCATTAAAAACCTAGAAAAACCCTAGAAAACTTTGAGTTGACTTTAAAGAAGCTCTAAATGAACCCTAAAGAAACATTACATAAAGCCTGAAAAAAAACCTGTCAGAATGTATACTGTGGTAAATATAGACACTCTTCTTTGCAAACACTATGGATTCTGAGGTAGCCAGGTAGCCATCAAACCCTTTTCCAGAAAACGGCGCAGGTCCACCAGTGGGTCAAAACCCCCCCTTCTCTGCACAAGCATCGCACGCCTTCAACAGGGTGTTGTAGCTGACTACATCCACAAAACCCAGCTGTTTCATCTCCTGTTTCTACTCCAGGATGACTCTATATATATATGTGTGTGTGTTCTATGTGGGATGTATGATATGTTCTATCAGAAAACACTCATATATATATAATATATTTGTATAATTACATGATATTGAATATGATATAGTTGAATCTTGATATCGTGATACCCATGTATTCTATCTATCTATATGTGCTTATAGGGCTTTACCGATAGTCGCTTACATATGGAATGTATCCATTATCATATATAGTTCTAGTAAATTGCTTTATTCCACTATTGTTGATTATGTACAATGGCCATTGAATGGTGTGGTTTGGTTTGGTTTCACTGTAATTTCCCAATTTTCGGAACCATGGCAAACCCACAGCATGCGTTTTCTGCATCAACATTAAATTTGTCTAATTGGTGTATCTAATGTGGGATACAGTAGCTATCCTTGAGGTGTAATTTCTTCCATCTAATTGGTTAAGTATCACGTTGTAATATCCGAAGGAAATATCCCATTCGATCCCCTTCTTGGCTGCTTAAATCCTATTCAATCCCATCAAATCCTCATTTCTGTTGGTGAAATCCCATGAAATCCCCTTTTTTTTCGATCCCCATTAGATCCCCAAGCAGCACTCCTCGAAGAGTAGCAACGAAGCTTCGATGTCATTGCACTGCACGCATGCATCGAGGAAACCTTGGTGGAATGGCTTGGGGAAGTTTTCAGGGTATTTTTATGTTTGGGAAATCTTCCTCTAACTTTTGGATACTTTGGGGGTATATCTCTAACTCTCTAACTTTTGGATACTTTTGGAGTACCTGGAATATTCTGATGTAGATTGATAATTCAAGAATATGATGGAACAAAGTATTGTAAGTATTGCTTGCTCCTTTCAGTGCGGGCCCCAGCTCAGGGTGGCGTGACATGACAGGCGCCGGGCCCAGTGGGTTGCATGATTCCCAGCCAAATTAGCCCCCAATTTGCTCAAAGCTTTGTTTTCCGAAACCCAAAAAAGACCTGGTAAGATCAGGCATGGCTCAGGTTTGTAACCACTCTCCAAAATCCCAAGACCATATGGCAGTGTGTCAAAACCTGGTACCCCTAGTGAACATCAAAATAGCTGGTAAATGGATGTTCATCCCCTAAAAATGGTATTAATAGGTATTGATCCATACCCAGGACCCCTTTGTTTCGGGGAAAAAAGGCAGCCCGTGATGTCACCAAGGATCAGTTGTAGACCTGCGGTCGCATCACCACGCCATTCTTCTTCAGCCGATTAAAGGTGGCCGTTGCACTGGGAAGGTCCTACGAAGGGCGGAAGTGACCTGGGCATTTTTTGCCACTGAAAAATTCAATCGTCTGAAAATGGCTTGAACATGGTGGATCTAGGCCCCATGTTCAATATGGCTATTCAACTATGTTCATGGGAAGTTGTGAGAACATCTACAGAAAAATAGCCTACCAGTTTCATGGGAAACAATGTGGAATTTCCTGTAATGAAATTGTTCCCTAAACCACTCCATTGAATTTTGCATACTGCTGGTCACTTGGATATCACCATCAGGACGAGATCTCGAAAAAGTTGAGACCCGATATCTTCAGAGGAATCATCCACTTCGGAGTAGATCTGAGCAACGAATTATATACCCTCTGGTTATGACTAACATAGCCATGGAAAATCCCCAAAATAAATGGAGGTTTTAATGGGAAAATCATCTATAAATGGGCTATTTTCCATGGCTATGTTTAATAACCAGAGGGTATATATATATATACGTATATCTGGTTGGTGGTTTCAACCCCTCTGAAAAATATGAAAGTCAGTTGGGATTACTATTCCCAATATATGAAAAAATAAAATATATATAATTCACGAAATCAAAAATGAGCCATGTTGGGGGATGGTTCCTCCTACTCAAACTTCATCTATGGTGCGTTCGGCCAGTCAGGGTCTATCCATTGGCCAGCTAGATTCAGACGGAAGATAAGAAAACTTATGATGACTCTTCGCAAAATTGAGAGCCGAAGACAAGCCACAGTGCTTGGTGATATCATGACCTTGCCCTTCCAGGTCTCTCACACATACATTCATAGCTTCGGGCGAAGAATCTGAGAGAAATATCACACTCCCAAAACTGACATGAAAATGATCATTTAAAAATATCTTCCCTAGATTCCCCAATCATGGTGAATTTCTCATGGGGAAAAAAAAATCAGCATGGCACAAATCCTCGCAGTTAAGGGGGACTTCCTCCAAATACCCAGCAGCACCTCCAGTTGCCACCGGTCCTTATTCTTCACATAGGCCTTGATGGTGGTCACTGCCCGCTGGAGCTCAGCGTTGCTGTCAGTCTTCTCCTCTTAGATGATATGGATAGCTGGGTTGCAATTCCCAATTCTTATATAATAATACGTATTGTATAATATATGTTTCAATCCAGTTGCAAAAAAATGTTTCATGGATTGTGATACTTAAAAATACATTCGATAGGCCCATTAGTGGATTAATTGCCTATTAAAACATATTAAAACGGTGATTATCCACATCTATGTTAGTTTGCCTCAGGGTAACCCCCGAACTCAGCAACCAACAACAAAGGTCTCCTGCGGCTGAACGCCGATGCGCAACAACTCTTCCAAGATCTCGGGAGCGCGCTGCTCCCGTTGCGCCAAGCTCATGATCTGGGCAGCAAAAAGCCCTGGGGACCGTTTTTTATGGTGATTTTTTACCGTTTTACCAATCAAAAAGTGAGGGGTAAGCCTAAGCTTTACCCCCAAAAAGGAGAGTTGGAAGATTTTGTTAGGGGAATAGCAATCTCATCCCCAAAGGAAGCTTCACCAGCCAGACCTCTTGCGGGCACAAATCAGTGGAGGAGTATGGACAAATTACATTGAAATTATATTGAATTGACCAACATGGGAGGTACAAATTTTCCTTGATCCATCTTGCCTAGGAGCCTTGCACGGTTGCTTAGCAGATTAACCCAGGAACATGTAGCCGCCAATCAAACATATAAAACATCTAAACCCACAAGCAAATATGTACACGTACATATATATATATTATGTTATATATAAATAAATATAGAAAGAATATGTCCAGTGATTCAGTCACTTATGCCTGGATATCTCAAGACCAACGGAGAGACCCCGCGGTCTCCGGCCCTTTTTTGCCGCGCCTGTGCAGCCGCGGAGGGAGTCAAAATTCGGCCAGCATCGCTCGGCAAGAGCTGCAAGTAGCGCAAGGCATCGTCTAACTTCTGCCTGTGAGCTGCCTCGGTGTCAATCAGGAAAAAAAAGAAGGTAAGGTGATCATATGTAGAAGCTCTCTACATATACATACAAACATACTCTGTATATTTATGTGTATATATATAGATAAATTTTGTATTGTATTAAATTATACTACATTATATCATATGATATTATATTATAGCATGGTTGATTAAATTACATATTACATTGTATTATATCATATTATATTATATATAATATTATATCATATAATATCACACTATGTTATATCATGATATACATATATTATATTATATCATATGATTATATATCATATCATATCATATCATATTATATCATATTCTTTTATATCATATTATATTAGTCTTTTATTATATTGTATTATATTATATTATATCATATTATATCATATTATATTTGATTATATTTTATTATATCATTTATTATATTTACAAGTATATGATGCTATATTGTATATTATATATGATATTACATGATACTATATCATATACTGTAATATATCATATTGTATTGCTGTATTATATTAGATTATATCAGATCATATCATATTATGCCTTGTACAGAATATGTTTCTGCAAGCCTGACGACGGACTTGCACGGCATCATCTTTCTCGTACTAAGCAGCCCTAGTGAGTGGGGCATTTGGATTTGGCTCAGATATACCCCGAGATTCGTACCTAAAAATAGCAACCTCCAACTCCAAATAGATTTCAGAAAGGTTCAATATATAGTACTACTGTAGTTTACAGTAGTAGGAAGTTCTACTTGGCATGTTCTGGGGGTTGCGTTACCCAAATCTCAACAGCCCATCCTTGGATTCAATGCAAAGCCGCTGTGGTGGCCAAGATCGCATGCATCTTTGGCCTAGAGACAGCATCAACACTTCGGAAATGTTCATCGACCCATGGTTGAGCACTTAAAATTCTTCGACCCAGAAAACGGATGGTTTATTACTTTATACAATATCTAAACATGAATCAAATCTAGTAAGTGAATGTGAATGATGCATCATTTCAGGAATTGGTTGAGAAATGTTGCTGGCTGCTGTTTTTTACCAATAGATCCAATAGATTCATTGAAAAAACCATTGGCTTTCCTTGGTCGTAACCAATCCATTGACCACTGTCATCCAACCTGGCGGGTCTCCAGCTTTGCTAAACGTTTCACTTCTAGTGGCTATGTATAAATTACCATTATCCCCCAAAAAAACTAAATCCATTATCCCCAAAAAAAGCTAAATATCTAAGGGAATAAGGCTTGGAACTGCCATCTTCAGCAGTGCCATGTTTCGGTTTCGGCTTCTTTCGGGTCATCTTTCTTCCAACCACCGGCACGTCTTTCGCAGCCCAGGGACGTCAGCACATCTTCGGGCAATTTGGAGGCTGTCAAGTTCACTCCTGGAGCGTCCCGAGATCCAGTGTGGTAAACCTTCGTTGCTGTTGAAATGCTGGTGGACTGTATTGGATCACTGGTGATTTCTGGTTCTTGGGAAGCAGCACGTCATATCAACGGGGGATTTTTCTAAACCCAAAAATACCCAAAACCCAAATGGCTTCGGTGGGTTTAAAAAGCTACCCTGATGGGGTAGCTAAGGGGGGATGCTTGGGGATGCTTTCGATGAGATTTCATCATGGAAACAGCTGGATCGTCCCATGGTCCAGTCGGAACAGGACATGATTTATCGCTTCTGATGCCATATGCTCTAAAGACTCTAAAGATATATATATATTATATTATATATTATATATATATCCCATGGGAAATTAAGATGATCTAATATGGCTATCATTTCATCTAAAGTCGTAAGTTGTTCCGATCGTTGTTTCTCTCTCCATCTTTGGGACGATTGGGTCCTGCGAAATCTCTTCGACGCAGCTGCGCCGCCATCAAGGACGCCTTTGGGGATGGGTGCGCCTTTGGTGTTTCTCAACCCTTTCAGAACAGGTCTATAAGAGTTCCAATGTCATTCTCCAATGTTTCAAAGTTGTCCAAACAAGCATGTCTCAAAACCATCGCAAAAACAAAAAAACTTATAACTTACTGTATATAAATGTATAATATATATATATACATATGTGGATTTGAGGGGATACGCTGCATATTTCCAGAATGGATTTTCTGGAAAGCCAGGTGATCAAATCACCCCACGACTCCAGCAAGGGGAACCAGATTTGACCGGGAAGAGCTCTTGAGCTACTGCAGCTACTTTTATTCTAAGCTGTCTAGCCCATAGATATGATGAAGATGAAGAAACACGCGCGGCTTCGATATGATCAACTGGTTTCTGTTGAGCCCTCCAAGAACACGCCGAATTGGCCAAATCCTCCGGAAATGCTGGAAACAAATGAGTGACTTGTGTTAGAAACTGAAGCTTTAAACTGGTTGGTGGTTTCAACCCCTCTGAAAATTGTTTTGTCAGTTGGGATTATTATTCCCAATATATGGAAAAAATATGTTCCAAACCACCAACCAGTAAAGAAAGGTCACTAACAGCCTACATTCTGTGTCTGGCCATACCCACTGAGACCCCCAGACATACACGGTGACCTCCGCACGCTTGCCCACGTCCTGACCCCACGGTGCGGCCCCCGTGAATGTCAACTATATATATATATAAATATGTATTGCCACGATGTGTATATTTGAACTATTTATATAAACATCTAAATTCTATCTCATATTATCTTATCTACATCTAATATAAACATATACCACTTAGGTAGGCACACCCATCATAAAGTAGAGCATGTCCTCCGGCAATCAAACATGGCAATGGACAATGCACCGTTGATAGATGATTTTCCCAGCTGTTTCTTTAGGAGTTCTGTTCCGGGATTTCCGGCAATGTTTCATAAATTACCGGAGGGCATCATCGGACCGTCCCCTTAGGACCCATTGGGACAAGCACCCATTGGGACAAGCGCCCAAAAATGTATGAACATCTGGCAACGCAAAAATATGAGCTAAGCATTACATCTAACATCAAAAACATGTTCAGTTTCTGAGATATGCATACATACATTCGTGGACGTATTTATATGAATATGTATGAATATATATATATACATAGTTTCTTGCACATATCCCACCAAATTGCTCCATGTAAAACACCTCCATCCCATGCCTGCAACACCTGCAGCACTGGTGGAAGCAGGTCTACAGCCTTAGCTCATCTCCAATGGTGGATGTCAGCGGAGAAAGCCAGCAAAAAAAAGAGATAATGCAGAAATTAGAACATCTTGGTATAGGAAATGTATGGGAAGGGTGATGAAGAAATCTATTAATACTTTTCAATGGATACCCTCATATATGTATATTTCGTTGGTAAAGTTCCCCTCATCTTGATGGTTTGATCCATCTGAGGGTTCCCAACATCATCGCGAAGGAGGGTGGCAGGCAGCGCCTACCATGGCTGCGTGCGCACCAACAAGAACTGATAACTGGGTATGGCACAAAAAGGGGGATGTGGACCGGAAATTGGAGGTGCAAAGACCAAGACTTGCTGAAACTAAGGAGTTCACCCAGAAACAACAAGGAGTTCACCCAGAAATTGTGGGATTTGAACATTTTTCAGATGGCTGCAACTAACAAAGATTGCTGAAGAATGGGGATTCGACCAAACATAAACTGGGGAGTTAAATGGCAAAGATGATTGGCAAATAACCATAATTACTAAACTAAAAGAAACCGTCCCTGTAATTTGTAGATGAATTTCCTGTTTCAACCAGTGATTTAGATTGAATTACGGGAGGGTCATGGACCGGTCGCTCATTTGGGGCTGTGAAGCCATCGACCTTTGACGCCCTACACTTACAGAGATAACTGGGGGTTTCCAATCCATGGAGGTACCCCATTAGCTGGATGGTTCATTTGTCATTTCGTGGAAAATCCCAAAATAAAATGGATGATTTTAGGGGGTACCCCCATTTTAGGAAACCTCCAACTAGTCTCAGGATGCATCCTTCACTTTCAGAGAGCTGCGATCTTACAACTTCTCCTTTTGCTACAGTTCTACACAAACGTGTTTGGTTTGCACTCCCGGCACTCCCTCCTACTTTTGCAGTCTGGCTGGTCTCCATCCATGTGTGAAAGAGAAACTCTGGAGAAATCCTTTTGCCACTTGACTTCTTTAATCAAAGAGTCAAAGCCATCCCCCGATCATATGCATCTAGGCCCAATCCTGCGATTCATGTGGCCTCTCATAATATAGTTGGGGAGATCAACATGGATTAACATCCCTACATACCAGCTTGATCATAGCATGAACAGCTGGCTACTTTCTTTTGCGAAATGACCCAAGAACAAATTCATATACATATATAATTTATATAATATATACTGTAAGGTATATAAGTGTACATATATATATATATTTACATATATGTATACATTTATATACATCATAGTATTTACAACATACAATTTGTATTCGCCCCCCCGTCATCATCCGTTGGATTCGCATCCGTCGTGCCTCCAGGTCAGGCAAGAGATGCTTGGCAGCGTCCAGGCCGCTGCGGAGTTCACTCTCGATCTGATCACGGCATCGACGGGGTTGTTGCAAATGTCAGGCCAAGGTCGGGAAAACAACGGATGAATTTCTGAATAGTATACATTGTATACATGTATTATATGATATACATGTATAATGAAATGCAATGAATATCTTGTGAAATAGTAATGAATAGGCAATTGGGATCTATAATGATCATATAATGGCTGATTTCATAAATTACTCTAGTAATTTCCAACATATATAATGAAATGTAATGAATATCTTGGGAAATGACATGTAATGAAATGACTTTGACACTGAATAGTAGTGAATATGTATATTCAATGAATAGTAACGAAATATAATGAATATCTTGGGGTGTTAGGATGTTCGAAGCTAATCTATCACTTTTCATAAAACACCCCTTGATTATTATTGAGCCTAAGGTTATATATAGTTGAATATATTCATCCGAGGTTGACGGTACTTGTAGGATCTTGTAGGCGTCGTTGAGATACCCGGTACGAGTACTCCTGCGCATGGGATCTGTGTTCCATCCATACGGAGACATCAAATATGAATACAACATCATAGCTACATGGATATCACATGTTATTTTTGGATATCACAACATCATCGTATCATACAATGTCATGTCTATCTATATATATATATAAATATATATATACCATTATATACCTATACATCGGATAAGTTTATGAATAGTACATGGGGAATTTCCCAAAAATGGGTATCATCCAAACCATCGTTTCCCCTAGATGTTGGACTTTGGGAGGTAGATCCCATGCCATTTTCAGACACGCCCAAATCAGATATAGTTGGTTGTGTGTCCCATAAAGTATTCCTAATGTCCACTAAATCCCACTAGATTCCACTAAATCCCATTAAAATCCGACTAGATTCCATTAAAATCCCACTAGATTCCACTAGATTCCATTAAATCCCACTAGATCCCATTAGATCCCTATTGTTGGATGGTTCAATCCCATTGAGCCCCTATGGTTGATGCTGAAAAAATTCCCCAGAAATCTCGGCCGCGCCTCACTGGGAGACTTCTTCAATTGTCTCATGGAGGTCAGGACCAGGTAGAGCCCAGTGGCACCAGACAACTCGGCTTTACCTTTCTTCACCTGGCGAAAAACGAGGAATTGACTGGACAAAAATGCTATTTGGTAGGGGTGTTAACTGGCATTAAGAATAGGGATATACTGGGGATTTAATACAATTAATGGGATTTGACCATTAAGAATAGTGATTTCATGGTATTTGACTATCAGCAATAGGGATTTCATAGGATTTAACCATCAAGCACATGGATTTAATGGTATTTTAATGGTATTTAACAATCCAACATGGGGATTTAGATTTCACCCACCTTAGATTTTGGGATGTAACGCTGGAGATCGAGGCGTTTGATCGACCCCGCCTGCTGCCATTTCTTATAGGTCTCTTCGGCTTCATTTGAGGCACTATCCTCCATGCCGTAGCGACACCCCAGGACTTGACTTTTGTGGCACGTACCCTCTGGTAAACTAACATAACTATGGAAAATCACCATGTTTAATGGGAAAATCCACTATTAATGGCCATTTTCAATAGCTACGTTGAATTACCAGAGGGTACTATCAACACAGACTCTCTGGGGGGTGCTTGAGATCAGGGTCACTTGTACTCGACTCATAACTGGCATTGAACTTAGTAACGTTCCGCACATGTCTCAGCAAAATTCTGCAAATTCATCCAAGTTTCCCCACCATGTTTCACAGGAAATGAGTTGGGGATGAGAAAACTTTCCACCATGGTTTGGCTGCCATGGAACCGGGATTCGAACTGGGTGGAACCGGGTTTTCCAGGCCAAGAAACAACAAATGTGATACCGATACCCCCTATAGAGACCCGACTAATTATTCTAGCCATAAACCAGTTGGCGACTGGCTATATAACTAATATTCAATACAATATAGGTAATATATACATATAGTCAATATTTACCATGGTCATATATTACTATATATATATACATATGTTTATTATATAAGGATTATATAAGCTTATACAACTATATAATATATTTCACAGGACCTCTGACCTCTAACGATAAGTCCCACCTCATAGCCAGGCTTCTTGGCCCGTTTCTTGGGCCTCAAAGTTGCGGCTGCGACACCATGCCACCAACCAGCTATGACTCGTGGGGTCATTGTGGGGTCAGTGTGATGTATTAGTCCCCAATTAAAAGATGTTCAAATGGGATGCTGATCTGAAACAGCCAAGCAAAAATTCCTTGATGTGCTTCCGTCGGAATTTCGTTGGATTGCACACAAGGATTCCGTCAAAAACCCTCTGTGTGTAAAATCTAATGGAGAACCTGAAAAACGAGACAATTTGGAGATCCATTCTGTTGATCCATGGTGAAGGAACTGAAAGGAACTGAGACAACCATGACTTGCCAAGTGTAAATCACCCAGCAACAGCCATTGAAGAAGATGACACCTGATACTTCAACAATATAAATAGAAGAGTTATGCATTGAAACTTCCCAAATTAATTATATATACATATTATATACATGGCATATCAATGATAAGCCAGTTGGAAGGGCTTTTTCGTTGCTCACATCAACCACACCCCCCGGTCGAGTCCCACGTCCCACCGCTGAGCTCCCGTTGCCCAACTTGCGGCAAGCCGACCACCCTGGGCATCGGCGCGGCAGCAGGACCAAGGCGTCCGGAGTCCGGAGGCCTATAGAATTTCTTGGGACACATCCAGATAATTCCATACGTATAAATACATGTGTATATATATATTGTATATATATATATATTGTATATATAATGTATATATTATGTATATTGTATATATATAATATTTAATATAATATATTAATTATATATATATATATTACTACATGCATTGATCTCTCAATACAGTATAATGCCAGCACACGATCATAGGCAACAATCATAAGCCACCTATCCTGGTGCTACGGTGCAGAACCTGATTGCTCACTGGATTGTGCTGTCAACCCACAAAATGCTGGCCAATTCAACTGCAATAGGACCTAGAATTCACCTGCCATTCCGGGATCATTGTAATGCGAAAACACAAAACACCATGAAATGTCTTGAACTGTCCGAAACATGTATAAAAATGTGACATACCACAACCACGGGCTTCCCCCAAAAGCCAGACATTTTCTTGTGTCGCAACCCCCGTTGTTTTTCCCAGAAACGCGACGTAGACCACCGCGGCGACAGCGAACATGGCAAGCTCCATCCACACTAGGGATATGGCCTGCAACCACCGAGCTACATCGATGGTGTGTCTGAAAATAGAGAAAACCCCTAAACCCAATGGTTTTGCTGATCATTATCCCTATGAAATGGCTATTTGTTTGGGAATATAGCCTATTTTCAGACAAACCCACATGTGTATGTAACTTAATGTCATTCGTATTATTGTATGCAATGTGTGTATTATGCTTATTAGCTGTACATAACACTGAGATGTACTGTATATACTCAATAGTGTATGTGTTGTTTCATACAGATGTAGAAAGGCTAAGGTGTTTGTATGTATCATCTGCCTGTTTTTACAGAACAGTATATGCTGCATCTCCATCTCTAGTGGATTGTGGGTGCTGTCCTTCCCAAGTTGTGTCCAGAGCTTTACCCGGAATCCCTACCAACAGTGGCCTTTTCAAACAGTGGGCCAGTTCGGGTTGCCAATCATTGGTAACCATCATGGTATCCTCTATATATATATATGTATATATATAATATCTATGCCCAACAAATAGATACTGTTAAAAAAGAGATAAAAAGAGAAAAGTTCTGGGTTTCCTACATATTTTCGGGGCTGGTCATGTCCTGCAGGTCCTTTGTGAGCTTTGCGGGTCACAACGACACGCCAATTGCGCCTCGAAGGCTGTAGATGACAGGAAAGACATCCTCAGTGGATCACCCCAGTTGTCGAGGAAAATCCAGCACTTTGGTTATGACTAACAGTTTGCCATGGAAAGATCCACCATTTTTAATAGGTAAAACCTAGGTAAACCATCTATTTCGATTAGGGCCATCTATACCATGGCTATGTTAGTCATAACCAGAGGGTATGGGTCAATCATCGAAGTAAATGGGCCATGTTCATCCATTTTCCATAGCTATGTCAAAATACCAGACGGCAAAGGATTGAGACGACAAAATATCTTCCAAGGCAGCGCAAAGCACCAAACAAAAACATGTTGTTTTGTGGAAATGAAGCTAGCGTTATTTCTAAGAAAATGTTGCTTTGTCAAAAACCAGGGCTTTTTTCAATGCGCCACCAAGCCACCTGACTGAAAAAGTGTCCAACATGGCGCCTCCCGTTTTGTCATTCACATGGCTAAAAGATTTCCCCAGATTTCGTAACCGATCCTTTTACATCCTTTTCCCAGCTATAAATTATCCATGGATGTAATATCCATAGCTGGTAAATCATAGGAAATCCCCCATCAAAATGGATTTTTACCTTTTGATGGGGGATTTCCATATTGATGGGGAATTTCCTATGATTTACTTTGATGGGAAAAATTCCTATGATTTACCAGCTATAAATATGCTTGATTGCCAAAGGCTACGAAAGAGAGCCGAGCAACATGTCCGCGAGAGCCATAGTCTTTCTTGGTGGCAGACCTGTACCATGGGGCAACCTTTTTACGTGGCAGGGCCAAGCTCTACAGACTGTTCAATTGGGATTTGCATCTCCCTGATTTTCCTGATCGCTTGTTGGAGAGTAACTCCTCGAATCAGCCGGGCTTTCTCCGTTGAGGTTTGAAATTAGAACGCACTAGGACACAGTATCAGCTACCCAATAAACACACTAAATGGGCATGTTGAAGGTCGTATTTCGTACTAGACCATCAAATTTGGAGGCAATTCATTTGAGACCCAAACAACGCCCAGGTAACACACGAGTAACACATCGCCATCCAGACTTTTCCATGCATCCATGAAGATCAAGCCTTCCTATGGAGGTTTTCTGGAAGGAGAGGACGGCAAGATTTTTTCCCACCTCAGAACTGGCAAATGTCCAAGTGGAAAAACCGCTACTTTCCCATGTCAGTTTCACCAACATATTTGGAGCTGGTGCGCTTGGAAGAAGCCGGTGGAAAGCAAATAACCTCTGTGAATACAACAGTTTGCAGTGGAAGCCATGGCCTATCAGGACTAGCAGCGCTATCGCATAGCAAGCAAATGCATAGCAAGCATGGGTGCCTGGGAAAATGGGGGTACTGTACCCCATTCCATCCTCTGTATACTGATGATATTCCCCATTAATAGATATTGATATTAATAGCAGGCCATAATTGGGGCTTAAGTCTGAGATCGTCTTTGCAACATCGCTCAGTAGCAATGGCACATCATCGTTTACCAACAGTGGATGGATTAGGCTACCATTTTTGAGATTGTCGATCATGACTTTTTTCTTTTTCAGTGGTACCCCGTGTCTGAGACATACAAATGGTTGAGCAATTTAAAATCATTTATACATTATATTAAATATATATATATATTATGTTATATATATATATTATATTTACAGTATATATTATATTATATATTATATATTATATATTATATTATATGTATACACACCCATGATTTCCATTGATTACCCACGCTTGCTGGAGGATGGTCTGAAATTGCCCCCATGGTATACTCGTGTGCCGCAACATTCCTAGTTCCCCAATCCCTTCACTGCCGCGCCAAAAGACGCACTGACAAAGCGCTATGGAACTTCAATGGGGCTTCAATCAGAGCCTCAGGCGTCTGGCATGAGGCGCCCTTTGGGGTGAACTTAACATAATGCGGCCCTGAAAATCAAATGAACAGCCTTGTGGCGGCCTTGAAATGTGTCAATAAGTTTCTATGGTTTCATGATCTGAGGATATGCATCATCTATACGTACTATGATAGATACAATCTGTGAATGTGAATAAACTCCATACAGTGGTCCATACACATGTAAGGAATCCCCATGATGGTAATCTGGGACTAATCATCCGAATTGGATCAAAAACGGTATGAAAATGTATGAAAGAAGCCACCAGCCATGTCGGACCTCCCATCTTCGTATGTCCATGATAAATTGGTATCTGGCAGACTGGTGGTCGGTACGAATGCATATTGGACATAAGTTCGATATAATTAATGGGGACATCTTTATTCGAACCAGGTGGGGTTCTTTGCAGCAATCTCTTCAATGATTTTAGGGGATGTGTCAAAACGGGTCCAAACTCCAGTACCCTGAGTTTAGCGCCAAAATAGCTGGTAGTAGTTCTAGAAGTATATCAAGACTCGATGGTCCCGTTGCTATCCACCCACTCCCTCAAGTCGTTCCTGCGATCGAGTGGCTGATCGTAGCACCGAGGCTTGAACAAGGCTTGAACCGATCAAGCAGAGTGACAGCGAGTAGCAAAGGATGGTGGTGCAGATGGTGCAGTGGTGGGAGGAATGAAGTAAACTGATGACGCACCGCGCAATGATGGTATGGTTTCAGCCCCTTCAAAGGCTGATTCTGTTGCTTTAAAGGTGCCGAGTGGCTTTGTCTCAAAGCGATTCAAAGTGGAGGATATCCCATAAACCGGTGAAATTTGGGGTGCAAAACCTCCATGTTTCGCTAATAAAAAAATCACACAAAAAATAGTTTCAAATAGATATATCTTTTGAGGCTAATATAAAAAAATGGGATGAAACCATCCTTTCAGAAACTATCCTGGGATGACTCCAGATCTTCCCCACTGGCAGCGAAAAAATCAGGACCAAACCCAGCTTCTTCGCCGGCTCGAGGCTTGGATTCCAGCGCACCTCGCCGGCCGGGGTCATCGGGTCATCCGATCCACGATTCGTGGGCGAGGAAATCATGTTTATAAAGATATGGGGAACCACAGGTTGTTGGTGATTTAATGGAATTTAATGGAATCTAGTGGGATTTAATGGGATTTAGTGGAATCTAATGGGATTTAATGGAATTTAATGGAATTTGATGTAATCAACCACTCAACTTTGGTCAATACTGATTGATTTCAGCAAAAAATCCCACAATCGGAGTTGATGATTCCCATCAAATTCAATCACATTGCACAAGCTCAAAAAAAAAAAGGGGTGTCTCAAAACGTGGTGCCCAAAAGTTTTTTTTGATGAATCATCATTTCCGGAGGTCTCCCCATGACAAACCCATGGCAGACTCATCATTTCCGGGGTGCACTGCGCCCCCGACCAGCTCATCAATCTTTTCTCGGATCATGGACCTGAGGAAGACTGGGGATCCACCTGTTGGATGGCCTGTCCGTAAAACTGAAGCCATATGGTTGTAACAACGGTAGTAAGTTGATGGTGCCTCAACAAGGATAATATATAACAATACATGTAGTTATGTACACAAATATCTGTATATATATATACATATATATTGTCTACAGCAACCCTTGGCTCGCTTCATGGGTTAGCTAATGCGATGCATGGTTCGTAACTATGGTCAATCTATCCTTCATTCCCCCCTAAAGGAACCCTGTCATTTAGTATTGGATCTATTCATGCGGGAGAAATCCCATCATATGGGGGGTGTGCCTAATAGTACCTTAGAGAGAAAGGATTACACCAATTTGCAAACCTGACTACTACCGGTGGTTTTGAGGATGCTGGGGCTCTGCCGCTGATAGATTCTCACCATCCATGGCTCATGAGCGCGTTCAATATCACCAAATCTAGCATCCTTAGCCATTTAGGACGTGCCACTATATGAAGTGTATATAGACAAATATATGTCTTGGGAATATCCTAGAAATATCTACATATCAACATCCTGGAAACATCTTTGAAACATTTATCAATAGCCTGCAAATATCCTCAATATCGTTTCATATCTCTTCAATATCCTAAAAATACTATCTATCATCTATGCAATTCCATACATATCTAACTGCAAGGTACTATCCCCACATGCAAAAAGGTACCATCCCCAGTTTTTTGTTAACTGCGGCCGCCGCACCGTTGCTCCTCGGTGGCTGAGAAGCCACGATCCACGGACTTGATGCCCTGCTGTCTTGATGCTTTGTTGATGTTGATTTGATGTTGATACTGTGGATGGAAGAAATCCTGCACCAGTTGATAAGTTGATAGATGGTTTATCCCATTATTTATAGGGTTTCAACCATCCAAGGGTATGTGATGATGTTGATACAGGATGGGCCCCTCCCCAGTTATAAGTTGGTTTATAAACCATGAAAAAAAACATGAATACTATAGTTATGATGTATGTTGATTTGACTGATGTTGATGTATGTTATAAGTTGGTTTATAAACCATTATAATCCCCATTAACTATAGTTATATCTACCATAAACTATTGATATGAACAAGATGTTGAATTTTGTTGTCATGAAAATGCGACTTGTTGATTTATGTTGATTTGTTGGCATCTTTTGGTTTTTAGCTGCAAGATGGTGGAAGCTCATTGACAAATTCTGGTATCCCAACGAAGAGGAGGTGAACCCATCAATGAAGCCGCACAAAACTGGTGCATCACCAATCTCCACAAGTAAGAATGGGACATGGAAAACACAACAATGAGCGTACAAAGATGTATGATAGTACGATCAAGCATAATGTGTGTATATATATATATATATAACTGTATATATATATATACATAATGTATACACATGCAGAAAGAGAGAGAGAGAGAGAGAGACGAACAAAATGCATACAGACGTGGGGACAGAATCAACAGTGGTAGCGTTTGACACCCAGCTGGACAAATAGGGGTTGGTGATCCGGGTAAGGCTTGGTAAGGATGCAAAGGTGATAAAGCTAAAAGCACCAACTTTAAACTTAAACTGCATCTGCGTCAATCATCACAATCAAATTAGATGAACTATAAACATGCAACTTTTGCCTAATGTACATCTCTATGAGCTATCATCAATAAGTAGAATATCAAACCGGCATAAACGATGTATAAAACCGAACTACTCTGGGCCATGGCTTCCATGGCGCCTCCAACAGGGCCTCTTTCGCGGCCAGTCGTTGGCTCTTCTCCTGGTAGCTCCCAAATTTCACCCCAATTCAACTGGAGATTCGTTCAGTTTTGGTAGATCACCGGCTTCGAACTACCCTCTTGTAAACTAACATAACTATGGAAAACCACCATTTTTAACGTGTAAATCAACTATAAATGAGCATAAATGAGCCAGTTTCCATAGTTTTTTGTATGTTTACCAGAGGGTATCATTTGATGTTTTCGCTTACTGCCACTTACCCAGAAAATTCCAACCAAACCACGATGGCCCCCAGGGGCGCCTGAGTGCTTGTTTGAGCGCTGGGTGCAGCGACCTAGTAGGATTTCTGTGGATTTCTGGTAGATATCTATCAGACTTAATGGGCTTTACAAACCAATATAAATATATATATATATATAAACAGTGGGCACCACCTTGTGTGGACTTCACCTACCGGATTTTGGGACTTGGGGGGTTTGCTTCAAGGCTGCCTTGAATCATGATAATCATGCCAGTCAGGGAGAGAAATCATTGAAAAGTTCAGCCAGTTTGGCCCAAGAAATGGACCCAGAAAAGGTGTGGTCATAAGCCCCTGGGCGCCATGGACCCAACAGGATTCGCCTGTGCAAACGTTCGGTGCCACCCAAATAGGCCCAGGGCAGAAAAAAGCACCTCCGGTTTCGGCAGAAGCGGCGCGCAGGTGATGCAATGTGAGAACAAATGAGCGAATAGATCTATAGAAGCTATGGTTCTAATCCGATCTAATCTGATCTAATCTGATCTGATCCAATCTATATCATCTAATCTAATGTATTCTAATGTCATGTAATCTAATCTATCTAGACAGATACATAGCCAGGTAGATATGCAGGTCTTATAGATAGAGACAGAGGCAGAGGAATCATCTGCCCCAAATGCATAGATCCAATACACCAAGGGAACCACTTGGGGAAGGGATTGCAATGCTAAAAATGCCCAAAGTGTAGAGCAAAAAGTATCCCAAATTCTAGCTGAAACACTGATCTCCACCCCAGCATGGTTCGTTCAAGTAGAGTAGCTTGGAAGAATATACGTGGAGTGTCTTGGAGTCTGAAGAATAATGTCAGAGAAATAATACCATATGCAGTATACTTTTACAAACATCAATCCCGAATCAGAAAACCCGCAGATGTTTTCTCAAACTAAATAGATCCACTACAAGACCAGGGCTTCTCGGCTTTGTAAATGATAAAAAACTGTTTATTTAGCCGTCCATGCTGAGCAGCCCTGCAGTTACAAGCGATAGACCTGGGGCCCATCAGGTCTCCGCATCACAAAAGGGTGGTTCACTAAGAGAACGCCCGTGCAGAACGAGGATGGACCGCCAAATGTTGGCTTAATGGATCTGGGTAAGTTATTATATATCTGGGTAAATTATAATATTTCACTAACCTGAATTAAGGTCATTTGGGGATGATTTTCCTTACTAACCATGATTCCAGTGAGGTCAGAGTAAGGTCGTTATAATTTACCCAGATATATATAACAATTCACTGACTGGAAATGTGGGGCAATTTTGGGAGAGTTATCCTTACTGACCGTCTTTCCAGTGAGGTCGCAGTGAGCTTGTTATTATGCAAAAAACAATCATCTATCTTTCCAAGGACATCCCCAAATTGGTCCCCTACTAATCAAAAATTAGCAATTTCATTTTTCCCGGGAAAAAAAAAAAACATGCACCTGTCCCTACCCCATTTTTGGGGGTCCTGGGTTCCAACCAATCCTGGGATGCCACGCCCTGTGCACGCGACTTACGCGACATCACTGCAATGGCATATGATGGCGTATGGTTTCAAGTTAAGTTTCAGGATCATCTGGTCCCAGTGAAGTTTCAACTGTTCGAAATGTAGAACTGGAAGAAAATGGCGACACAACATGAAAAAAAAACATCAAACCTTTGCTGACAAGGCACTTTATTGATGGGATGCTGGTTGATTTGTGCGTCATATTCCCTTATGACGCTCCGTGCGCTTAGGTGACATGAAATAAGTTTTGACATCTGCGGGTGATGAAGAAAGATTCGGCCGACGTATCAAACAGTAAAGACACATCTCTCATCACCTTTGCAATGGCCCATGAACACAACATGCTCGCCAAGAATTACGCATACCCTGGTATGAACACCTCCCGCAATGTTTCTCCGAATTCAATCATTTTCGAAATATATTGGAATAGTAAAATGTCCAACGTTCCACCCATGCCACTTTAGGATACTTTAGAGCCATAACCAATCAAGGGAGATCCTGTTTGATTGCTATGAAAGACCTGAAACCTCGGTTCTGTGCCAGGAGCATGGCCAAGCACCACTTTATTTTGGACGCCGCTTTCGGAACTTCAGCGAAGGACAATCACCGCGTTCAGATTACAGGCGTTCTTGGACGACAGTCGCGACATAGCCCTGTCGAAGACGACGCTTTGCTGCATCTCGATGGCCGGAAGGTCCGGCGTCCAGCGATTTTGGTCGAAACAGGTCGAAACGCAAAGACCCACGCAGTCCACATCCGTTTGGTCCGCACATCCCACCAAACAAACCATGGCCGCACTCAGCAAACAGCACGGGGGTTGCCCCATGGTTGGTCCATGGTCACCCCTTCCTCGCTTGCCGCACAGAGCCTGACCAGCTGAGCAAATCCACCCAGCGGCTGCCGCTCAGAAACCGGAGCTCGCTGCTCCAGTCAAGACCTGCACTGGTGGTAATTGAGCCGTCACTTCCCAACTATATAAAGAGATGAAGAGAATGAAATGAGTTGGGAAATGACTCATTTATATAGTTGGGAAATGATGAAGTTTATAAATAAATGAGTCAACTAGAAAATGACCCGTTTTTTAATCTGCGAAATGGGTGGATTCGTAGGGAGATCATGGGGACAGCAGCGACATGTTTGGATTGGAAAATGGGCATAATTCCTCCATCTTGGTGCGATGGAACACAGATATGGAAGATCCATGGTTTCCACAGGAAATGATCTAGAAATTGTGGATGTTCATTTATTGTCCATATCATTCCACATCAACGTCGATGTTTAGATTATTGTATATGATTGATTGGTTGATTGATTCATTCCTTCATTCCTTCATTCCTTCCTTCCTTCCTTCCTTCCTTCCTTCATTCATTCATTCATTCCTTCATTCCTTCATTCCTTCATTCATTCATTCATTCATTGATTGATTGATTCATTGATTCATTGATAGATTAATTAGATAGATAGATTGATTAGATAGATAGGTTAATTAGATAGATATGTTAATTAGATAGATTAATTCGATAGATAGATTAGTTAGATAGATAGATAGATTAGATAGATAGATTCGATAGATAGATTAGATAGATAAGATAGATAAGATAGATAGATAGATAAGATAGATATAGATAGATAGATAAGATAGATAGATAAGATAGATAAAAAAATATAATATAAGATAGATAGATAAGATAGATAGATAAAATAGATAGATGAGATAAGAAAGATAAGATAAGATAGATAAGATAAGAATAGATAGATACGATAGATAGATAAGATAGATAGATAAGATAGATTAGATAGATTAGATAGATTAGAGAGATAAGAGAGATTAGATAGATTAGATAGATAAGATAGATAAGATAGATAAGATAGATAAGATAGATAAGATAGATAAGATAGATAAGATAGATAAGATAGATAGATAAGATAGATAAGATAGATAAGATAGATAAGATAGATAAGATAGATAAGATAGATTAGATAGATAGATAGATAGATAGATAGATAGATAGATAGATTAGATTAGATTAGATTAGATTAGATTAGATTAGGTTAGGTTAGATTAGATTAGATTAGATTAGATAGATAGATAGATAGATTAGATTAGGTTACATTAGATTATATTAGATTAGATTAGCTTAGATTAGCTTAGATTAGCTTAGATTAGATTAGATTAGATTGATAGATAGATTAGATTAGATTAGATTAGATTAGGTTAGGTTAGGTTAGATTAGATTAGATTAGATAGGTAGGTAGATAGATAGATAGATAAATTAGATAGATTAGATAGATTAGATAGATTAGATAGATTAGATAGATAGAATAGAATAGAAAAGAACAGAATAGAATAGAAAAGAAAAGAATAGAATAGAAAAGAATAGAACGGAATGGGCTAGAATAGAATAGAATTAGATAGACATATATTTGTATATGTATTTATATATTTGTATATGTATAAGTTATAGTATATATTATATGTGTGTAAATGTATAAATATATATACATATATATATATATATGATTGTTCTATATTATGCTACATTATGTTTTATACATTGTAATTATATATGTTTATTATATATTATATATTATATATTGTATATTAAATAGTTTATATTATATATTATATATTGTATATTATATATTATATATTGTAAATTATATATTATGCATTATATATGTTTATTATATATCGTATATTCTATATTATATTCTATTATATATTATATTATATATTATACTATATATAATATATTATATTATATTATGTTATACTATATTATATTATACTGTATTATAATATATTAGAATAGACTATATTACATCATATTATATCATATCATATCATATTATATTATATTATTTTTTATTATATCATATTATATTTTATTATATCATATCATATTATATTATATTACATATATTGTATTATATTATGTATTATATATATATGTTCTACCGAGTGCTACCCATATCCCAAAAGAGAAGAAACTCCACTTGGGATGAACCCCGGACTGTCGTCGTCCAACCAAGGCACCGGTGTGAGTGCGAAAGGAGTCCGGAAAGGCGGCCAAACCTGGGGAAAACTGGGTGAATTTCTGGGAAAAATTGTTTTGCAACTTGGGGATGGGTCAAAACCCTGGTACCTAGTGAACCCCAAAATAGCTGGTAAATGGATGTTCATCCCACTAAAAATGGTATTAATAGGTATTGATCCATACCCAAACCTCAATGGATCACGTTCCGCCAATTGCCGTGATCATATTGCCATGTTCCCCGGGTACCCGGCAATAAACCCCCCGCCAATCTGCACGCTGCTGTCGCAGCAAACGGCCAAGCCTGGGCTGGTCCAACGTCCAAGGGATTGGGGATCAAACCAGCAAGAAATTGAGACTTCAGGAGATTTAAGCCATTTAACCACTGGTAAACATACAAAAAGCTATTGAAAATGGCCATAGAAATAGTGGATTTACCCAATAAAGATGGTGATTTTCCATAGTTATGTAAACGTTTACCAGAGGGTAACAACTTGGAATTTTCATGGAGGATTTCAATCATTCAAAGGAAAACATGGACGATTCAACCTTCAACAATGGTGATTTAACATGATCTAAAATCATAAAACCGGATTTCATGGGGATCTAATCACCAAATATGACGGTCCATGGATTGGTGTCCTGGAACAAAAGTCTACAGGAAAACCTGTGGGATGGCAATAGTTCCACCCATGATTCAACCTATTTGTTTGTAGAGTAGAGATGGATGCAGATATACACTATACTGTTGTTTATCACTCCACAAAATGGTTTATCAGAAAGTTTATCAATTTAAAAAAATGAAAATATAACACAATTGGAAATATTATTATGATATATAGTTTCTAGTTCTTTCAGAGGTGTCATCCACCTTGTGTCCTCTTTCCTTTTGAGGAAGCAAACACTGCCTGGGTATGGCTCACAACTTGGGCCCACACGAATGAGATTATTGAATAGTCAATTGAATTCAGACGCTAAATCCGAAATTAGGTATGATTCAAAATGACGGAATGACCGAGCCAATTAAGTGAAACCTGATATTGTTTTGGTTGTAGATAAACTATGATAAACTCATGCAAAGTTCAATCCAAAACTGGCTTAGTTTGAGATCCGCGCTGGCCATAGGTGTCACTGGCTTCGGGCAAACCCCACTCGCGGTCCTCACCAAAAAAATTCTTCGGCTGAGGTCGACCCGACAATCCGTTAGGCTTGACAACGCTGCCCCATAGTGGGCCAAGTGGGTTTATATTCGTAACTAGCCTTACGAATGTTTTTGCCAGGCTTTATAATGGATCTGATATATCCATAGTTGGAAATAGCTGGATAGGTTTCTGAGCCAACTGTTTTTTCTGGGGGCACGTCATTGGGAGATGGGGACGTTATAAACGGTTTACCACATGAATCAGTTAGTGGGGGTTCCACATCAGCGGCTTATCCTCGCGCAGATTCTATCTGGGAGATTCTGGGACGATGGTAGGTTTAGTACCAACATAGAGAACTACCTCACTAAATTGGTTGCTCAGATCATCCCTGAAATTCAAATACCCTCTGGTAAACGTTTACATAACTATGGAAAATCACCATATTAAATGGGAAAATTCACTATAAATGACCATTTTCAATAGCTATGTTAGTTTACCAGAGGGTAACTATATATATATATATTCACCAACCATAGCGAGAATCCACAATTTCCCAGGGGTACTCCATGAGTCATTAGGATTTTCGGGACATGTGAAATCCTGATCTCAACCTATGGCCATCATGGCCATCATGGCCATCATGGCCATCATGGCCATCATGGCCATCATGGCCCAAGTCTGCCAGCCTGTTTGCCACCAGATGCGAGTCCGAAGGGCACGTTGGTCACGATCCTTGGGATGGCTCCGCGGGAAACCACAGTAGTCATTCAGTTGGTTCAAGGAAATGGAGATGGCCAAGTTACATCAATTTACCCTTCATGCACTTCTGGGAAGTAGAATTGGTGTATGATTTGGATATCCAGCTACCACATCCAAGAAGCCCACACTGCCTGGAGTCCAACTTGCCCAACTAATGATTGTTTCCGAGAGGTAGCCTATGGCTCTGACTCATATCCTCGCGTCTTACCACATTCTTGGCCATGCTGCGATGCTTTGCAACGCCCGTTTGGTTTTTTCCACTTCTGGGACGCAATCATTGCACAACATTTCAAGGTACTGCCACTGAGTTTGCCTGAAAATAGGGTACCCCAAAATCCATCAAATCCAAAATCCATCAAAATCCATCAACAAAATCCCATGGTTGAAACCTCATTTTGTCCTAGTGAAACACTCCAACCTTGGGGCAAAATCAGCCCACGTGCCATCCCACCATCCACGCCGAAGGACATGGTTGGGCGCCCTGGCTCCGAGGCTCCGGTTTTACCCCAAAAGGTGTCTTGAAAAGTTCGGGATCCAGTACCAATGAGTATATCATTATATATATATACGTATATGTGTGTATGGTATGTATGTAATGTGATGTGATGTGATGTGATGTGATGTGATGTGATGTATTGTGATATAATGTAATGTAACGTAACGTAACGTAACGTATGGCATTGCATTGCATTGTATGTATGTATATATATATTATAGTATGTAGACAGTATATAGAAAGTGGTTACAGTAATCCAAGTTAGTTTTATGTAGCCTTAGATTAGGGAGTACAGTAAGATCCTTCTGGATCTTGCCAGCCCACTGACATTCGACCTTGAAGCCGCTTGACAACTTTGGAGATGGAACCTGCACGGATCGAAAGAAAACAATCACCGCTCAAGACGTGGTTATCACTTTCATTTTGCAGCGCCAAGGTTGGGATTGACAATCTTTAATAATCTTTAGTTGCCATGATTCAATCTAAGCTATTGCAAACCTGGAACCAGCATCTTTTTCCCCAAAAACCGTCACATTTCCGGTTGATCTTCCCAGTCACTTGTCCGTTGTTGATCCAGTGGTGGATGAAATCCCCCAGTTGACTTGCTCTACACCGCACTTGCGGGGTTCCTTTTATACCACATAAATCATTATAAATCAACCTGAAGCACCCCTTCTGGGCAAGTTGTACTCCTAAAGTTGAACTATGTTGAACTAATTAAGCACATCTGGGGGGCACTTGCCCACATCAGACCTTGATTAGCACGCTTCATGCATTTGAAATTCTAGAAATCCTCACGTTTCCTGTTTCAATCATAATTGGGGGCACTTAAGTCATGTGATATATATATATATATATACATATGTAATCACAATATATATATATATATATATACATACTATAATATACTCATGTGTATGTGTATATATATATATATATATCAGCCTGCTTACACCTAGTAACACTTGAAGAATGCCGAAAATGACATGAGTTCACCCAGGCATCGAAATGGGGCGGCGCCTTGCACCAGCTGCACCCTGCAGGGCAAGGCTTCCAGGAGCTCCTCTCTGCTCGACGCCTTGCCCTGGCGTCGACGGTGGTTGGTCTGTGATGACACTTAGAATAGAAATAGATGACAAAAACATACAAAAACCAATCATTCATCGCAGATGATGATTTATGATGATGATTTATGAAGATGGTTCATGATGAATAGAAATAGATGATTAATTAATGATGTATGATGATTCATCGTTCAGGACAGGATGACAAAGATGATCAAAATGATGATTTATGAAGATTTTAAAAGGTTCGTTCGGGTTTGTCTGAAATAGGGTACAGTAACCCACAAAGTTGATGGCGCTCCAGCATTCCGAGTGGAAACCGGCCTCGCCTTCGCCTCACGCACTGCTTGGATGCTGGGAATTTGCAACCGCCGCAGGCAGCGTCGTAGGTTGCTCTGCAAACGCTGGATCTGCTCCTTCCGGAGCGAAAGAACGTGGCGCGGAGGGCGGCCAGGGGTCATGGGAGTTTTGAACGGCAACATGGGATGGTTTTGCGATGCGAAATATGGAATACATATATATATATATATATCAGTATATTATATATATATATATCAATAATATTGATATATATATATATATATCAGTATATATATATATCAGTATATATATATCAGTATATATATATATATCAAGCCAAGATAAGCTTGGCTTGAAGTAACAAACTATGGGTGGTATCCCCAGTACCCAAGGTGAGCCCCGACCTGAACATGCTCCCATCTGCCATGTGGTCATCCATGTTTCAGCTTGAAGATGCTTGAATATAATGTAGTTATTCTTTCAAAAAGGCTACTGTATGATATGTAGACCTTAGATATGCATACATAGTGTGTGTATATATATATTATGTATATGATATATTATGTATATGCTATGATATGCTATATCATATTATATATATATATATATATAAATTATATAAATACAGTATATCATCTCCCAAACTTGCCAATTTACTGAGCATCGCCCAAATTACTCTGGCACCTCGGATTGATCACTTCCCAACAGCCTCGGCGATCCAAGCTGAAGGGGTCTGGATCCCTCTGGTTATTTAACAGTTTGCTATGGAAAATGGTGGGTTTACCCTATGGAAAATGGGAAAATGGTGGGTTTACCCTATGGAAAATGGGAAAATGGTGGGTTTACCCTATGGAAAATGGGAAAATGGTGGGTTTACCCTATGGAAAATGGGAAAATGGTGGGTTTACCCTATGGAAAATGGGAAAATGGTGGGTTTACCCTATGGAAAATGGGAAAATGGTGGGTTTACCCTATGGAAAATGGGAAAATGGTGGGTTTACCCTATGGAAAACGGGAAAATGGTGGGTTTACCTTATGGAAAATGGGAAAATGGTGGGTTTACCCTATGGAAAATGGGAAAATGGTGGGTTTACCCTATGGAAAATGGGAAAATGGTGGGTTTACCCCATGGAAAATGGGAAAATGGTGGTTTTACCCTATGGAAAATGGGAAAATGGTGGTTTTACCCTATGGAAAATGGGAAAATGGTGGGTTTACCCTATGGAAAATGGGAAAATGGTGGGTTTACCCTATGGAAAATGGGAAAATGGTGGGTTTACCCTATGGAAAATGGGAAAATGGTGGGTTTACCCTATGAAAAATCGGAAGATGGTGGGTTTACCCTATGGAAAATGGTCTACAATGGTCCATTTGTAGATGATGTATGAAAAACGGTTGCTTTTCCAGAGCTAACCAAGGGGTAGATCCCAGAGGACTGATAACCATTCCTCAACAACTGGGTATATGCTCCAAACAGTTTCCCATGGCCCAAAAAAAAAGGAGATGGAAAACCAGATTTTATGTAGCAGAACACACCTGGCAGTAGAAATCCATGGACCAACAATATTTCGTGCAACCAATCAGTTGACCTCCGCCAAGAAACATCCAGAAAATATGGCAATATGGGTCAAGTCACCCATGGAATCTTCTGGTTTTCACACCTATTTATAGGTGGAAAAAAAAGGGTGATCCCCCAAAATCCGCCCGCACCGAAGGTGCTGGGGCGTGATCGTCCGGATGGCACTCGTAAAAGGTTACAGGTTTACCTGGGGGGGGTGGCATTTCTCGGCCAAAACCTCCTGTTTTTGATAGGTCGTGACGCTCGCCTTCAAAAAACACTGTAAACAACAGTACGGAAGACACCTGTTCGTGAACGCGCCCGTCCAAAATCGGCAAGCGAAAAGTGAAAAAAAACCGTGTTTTTCAACTTTTTGACCTCAATTTTTTGGTTTGCAACATCTTTTTTTGCGGTTCCGCAGGTGGCCTGGCCCGGAGGCGGATTTTTGAGTTTTTGGACCCGTTTTCGGACTGATTTTCGTCGTTTTGTGATAGCAGAAACATTGGTTTTTACAGTGTTTTTCTGTTTTCTGCATGCTTGACGGCTAGCTTCAAAACTTCCAAAAACCTCGTAAATTACGCTGTTTTATGTTACGGTGTGAATGAAAACATCGTAAATACCAGTGTTTTTTGACGTTGGTTAAAAAAACACTGTAAATTACAGTGTTTTTGGCCACCTGACCCTCAAAAACCATGGTATTTGCAGTGGTTTCTGCTTCTCACCGCGCAAAAACACTGTAAATAACAGCAATTTCGCCGTTTTTTCATGTTTTTCGTTATTTTTTGAACTGCGTTGGTCCGCTATACATGGCTATCAAATTCTTCGCGTTTTTTTTCCGACAATCAGTACTTTCGGATGTTTTTGGTCTCAATGGCCGACATCATTGGCAGTTACGAGCGGTCGCGAAGGTGTGAGAACAACATCGTTCAAACCGTGGCGGCCGCACAGGGGTTCTTGTCGCGGAGCGACAGAAGAGAACAATGGCAGTAGAAGAGAACAATGGCTGACATCATTAACAGTGTGGACCGTTCACTCGATATGTACATATATGATCTTTATATATATAGATATATCTCTCTATCTATCTATCGGTCTATCTTTCTCTATTTTGGTTGGCCGACATCTTTGCCAGTGTGGAGCGTCCAGACAACAAAAGCCTACATCTTGCAGATATGATACTTATAAAGCTTTCAAATTTATTGCTTGGTGCAAGGCAGCACCACACAACCTCAGGTTCAGTTCTTTTTTTTGCTCTGGCCGCTCACGGACGGAAAGTTCGCAAACCTGCCGTCCCAGGATCCACACCAGGCAAAAAAAAAACAGTATCGCCTCTATACTCTATGTCCGTTTTGTGGTTTGGGTTTCTATGAAATCAGGTTTGTCGTTTCAATCACAAAGAACGTCTTCATCCGACATGCCTTTTCATCATCATGATTACCATCATCAAATCTACAATCGTGCGTGCTCTTTAAACCTTGATGGTCGTCCTTGGAAAAGCTATCGTCTTTCAGGCCACTGAAGAAGGCCTGGCCATGAGGAGTTTCCATGGCTAGGTCTGGCTCAAAAGGTCTTGGACAAGTGCTGGAAAATGCTGGCAAATACTCGAACATATAACATTTATGGAAATTTATGGGAATGGGGGTATTTTCTGCGATAAAATTGCAGGTGTCCAACGTCATGGGGCGATATTCGCCCCAAATCTTCCATTAGACCAGGACTTAGTATTGAAAACGCCCATGGTGACGACTGGGGATCCCTCATGACTTGGTAACCCATCACTCAACAACGCTCTTCGCGCCTCAACTCCTCCGCTCCACTTTCCGCTCCGCCCCTGAATCATGCCCCTGCTGTGTGAGCCCAACGATGCGGTGCGGGCGGTTGCCGTCGCGAAGCGACGTGAATATGGTACCCTCTGGTAAACTAACATAACTATGGAAAATCACCATGTTTAATGGGAAAATCCACTATTAATGGCCATTTTCAATAGCTACGTTAAATTACCAGAAGGTATGTGTAGGTTTCAACTCATCCCCACGGTCCTCTGAGCCCAGGCGCGTGAGCTTTGAAATCGAAGCATTGGGCTCTGGCTGAATGGACTTGGCCACACGTTCGTACTCCTGCGCGACTGCCGCGACTGCGGAAGCGATGCAATCTGCACCCAAAAGCGCTTCTAAGTTCATATCAACACTTGTCAAATTCTTCACATCGTTTATGGGCTTTGGTGGCAAATTTATTGGATTCGAAAGTAGTAGGAGCCACACTTTCTGTGAGGCTAGGTGTATGACCACCCAAGGCACCTTTGGTTTCATATCCGCATCAAGTTTTGCTGGTTTTGTTCCTAGCAGTGTTGGCTGTCTTCGAAGATCTTCGAAGGATCGCAGCCGAGTTCTCCCCAAGTTTTCAACAGCAACTCTGGACATGTTTCTGTTACAACTTGGTTGGTGGCTTCAACTCCTTCGCGAAAATATCAGTTGGACATCATCATCCCAGTCATATGGTTGTAAAATGGTTGTAAATCAAGAATATGTGAAATCACCAACCTGAAAATGTCCCTTCCTTGAGGGGTTTCAACCCCTCCATGTGGTCCTGAGCATCGTGACATGGGAAGGACTTGAAGGGATGGTACCTTGGCCCACGGCACGGAGGTTCTTTTGCCATTGACCGGAGCTATCCATGTACAACTGTGTATATATATATATATAATCATCCTGGACTAGATAGAATATATTACCATATGGGATTTTCAAACATATTCCATTTCTAGTGACGATGTTTGGTGAAATGACCATATGTTATCTCCTGCATGATGACTATATATATATAATTATGTGTATGCATACCCAGAATACCAGGAACAACCATCCAAAGTCAGCATCGACATGGGAAGATCACACAGCCACAGGAATGCTGTATATAGTCGATCCATCATTTCAAGCAGGAGTGGAAACACTAGGTGCAACAACTGTTCAAAAACCAAAGATGTTTTGTCTGAGTTAGTGACAGTGGGTCCAACATCAACCTAACAACCACCATGAGGTTTGCCCTTAGAAATCTCAGGGAATCCGAATGTGGCGGTTGTTTGTTGACTTAGAGCCAAGGCTGCAATTTCTGGGCATGACTCGCAACAACTGGTACCCCAAAATCAGATGATTTAGGCATGAAAATCATCAAAACCATCCAAAATCTATCCAAAGACCTTGAACAAATCTCCAAAGTTGGACCGTTGGACCGGAACTCACAAAATCGGACCAGTCACCCCCTCCCCAAAAAAAAAACGCTGCATCGATCCATGGCGCTTGGAGAAAGGACCCCCGGGCGCTTGTCCCAAAGCGATCTCCAGAGCTTCCAACAAGATGGCCTGGAGGATCTGCCCATCAAGTCCCCCATGGATCTTGGCTTATCCCCACCAAAATGGCTTGTCAAAATCTGGTTGTCTTAAATGTGTTTAATCAGTTACGAAGTGGGATTAGTAAAAATGACCATTTATAGTTGATTTTCCCATTAAACATGGTGATTTTCCATAGCTATGTAAACGTTTACCAGAGGGTAAGTGGTTAGCACAACTGAAAACGAGTTGCAAATGGGATCAACCTCAGTGGCTTGATCAAAAAAAAGTAGCTGGGGTTGGTTGAAAGTTGAATGGGGAGTCAGAAAGCGGGATAGATCACCAAGATTTGTTGGTAACAGGTAACATTCACCAACGATCATTGGATGTGGGTTTCTCCGAAAATAGTGAGGAAATATCCCTAAATGGCCATCAAATACAGTCATCGGGACAATGATGACTAGCCTGACTAGCCAAGTCTTGTTGGGGGTGTCCCAATATTTTCAGACCAACCCCGCACTCACCCAAGGGGGTTGATCCGCTAGTAGGACCAATCCACAGCTGACCATGGGTCAAGTTCTCAGCACTCAAGATTCTGCCCTCCAGGATACCCCATCCCGATGCTAATGTTCCTCTGATGACTAGAAAAGGCGAACAGCTTTTCTCCGATGGATTTTTTTGAAGAAATCATGCCTCATCTACAGTCCATCATCCGAATAGTGCCCGTGATTGATAATCATGTGGTCCCATATGTTCTTTAGGTGCTTCCAATTCCCCTTTTTTCAGTAATCTGCTGCAACTGTATCCCCATGTAATCTTTTTGAAGAATCTATGTAAATCATGGTAAATCATATATATATATAATTATATATATATTATAATCATATTATGTGTGTCAATAAATATATATATATATATATGTAAATCAATTAATATGTAAATCATGGTAAATCTCAGTGATTTCCTCATTTCCCGAAACCCATCGAGGCGCAAAAACCAAGTGACTCCCGAGCCGCAGAAGGGATCCCAAAGCACCAGCTCCTCGTCGTGGTGTGCTGCTGCTGTCAGGCGTCGTAGCATGGGGGAGGCCAAAACCTGGACTGCGGGCCCCAGACCCTGGGAACTGAGGGGATTTTGAATGGGAACTTAATGGGAACTGAATGGGATTTTAATGGGATCTATATAATAAGATGTTTATGGACTTCATTGTTGAGTGGATGCTTCTGAAATCCAATGATGCGAATAATAAATCATAATCGTGATTATGTTTACCAGCCATTTTTACAAACCACTTTTTGCCAAACATGTTTTCCAACCATTTCAATGGTTTTCATATGTAAATTCATGGATATAAAAACCTGCTGGAGGCATTTTTGATATCTTAGGTATGTGATGGTTAGCCAACTGACACCTAAGACTTGTTGGTAGAAAATAAGATACCCAATTTCTGTGACCAGGAAATGAACAACTCCAATAATAGCGTCTCATTTTGGGATTAGGGGAATGGATCAGCTGAGTAAAACTGAAAGTTACCATGATGATTCCTGCCAGGGCTCCTGGATGGTACGTTAAGAGTTTGCGAACTGGAAGCCATGGCCCATGTACCATCTGGTTATTTAACATAGCCATGGAAAATCACCATTTTTAATAGGTAAACCATCTATAAATGGGAACAAAATGGTAAAAGGGGGATACTGGGACAAGTTATGTTAATATGTCCCCTGTTATGGTTTTTAGGTTTGTGTTCAATGTCTCTTCCTTATCTTTGATGTTTTATGTGGTGGGGGTTTTGGGACTATTTTGCCCCTAACTTTCACTGTTGATGTTTGGATTGAATGGGGGTAGGATTTGTTTAGACTGTTGTGGTTTTTGTTTGTGTTTGGGCAGGTGATTACTTCATAATATATTTTGTTAAGATATTATGAATTAATCATTTATGCTTTCCACTTTCCTATTCCATCCCACCAGTGTTCAATTACTCTCATTTGTGATAAGCAAGGTTTGTTTGTATCATTCAGTTCATCCATCGCTATTGACAAAAGAGTTAGGTTGATAATCATAGCGTTGAATTCACCATCACGGTTGAGTTCCTTTCCACAATCAATGATGACTTTTTTATCAGTTAAGTTTTCATACATCTTTTTCATAATGCCAAATCTTACGAACGAATATATTGTCATTCCATTTACTCCTTCATTATCTTACATCAACATAAAAACATAACAGGCAAAACACCCTCAACAAAACCTACCCTCATCCAAACCAAACATTATCACAACAACCTCAACGAAACATTTAGCAAAATTATCAAAAAGAAACAGTCAAACATCTAGATTTACAACATTGAACAAAAACATAACAGCCTCCCACCTAACCTCCAACCTGTCCTGTCCTAGTTTCCCCCTTTCCCCATTTTTTTATGGGCCATTTTCCATGGCTATGTTAAATAACCAGAGGGTAGTTCCATGAATTACCTATTCGACGTGGTGAGTCTTCATAGTTGTGTAACCAATCACCAGAGGGAACATCCATCCATAAAATGATAATTCAGCGGGTCAAATCCAGGTAAAATAGCATCTACCAATGGGCCCACAACAAATACTAAATAGCAGTCACCAATGACCAGATCGTATCATTCCCATCTTTGGATCGTAGATGGAAATGGAACTATCCCTGCAATCAAAAACTATCGAGAAAAACTGGGCTAGTTCCATCTATCATCAAAAAGCATCATCAATCAACAATAGTTCCATATCAATGATATATATCAACAATAATCAATAGTTCCATCAACAACTATCCATCTACTATAGGGCATTATATTGTTACATCTACCATCTAGATGTAGTATGATGCTAGTTCCATCTATAGTTCCATATCAATTATATATATATATCAACAATAGTTCCATCAACAATATCAACAATAGTTCCATCAACAATAGTTCCATCTATAATTACTACTATATTACTATTATTATTCATAATTTTAGTTGTTTTCATCTACCATCACGTTGTTCGCATGGCCGTGCCGTGCTTGAAGGCCACGCAGGCTGCTGCGTAGGTCTCCCGCATGGATGCATCTCCAATGGCCTCCATGATAAAATTTACATCGCCAGATGTAGATACAAAATGGTCAGAAAAATGGTCAGAAAAATAGTAGTAATATAATATTACATATATTGGTTAAGATTTTTTATCTATATAGGTATACTATATTTATATAATGTAATATATGATAGATGTATATAATAGTAGTAATATAATGTAATATAATGCAAAAAAAAGTAAAATAATGTAATATATGTATAAGAATATTTTGAGATATTACTATAATATACTGATACTATAATAATACAATTGTAGAAAATACTTCAATGGTAATAAAATAATAACGTAATAGTAATATCATAATAATAATGATAATAATAATTACTATATGTTCACCATGATACCAATAAGACAGTATTTCGTCCATGATATTATATATAATGTGCATATGATAATATTACACAATGATCTATAATAAAATGATTCGCGAATGTTAAAGGGTAAATTAGATCTGGCAAAGTCTCAAGTAGTAGACGGCAGATGTTCCAGGACATTTCAATGGACTGCCTATGCACATCTATGTACGATCTTGAAGAAAAGACGCAAAACACCATTGATTCGATATATACCCCAGTGCCAACTGGCTGGGTGTACTATAGTCGAAAAAACTATATGCAAAAGGGATGGCTGTGCGGCTGTGCCTTGGGGCCTACAAAGATGCCACACCATTGATCTGGGTAAATTATAATATGTCACTAACCTGAATAGTTCGGCCAGCTAAGGGGATGATGTCCCTATAAAAACCATCATTTCCAGTGAGGGAGAACAGTGAGGTCGTTGTAATTTACCCAGATATATATATATATATATTATATCTTTTATTTTTATATATATATACATATATGTACCCCTAAATCATCCATGTACAAATGGAATTTCCATTATAAACCATCCATTTTTGGAAGTACCCCCATTGATGGATATCATACTTCAATAGATTCTCCATTTACACAGCTTGTGGTGTCGATATCATCCCCAATACATTGGTCCTCTAGGGATGATTAACATCGCACAATATGTTAGTAAAGCAGTCATAAACCACCCATATTTTGGTTATTGGCACACCACCCGTTTATGGAAAATGTGGGGATGATTTGCTAGTGTTTTACTAACATCGTCATTCTTATCAACAGAGAACATCACATAATTGTCGTATATTGTCACTATTCTTTGACTAACATTGCAATTCTTGCTTTACTAACATGTACATTGTCATAATTGATCCTGAACATCATTCTTACCATGTATGATTCGCCATTTCGGGCGTGTTCCAAAAGTTCCGCCTTCCTCGCGCCGCGCTTGTGGAGCAGCCCGGAAGCAGCCACACTGACCTGGAGGACGATGGAGCTGGGAAATCCATGGGAGAAATTCCCGGAGTTGGTTCGATGATAAAGGGGGGAAACATGACCTACAAATGGGAATCATCAGCTGTAACAACATGGGGGGTTAATATAATTTGAGCCATAGCAGGTACGGTAATAAAATCTATCCGCACTTTGGTATAACGAATAATAGTTCACATCATATGTACAGATATAGCCCTATAGTGACGAGGTTGTTACCCTCTGGTAATTTAGGTTAACATAACTATGGAAAAACACCATTTTTGAATAGGCAAATCATCCATAAATGGGCCATTTTGCATAGCTATCTTGAATTATCAGAGGGGACTCAACTTAAGCAGAGACTCAACTTAAGCAGAGATCCTCCAGCGATGAAAGGAAATTAGTGGGAGAACATCCTGAAGAATGCGGACTGGCACTGGAATATCTCTCGCGTGGATGATTGGTGCAAGAGGATACAGTGGGTATAAGCCAGTGGCGCAATAGTTGCAGCAACAGGGGTCTCAACAGACTGGTTTTCATCCAAAGATCTGAATTTCTACAGATTGCCGTTCACCATGGTTCACGAGTCGGCAAACCGCAAACATCACGGTGCTTTTATGAATTCATATTCATGAATCCGCCCAGTGGCCAGGGCGGCTGTGGAGTATCCCCCAACCACCCCGGTCTTCCATGGCTAATCTCCTGGGCATCACCCAGCTACTTTTGGATGTGTGTCCCATGATTCTAACTGGGGATACGCGGCATTCACTGATTTACCACTCACTTCCTAGCTGGGATGCAAATCCAACTACCCCGTTGTGTCGCACCTGCGCTTCGTTGTGTCGCAATCTCAACCGCACTTCTGGCAACTCTGCCGCTCCAGATGGGCTTGCCACCTCCTGAGCAGGCGGTCCGACCAGAAAGACGCATGGAAACTCGAAAAAAAATGCCCAGAGGTTAAACAACATCGAAGTTCACAAGCAAAAATGGGGGGAAGCCAGCAAACATGGAAGTTGCAAACCAACATGATGATGACGCAAACATGATGATTGGACAATATTGGGCGCCAAGAAACAATCGTAGATTTAATATGATTTAATTAATATATATATATATATATTATATGTGTATATATATGTATATGTATATATATATATTGTTTGACATATTTTTACGATAAAAAAATGAACAAACCAGAGAAAAATCCCCAAGTTGCGCCATCTTGGACCCCAGTTGGGCTCAAGTTGGGCTCAATAAGTTGGAGCCAACTGGCCCGAGTTCGGCGCAAGTTGTGCCCAAGTTGGGCCCAAGTTCGGTCCTGTTCGGCCCAACTTAGGACCAAGGATGGCCAAGTTTGACCCCAGTCGGCTTTGGTTGGGCCAAATAGCTTTGGTTGGGCCAAGTACTGTAGGCCCGCTCCTTTCCTGTCTATCCGATTCTCTGGTTGCGAGCGGTTCTCGTCGCGAAGCGACTCGAATACAAATTGAAGAAACAAAAAAGAAACAAAAAAGAAACAAAGGGCGCCAGACTGCTTTGTATTTGTTTCTTTTTTGTTTTTTCCCCTCTGGAGATTCCGGAATCCCAAATCTGCATCTTTCCTTGGAAAAAAAAACATAAAAGAACAAAAAATATCAAAAAATAATCAAAAGGAAGCTAATTGCGACAGAGTGCTTACCAAACAGAAACAAAACACGAATATGCAAAGCACCCTGCCGCAATTTGTTTCTGTGTTGTTTCTTTTTGTTTGTTGTTCGATTTTTTCCAAGGAAAAATGCAGATTTGGGATTCCGGAGTCTCACGAGAAAAATAAAAACAAAGAAACAAAAAAGAAACAAAAACAAAGCGCTCTGGTGCAATTTGATCCTTTCTGTTTTTTTTCGGTTTGTATTTTTGTGTCTTGTTATTCTGTTGTTTTTTATTTTTTATTTTTTTCTCCAATAATTTGTTTGTTTCCAGTAAAATGCAGCATGTTGCGTCATAATCGTAGACCAGATCCGTGGTAGTTCCCCAGCTCCGATGAACCCAGAATAATAATAACAATAATAATATATGTATATATGATATTATATGATATGTATTTTATGTATTATATATGAATATAAATTAAATCATGATGATGATGATGATGATGATGAAGAGGATGATGAGGACGATGAGGACGATGAGGAGGAGGAGGAGAAGGAGAAGGACGAGGACGACGACGACGACGACGACGACGACGATGATGAAATGGGATAGTTGATTTGGGATGATCCAATGAGTTGTTGGTTCAGTTATATACTTTGTCATCTTTAATATCTTTATCTGCAACAATATTCAAAGCCACATGATATTGTTCCCATGATCCCCGCATGATGCTTGGCCTCCCCCTGGCAGTTGAAATCCTGCACCTGCTCCTGGAGATTGGCAGCGGCGCGGATGGAGTCTGCCACACGCTCCTCGATGAGTTTGGTATGATACAGCCTTGACTTCTCCTGAAAACGGCGAAGCATGACCTTCAGGGAGAAAGGAATTGGCTTAAAACTCTGGTGAGGTCCCCGTGTCGTGGCTTCTGCCAAGTTACTAAGTATATGTTCTTTTGATTTCTTTTGAAGAAATATATTAAATATACCATATATCATATATCCATATTACGTGGTATTATGTGAGTTACAAGATGCTATAAGTATGGTCAGAGTATGGTTGCTAACCAATTGGGATGATCCCCTAAGCGGGAAGCAAATGGCATCTGAATCACTGTCGAGGCAGATGGTTATGAGATGGGTGGGTATATTCCGCAGTATGAATAGATCCAAACAAACGTCAGGTGCTGATGGTCACTGCCGAGGCCGACTTATGCGGATTGCGTTGATTTGGATCATCTTGATTACTCGAAGCAGACTCTACATCCACCCCTTTCCAGCACAAAGAAAAGTGTGTTGTAATCTTGATTCATGATATTCACCATCCACATCATTCTCTATCTTAGGGGACACGTCCAAGTTTCCGATGAAACTTTGATGATGGGCGTCATAGCTCCCTTGGCAGGTCGGCTGAGGGTTTTTGTTAACACACCTTTGCAATTAGGGCCATCAGCATGGCAAACTGTTAGACAGAACCAGAGGGTATATCCCATGAAAAATCCCATTAAATCCCATTAAACCACCATTTTCCTATGGTTTTCCTATGGTTTTTCCTACCAAATTGGCAAGTTGAATGAACATACCAGATCCTACAAATTGGACACGACTCGCCAGGAGTGACTTCTTCGATAGGCCAGGGCCTCCCACGTACAAAAACAATCAGCATTGCCACTAGCATCAAGATCACCACAATAAAATATATTGCGAATTCATTGGAAATGTAATGCCAATAATGCCACCCATGAATTGTCAAAAATGAGAACGGAAATCATCGCCGTCGTCTCATCATCATCATCATCATCATCATCATCGTCAAGGTGCCAGGCGCAAATAGTGATGCCACGGCAGTCTTTGCAAACCAGCATCCAAAGAACGCCTTGGTGCCGAGAATAACGAGGCCCTCGGTCCTCCAGTGACTGAGTTGTTGAACGCTTGGTGATCATGGCTGGGAAGGAAAAAGAAAAACGAATATCATATGATTTGCTCTCCAATAAATTAACATAAACCCTGAAAATGGACAGTTTTTAGTGGAAACTAATCTTCCAAACCCCTATTTGGCAGGGTCTATCTTAATTCACTAGAGAGTAAACATCATGTTCCCCATCCATGTGGCGATGTTGGGTTTTGTCTGCTACCTCCAAGACAAATTTCAAAGTTTTTGTTTCCATGGCGTGATCGCTCCAATCACCATCCATATGGAGAGGTTGCTATGCCCCACAAATCAGTTGTGGATAGATCGCCGCGAGTCTCGCTTTGTGGGTTGAAAAGCCAATGTTGTTCAAGGTGAAGTTCCAGCATACAACATGTCAACTAGATTCAACTAGTACAATGAACACCAATCACACCAACTACTTTCCAAAATGGTGATGGACTACCAGGTTACCATGTATACAAAACATAATTGCATATACGATATATAATATATAGTATATGTGTAACATACTTACTGTAGAGTATCTTGCACCATATCCATACTGGCCCAATAGATCTTCCTCCAACCAACTCTCTCCATTCAATAATCCTGGACTATATCCCCAGTATGATCTCGTGATGCCCATTAAAGTGTTAATAATCATCAGATATATGATATACTACTTATCAAATTTCTCAAATCATATCGCCATCTGTTTTCGTTCAACGCTATTAGACAGACATAGTGAAACTATAAATACTGTTAAACAATGCTTAAATCCCCATAAAATACCCATTGATCATGGTTGATGGTATCCCATTTAAATCCAATTCAATATCTCTATCATTCTCTATCCGTGATGCACAAAAAAAAACATGAAATTTCACAAACAAACACCCAACCGGACCCAACTCTCCAACCGTCCAACCGTCCCCTCCGCGTTTCAGCAAGGCGACACGTCGGGCGCGTGGAACGGGTCCCCCAGGCGCAGCAGGACCAGCTCCGCCAGGCGGCTCTGCAGCGTGCAGCGCCACATGGTCTCGGCCAAGCCGTGCACTGCCACGCCTACGGAAGCCGTTGGAAGGGGCTGGGGATCCAAACTCCATGGGATTTCAGGGGATCTCATGAAAAAACAAGAAGTATTTGATTGGATTTAATGGGGTTTAATGGGGTTTAATGGGATTTGATTGGATTTGATGGGATTCTATAACGGGAAATTAGTGGGATTTTGATGGAATTTGATGGGATGTCAACATTCCAAACTCTGGATGTCCAAAAAAGAGAAGGTAGTTTCTGGACGATGTTGGACCTATCGTTAGTCCCATGGTCAACTGATAGCAACGCCATGCATCATGTGTGGATGGTGAGTTAATCTGGAGAGCGGGGGACCGTGGGAGTGCGCTTTCTTGTTAGTTTTACAGTAAGTTGTTGGTGCAAATTCTTCATAAACATCATCATGCCTACTGTCTCTGCCACAAAAAAGCATCCAAATGAAGATGTCACCAGCACTCCCACAGTCCCCTGTTCTGTAAAAATAAGGCTAGTGGGCCTGTTCCAAACAAACACAGTGGATCCTCAAATCTTGCGCAGCTCCGTTGTGGTCCCTTGCACAAGTACGAGACTCCAAATAGCCCTAAAGCTTCCTAAAACCTGTTGTGACTTCAAGCTGGCAACTGAAATCACTCACAACCCTATATTGATCACATATATATATATATATCCATACACTAATCTACAGCGTATCCTAGAAATCCACTTCCCAGTTCGAACCAGGAATCCTCCCGGTTGGCACCTCCATGTAGCGTTTCAAATTGCCCCGGGACGCCCAAGAGTTGGAGTTCACGCTCCAAGCCTTCGGATCCATGCGAAAAATTGGGAAAATCCACCATTTTTTATGGGGAAAATCACCATTTTTTATGGGGAAAATCACCATTTTTAATGGGAAAATCACCATTTTTCATATGGATTGGATGGTGATTTACCCTCTGGTAATGGCTGACATAGCTAGCTATTGAAAATGGCCCAGTCGAAATGTCGTGACTTTTCCCATGAAAATTAGATGGTGGATCTTTCCATAGTTATGTTAACGTTTACCAGAGGGTATACTTTTCCGATTGGAAGCATCGTCCTTGTGGAACCAGTGAAGAATACCCATTTGGGTCTCGTTTCTGTCAGAAGCGAATGCGTATGTAATATATGTATAAATGATCATCTGCGTTCTGGGTGTCAACATGTTTGTTGCAGCACACAAGGCATTCCTCAAACCGATTGACCTCACAAATTGGCTCAATGGGAACACGTTCAAATTGCTAGGTCCCACTGCAAAGCCAAACCAAAGTGCAGTTCCTTTCCAAGAACTTCAGGTGATGCTATCAGTGTTGACACAGAAAATTCCATGGCATATCCAGCTGAACACTCACCGCAGTTTCCCTTCTCGCCACTTTTTCCGAAAGCTTTGGGGCGCTAAAAAGGTCGTGACGGTCACGGTACGTCCATACAACTCGACCTTCCAGAACTTGGCCGTAGAATTTCCCCTTGCACAGCTGCAGGGACTCCTTCGCGGATCTCGCACACCTTCCCCTTCAATCGCCCTCTGGTGCGGTCGGGTGTCAGCAACAGCGGCCTCAGCGGCCTTTCTGTTGGTAGAAGATCTGTGCGAACTCCATCCCTGCAACGGTGCCTTCCCGGTAGACTTCGCAGGACATGCGGGCACGCAGGAAAATAAAGTCGAAATGCTTCACCAAAATGCCTCTAGTGGAGGTTGAAAAGGAACAATCATCCACCGGACGGTTGGATGGGACTTGATATGCCATAAGAATTCTTCATACCTGCGCTCTTCAGGTTTCATTGACAGAGTCACGTGGTGGTCATGGGGTGTGCAAAATTGATAGATAGTAAAGAACTAGATCCAAAAATCATAGGCGACATGGTTTCCACTTTTGTTTTTTTTGGGATTTCGGAATACCACGGGACTCAATGGGACTTATACTTTTTTCATATTCTTGGGATGGATTGAAATCACCAACTTGTCGCATTGAGTCCCGTGGTATTCCGAAATCAGAAAAAAAAGAGTGGAAACCACCAGACATCACCAGACCTCAACTGACCTTTCCGTCCATGGCACGCATCAGCCACTGCGTCCCTCGAAGCTCGGGTCTTCTGTCTGCAGGCGCATCAGATCTGACCTGAACTGAGAGCAGCTGGTGATTCTCAACCAAAGTTGGCATGTTTGAGATGTTAACAGTACATTGATTGATACGGAGATGTTATGGACTATAGACTTTGATATATTATTATAGTATATGAAAATCATACGCATGATATCCTTCCATTTCGGAGAGAACGAAAGTGCTCATCATCCATCGAGGTGATCCCGGACCTGGTTCCAGAACTGATCCACTTCTGCAGGCGAGGTCATCACAGGCATCTCTTCCACGGTCAGGTTGCAACTGCCCACGTCATCGGCTCGGTGTTGTGTGATCTTGAAGGTCAACCTGAGCTGGCGACTCGACCAGCAACAGAAAGGGGAAAGTTTTTTGCGGTAAGAAAAAAAAAGGTGTGACCTACAAACATGGGGGGATGTTGGTATGCACATATCTGCAAAAATCCATTGAGAATTAGGATTGTCATATATGATCACTGACAACGGTGTAGTGTTCGAACTTATTGTGGATTGGTGTATCCTGGTTGGCTACTGGGATCCCCGGCTTACAAAATGTCATTCCTCAAAATTGTTTGGGAAACAAGCGCTTGCTCATTGATGTGGATGCCCATCAGTGGCAATGAACTCTGGTCATATGTATTGACATATCATATAAATATTATATATATAATAATATATAATAATCCCATATTATCCCAATATATCCCAACTATGGCCACCTCTTGATGCAGCGACAACCAAAACCATCAACAGGTCCATAGGAAATCCTTGGGATGGTGAAGTACCTGCAAGCAATAGGATTACACATCCAAAATAATGACGGAGAATACAAAAAACTTGCAGCTTGAACCCCAATGGGCCATCAAATCAATGCAAACTGATAAGACCCAGCATTGAATGCGAATATTCAATCAAATACATAGAGACCCATCCAAGATTGCGGGGTGCGGGTGATTTCCGGTCTCTACACTCAGAAAAGAGTAGGTACCCTCCAGTAACCAAAGTTGTCAACCGAAAATGCCCAGTCACACCAAGTCATATCTCAGTGAAAATATCCCATGATTTTTCCTGCTGCCAAGGGTTCGCTTACCGGAATATAATTTGCCATGCAGCAGTCGCGACAAGGTCTGAGCTTCAAATCGTAGCAGGCCTTGGATCGGAAGCAGCTCACCCAGCCATTCGGCCAAGTCTTCCTCCGCATCAAAGATGCCCGACATGACACTGCGACGTGTGGGGTTCCACGGTTCCTGGCCACAGTCTTCAACATCTCCGGCCGGGCAAAGGTCTTTCAACGACGCAGCCAAAAGGTCTAAGGTGAGTAGATTGTCGATGACCTGATCTAGTAGGGCAAGGATGTGCCATGGGCATTCAACGGGTCTGGTATGCGATCCAAAGATGGACCAGAATTGGCAATTTTTGGTGTTTACCCATGCGGTTGTGGGATGTTTGGGGGGTCTAGTGGCGGAAGTAGAAACATAATGCAACCCATCAACCACTGATCTGTGAGGGAACCCTGGTTGCTTTCTTCCCCCATTTGGCCCAGCGGCCTTGCAGAATTTCTGGCAGCTGCCACGCAGATGTGCTTTGTCGCGGAGATTTGCCGCAGTGGCCACATGCTTCAGGATTGACTCCGCCAACATGGCATGCGACCAGGGATTCGACGCAACTGGAAGATGCCAAGAGCGCAAGCAGCACGAGTGGCAAGGGAAGCTGACTGGTTGGAGACCTATCTTTGATCTGTATAGATTCGATGCCCATTGCTTAATATCTAGATAATCGGTTTGATTCCCATGGTGCAGTTGGTGCCTCAGCAGAGTCAAGCTTGGATGAGCTCGGCAACAACATCCATAGTTGTGGGATGTTTTTTGGTATCAATTTCTTATAATTTCTTGCTAGCATGTCCATCATTGCTGCTGTACAGCATGATAGAATGAAATAAAAATAGAAATATATACCCTCTGGTAATTTAACGTAGCTATTGAAAATGACCATTAATAGTGGATTTTCACATGAAAAAGGGTGATTTTCCATAGCTATGTTAGTTTACCAGAGGGTACAACATGGTTTAGGCAACTACCCCTGATGGGCGGTGAAAAAATCACAGGTAGACCCCCAGGGCCCTGTGTATTGAATCATATTGAATCATACCACCTCATCCATCCATCAAACTTCCCATCCCGAATATTGGTTGATTTATATGTGATGATCATCTCAAATGGTTCAAAAATAGATCATTAAGGTTTTCGAGCACCAACCAGGATGCACAAGCCTCCACAATTCATAAATTTTCTCAACAAATTGTAAGTCTAAGTACTGTAGCCCTAAAAAACCATCGTTAAGAAAGGATTGGGACATCAACTTGCTTCAATCCCCCAAGCAATAAATCGTGAATCATTATCATTATAAAATTCATCAATATTCGATAAACCAGGATTATTGACATCATTGTTAAATGATCATTATCGATCAATAGTATCAATAATCATAATCTTTTTCTATCAATAATTATGAATATCGATTGACAATCATTAGTTTGTGCTTTGGCTTGCAAGCTACGAATCCACCACTTAAATCATTTAAGTTCCTTGATTTTCCCAGCTCTAAACCTGCATTTAGATCAGATGTTTGTTCCATTGCCAATCCCCACGTTTGATGCTTAAGCCGCCCTCCCCATCGTGACAGCTGCCGTCCAGCTGCTCCGTTCCAAGCCCGGGGAAGTCACCAAGAAAAGGCGCCGCAGGGCGCCCGGGGACCCCTGAGATGTGAACTCTTCAAACCGAGCACATGTTGAAACATGCGTGGGATATACCCTCTGGTTATGACTAACATAGCCGTGGTATATATAGATGGCCCTAATCGAAATAGATGGTTTACCTGGGTTTACTGTACCGTTCTTAAAAATGGTGGATCTTTCCATGGCTATGCTAAATAACCAGATGGTATCTGTGGAGTTCAAACCGAGCACATGTGGAAACATGCGTGGGATATATCATGGGAAAATCATAGGAATAATAATGGGAATGCGTTTGTTTCAACTACAATAACTACAATTATGATTCTAATGGGAATATCATTTTAAAAAAATGCATATATAATGGAATTTCATCAACAAGAATAGTGATTTCATGTGAGTTCTTATGGGATTCTTATGGGGTTCATGCAAATATACAGTAAATATAATTTGAATATAATGGGAATATAGTGGGAACAAAATGGGATATACACATGTGTATGAACATATATATATACATATTATGATAGCGTGGCTTTGTCCAGAAATGGTGTATTTATATCATGACATAGCCATCTTAATGATGATAGTTTGGGAGATGATAAACCAGGGGATCGGATAGGGGATTAGGTACATGGATTGGTACCCAACATTTTCGGGCAAACCCGTTTTGGGATTGGCGCACAGATGTCGGTTTCTGGTAGAAATAATTGACATACAAGTAACATGTTTGATTGGGATTGCGGACTAATCCCAGATGCCAAGTTGGGAACCCTTATCAACCAGCCAGTAGAAGGGTCTCAGTGAAGATGGGTCCTGGTACCAAGTAGTGGTGGAACATGTCACTAATAAATGTATAAAAATCATATACATCAAAACTAGCTCTTGGTCAGACATGGTCTGCTGAATAGAGGAAAGCCCTTGAACAGGTGAGCCACAACCCCGCGGCTAGCCATGGCTGGCCCTTGGCTGTGCCAGGACGAAACATAGCGATCCAACGGAGGGAAACCCAAACGACCAAAATGAGTGAGGAAACGAGCAATGAAACCTCGGGCTTCAACGGGTGAAAGCACGAAGGTTTGAAGCTTCAACGGGTTAAACTTTCGGTCGGTACTGTAGGACCATTTAGGCTTGACACACTAGGACGACCTGTAACACTTTGATGGGCGACAAGCATCTTGTTTCATGGATTTATCGCCAACAAAGGGGAATAGACATTGAAGAAACACGATGTGCTCGCATTGCTTATATGGTTTGTTAATCTTTTGGTAGAAAGAGACTGGTGTTTTGGAACTATTTTCTGCTGCCAATTCACAAAGACTATACCTTAGCTCAAACAGCTGCAGTTGGATTCTGCAATTCACAAATGTCAATCAAAAGAAACTGAAAAGCATTGAAAAGCTTTGGATTTCAAGTTTATTCTTAGATACCAAAAGAAAAAGAAAAAGAAACATCAGCCGTGGGTATTATTATTAGCCATTGATTAACCATTGACTAACCGACTAACCGTTATTAACCATTAATAACCATTAAATTAATAACCATTATATAAAATTCCACATTTCCCAAGCTACTTTGCCCGTGGCTCATTTTACGGTGGCTCCCCTGGTCCTGGTGAATACTGTATCATCTTTTCAAACATGGCCTCATAAGTTACCCTCTGGTCATTTAAAATACCGGCAAGATATGGAAAATGGCCCATTTATAGATGACGTAGATATGTATCTATTTATATATATATATATATGTGTGTATGTATATGTGTATGTATATCTACGTACATATATATATATACATATCATGGGTTTTGACCCATCTCCATGTTGCCTTGTTTTGTCAAACGACTCTTTCCAGACGCAAACACAAACAATATCTTCGGCAGGGGCACCAATGCGCAACGGGAATTCAAGCTGCAGGTGGATACCCCGAACGCAGATCATCCTGGTTCATGTCATTAACTACTCTGGTTCATGCCAATATCAAAGCAAAATTATGCCATGGCAAAATTATGTCATCAAAACAGTGATATCAATCTTAAATGTTAAATGCAGGGTCCTATTATATCATATTATATAACATATATAGATATATGATGATATGATAATATAATATCCCATTACATCCCATATACATATAATATACATGCCCCTTTAAATATCCTAAATTGCATCCTAGCCAGCACATGATGTGGAACTCGCCCATTTTGACGCGCCCTCTCGGGTCGCCATACCGCTCGCCTCTCGGCACAGGGTTCTCTTTGGAAGCCGGTGCAGGTCCGTGAAAAAAAATCCAAAGGCCGGCCTTTTGGCGGGTGCAAAAAATCCCTGGTTTTTCGTTGGTTTTTTTAGAACATGGGGGAGTTACACATTAAGCAAAGGTGGTATAAGACCAATCATGTTATGGGGATATGCGGGGATGTACTGGGATACAATGAGACATAATAGGATATAATAGGTGGGATACAATGGAAAATGGTGGGATACGTAGGTATGTTTTATCCAATAAACCCAAATAGTACGTACTGATAATATGACGCGGGGGTTGTCCAAAGATTTGGGTGCTCTCTCCTGAACCATGGCCAATGCTTTGCTCTGATGCTTCATGACCTTCGGATTTCAGTTGGTGTGACTTGGTCTCTTTTGGACGAGGGTGACACCAGTGACACGAAAATGGAGTTTACATACGGATGTGGGTCATTTCCGGTACCCTGTTTCTTCTCCCATCCCAAAAACGGTGCTGGAATTCAGCATGTTTTGATATGTAATCTCATCCCCTGTTCATATTAAACAAGAAACTCCAAGAAACCATGGAAAAAAGTAGTGGAAACTTGACATCTTTGGGTATCTACAACTGTGAAAAAGGCTTCAAAAAACCAATGACCCATCCGCATGGGCTCGATAGCCGCTGGAATCTCATTGACATCGCATGAACCACAAAATTTGCTGCTCGCGCTCCGGAGTCTGATCTACCCGTCTGACCGTCGGAAACTGCCGCCTGCGTTTGTTAACCAAATTGGTCAAAAACTCTGCCTTCAGAGGAATTCCGGAAGGTACCCTCTGGTAAATTAATCATATACCCAGAAAATAACCGATGTTGAGTGGAAACTCATCTTCCAACCCCGGTCTATGTGAATTTACTGCAGATCACCATCAAAATATGAGGTGTTCCGAACATGTTTTCTTCTTGAGGACCGCTGTTCGAATTTGCCACCTCCCAGGTGCTCCTGTCGGTCGATGAAATTCGTAGGGGGGTATCCCCAAGGGTTTGTGAATCCCGTGTCAACAGAAGTATACAACATTATTCAACCATGCATGTGTCAAGGAGCTTGCCAACTCTGACCCATCTTGATTTAGATCGGCTCAAGATTGGCCCAGTTCAGCCACTGTCATCCCAGGACTGAAAATGTCTAGTCTTCTCCCCTAAAAAAGGCCATAGCTTTGGGGTCTTAAATCATGTCTACCTCAGATTCAGCAGGATCAAGCACCGAAACTGGACCATTCCTAGTGGTTTTCCTCTTCCACAGTCCCATTTTGGTCGGTGGGGTCAGCTTCACGGAGGCTGTGAAGGTGAGGGTTGCCGGTCAAAGAGCTGAAGACCGAAGACCTGTGAAACATAGGAATGGTTAGGAATGGTTTAGGATGCACACTGCAAATATACTCTGTCTATACCTTTCTGGGGTATAGCCGGTGCCAATCGGATTGTCCACATGCCCGGCTCATCTGTCAGGTGGGTTGACCGTTCTTAACCCTAACCCCCACCAATTTGGAGAACACTTTTCTAGGCTCTGTAGGACCTGGCCTGGTCATGGTGGTGCAGCAAGGTCCTGCCCTGCAGTCCGCCAATCGGCCAGACGGCTTTGTCTGAAAACGGAGGATCGACACCCATAAAATGCAACATTCCAAGTTTCCAAGTGGGAAAATGATGAAAACTGAAACTCAACTCATATCAATCATGAAATTTTGGGTCTTTGTCTTTTTCCCACCATGTTCAGACAAAACCCCAGCTCATTTCCCCAGCATGATGTCCATCTCGGGCTCTGCGACACATCCCGTGGTCAGGTTCCACCTCAACCGCTCAACGACGCAACGCGCATCCAAAAAGGGGATGGTCCAATGCTAAAGATGCGTCTCTGTCTGACGAGAAATCCACAATATATAGTGATGATAATAACAATAATAATGCTAATAGGGATGATAAACAATAATAGTGATGATAATAGTGATGATAATAGTGATGATAATAGTGATGATAATAACAATCATGATAAACAAACAAGACATGCTTTTGATGTTGACCCATAGTCGAACATTTTATATGAACTTCTTTTGCAAATCACTCTTAGACTTTTCTAGTGGTGAGATGCGACTCTGAGCCCCGGACAGGTGATATTTGCAATGGTAAGCCTCATAAACCTGCGAGGCTGGGCCGCGGCCCCCAATGAAACCTCTTGAGGTTTCCCGGTTTCGATGGGGTTTTGCTAGCCAATGAGACTAACCAGACCCAGGATTTACTAACCATTTAATGTTGGTAAAACAACAAGAAACCATCCCCCAGTCATCACCATTTTTATAGGTGCTATGTTTACCATTCCCAAATGGCCTATCGAAGTTGAGTGACCTCAGGATGCAAATCCCCAACTTGCAAGTTCTGAGTTGCGGACATAGTACCCGAAAAAGGTCGCAGTGCATTCCGAGGTGTTACATATTAGGAGGGTTACATATTTGTATAATATATATATATACATATAATATAGAGATATATATATATACAAATAATGTTATATATATATACATAATATATATATATACATAATATATACATATATATATATACATAATATATGTATATATACATAATATATGTATATATGTATATATGTATATATGTATATATGTATATATGTATATATGTAGATATGTATATATGTATATATATTATATATATACATAATATATATATATATATATATTCTGTGTATATATATATATGTCCGAAGCGGGTTTAAAATGTTTCGAACCTGACTATGAGATGCTTTGACAATAAGCACAACATACCACAACTATGGTTGCTGAACCCTTCATTCAGCTTGTGGGTCAAAATAATTCCTGATTTTTTTTTTCCCATTCCCCCGTGACCTCTGGTCCGATTCTATATCAAGACTTGCACTAATCTGGCTGAAAAAGGATAATTCACCAGCCTGGAAAGTCCTGCAATTTTGGGTCCTCACTCATATGCAAACCATCATTTGGAGTGAAGTCGCGGCGGCGTCCTTAACATTCGCCCCTAATCATCTAGATAAATAATTGTCATAAACATAGAATATACATATATATATATGTATGTAGTTATATATAATATAATATAATATAATATAATATTATAATATAATATAATATAATATAATCTAATCTAAATATATATATATATAATATAATATAAATATGCTATACAATATAATATAATATGATATAATATAATATAATATGATATAATATAATATAATGAAATAAAATATAATAAAATAAAATATAATATAATATAATAAAATAAAATATAATATAATATAATACATATATGTATATTTACTTTCTTAGGAAATCTGGTATGACATTATTCAATGATCACCAGGATTTTTTAACCGTCATGATAAAAACCCACGCCTTCAGGAAGGACCATGCCACGAAGAACCTACGCAAAGTTGGATTGAGCCACCATTAAAACATAAAATATTGGACGTTACCTCGAAAAATGATCAAACAATTGAGTTTAACCATAATGATCATAACAATTGAGTTTAACCATCTATCAATGCTTTAACCATAATAAATTTGGGAATTCAGACATATAATCTCCAGCATAAATGGAAATTCACCAACAAGAAATCTGGGATTTGACCACCAGTGATGGTTTTTCAGAAAGCACCGGACAATGGAGATCTGGCCACTTCAATGGGTCGAAAAAAACACCGGCATTTCTGATTTTTTCATGGAAAATCCATCTGGTTGGTTGGAAAATCCATCATTTCTAGATGCTTTACCTCCTGAAATCAGGGCGTGTTGAATTATTTGTACAGCGTTGGAAGGGTTGATCCAGCAAAAGATGTGTTTCATTGTTTTTCCACATGCTCGATCATGAATGAAAGGAAAGCTACATGGCTACATGATCGAACACCGGTTTGAGTGTTTTCAACACATTCCCGATTCGTCAATTGGGATCATCATACCAGATAGAATGTTTGAAACTACCAACCAGATCATGACACATCACAAACTTCAGGTGCTCTGTGACTTCTCCATTGCAAATTCTGAAGAGAGTGCTCAAGCCCCATAAAGTGGGTGTGTTGAAAATGGGGGGTCCCCGAAACGAGTCCAAATGGCCGTTTTTGTCGGGAAAATGATGGTTAACCACTGGATTTAGGGGTACCCATGGGTACTTCATGGATGTATGTTTTGCATGACAGGATTGAAGTTGACATACTGTTTCGGAATGTTTCCAGGATGATCGTCGGACGTCTTTCTTTTCATATGGTGCATTCCTGTTTTTTCAGGATGCCATTCTGACATGCAGATTTCTTGGTTGAACCCGTCGAAGCTGGGAAAAAAAACCCATGGGTCTCCCAGGTTTCCCCAGGTCTCCCCACATCACAAGAATGGAGACCCAGAGCCCGGCCAGACCTGTCTGACTCGACACCTTGGAAGTCAGTACTTTCCGAGCAAAGGCTGGGATTGTTGGCTGGGATTTAATGATCTAAGCATCAAGGGTTAGGGATTTAATGGGATTTTATGGGGATATGATGGGATGTATAACAGAACTATTTGGGTTTGACCAAGAATTGGATATACAGTCCAAATAACCACCGGAAAGGGCAAATATGATGACGAATCGGGTGATTTGGGAAACCCATGGATTTGGGTCTGCAAAAAGTGGATGGATCGAGGCAAGAAGTATGAGGATACATATCCAACATATACATGATATTCGATATTCATAAATTTATACATCCATCTGTCCATCTGTCCATCTGTCCATCCGTCTATCTGTCTGTCTGTCTATCTCTCTATATGTCTATCTGTCTATCTGTCTGTCTATCTGTCTATCCATCTATCTATCTATCTATCTATCCATCTATCCATCTATCCATCTATCCATCTATCCATCTATCCATCTATCTATCTATCTATCTATCTATCTATCTATCTATCTATCTATCTATCTATCTATCTATCTATCTATCTATCTATCCAGCCATCCATCCGTCCATCCATCCATCCGTAATATATATATATATATATGTACATTTGTCAATGATAATCTGTGGTGCTTCTAACATGATCAATCATTATTGCTATTATGACTAATGTGGTAAACGCAATAGACCGTCCTCAAATTTAAGTACACATGGGTGGTATATACCATCCCCCAACTGAGGGTACCACAGTACTACGATTAGGAATATACGGTTACATCATCAGAAGTACCACTAACATACAACTGTTTGTCATCATAATTGTACTATGTTTAATCACTACATTACAACTAACCAAATCATATTACTCTTCTTACCATTGTCATTACTACTATGGTATGATGATGATAAACTACTACTAACCAATCATAATAGGTTCTTACTTATAGGTATAGAGTAACCAATACATGTCTTAGCACCCGCGAGTCTTGACGGTTGCTCGTATACTGGTTACCACTAACCATCAGTAATAATAAATTAGGTATATCACTAAACGTCATACTAATGCCATTCAAAGCATCAGTATTGCCGTACTACCCACAGACACCGTAACATACCGTAACTATGTTGCGCAGACATTCACATTGAGGATGTCATGTTGTCGAATATGATAGGAGAGATTGCAGAAAATACTGGCTATACGCAGTGTTTTCTGGTTTAGGATTCAAAGTTTTCAGGATTTAGGTTTTAGGGTTTAGGGTTTAAGGTTTTAGGGTTGTAGGTTTTAGGGTTTTAGGGTTTAGGGCTTAGGGTTCATCGTCTGGGAAATCTCAAGACACTGGTCCTGCGCAGGTGTTTGAGCATGTTGAAGGATAATGCTCAAACACCATTTGAACTTTCCGGGCAACACACAGTGCCTGGCCGTATTACTACTATTAGGTGTATATATGTACATTACTGACATATTGGTACATTACATATGTATATATACACACACACGTATATATGCACAGTATTACACATTGTAGTAAGTTTTAACACTATGGTAATATGCTATATAGTAGAAATATATCTATGTTAGTTATACTGTATATATATATATATACACCTACTGGTATATAGTGAAGTAATACTATGAAATATAGTTAGTAACCACCTCCAGGAGCTTCCACCCCCTGCGAGCTCCGCACGCGACAGCATCGTACCGCCGCTTGAAGCCCCGAGAAGATCATGCTGATGATCAGCTGAGCGAAGCGGAACGGGTGACATGGATTCAACGTGGGGATTTTTTAGCCACAGAAATTGTCAGCCGAACATCAAACATGGTAAACATGTTGGATTCAATGGGAGTTAACAAAAGAAAGTGGGATTTGAGAGGATTAAACTGACTTACATGGGGAGTATAAGACCATCTGGAACCATTTTATAAGGATATATTATATGGTGGGATATGGTGGGATACCCAAATATTCAACGAGCATTTTGGGGGATACCAAAATATTCAGACCAACCCAGATGGAGCATCTTGGAGGGCATGGAAAAGACGTACAGAAACATCTTCGGGACTCCCTAAGTCGAATATTTTACATCCTGTTCAGACATATCCCACATGATATTTGGATATATTTCTGCTGGTTGACCTAGCCCTCTGAAAAATGATGGAGTGAGTAACAGTTGGGATGATGACATTCCCATACATTCCCAACTGAATGGAAAGTCATAAAGCCAATGTTCCAAACCAGCAATCAGATCACCATCATATTCCCATATTGTTGTTGGTTTATAGCCTATGAAAACCACTATTAACCATAGATAAACCATAGATAAATGCCATTCCAAAATGCTACCGCGCCGATTTTCCACCTTGATCTGGGCCGGAGAGTAACCATCTTGGAAGGTCAGCGCCTCAGACACGGCGAATGTGGTTTTGGGATGACCTGAACAAAAATCCGTGGAAAAATATCAGAAAAGTGCCATTCTTAAAGGAGAATGCTGATTCACCCGTGGATTTTTGAACCATTTCTAGATGCATTACATGTATTTACAATTATTTACATGTTTCGAATATGCCGAAATTTTGGTGTTCCAATGTGTTCCATGTTTTTTCAGCTTCGATTGCCATGGGGTTTTCACCCCGGGTTCTGTTGCCATTTTAAGAGATCAGACCGGTCAGATCTGGTGACACGTGATTGAGATGGCTCTGCCGTGAGCAAATATATATGATAAACCCCAGGCGTTATATTTCGGACAAAATAATGGTTAACAATGGTTATTAATCGTTATTAGCTATAAACAAAAGAACATCTGACAGAAAACCCAACATCCATCACCACCATCTGACAGAACCGCGTCTCAATCCCGAAATGTCAGGGGCATCGCACCAAGAATGAGCTCTGAAGCCACAATGCCAGCACGTTTCCGAGGAAGACCTGCCAGGTAGATGGACGCACCAATTGGACATCTCAATCCAAAGGGTGAGGCGTGAAAGTCCAGGGCCCGCCTTCTGGAAGAGAATCAGATTGAAATGCCGCCGTTCGGCTGCTTGAATCTTATCCTGTGCCAAGGTTTATTGAACCTCAAAAAAAATAGAAGTGTGCGAAGTGTACCCCTCCTGAAAAACAAAAACCTTAATTTTTGAGCATCAAACTCAATCCAAGATAGGAAACTCACCCCAATTCTCCGAAATGCATCTTTTTTCAGATTGAGTCTGCAAGATTCGCCATCCACACGTTACGCAGAAACGTCGAGGAGACTCCGAAACAACCATGGAAGTGAAAAATATGCCATGCAGTTTCTGTAGGAAAATCATCGTTCTAGAAAGAAATTTCGGACTGGGTTGATACCACATGACACCAAAATTGGCTTTATGATTATCCCAACACAAGCCATTCTGCAAAAAAAATGTTGATGTTCACCATCTCCGAGGGCGGCCCTTCCGAGCCCTTGCTATGTCAGCAACCTCTTCTGCGGTGTCATGGATTCCACTGGTCATCAAAGCTTCTTCGGTCTCAGGGCAGACATAGTGACCAGAGCGGAAGAAAAAACTGATGGTCACCGGCCAGCCCCACTTCAATGATTAGATTCAGCTAGGGATTTTTTGACCAGGGCCCAAGTGCTGAGTAGATAGAACTTGTAAGAAGCTGCTAGATGCGAGGGATTTTTGCACAGAAACCACAGTGTGCGGAGCATGTTGATGGAGGTAAACCCAATAAACCAGCCCCCATTGGGGTTTATGAAATTGGGTATACCCCTAGTAATGGGATGATGTATGATGTTCTAAACACCGCATTGCACCCGAAAACCTCCTGTTGGTGGCTCGAGCACATAGATCTCGATAAATTATCATCATTCACCAACCTGAAATTTTGGGATTATAATGATAAGAATGCTATTTTGGGATAGTTACCCTTGCTAATCATCCTTCTTCAGGCCATGTGTTGGTAATGATTCACCTTCGTCTGGCCATCATCCCAAAATGTCATCCAATAGCTTGGCTTCCCCACCACTTTGCCATGCTCATAGTCTTCCCGCATCTGAGGCGCGGCTTCTGGATCCCGAAAAAGATCGAAATGGATGTGTCGGAAAAATCGCCATGAAAGGAAAAACATGATGATAAACCACGAAGTAGGTAAATCACCATTTTTAATAGGTAAATCACCACTTTTTTGGGGTAATCACCAATTTTTATAGGTAAATAACATTTTTTTATTGGTAGATCAGCTATAAATGGCCATTAGCTATGTGAAATTGCCAGATGAAATTGCCAGAGCCTAAACCATGAAATTCCAGAATCACCATTCAAATGAGGAACCCCTGCTACAGCGGAAATTCTCCATGACCAGAATTTGTTTGTCCAAAATTGGAGAACCCTTTTTGGTCGTCATCGTGGTGGTGCTCTCAAATTTGCGAGAGATCAAGCTCCCCGGATGCATCTCAGCAAACAAACATGTTGGGTCATTTTAACTCGTCCCAAACAGTCATATAATCATATACCTAATCTCATAAACAAAAAAATTGGGTATGTAAACCCCTTACGCAGTGGGAAAACATGATCTCCCATATTCCAATGTACCATGGACAGGTCATAGCCTGAGTTACTTGCAATTCGGTATCTTTGGTATCCCATACATATTTTCTGCATCCTCACTTGAATGTTCCCTAAAGATTAGCGAACTGGCCAAATGATCCGGAACGGGTTGTTTTCGCCACAGTATGGCAAGCAGTCTGAAATAGGGTATCCATGGGTATCCCAGAATCCAATGAAAGGTTGATCACCATTTTTCCACTTGAAAGGTGGTCATTATTACCCTCTGGTAAACTAACATAACTATGGAAAATCACAATTTTCAATGGGTAAACGGTAAACTCACTACAATTTGCCATTTTCAATAGCTATGTTAGTTTACCAGAGGGTATCCCGGATTCTCCGCTTTTGATGGGATACCAACTTCAACAGGTCACCCTTGAGGTCATCTGAGTGCCTTGGTGGTGGTCGCACTGTCAGCATTGGGGCGATAGCGGTAGCGCTGTCCCGCGGCCATTTCCTGGCTGCTTCTTTGGTGGGAAGAATCTATGGGAAACTCTGGCCTTAATGGGAAAAACTTATGGAAAACCCACTGGGTTTTCGATGTTCTTCCCATTCATTAAAGGGGAACATGTATCGGAGACTAGGCGTTGTTTTTTTGCTTTTTTCATTTTTTTCCCATGCTGATCAGGGTGTTCCTGTGTCCCTTCATCCAAGGCAGACTTCACCAGCAGGAACCGGGGAGAGGAAACGCTTCACGGTGGCTTTGAAATTGGCAGAATTTGATGACGCCCCAAAAATATCCCAAAATGATGGTCAAGTCCAACCCGGATCTTTGGCAAAACACTGGTGGGGCAGAGATCACCGTGGCTTTTGACACGCACAATCAATGCAGAGGAGCGATCTACGGCTTCCAAGGTGCGGTGAAAACCTTTAAACACCATTGTTTTCATTCAGATCCTCCAATTTGGGACACACTCAAATCCGTCTTCCGATTGAAGCCACTTTTCACTTTTCTGGTTGATTGCCTTGATTGCCCACCTTGTGTGGGCCACTTCTTGATGATAACCTTTGCACATTGAGGGGGTGTGAAAATGTGCGCCAACAGAACCCCAGGCTTGAAATGGGGGTAGGGGAAGGGGTTGGCATTGCCAGCCTTTGAGGCTGAGCGGCCGATATCTTGGGAATTCCAGAGCTCCTCAAGTTTCACCAGCCTTGGAGTTGAAAGGTGGTCGCAAGACTTTGTTGCGCAAGGCCGTCCCATCACGCGGTTTCGCACGGCGCTTCAAAGCGCTGTCAGGCGGCTTTGGGTTGTGCAAGTCGACCGTGAAGAAAAAAAACGTCATCAACAGGGTCCCGCAGGTGCTACATCCAGCCCTCCGAAAACTCGGAGCTTGTTAGTTACCACTTGGAGAGTGTTGCAGTCTTCCTATAAGTTGGCTACAGATAGTTGGGGATTGTCCTCGGTAATAGGGTTTCCAGCTGCAATTTGTTGACAGACTGACCCAATGCCTTCACAAACAGCAGACTCTAGCAGCTACAGTTGCGCGGCTTTGGCGCAAACAAGAAACAATGTCAAAAGAACGGATGGACAAAACAGTGCTACGAAGACTCTTCAAGCCATTCTTGGGTATAATTCTCGTTTACTTCACGAACAAATTGCAATGGGACATTCCAAGTTTCAAATAAAAACGAATCAGCCGGCATTCTGGACTATTTTCGTAAGGCTTAAGCGCCTAGTACAGGCCAAATTGAAACGAGGGAGGTTGTCTCACGAGTTTGTGTTTCAGGAAAATAAATGGGCTCTTCCGATGCGGGCCCGTAATTTGTGTCATATATAGCATATAATATATGTAATTTATATGTATAAGATTTATATAGATGTATGTATGTATGTATGTATGTATGTATGTATGTATGTATGTATGTATGTATGTATGTATGTATGTATGTATGTATGTATGTATGTATGTGCGTATGTCTGTATGTCATGTATGTATGTATGTATGTGTAATGTATGTATGTATGTAATGTAATGTAAGGTAAGTATGTATGTATGTATGTATGTAATGTATGTATGTATGTATGTATGTAATGTATGTATGTATGTATGTATGTATGTATGTATGTATGTATGTATGTATGTATGTATGTATGTATGTATGTATGTATGTATGTATGTATGTATGTATGTATGTATGTATGTATGTATTCATGTATTCATGTATTCATGTATTCATGTATTCATGTATTCATGTATTCATGTATTCATGTATTCATGTATTCATGTATTCATGTATTCATGTATTCATGTATTCATGTATTCATGTATTCATGTATTCATGTATTCATGTATTCATGTATGTATGTATGTATGTATGTATGTATGTATGTATGTATGTATGTATGTATGTATGTATGTAGTATGTATGTATGTATGTATGTATGTATGTATGTATGTATGTATGTATGTATGTATGTATGTATGTATGTATGTATGTATGTATGTATGTATGCGTATTTACAATTTGTGCATGTGGGCGCATACAAAAAGGGAGCATGAACTCACTAATTGCACCTAAGATGATCTAGTTTCTACAGTAGATACACCTTGTGCAGAGCTCCATGCCCTTCACTCATCATCCGAAGATCCCTCACCGCTATGGTGATGGCCTAGCCTTAGCGAAACCAGCAAAGCTTAAACAAAAAGGGTCAGTGGGTTGTTTTGTTGAGAAAATCGACAGGGATCTATTAAAGATTTAAGGTCAAAACACAGTGTTTTGACCTTAAATCTTCTATAGTACATGTTCCTTTCATTTATTTCTAGTGCAAGAAGTCAGAGGTCGGTTTTAACATATGTTTGTATGGAAAAAAGCGCTTGTTCCAAGTCAGAAGTGGGCTTGTTCAAACTGTTTTGGATGTGTCTGACTGGGACATGCATCTCGTACTCTAGTACTGGTTTAAACAATGCGGTGCTGCCAGAATTGCACTCACACTGCAAGCGGCTAAAACCCGTTCCAGTGGTCTTAAATGTCGAACCTTAATAATCCAGAATCAGCATTTTGTTCTACATATCCTAGTCAAGAACTAAGGCTTGCAACTCTTTTCTTTATTCACTACTTTGCAGAGTTTCTCTGCTTATCCCTGTATTTAAAAGAGATCTGGTCCCTTAGATCCTTCAGGTTCCAAGCTTCCAATCCCAGGCGTCAAGGAACATATGGGAGCCCACTAAGGAGGCAAAGAAGCGTTGAAGGCCTGACGACTTTGGCAGAGCAGTTTGGTCTGTGAGCTATACTTCACTCACCCCGATTCCTCCGCATCCCCAAATGATACCCTTGATACCGCATGAGCCAAAAAACTGCATGGTGGATGAAATGTGAGCAAATGTCGGAAGTTTACCAATTTGTCAGACTTTGAGATGTCCAACATATAAGATTGACTGCTTCATGTTCATCCCATTTTTCAAGAAAAAAATCCTGTCCACATACATATATATATATATACATAGATTTATATATACACACAGTATAGTATACACATATACCCTTCAGTAAACTAACATAGACCGTGGCAGAGGTTGATGAGTTTCCACTCTTTTAGTGGGTGATGTTCGGGGAGATGATCCCATCTGATCCAAAACAGATCCAGATCCAAAGTCAACAGCTGAAATCATCTAGAAATAACTATGAAATAACTATGACATTATCATATTTAGTTGATTTTAGAAAATCATCTAAAAATCATCTAGAAAAACATCCAAAAAGAACTCAAAAAACATCTAGAAAAATATCATGGTTGTTGCCTCGACATGTTTCTTAAAAACAGAAAATTCTAGAAAGGCACCTCCAGGTCCCTCGGGCCGCGGAGCTTCTTCCAAGACTTCCCAGGTCTCAGGCCTAGCTTGGCTCCTGCGCCAGAAAAACCGAGGACCTGACAAAATGTCTGGTGGTTGTAAAAATAACGTGCTATATCATGTACTGTATAATATGAATATATATATATATATATGTGATGATTATATTGATATATTATAGATATAATGGCACCTATGATAATGTATATATATATATATCATACAATATCTATATCTCTATATATATATACCTTGTTCAGTACAGCCTTACACACCAGTTCAGTACGCAAGTGTGATGTGCTTAGTGAGTTTAGCCTTGAAATTGCAAATCCTTAGATTGGGAGGTCCCCCCAAGCACAGAACCTGGAGTCCAGCAGGGGTCGACTGATTGCTCACCGAGATCGCTCATTTGACCCATAAAATCCACGGGGTTTTCAGACCATAGCTGGGATATAGCTGGATCTTCATCCCCCTATATAAATAACTGGTATTTGTAGGGATCCATAACCACCTGGACATTGGAACCACATCTCCTTCCAGAGATGTGATCCAAGATCTCACCTGCACTGGAACATTGAAGACACCCACCATACACGCACGGAACATGTTTGAAAAAACAGCAACCAACATGCGAATCCAACACATCAATTTTGGGGGATGTGCAAAGCAAGGGTTTTGGCACTGTATATATATATATGTATACATAGCCGCGAGTTGTTACCATGGAAATTGTTGGTTCAATTTTCCAATTGCGACTCAGATTCCCATTTGAAGCAAGGCATGTCCATGTTGTAGGCTTAGCCATTTCATAAGTTTGCCAAACTACAGTACTCATATTGTGGATCAGTCACAATTTCAGGTAGCGTCCAATCACGTTTGGATCATACGCTGACTTGACCCACACCGTGCCCACACCCAAATCAATTGTTGGTTTTGAACAATCCATAAGGGTTGGACGATATCCCCGCCACATGATTAATCCGGAAAAAAACAGCCACGAGTCACGAGCCGTGGTTTGGTCATACCTCCCGAATCAGCCCGGTTGTAGAATCCCACTTACTTCCTGAATAGTTGAGCAACCAAGGAATCCCGTCCCCAATAAATACAAAGCTAAACACAGTCAGGAATTACAGACGAAAATCATCTTTGTGGAACACCCTGACCGTTTGACTGTGTATCACAACACTATTTGGTGTTGTTTATGTTCCAGGGGTTACTTCCAACATGGAACCTAAGTGGAATGCTTGTGTCAACATGGGAACCCCAGAATTGGTCTTCAGGAGGGGAACGCTGTACCATAGGATTTAATACACCAAAAATAATCAATGGACATATGGCTCACAGCGATTTCCCTAAAACATTGAATGGGTTTCTACACTAAAAATGACCCGCCTTTTGTGGCTGCATTGGTACCATCATAAAATGACTCAGTTCTGTAGGTAAATGCACCAGACATGGACATGGAGCCAGAACCACAAATTCAAAATGGTGATTTCACCCTGGCTGTCCCCACATCGTCTGGGAGGTTCACAAAACAAAATTTGGAGGAAGAAAAAAAACGTCATTATTTGTTTCCTCATTAGTATCATATTATTCCCCAAAAAAAAAACATGGGTATGGGTCAAAATTAGGTACCTCAATAATTGGATGGTTAATACTAAACTAGACTAACATCTGTGGTCCCCTAGGTCTTCCATTTTGACCCACATCCACATCTGAATCTTCCCAGCTGATGTCCTAAAACAGGGCTACCCAGCTGATGCCAGTTGCTGCATCCAGGTGGCGCATCTGGTGAAGCCAGGGCTCGTCCGCATAGCCGTCCCACCTACCGCATAGCCGGACCGCAACCATCATCGGCAAAAAAGGACAATAATATCAGTGGTATCAAATAAAATGTTCAAATCACAGTGGATGATAATAAGAAAACAGTGTTATGAAATAACATTAATGATCCAAATGTTCATGTACCTTAACTTCTTCGTGTTATCAAATAAAGGTACAGTAGAAGATAATAATTACCACTGATCGAATAATAGAACTAATAACTTGGTTGTTATTTGCAAGTTGTACGGTTACTACTTCTATGATTTTCTTTGTTATTATGACCATCAATGTAGAATGAGACTAAAATGATGGTTAAAATGACAAGAATAATAATAGAAATAGTCCTTTTAACAATGCACAGAACTGACAGGTGTCCATTGTCATAAACCCATGTGTGATCCCAATTAAGGAAAAACATGTCATCTTGTCTTGGTGATAAGAAGCGTAATAATCGAACCCCATGTAAGATATGTAGTGATAAAGTCATAACATTCACAATAGTCATAATAATCATGCTACGAGTAATGATTATCACAAGCATAATCATAATAATGATATATAATCATAAGAATATAAAATGACCTCGTTTCATTTCATGTCATGTCATGTCATGTCCTTTAGTTTCATCATCATCATCATCATCATCATCATCATCATCATCAAGCCCCGATTTGCTTCAGGAACCACAAAAGAAATATTGAAGATTCCCTGTAGATTTCCCAAGCGGTGGAAATCCCATTGGGAAATTGAAAATAATATTCAGCAAGTCAAGATATATAATAGTGCTAATAATCAACAATAACATTAATCTAAAAAAAAAACAGAACAATCATCATATCAGCAACAATTACAATAATAATTACAAAATCAACTCCAAGAAGCCATCTCCAATATCACTATCAATGGGCGGTATAAATGTATAAGCCATCCCAAAACGCTCGGTTTAGTACCCTCTGGTAAACTAATATGGCTATGGAAAATCACCATGTTATATAGGTAAGCCAACTATAAATCACATATGTTCATCCATTGTCATAGCTATGTTAGTTTACCAGGGGGTATATCAAAATTAATCATCATTAATCATCATTGATCCCCATCATTGACCATTGTTAACCATGATTCACTAAGATTAATCACCATTAACCGACCATTAACCAACCATTCAGCATTTCTTTAATGCTCCCATGGTCATCCTCCATCCATTGCTGAGCTGCTCCGTGTCACCAGCTTGGAGCAACAACGTGGCGCCCTCGGGCGCCAAGGTGTCCTTGCTCCAGTAACCTGCTGTGGTAGTAATCATATGGGATAATGGGGAGATACATGGATACAATATGATACAATGGGATACAAAGGGATGTATTAACATAATATGTATAGTAGACCCCAAAACCATTCAGAAAGGGTTCACGTATTACCACTGCTTTTTCCTGGAAGGAATTGATGTTTCTGCATATCCTATTTCATTTCTAGTGTCTATGCAAAACTAGGATATGCAGAAGGCCTGCGGTGTTCACTACCGCCGGTTGTATTCAACGCACATTGATGTTGAAGGGGATGCATTTAGAAGACATGTGTATCTCTTTATATACATTTAAGGACTAATGAAACATGGATTGGATGGGATATATATAATATGGTGTGTAATTACAACCAACCAACCCCAACTGTTGGGTGTGTCTGAAAATGGAGTATATGCAAAGTATACCCCAAGAAAAGAGATTTGTTAGTAGGGAAATGGTGATTAACCAGTGAACTTAAGGCTTTTCCCAACATCTTCTAGGACACGTCATATTCTGCATCTGAGTGGCTGTCGCCAAGGTCCAATTCTTCACCACCTGGTCGCACCATCGCAGGGTGTTTGGGTTCATGCCCACGCCAAAATTCCCAAAATATGATTGGGTTTTTTCTTTGAAATCCGCATTTGGGGGTATCCAAAATGGTTGGTTTATAATGAAAAATCCAAAAATGTTCAATGGATGATTTGGGGGTACCCCTATTTTAGGAAACCACCATTTATGCTGGTAAAAATCAGATGTTTGGCTGCTTCACGGCGAGGTTCCTTCCCAGATCTCCTCCACGTACTGCCCGCGCGGGGCAGCAGGCTCATTGGAACGCATGATGCGCAGCCTCTCCTGCGTGCAGATGTTGGCCCTTTCCAAACGGCAAAGCATCCCGATTTCTGGGGGGAATCAGCTGGTCCTTGAAAGCATTCTCAACTTTATAGGAAGTCGCCACATCTGTGATATTCTTTGATCATATTTCGCTGTTCATAGTGGTTATCAGTGGTCTCCATTTTCTCCATGGGTCTTCATGGTTTTTCCATGGAGATTCGGTCGTAAACCATCCACTGAAAATGTCGGCGCCTCTTGATCGACCGACCGCAGCCTCGGCGGGATGATGACTGGGGGTAGCCCCATGACTATCATAACTTAGGAAACGTCCACATAAGAAATACCTTGATAGATTCATATAGATGTTATGATAACATACTCCACCAAACTATTACTGGATTTTTTTTTCAATAACTTATCCCAACTCTTTTCCTTGGTTATAACTCGGACCTTGGTTTTCCAATGATTCCAGAATTTGATCAGTGGCATAGGGTGGTTCTACTGCTTGGGAAGGTAGAGATGATTCATGATGATTCACATGTTGGATAAGCATGACCTCTACTAAACAGGATTGAAATCCATACGGTCATGGGCTGTGGTTCAAATGATTGGCCCCAAGGATTTCTATACACCACCTGGGTGTAACCCCAAACGGCCGAAACCTTGTCACGATTTCTACACTACACGAAAACATTGAGTACCACAGCATGTAGCATCCATACCCAAATGTGTGAGCCTGCAAACACCACGCAGGAGCATAGCCCCTCGGGAACGATGGCACCAGAAACATTAGTATCCTGCGTTTCCCCTTGCTATCTCTTTTATCCTCTCATACGGGGATGGGTCAAAACACTGTACCCCCGGTGAAACCTAATATAGCTTGTTAAATGGATGTTCATCTCCTGATTTTTTGAATCTATAGGTATTGATCCATAGCCATATCCCAATCATCCATCTACCTTGATTGGAGGTCCCAGCCACCCTGGGCTTGATCTGGGGCCCAGGACCAGATCTGACGTCCGGACTTCACGATCACCTCTTGTGGAATGCCGTAAGGCCGCTGCGTCCTGGGCCGGTGCTGAAGATTGGCAGAGCATTAAGCCAAAAAAAAAAGCTGTATCATTGGGGTTACTGTAATCTTCGCAAACAAGCGGGGATAAAAATATGCCACGCAACATTGTAACGACTACAAAGGAAGTACACCACGAAGTATCCCCGACTTTTTCCACCATCACCGCTCATCCATTGCGGGATTTGCCAATCCACCGCACCCCCTCCCTCCCAGTTGGTATATGTTACGCTATGTGGTTGATGCAACATGTTTTTGAATCTGTCCACGAATCTATGGGAAAAACATATACATATATACATATATATATATACAGATATATTATAGTATTATCTATATATTATAATATAGGGCTTGTTGACCACTTATTGAATAAGATGCACATTCATCCAGGGGTTGGTAAACTTCCTGATTGAACATCAGCAAACTACATCTAATCTCCAACATATACGTCTACAAGCGATGTGAAATACATCCAAAAAAAAAAACAATTGCCGACCCCTGATAAATGTGCATCTTTGTTGGTCTTAGTCTTAGTTTGGAAAAATACACCTTTTATTTATATATATATATGTATTTATGTGTGTGTCTGTGACACATGTATTTATTTATATATATATAATATGTATAGCTATGGCTCAAAACCCTGGCACCGAATGAACCCCAAAATACCCTCTGGTAAATTAACATAGACCCTGGCAGATAGGGATTGGAAGACTAGTTTCCATTAAAAAATTGTGATTTTCAGGGTCTATGTTTATTTACCAGAGGGTAACTGGTACATGGATGTTCATCCCACTAAAATTGACGCTGGGCGACACTTGAAGCGCTGAAGGGTAGGACTGCATCCACTTCTCCAGAAAATTCACCTGTGCTGTTCGAATATGTTCAACATGTCTCTGTATATTAGAAAATTATCTAAGATGTCACTATATTAGAGTGTCGACTTCCTATACTACTAATCTCTACATATATATATATATATACGTGTATATATATATTCAACGGCTAGCAAATGCTACCAAGTACAATAGATGGGCGTCCATGTCCAATGCTGGCTGGCAGAGGCGTTGTTCCTGGGCGCCGAACCCTAAGTCGTTTTCTGTGAGGAAATGTCCAGGGTGCAAGGGTGTTTCTATGTATTCTGACAATCATGTTACTTAATGTTACTTGATATTGCCTCTAGAATCCTATGGATATCTATGGATGCTTTACTTCAACTCATGAGTATGCCATAATCCAGTTGAAGCGATTTTCATCCCAAAAAAACAGGGGCAGCACAACGATCCCCAGTCGAGGAGCGGAAAGGCTCATGATGGGCTTCATACATCCAGGCCAGAATCTGAGCGACTGCCATGGGAATCCATGGCAATCCATGCCGACCATGCGCAGATGATGGTCCATGGAGAGGATACCAATGGATACCATAAAAGTATATAAAAGTGAATTTTGCTTTCGGACCAGTTTCGGACAGAGGGATGGTGGTGTCTTAAAAATGTCCACCCCCTTCGGTCGAATCTGTGCAGCCGGACGGAGGGGCTCGGACCCGTTGTGTCACGTAAGACTCCAGGGATTCGTACCACACCGAAGTGACTGTGACATACGGAAAATGCCTCCAGCGTGGAATCAGTGAATCAACAGCTCATTGGGGCCCGGAATCTGTAGACTGGATAGTTGAGGTGGATTGAGCTGCAGAAGACAGGAATTACTCGAGAAGTGTTGGGAAAGCCTGGTTCAAATCCATTTGAATGATCCCAGACAGTTGTGAATGGAACTCTAAGACCGTAAGGCGGTGACAGGTAGGAATGACAACGGGCATTTCCCCAGTGTCACATTCCCGATTTCCGTTGGCAATCTCCACAGGTGTGGCTTGGCTGTCAATGTGTCAACCCGAATCAGTTCTCGTCAACCCTCCAAAAGCTGGTATCTATTGCGAGGCTTGCAGCACTACTCTGTAATGTCAACCCCGGATTAATAAACCCCTAGGCCGTTTAATTGGGGGGGTACCATTTAAGTATTGGATTATGACTATTGGAGGAGTACCCCCCTAATTAATAAACCATGGTTTATTAATCCGGGGTTGACATTACTGGATACAAAAATCATCAAAACTCCCCCATCTATCTGGCTAAAAAAACCGATGATTTACCAAGCTATATAGTAAGGCCATCTGGGGATGGTTCCCTCTACGAACTATCACATACACATAGCTTGGATGTGCATCTCCAATCATCTCCAATCATCTCCGATCATCGAACGAATCTCTTCTTGGATGTGCATCCCAATGAGTACGTGGTTGATAAGGATAAGCCATAATATTTATTTATTTATTTAATATTTATTTATTTATTTATCTATTTATTTATATATATATAAGCCTATATATATACATATATTATAATCATTCTACATATAACTGAGGATATTCCATATATATAATTATATATGACTGGTGGTATAACCCACTGACCCCATGTGGGTTCTTCGGTACCAAGATGTACCAAGGTACCCCCAGCGCTCCATCAAAATGCTACAGTTGTTACTGCAGGTGCGTGGGCCAATGAGGCAACCCACCAGACTGAAGGCCTGTCGATGACTGGGGGAAGGCTGAAAACTCAGCGTCATTTAGACGGCGAAATATGGATAAAAACATCAAACAAAAAACTCATGAAGATTCAGGAAGTCGATGGAAAAAATGCAGGTCTTGCCTGTGATTCGGATTGAAATCATCCCAACATCATGAACTGCGGATGCAGAAACGGAAGAGCTGAGACAAACATAAACGACCCACTTAAAACCCTCAAAGGGGTGGAGAGACCACCCTTGTCACCCCCGTGCCGTCCATGATATCCAAATTCTGTTATGGCAGTGGTTCCAAATTCTGAACCCTCAATAAATATCAATAAATGGGGATGGGTCAAAACCCTGGTACCTAGTGAACCCCAAAATAGCTGGTAAATGCGGTAAATGGATGTTCATCCCACTAAAAATGTATCTATAGGTATTGATCCATAGCCATATCAATAACTCCCTATTGTGGGTTGATCCATGTTACCCTGCAAAGACTCCAGTTTTGTTGGACAAATTCGCCTTTGGCCATCTCGCGCGTGTCACCAAGATGCGCTGATCGCTCAGCGACAACAGAGTGCCTCAGCGAAGCGGTGAACGCTTCAATTGGGCATGTGGGTGGCTGATGGATAGTTGATGGCTGATGGATGCTTGGTGGGAGGTACATGTTTATGAATGTTGGCTGGCCGCTTGAGTCTGTCTATAATTTTTGGATGTTTTTGGCCGCTTTTAGTCTGGATTGTAGAACTGGTCCCAAGTTTGAGAATAGCCAAATCTGTCCTAGACCAAACTGGGATATCCTCTGCTGATCAAACATGGCCGGTTGGGAAGCACTCATTTCTCTAAGAAACTCATGTAAGATCATGTAAGTAGCGGAGGGGAATTATCGCGTGGTTGGATTACCGAAGGATAGTATGATTATTAGTATACCTTTGAGCATGAATGAAACGAATGAAACCACCTTTCCACCGTGTCACAAACTTTGAGCACGGACGCAGTCCTGACGTGTTGACCCCCCCGCATCAGCAGCTTGCTGCCCTGGTGCTGTAGTTGAAGGGATCTCCAAAGAATCCAAAAGCATCCAGCCGGTGCTCCCAGATATGTCTTTCACCCGGAATCAGCACATCATCTCTGGGACAAAGTCCTGAAAATCAGATCCCCTGAAAAAAATCCTCCCGCAGATCATTCTCAGAGATGGTTTTCAGGATAGTTCGTGACAAGGAACTCCCATGTTTCATTAGATTAAACAAATGAACCCCATAAATCAACCTTCTACCAAATGTTTCGTGTGAATCTGCCAAGAAAAGTAGAAATAGTTGTTGGTTAAAAACCCTCCCTTTTCAAATTGGACCCCCCAACGCAGCGAAAAATCATGGCTGAAGATTCACAAATTCTGGTGCGTCGATGTCGATGCTCATCTCCCCTTTAGAAATCAAGTTCAGTTACAGCAACCCCAAAACAGATGGAAGAGTGTGGCATCCTTAAAGATTTCGATATCATCTATGATCATCTGCAATACCTTCCCCCAGACTAAACACCTCCGAGAAACCAAGGTTTAGTAATGGAATTACACTTCGTAGTGGAAGAATTAATATGGGGTGTTCAATATTCAGTATGGGATTAGGCACCAGTTCATCTCAATCATCACAAATCATAGTAAATCATTGTTCATCCCCATGACTAATCATTCTTTACCATTCAAAAAAAAACAAAAACGATCAAAACATACTATATAGACAGAATCCCCACTATAGATGATCATTATAATGGGTTCAGTCTTTTCCCTAGTAATCAAGAATGGGAAAAATATAATGATGGAATAACAGATGTTCCTTAATATGATGGAATAGTCTTGATGTCCTTTTAAAAAAATCTATGTTTCCCTAGTGATCATCGTCTACCACATCCTGGATCTGGATCAACTTCCGCTTCCCATGGCCTGCGATGACTGCGCCCCCATCCCCCACGGAACGCAGGCCCTGGATGGGACGCGCGCAGCGCTCAGCCAGGCTGGTCAAGCCCTGATACATCTCTAAGGCCTCACCAAATCCAGTGATGGGAAAGCCATCTGGGGAAGGGATCAGGGAGATATCGTCTGAAATAAAAATATACAACCCCCACATCATCACCCATCTTTATGATCTGTTCTGTGAATTTTATACTGATAAGGGTAATATATGGGAGATATGGGATGATTCCCATAATAGCCTTGGGAATATTTTTATAATAGTGAGGTTGCCGACATGATGTCTGACATAATCTATCCAGATATAGTCATTGACAGTCATCCCTGAAAAGATTGATTGTGGTAATTCATATCAGTCATATCACTATGCTTAGGGGGGTCTTCTCCTCTTCTGCGTATCTTTTTAAGGACTGTGCTTAGTACAACCAAACTATGATCATGGATGGTGAAGTTGTGATCATAGTTTCACCCAAATCATCACCATTCATCACCCATCTGACTGTTTATGCAAGAGTCAGAGTATAGTAAGTATAGTGATATTTCTTGTGATAGTGATAATATGTGATAATTATAGGAACTGTTCGGAGATGGATTGATGGATTGGTGATGGATAACGATTTTTCGGCATTTTTTGGGAGACCATCCAGTTACTTGGGGTGAACATGTTTTTTGAAGCACGGAATGGCATGAGTCCGAGCAAAAGACGAGGCAAAGAACTTGACAAGACATGGAAGGGTGGAAGGGTGGAAGCTGCAACATGCGCTGCAAAATGCCGCTTCGATAGATGTCTTTCGGGTGAGCATCACATGTCGACTTGGAGCCGATCGTAAAGTTCTTCCCCGTTTCAATGGCGATTTATTGGGACCCCTATAGAAACAAACCCATCGCAAGGCAAGGAAGGACCACAAACTCTGGCCTCTCCATGTTCACCTCAGATGTGCGTGAAAATCGTGGGCAAACTGTTATGGGAAGCCCATGGTTTCACCATATAATGATCTGTAAATGATGGGATCTTCATGGATTTTCATGGATTCTCCATATCTACATACGTTAATTTACTGTGGAGTGATACAGTTAACCATCATCCAAATCATCCAATAGTTGTGATACATGCTGTGTGTATGCAATTTTTATCCGCATACAAATGTGATTTCTCTGAACAATCTTTCTTAGTTGGCTATGCATGATGTGACTGGTTGCTTGTTTCTTCATCACCAAACATCTCAAAATGCTGGGAGTTTCTTGATTCCGTGTCCTGAAATATCTGAAATCCCCAACTGTGACACCGAAATCACCTCTTGACGAAATCCACATCATGTACTGGTGTTGTTTTGGTTGCTTTCGATTGCATTCGGTTAGTCACCCAATTTTCTTGGCTTCCTCATGTTCTGTTCATTTTCCACCAGATTCAACCCGCATTCCCGGCTTACCCGGGCTTACCCTGTCCCGTTCATGGCCCACTCCGCGCGTCACGGCACGTCGAATCTGCAACAGCCCACGAGAGCCCCGCAGCGTCACCGAGCCACGTCGCCAGGCCTGGACATGGATGGTACAACCCGGTGACGGGGTTTATGACATTGGATTTATAGTGGATTTACCCATTGAAAATGATGATTTAATGGGATTTTATTGGGTTACCCAACCTGGTTATGACTAACAGTTCGCCATGGTTTTTTGATGGCCCTAATCGAAATAGATGGTTTACCGTTCTTAAAAATATTTAAAAATGGTGGATCCTTCCATGGCTATGTTAAATAACCGGAGGGTAACTCGTGGGGTTCTCTTTTCGTCAGGTCTAGATGGTCTAGGGGTTGCCAAAGCCAGTGATTTCTCGGCAATTTACCCGTGATTTCTATCAGTTTCAACAGTGATGGTTTGGGATTGTGGCGTTGTTCTCCCGAAGACCAACTCTGGCAGCATTGAATTCTATTTTTTTTAGGTACTATATGGAGGTTTCCTAAAATGCGTTACCCCCAAAACCCAAATTTATGATGTTTCCCCTACACTTCTGCCGCCCTTCGCCCACCTCGTTGAAGCCAGAGCGCAGTCGGTCTTCCAGGAGCGGCTTCGCAGGCATATCCAGCTGAGCCAAGGAGATGCGACCGATCTTGAAGCTATCCTCAAGGCCAGCGGGCAGGCACCATGAGGCATAGGCAGGTGTGAACCTGACAATGGGGAATACCCCCCAACTAGCTCTTTAATACTGAAACTGAGGATAAACCTTTGCATTTGGGGGTACCCTATTCTCAGACAAACCCGTTTGTTGGGCCAGTGTTTTGATTTTTGGGGTGAGGAATAGGTGGGAAAACTAAAAAAAATGAAAAACAAAGGTCAATGTTTATCCAACTTAAGATAAATTAAGGGTGAAGCTGGAATGGGTTTGGGAGGGTGACCCCTGCTTTGGAAACTATGTTTCGGCAACCATGTTTCTGAAACCCTCAACCCCAATCCAACCCTAGACCAAATCTAAATACACCCTAGATTGTTTTAATGACATGGTCTGCATCTCCCCATATCTCCAGTCCCAAGGCTCAAGCTGTATGGAGGTCCCCCCGTACCATACCGGGCACAGCGCTGCCGGGAAGACGTTGGGCGGCGGCCGCCGCGTCAAATGCAGCAAGCGGCCCCAGCTGGTCAAAACGAAGAGCGACTCGACTTCGCGGCGGAGCTCCACATAGTGGTGCAGCACCTGGGAAAGGGGGAGGAACCATGAGATGATGGGAAAACCCTAACCCGAAACCATGGGGTTTTACATGGTTTTACCTTCAAATCTGGTGCCAGGAATGGTTCCTGACCAAGGGCATACCTGTCCCTTGTGTGGGGTACAATTTGTTGTGCAAATTTGCGGGCAACAAAAACTTCTAAAGACACGCAGCTACAATGAAAGATGCCAACAGCGCTGCAAATGGCAAGACTGAAAACTGGGAAAAACCATCCAGCTTCCTGCATCATGGTTGCGCCATGAAAATTCCAAGGTGCCACCATGAGTGGGATGATGACCAGGAACAAGGGTCGAAATCCTGACAGCCCAATTAAAAAAAAAAACGGCCAAAGTTCAAAAGGTTCAGGATGCAACATGGATTTGTCTGAAAATCTAGGGGAAAACCCCTAAACCCCTCGGTTTCTTTTATCATCTTCCCCATGAAACTAGTTATTTGGAATTATTTGGAGGCATACCAGGCATACTTCCTTTTCAGACACACTGTCCCAAATCTGGGTTATGCTGGCCATCGTTCATGTCGAAAAAAAATGACTGGCGAGGGGTAGTCACAAAAATGAGCTGGGGTGTTATGCTCAAAACTCGCTGGTAGCATAGCCCTTCTACTGGTTGCTGGGGATTCCTTAATGGCTTGGGATAATCCCGGGCACCTACGGCTGTCCAGAAGGCTTTGAAGCTCTCGGGCGCAACCCAGGAGACGAGGTACCTGGAGCCCCCGGAGTCCCAAAAGGCTGGTGTTTTTACCTAAGTTTTACAGTTTGCAATGGAGGCCATGGCCCATCTACAGATGCTTTACCCATGGAATTTGAACTTGTGATTTACCATAGCTGCTATAGCTATGTCAAATTACCTGAGGGTATGTCATTCTGAGGATCAGAAACAGCCTTTCTGGGTAACATGGGGACACTGAATCAGCTGCTAAGTGGTCCACTGGTCATGGCACAGTCACTGAGTCTCTAGCAAGACCAGGTAATAGAACAAGAAGCCGAACAACATCCTCGGGTTATCACCAACAAAGTGGGGAATACAATGTTCATGATATGTTCATCATGAATAGTGTTTTTCGGTTCTGGAAGGGGTTGAATTGACCGTATGTGTATATGCACATATACATAAACATCAAAAACATAAACATAAACATATACTACATATTATACATATTATACATATTATACATATTATATATATTATACATATTATTTATATATATATTATACATATTATACATATATATATATGTATATGTATTATATAATACACAATACATCTATAATCATATAATATATATATAACCAAGAAGAATGGAGGGTATCTGCTTGGCTGCGATCATCCTTTGGGATCCCCTCCTTGGGGATCCTTTGACTGAGCAGGTGCCTAAACCACAAACAGAGAAACTATGGAAAGATCCACCATTTTTCATGGGAAAACTCACTATAAATGGTGATTTTCCGTAGTTGTATGAGAATGGATCAAATACCTATGAAAATACCATTTTTAGTGGGATGAACATCCAGCTATACCAGCTATTTTGGGGTGAACTACAGGGGTACAGGGTTTTGACCCATCCCCATATTATGTTATATTCTCTGTAGTAGATAAAATAATTACCACTAACTAAAAATTACTAATAATGTTACTTCTTTGGTAGTTATATTCTCCATTATCTGGTTGCTGGTGCAATTTTTGCATCTTGAAAAATGATGGAGTTCGTCAATGGGAAGGATCCCATAGATGATGGACAATACCCTCTGGTAAACTAACATAGCTATGGAAAATCACCATTTTTAATGGGTAAATCAACTATAAATGGCCATTTCCAATAGCCATGTTTGAAACCACCAACCAGGAACGCCTCGGAGCCAATGCCTTGGAGCGTCTTGTAGATGCCATGGCGAGGGGTGTCTGACCACGCCATCCGGACTTTTTCATCTGGCTGGATGCCCAGAAGCTCCTGCCCAACGTTGGCGCAAGGTGGGGTAATTTGGACTTCAATATCTACCTCAAATTGGGGGGTTGGTTCCCAATTCGTAATCTTAATGGGCAAAATGATGTTCGTAGAGCATAAACCATAATGGGCAAAAATGGGCAAAATTATGTTCGCGGTAATCTTAATGGGCAGTAAACCATAGGATTTAGGGACTCCAAACTTTGAATCGTAGAGCAGATCGCAGTTTCTAGCCACATGGGGAACATCCGCACTGGCTTGGATAGTCCCTGATCTATCTCGACCTGAGCAGGTCCAATCCCAACCCTGTATAAGAATCAGCTTCTCAAGTGGGATAATATTATTTAATATAGATTATATAATATATATATACTATATAATAACCCTAGGGATCCTGCGTTGCACTTATTTCATGTCATTTGTTGATGTAGATGTTATTTGGCTACAGAAGCCATCCGATGTGTTTTTGAAATCATTTGCGGATGCCCTATTTTGCATGGTGGCACTGTGGGCATTAAGGGGCCCTGTCACGGGCTGTCACGGCAAGTCACGCTATTTACCATCAAACGTCTCGATTTTTAATAGAAAATAGTAGACCCGCTACGATCTGTCACGGTTTGTCACGCTTTGAAACTGGAACCCTTTAAAGAGTATCCCATCAAATGACTCTTCAAATTGCAGTCATTTGATGGCCATCAATGGGCTACCGTCAAACGATCTCAAAATGTGAGGTCTTTACAAACGTAGTCAAATTCCTGGCTCTTTCGCATAATGTCCATATTTGGGGGCATGGAATCACAGGGTAATATATATATATATATACATACACATCTTTATATATATATATACATATATATATATATATATACATATATATATATATATACATGGATACGAATATACCCACCTACCAATAATTCGATTCCATCCATCCCAGCGTTTTCTCGTCCTTGTCGATGAAGCACTTGGTCCTTCGCTTGTTCGACAGATCATAGGTCTCGTAGTTATGGGCATGGGTCTTGGCTGGGCTGACAGCAGCAAGAAGCACCCGCCGTCAGTGCAGATCAAGCATCCTGGCGAAATTGTATACATATATACATACATACATATATATACATACATACATACATTACATTACATATTACATATTACATATTACATATTACATATTACATATTACATTACATTACATACATACACACACATACACACATCACATAGGTAAAAATATTTACATTAGATCATATCAGATCATATTGGAACTGGATATAGATATATAGACATATAGATATAGACAAAGATTTGATTAATTGACGCCTGGTATTTAGCACTCAAAACATGGTCAAGCCTTGATCCCAAGGCCATACCAGGCCCATTTGGTGCCAAGGTGCAGGGACGATCTTCTCGGCGCCATTCTCCCAGCAATCCACCTATCCAACATACTGTCACGGTGCTGGCGAATTGCTACCCCAACAAAAGCAGTGTTTTTTGGGGGGTGAACAGACATACCATAGGTATCCATAGGTACTAACTATGATATATATACTATCTAGATTACATCGTTTATTGCGGCAATACTATACCAACTATATATACTTAATTATACTTAATACATCTTAATACCAATACTCAATCACTATGGCTCACCAAAAAGGTCATGTTCTCTGCTCCAAAAGCAGGTTAGAATCAGCCAGGTCGGGGGTGCAGACCTAAAAACCCAGGAATTCGAGTTCTGTTTACCTGACAGCAAACTCAGGATGAAATCAACAATATCAAAAACATCATGTTGAACCAACATGGAAAAAAATGATTAAGCCCGGAAGATCACCAAAGATATGAACATCCACACAGGATAGCTTTTATGGATGCTTTCTATTGGCTGTTTTTCCCCATCAAAACAACGTCGCGGCGACGTCAGGCCTCGTGCGCCTCATGGGTTGCTTCATCCTCCCGGCCGCAGGTTTCGGCCACCTGGCAGCCTGGTTTCGGCCAACTGGTTGGTGGTGGACCTACCCCTCTGAAAAATTAAATGACAGTCAGTTGGGATGATGAAATCCCCAATAGATGGAAAACCACCAGAAAATCGGCATGTTTCGGCCTGTGAAGGGATCCAAAAATTCCATCGGCAGAAAAACATCTATGTCATGTTTTGTTGGGATGTCAGTGCTGAAACTTTTCTCTGAAACAAAGCCATCAGCAGCGTCGGTAGCTCTGAGCGTTGGGAATCCGGGCATTTTGACAAAAATTCTCGATACGCAGCTTCGCGCACTTCGAAGTTGTCCTCAGCAAATCGGTGACATGGGTCAGTCCCTGGGTCAGTTGGTTCACTGGCTCATTGGGATATCTCCCCTGAGATCCTTTGGGTTATGATCCACTAGCCACAAGCAGTGGCAACTGGAATGTTGACATGAAAACCGTCCAGTTTTGTGGGTAAATGATTTTGCACATGCCCAAATTATGGTCGAGGTTCAAGATCCAAATTATGGCCGAGGTTCAGGATCTTCCGAAAAAAAATAAAAAAAAAAATCCCTTCAAACGCGCTCGGGTCAAAAATAGTTCACAACTCCCGCCCAGTCACTGGGTTGGCAGGATCCTGTACAATGGTCATGTGCACCACCGGCTTTCCAGAAAACCTTAGACGCGTCGAAAGACAGCTGAATCCGTCATGAGATCATGAGATATGCAGCTTTGGGCATCAATATATCATACAAACTAAATACAACCATCTATACATAATATATTATGGCACATATATATATATATACGCACACACACACACGCATACACATACACATACACATACACATACACATACGCATACGCATACGCATACGCATACGCATACGCATACGCATACGCATACACATACGCATACACATACACATACATCTACACATACACATACATCTACACATACACATACATACACACATACACATACATATACATATACAAATACACATACACAAACAGATACATATACTTAGGCTTAGACTTGTACATATACAGTATCATACACATATGCATATACATCTCCTATGTTTGTGAGTGTGTATAGCATGTCTGAAGCCCAGATCATCCCAATTTCGGATGGTGACCTTTCCCACCGCGCAAGGATAGGAGGATGACCTATCAAGAGCCTAGTCTCTCATGGTTGCTGTGACTCCAGAGATTCTAAGATCATCTAAGATCCCAATGCCTGGTCGAAATCAATGCACACAATGCTATTTCATCACCTCCCATCTTCGTACTTCTCATTTCACATTGGTTTTCAGGGAAAGTCTCTCGGCAGGCATTTCAATTCGTGGTGGGTTCGCTCACATATGCTGCAATGCTGATGTTGAATGTTGCATGCACCAAACTTCAGGGTTTCCCTCAATGTTAGGACCCGCCGTCCATTCTATCATGGTCCATCCAAGTCTGAGCATCGTTCCATTCCCATCTTTGCCTAGTTTTGCCCCCATTCGATCCCATAAAAGTAGGAAGACCCCCCATTTTACATCATTTGACACCAGACAATAAAAATCTGGGAACCAGAAAAAAACTCGAAAAAAATGTCCATAAGACATCCCAAAAAACGTCCAACTTCCAGGTTTGCCACCAGATTCTCCGCACCGATGCCCTTCCATTCTCCGTTCCAGGCAACGCCGCTTTGCCCAGCTGAACCGAGGTGTGCGCACGCCGCGCCACGTAGCAGGCGCCCAGCAGGGTGATCAAATGACTCAGGACCTGGGGCAGTTGGGGTTTTCATGGGGCTTTTGTTCGTAAAAACGATGGGTTATCCATGGTTATCCCATAAGTTAATCATGATTTGCTGATTATCCCATCAACCATAATGATTATTATGATTTACATTATTATTATTGTTATTATTAATTATTATTATTGTTATTATTGTTATTATTGTTATTTTTATTATTATCATTATTATTATTATTGTTATTATTATTATTACTATTATTATTATATGTATTGTTGAAGAATTGTTGAAGAATTGTTGTTAATCACGATTAAACAAAATCAACCACCAACCAACAACCAACAACCAACAACCTCCGATAAGTTGATCAATAATTATTGTTGTTCATCGCGATTTTTGGACAAATCCCACAGAACCATCCCACATAAGTGATGAACACCAACAACTTAGATGGCTTATCCCAGTTATCCCGGATAGGTCGATTAGATGTTTGACTTATAGCTGGAACCCCCTCGGACCAGCTGAGGATGATTTGGGGATGATTTGGGGATCAGCAACAACAATTGATGTGGAACCCAATAAAACAATAAAAGATGAGGTTAAACCCCATGAAAACAAAGTAGAAACCACATTTTGGGGTATAGTGGATATGATACTAGAGTTGGGGCCCAAACCATAGACAAATTGGTTTAGCATCGCAAAAAAAAAACAAAATGCAAGTGTGTGACGGTCAAATGTTCCTTCGAAAAACTTTCACACTTTAGTGTGTTTGTCTTCCTGAGGCCCCTCACCATGCACATGGCCGAGGGTTCCCTGAGCCTTGGTGCAAGATCAGGCTGGTGGCATCAATTTTGCCCCATAAAAAAAGGTCCCAAATTTTATATATGATGTATATATATATATATATGTGTATGTATATATTCATTTATATTGTTTTACGAATTCTTACATTTTCTTACCATAGATGGGGTGGTGAAAATCTTTCCCACTTGCCACTTGGTAGTTTTCTTCGTGGTTTTACTCGACATTATAGAGGCGCCACTGTGGATCATCCCAAAGAACAGGAAAGTTTGAAAGATTGGAAACCACCAGCCACCAAAAAGGTCACTTTTTATATGGGTTTGTCTGAAAATGTTGTGTGCCTAAACCCAATGGTTAATGATCAGTTTCCCTATTAAATGGCTATAAGTGGGGGTACCCTATTTTCAGACACAGCCATGTTGAAAAATGATCAACCATTTCAATGGCCAACGATGGGCTCTGCTACAGGGATGGACCCAGCGTAGACCCAGAAGGCCTTTTTACACTGGAAGTGTCGCTATCTTCGGGGACGCTGAATCCACATGAATCCACAATATGTTCACCAGATATGGAGGGTACGCACTTCTAGCCCTTGTTCAAAAACACCTGGCTCAGAAGTTGTGCTGCCAAGGTAAGGAGATGCTGAGTATGGAGCCGGGCGCCATGTTTCAAACCCTGTTTTTAAACATGTGTTTCTCATTGAAAACGGTTGCTTCAGAACCTGTAGGAAACCCCTTAGCTTGAGAGTCTTCTGCGGCTGCGTGCGTGGTTGTAGCTCCTGGCCGTGGTAGAAGCACCTGTGTTTGTCGTCCAAAGGGCCGGCCATGTATGTCACCAGCAGCGGCTTTTCGAGAGTAAACTCTGGTGTAGTAGTCCTGCATATCGTGGCTGTAGTCATCACGGTCCCAAAGCTTTGCGGAACTCATGAATATCTTGCATTCCCGGAGGACCACAAACGCATGCCTTCATTCTCAGGCGAAGCCATTTTTTATGGCACCAAGCGACAGCCTGTCGCCATCATCGCCAGCTCTAGGTTTCACCTTGGGAGCGACTGGTTTGGCAGTCGCATGTCATCTGACGGGTCTCGTTGCTTCCAAAGTTGGAGGGGCTGCTGCAGCTGGATGCGGCGAACCTTCAAGACTTCCTTGATGAAATTCACAAGGCTCTTTCCATCGCCAGATTTACCAAGTTGCAACTTTCATGTCACGGCAGGTACATCCAACAGTTCCGTGTACCGTGCCACAACTTGTGGCATCTCGAAAGATCCTAAATGAATGCAACGCCATGTAAATGGCACCTAAGAAGTAAACACCGCGCAAACAGAAAAGGAAGGTGTATGGCATTGATGAAAGGGAACCTTGGGCAGGTGGGGTATAACCAGCGCACGCGTCGCGGCCCTGAGTTCTATACCCCAGAAACATGTGACGCCAGGGATCTCACTATATGTACTTCTTAGATCTTACAGAAATTTGTTGCCATTTGGCAAGCAACACTCCAGGTCCTGAAACCCTCTGCTCCAACAGGGTCTAATGAGTCATCGCCTCGACCCTAAAAACCCCCCACCGAACGGATCATGAAACGATCGCCCGAGGCACCAATTGAACAATGTTCGCTCCACGCAACCGCCACAGGTCGTCTTGTCTGTGAACCTGGGCGGTGATGCACAGCCTCTGGGCAGTGTGGGGCCAAAATAAGACAACCAAAGAAACATCCAAACTTATTGCCAAATTGGACCAAGCAACTATTGTGAACTATTGTGCATATGTGTATAATATGTATATTATAATTGTACATATATACATATACATCTATATATATATACATACATACATACATACATACATACATACATACATACATACATACACATAGCCAATTGATCTCCAATATTTCAATGTAAGCAGCTCAAAACCCTGTTTTCACCAGCATTAAGCATCATCCTTCTTGGATCTTTCCATTCGGAAGGGGCCTGAGGAGAATCCCCGGACTCTTGGCGAACTGGCGATCTCGGATTTGGCCTGGACGCCGGATGTGCATTTGACAGCTAGCAGGTGATTCATACCCTCTGGTAATTTAACGTAGCTATGGAAAATCACCATTTTTAATGGGAAAATCCACTATTAATGGTTATTTTCAATAGCTACGTTAAATTACCAGAGGGTAACCTATTGGTGTGTCTGAAAAGGGTGAATTTGAGAACCACAAATGGAGAGTTCATGGGATTTCATGGTGATAGAATGGGATATATAACCAATCACAACCATTTGGGTGTGTCTCACAAGGGGAGGTTGGTCCGCCATATATGGACTAGTTAATAGGTGAATTATGGTGAAATGATGATAAACCATTGGGGTTGTTGGGGGTACCCTGTTTTCAGAGAAACCCATGTACATAACTCGAGCGAACCACCCATATGTAATCAATTGTAATCATCTGTGCAAAGGCTACACTATGAGTCAGAACCATGATGATACCTGAAACCAATCATGGAAAAATGCCAGAATAGACCTACTGCAATGTGAATTGGGTTGCACTGCATCGCGTTGTGCAGTATAGCCTGGTGTAGTCATGTCTGTGTCTGTGTGTGTGTGTTTGTTGTAATACCATATTGCCTGCTGTATGCACACATCATGCCACATTAACTTAAATTATGTCCAAAATGATTCGGAGTGGTGCGTACATATACATATATATTGTCATATTTGACGTGGGATATTATATAGATCATATCGTACAAAATGATAGCATATCATGTTGTCCCACTGCCTCATCTGGTTTTACGCTACATCAATTTCTAGTGAATTCTGTGTGCGTTGTCCCATGAAAATGGCCATTTTGGGGTCTCAACCACCCACTCCAGTGTGCTCCCACCATGCACCTTGGTGATAGGGATCCGTAGAGCGCAGAAAACCTGCAGAGACCAAGGAAAAAATGTGAAAACGGATGTAACATGTGAGATTGGGAATATCATATATATATACATATATATATATATGTGGTTGTATACATCTCTGCGTGTGTGTGCGTGCGTATATATTGTGGATCTAGATCATCCTAGACAACATATGAATTACAATTCCTTGATCAAACGTAAGCCGCTTTTGCCCAACCATCATCAATGGGAGGTCGTTGTGAGGTGTTTACAATTGGCTCGGATATGTTCCGCTCCACAATGAGTTTTTAAGAGCCTGGACCACAGATGTTGGTTTCTGTAGAAGACCATCCCATATGTATATATATATATGTATATCTATATGTATATATATATAGTTATATTATAAATTGAGTCGGTAGATCCAGACTCCTGCTGGCTTTTGAGGATTGCCTTCAAGAATTCTTGACAAACTGGCAATGACCCAAGGCGAAAAAACCTGTTCGCTGGTCCAGCCAGTGGCTCGGCAGTTCATGAAGAAAAGCGTTGTTTTTTCAGCAGTCATGTGGTACAACGTATGTCATAAACGATCCCCGAAATCACCATTTATATTGCATGTATAAAGAATCCCAAGTCATGGTAGGTTTATGGCTTTGGGTGAATCCCACATTATCGATCTGGTTTCTCTCTCCGACAGTCCACTCAATAAGATCCCCGGCAGGATTGGTCGATGATCTCTCCAACCGCGCCAACATAGTTCACCTCAGCCGCTGGGCCAATGGGCAAGTCCAGGTTTCGTGTACAGATTGATGATCTGAAGGAGACCAACATCCCTAAATTTGGATCTGAGAATAGGATACAGGATACCCATCACATTGTTCAAACATGTTTAACCCATTTTAAACTTAAATGTTACCCTTAAAAATGTATTTTTGGATATGACAAACCCACATCATAATCATCATATATCTGAGTAAATGTCACCAAGAAATATCTCGATCAAATGATCAAACGGTTACTTTTATACCCCCATCTATCGGCTAACTCCCACAAAATTCCAATCAAGTCCTACTTGATCTTCTTAAATCCCATTAAATCCTTTTTTTAATATATAAATCCCCTTCGATACCTACTTGAGTCTTAAATCCCATTCAATCCCGTTGTTTGATTCTTAAATCCCCTTAAATGCCTTTTCTTGATGGTCAAATCGCACTCAATCTGCAAGTTTGGGAACCCCCATTAATAATCATATACATATATATATATATTATTCCCATTGTGCTGGGGAAAGCCGTACAGTCGGCTGGTTTAGTTACATGATGTTTTGTCAAATCCATACATTTAGAAGAAGTGAGTCTAGAAGCTGTTGAGCAGCAGTGGAGCAGGAGTTTGGCAGCAACCCGGCAGCTACTTAGCAGCAGTGTAGCGCCAGCCCGGCAGTCCAGCAACAGGTTAGCAGCAGCCCCGCAGAAGTCTAGTAGCAATCGAGCAGCAGTTTAGCAGTAGTCTGGCAAATGCGGCTGCTCGGTGGAGCCCGGGGGAAGGAGAAAGAGAGAGAGACAGAAAGAGAGAAAGAGATGGAAAGCAAACAAGCAAAAGAAGCAAAGCTTTGGGTGACGGTACATGAAAACAGTCTGCCAAAACCCGCAGAGGAGCAACTAAATCAAGGAATCGATGCACCCCTCCAAATGCTTCCCCGCAGCAGTCAGCCCGTCTCAGACTCGCGCATCCAAGGTCTTCCAACCCTCAAACGGCCTGACTGTGCGGCAGTTGGAGGATCACCCTACCTAGTAACTGGCCAGTAAACTAACATAATTATATATATATATAGGATTTGATGGGGATTTATATAAACATCCAAAATCATAGTCCATGGATTGGTTTAACGGAAAATCTATAGGACACCGTCGATGTTCCCATGAAATTTGGGGGGGTCCTGTAAATTGTCCCTTAAACCAGTCCATTGAACTTACTAACTGGCTAGTAAGTGGAATTATACTTCACCTATAAGTGAAATGAGCAAGTGCGATGACCTGAAAATGTAAGCGATCGGTGCCTTTCAACCAGTGAAAATGCAAACAAACAGTACTTTAAGAACTATATGTCTATCTATCTATCTATCTATCTATCTATCGATCTATCTATCTATTTATCTATCTATCTATCTATCTATCTATCTATATATATATACATCCTGGATCTGAGATTGCATCACTAGGACACTGACATTCTCCTGAAAGATCAAGCATCCCTTTTAAACTCTTTGTTTGAGAAAACTGGTTGTTTGGGCACATTCTAGATATGTGAGTATGGAACCATACCTCTTCTACCACAAGAATGTGTAGTTCACATCCCAACCAGTCCAAGTTGGCAATATGTTTGGGACATGAACTACAGTGGTATATGGTATATGATTTTAGCCAACAACCACAGGCTCGCCGTGGCCTAGCCACTCTCGGTCACCCCCTACTGGTTGATGGTAACTACGTTAGTCCAGAATCCATTTATTCAACCAGTAGGTATATAACCATCAATTGACTATAGTTGATAGTGGATTCATCCATTTATTAATAGTAGGTATATAACCATCAAGTCTACCTACTGGTTGATAGTTTAACCCTTCAATTGACCATTCAATAACCATCAATCAAGCATGACTTAGGGCTAAAAAACACCTCTATCCACCCCAGGAAATCCACGGCTGCCCCGCGCGCCTCATGAAAAGATCGGGCCCATAGAGGGTGCAGCTGCCCCCATTCGCCGGAGAGTACACGAAGGCGTTGCACTGCGCCACGTCCTGCCACAAAGATCTGGGCCCTGCCATGGGGTTCGATAAAAAGAAACAAAACAAGAAGGGCTTATTCATGGAATTCAACCATCAAAAATAGAGATGTGATGGGATTATATCCAAAATAAGGATGAAATAGAATTGAATGGTGTTTTAAGTTTAAGCCCCATAACTTGGGATATAACCCCCGTAAAACTTTGGTTTAAAGCAAAAAAAAACACAAGGCTTTCTCAAGACCCTTGTGATTTTGATCAGGGTTCACCGACATGGAGGTGTTGGTTTTTCAGCCTCATGATATACAGTAATCCTACTTCAACCCCAGCTACGGTTGTAATCCTTAGCGTAGTGTATTTGGAGTAGAAACGGATCAAATAACACAAAATAACTGGTACGGGCCCATCATTGTGGTTGATGATCTTGTTGGGAGAGTCAACAACCTCGATATTAATCCACCACAACGGTTGATCCTGGGTTGACATGAGTCCGATGGTGACCCACAAGCCTCAACGAAGCGAAGATTGTGGGGTGGATCCACATATTACAGACTGAATCTCTACTATTCTTGATGCTTGGCAACTTATTTCAGCCAATCTTTTGGGAAACCCTGGGCTTTCCGGCTTCTTTAAAGAAGCCCATTCTTAGGTTAGTATAAACGATCAAAATTATCACGCCCAATGTTGTTCCCCAGGCGAAGAAGGCCTGTGATAATCGGGGTGTGTTAACCCTCAGGGAAACCTTTTTGGGTTTTTTTTGTTCAATGCCCCTTCAATGTGGGACCGCAAACGATAGGCAAGTTGAGTTATAGCTAGGCCAACTATGGCTTGCCATGAATATATATATATATATTATATATATATATGAATATATATATATATATTCTATTTATATCCATTTATACTTAGTTAGCGCTGGCCCTGGCGCGTCCTGCACCGCCTGGCGGCACGCCTTGCGGCAGCCCTCCTCGCCGTGGCCCAGGAAGCTGTCCGCCTTCTGGCGCTGGAAGCCTTGCCTGCGGGGCGCCATGGAAAAGCCATATGGAAATGCCATGGAAATCATTGGATTTGTTTATATGGGTGTGTGATTCTACTATAAAACCATAGGAAAATGGTGATTTTCCATGGTTTATGGGTATGTCTGAAAATAGGGTTAATCTTCCCAATGAAATAGCCATTTAAAAACGGGATTTTGTGATCAGCAAAACCATTGGGTAGTTTAGGGGTACACGACATTTTCAGACAAACCCATATAAACTTTGGATGGCACGAGTTGTTTTTTGGGGATTTTCACCATGGAAGTTGGAGCTTCATCACTATAAAAGTTGATTTACGTAGAAAAATACGGGGCGTTCACGAACCAAAATCGCGATTTGAACCAGCGAAAAATAGAAAATCACCAGCCAGAAATTGGAATCAACTGGCAAAAAAGTGAATTTCACCATCCATTAAAAATACAGTGAGTATCATGGGTTGTGGCTGTCATGTGCTACAACGCGTTGGAGCAAAGCTATTGAGGTGAAAACCATGAAAACTCAAACATACATTTGATGGCCCCGAAAAGATGCGAAAAAGGGTATCATCAGTATCATAGTTTTTGACCCTATCAAATAGTTAGATAATAAATACATCCACCATCAATCGCAGCCTGGCTATATATCTATAATATATATATATATACCAACTCAGCTAACCAATGGGCACCAACTTGCAGCCAGCTCAACTAGTTGGTGGATCATTTCGTGTCCGTGAATCCATGATAGGGCAATCCTCAGAGTCTCTTGCCCCAAACAGCCCTCCACAAAACCCCACAGTACCCTGCTGTTGTTCATGTTCGTCCCCCAATTCAGATTAGAAATCATAGGTTATAGGTTTTGACTCCACACCTGTCCAAACTCTACCACTTCCCGCTTATTTCTTCAAAAAATAATCATAGGCTTTGATTTATTCGGTCATTCAGTCTAAATGGGTTTGTCTGAAAAGAGGGTGCCCCAAAATTTCATGCTCGATCATCATCATTTTCCCGTATTTTCCCCATCAAGTCCTCGCTAAACTAGGCCTTTGCCAAAGGCCTGCTTTAACCAGGCCTTTAGGACTGAGGGTTTCTCTAGCGATTATTTTTGAGGTCGTATTTTTGTGAAACTTAGCCGAGCAAGGTTCCACCCTTAAGATATCCCATGCTTGAAAAATCGAGAGCGCACCTTCGAGATTTGCGAAAATAGTGATACCGTGAAAAAAAACGCAAAATCAGCTATGTCATGGCTTGTGCAAAAAGGGGAAGAAACATGTTTTTGCAACCAAATTTTCCAAATTTTCTCATGAGTGCTCGCACATGACTGCTGCTGGTCTTACGGTGCGGACATTTTGATTTTTTTCAAGGTATGAGCTTTTTGAAACCTGTAGTCATTTAGGTCCTTTACTCAAACGGCCCGGTTAAACTTGTCCTTTGGACTGACTGGGAAATAGTACTGCTGGTGCCAGGTGACTATGAATAGTGGATGGGAGCATCTAACCTTCGGGAATGTCTCGATATCCGAACGTTTTGTTGGGCAAGCATGCTGGCATCTTCAATGTTTATAAGATGCTCCCTATTCTTCTCAGCAAGAATTGAAATCGGATAATATTTGCATGAATCCCATGTGCTTTATATTAAATAGTTTCCCAGAACCCTTGGGTTCGCATTGTGATTATGGATTTGTTCAAAAAACTTCAAAATATGGCCATGCGAATAGCCGCCATTTCCTCGCCGTGCCTCACCATCATGCAGCGTTGGTTGTCCTCCCCGCAATGCTCACCACAGGTGACCTTCACGAATTCCTCCTTGGACTCGTTCATGCTCGCCATGGGACACGTCCTGCTTTCAAAGGCCGGTCGGTGCCCCAAAAGATGAGCTTTCTAAGAACCAGAGCTGGGTGAACTCATCGGATGATCCTAGTAGCTTTATATGTATCTATATATATATATGTGTGTATGTATATATATATTATATATATACATACATACATACATACATACATGGAGGTTTCCATAAATGGGGGGTACCCACAAATGGATTGTTTATAATGGAAAATCCCACTAAAATTGATGATTTAGGGGTACCCCTATTCTAGGAAACCCCCATATATCATATATATATATATATAGTTGTATGATGTTGTATTGGTGTACAAATGGGTGTATATATGTATATATATATATATAACGGGGGCCATCATTGAAGGAATGGCATGTGGTCAACAACCATCGTCCGCACAGCGATGCTCTTCATGGATCTGGAAGCTTGGCTTTGTCCAGAGAGGGTACCCTCTGGTAAACATACAAAAAATATGGAAAATATCCATGTTTAATGGGTAAATCAACTATAAATGGGCAATGTTCAATAGCTATGTTAGTTTGTCCAAAGAGGGGTAGGTTTACCAAAAAAATCGAACGGCAATTTTTTGGAAAATAAGTGAGATCCCTTTGGAAGTGGGGATCGCTCATTTTCAGACAATCACGCCTAGAATGCTGTTGTTACTTCAACTGCACCACTCTGGATGGTGGTTAACAACATGTCATGACGTTTCAGCAACATGAGCAGCATTCCAAAACCAGGCATGCCATTCCTTCGCTGTGACATAACGGTGACAGAATCGTGATTGAATGGTGATTCAATGGGGAAATACTTGGATATTGAGATATTGAACCAATCCATTTACACTGGTTTGTCAGTAGCGGTTCCAGCAATGGGTCATAATGGTGCCGGCTTCAAGCCGCTTAGTACCACCTGGTGGCCACTGACACTGCCAGGTCATATGGGCGGGATTGGCATGAGTCAAATAGCGATTTTGCTTGAGGTCCCCCAGGTGTTCATGTGCTTTTTTGATGTGGCCCACTGTTCCAACTTGAGAGGGGGAACACAAAAGGTAGGTAAGCAAGAAAGGAACCGAAGAAAAAATGAAGGGGAGAGGGGAGGGAAAAATACATAAAGTGGAGTCTGGTAAAAGCGACGCGGCCATTTTCTTTCCAAAAATATGAAGGGGAGTCTGGTAAAAGCGACTGAAAGGCTTCGGCGATGTGGTTGGGGTTAGTGGTGGTTGTGGTGTTGGTGGTGTTGGTGGTGCTGGTGGTGTTGGTGTTGTTGGTGTTGTTGGTATTGGTGTTGTTGGTGTTGTTGGTGGTGGTAGTGTTTCTGGTGTTGTTAGTGTTGTTAGTGTTGTTGGTGTGGTTGGGTTTGTTGGTGGTGTTGGTGTTGTTGGTCGTGTTGTTGGTCGTGTTGTTGGTGTTGGTATTGTTCGTGTTCGTGTTGTTGTTGTTGTTGTTGCTGTTGTTGTTGTTGCTGCTGCTGCTGTTGATGGTTGTTGTTGTTGTTGTTGTTGTTGTGTGTTGTTGTGTGTTGTTGTGTGTTGTTGTGTGTTGTTGTGTGTTGTTGTGTGTTGTGTGTGTTGTGTGTTGTTGTGTGTTGTGTGTTGTTGTGTGTTGTTGTGTGTTGTTGTGTGTTGTTGTGTGTTGTTGTGTGTTGTTGTGTGTTGTGTGTGTTGTTGTGTGTTGTTGTTTGTTGTTGTGTGTTGTTGTGTGTTGTTGTGTGTTGTTGTGTGTTGTTGTGTGTTGTTGTGTGTTGTGTGTTGTTGTGTGTTGTTGTGTGTTGTTGTGTGTTGTTGTGTGTTGTTGTGTGTTGTTGTGTGTGTTGTTGTGTGTTGTTGTGTGTTGTTGTGTGTTGTTGTGTGTTGTTGTGTGTTGTTGTGTGTTGTTGTGTGTTGTTGTGTGTTGTTGTGTGTGTTGTTGTGTGTTGTTGTGTGTTGTTGTGTGTGTTGTTGTGTGTTGTTGTGTGTTGTTGTGTGTTGTTGTGTGTGTTGTGTGTTGTTGTGTGTTGTTGTGTGTTGTTGTGTGTTGTTGTGTGTTGTTGTGTGTTGTTGTGTGTTGTTGTGTGTTGTTGTTGCGTTGTTGCGTTGTTGCGTTGTTGTGTGTTGCGTGTTGCGTGTGTTGTTGTGTGTTGTTGTGTGTTGTGGTGTGTTGTTGTGTGTTGTGTGTGTGTGTGTTGTTGTGTGTGGTTGTGTGTGTGTGTTGTGTGTGTGTGTGTTGTGTGTGTGTTTGTGTGTGTTGTGTGTGTGTTGTGTGTGTTTTGTGTGTGTGTGTTGTGCGTTGTGCGTTGTGCGTTGTGCATTGTGCGTTGTGCGTTGTGCATTGTGCGTTGTGTGTTGGTGTTGTTGTTGTTGTTGTTGTTGTTGTCGTTGTTGTTGTTGCTGTTGCTGTTGCTGTTGGTGTTGTTGTTGTTGGTGTTGGTGTTACCCCTGCAGCGTTTTTGCTCGGTTCCGTAGTGGCCGAAAATCGTCAAATCGGTGGTGTTTTCGCGTGTTTTTGCAACTCTCGGAGCAAAAAACACCGTAAATACCGATGTTTTTGGCGGGTCGGAAGCCCAAAACCACGGTATTTACGATGTTTTTTGCCTCTGGTAGTAAAAAGCACGGTATTTACAGTGTTTTTTGGCCAGCACCTAGCAAAAACACTGGTATTTACGGAGGTTTCACCATGTAGCAAAATGTGGTTTCTTGATCCGAAAAGAACAAAAATACTGTAAATTACAATGTTTTGAGTCTGCTCTTAGGGTGCGTGGGAGGTGTGGAGGGGGGGGGGGTACTAAAATGACTAGCAATCTCCTGAAGAATCAGGTAACGGGGCTGGCCGCCCTCCCCTTTACTTCGTAAAGTAAAACTCAAGGTAGCCCCTCTGGAGCTACCTTTCGTGACTTATCGAAGGGATAGAAGTGGCTCATGGAATATCAGAACCGTGCTTCTTGGTCACTTCCTAATGAATCCTAACTCAGATCAACATCCAGTTTCCCACTTCCCCTTGGAATCCCGGATCGCCCCCTGAGTCCCTGACTCATAGAGGAGGCACTCATAGTCGGAGGAGCGGGTGGCATTGTGAACCCTGGCAGCAGTGGGTTCAGCCCAGTAATCCACTTGGAACTGGGAAGAACCACCTCTGACACGTCTTGGTTCCATGCACTTGTGCGTGCGTGTGTGCATTGCATGCACATAGTTCTTCAGCTGTCTATTATATATACATATATAAGTTATAACTGACTTCTGAATTTATGTGTATACATATATATATATACACACCCGTGTTTTCTTTTCTACTTGTTCAATCTTGTTCACACAATTGCTTAAGGCTTATTGTCGATGTCTCTTCTTTTATCAGTGTTTATCTACCCCCTGGCCGTAGCAAAAGTTTGGCCAGTGCCCCAAGGATCCAGCGGTTTCCAAACCAGTGAACTACGGACCATTTGGGGACCCAAAGAGGCCATCGGAGGCCCAAAAAACTGTCGGAAACCAGCATCTCAAATCATCTCAATGGACGTCTCGTTGTTTTCCAAGACTTGAAACATGTCGGAGTCCAAATTGGATACCGCCCGAAACTGGATGAGACTGAACATGATCAATCCGTCTGTGTAGCAATGGGCTCTGTGGGCCCATCCACGTACCCGACGTACCCCTGATTGTTGGTAGGAAAACGAAAACGATTTGCTGGAAAATGCCCTCATTTATATCATTTATATATATATATATTATATATTCATTCATACCATTTAAACTGATGACTCTTCCATGAAGACAAAAACTGTCGCGGCCAAACATGTTTGACTGGCATGGAGGCCTCAGGGCTTCCTTCATGTCCGGAGGAATGAAGTCAAAATCTGTTCGAAACGCCTCAGGCACCTGAGGATCAGGAGAGCATGCCTAAAACCTAGACCCACTGTACCAGCATGGGGATACTTCATGTATTAAATAGGAAGAATGGTGGTAAACCATATACCTCGGGAGTGTGAGAACGTGCACGGGGCAAGAAACGGGTATTGGCGTTCAAACATATGGTAGCAAAAGAGACCCGCAAATTGACAAGTCCCAAGCATGAAACTTCCCGTGACACCGTGACACCGTGGCACCGTGACACCGTGACACCTACCTATGAAACCTTCATGAAACCTCCAGTAAACCTTTTGCGAACTGTGCTCATTCTGAGTCGATTTCAATGCCTGCTGCGAATCCTTGATTCTTCAAACAAGCATATCGCAATTTGGTCTCTGGGCACCAGCAATACCTATGTGAAAAGCTGCGATGCAGGATCTTCGATCCCAAGCCTCAACTTCATGTTCATCAATCTTCTGCTTCATCATTCCACTGAGGTAGCAAGCATGGATTACCACTTGAAAGGGCCTTCCGGACTAAGGCTAAGGGGTGTGTGTGTATATATATATATATATGTATGTATATATATATATATACGTATATCTGTGTGTGTGTCCATTCTATGATGATCGTGGATTTGGTTTTCAGGCCAGATTCAGGATACCATCCACATCATCCAATACCCAAGCCCGCCTCCCCCTTGTAGAAGACATGGGAACACCAGAGCTCCTGACATACAGCAGCCAATCCAAACATCCGACTGCTTTGACGATTCCAAATGGTTCACACTTGGAGCCGTGGCTACTTTCACAACAGTCCTTCGCGCATGCATCTTTACCTCGGCTGTGACCAATCAAACACAAGTTCCCCTCGCCACTCACCAGCTGGTGTGAAACAATCACCCAACTACCATGATAAGAGCTTGCCATGAAGCTACCATGCCGCCTTGGGACCCAAAGAAATTCAATTTGACCTGACCCATCCTATGCCCATCAATTATGGCTGTTTCTCAGCATTGGAGTCCTGAAACCCAGTTTGATAGCCTTAGTCTTAGTGCCTAGCTCAAAATTTCAGACCCAAAGTGCAGATTATACATGATTATACAGGGTTGCTACCTGGCCACCCCAGATACGTTTGGGTGGTAGCTTGGCTAGATAAAGATGCAAAATGTACTATTCCCTCATGCCTATTATGTACCTAGGTTGGAGCACCACTGCCAGAGTTTAGTTATTTTTTTGGATTATTGCCATGTTCCAGACTTGCCCCCGGGGTGTCAAGAGGCAGCTCTCTACTCTGGTGGTGATCATGGAATTGTTGACATTGTTGAAGCGAATGCCTGAGCAGTTGCAAGTGGAGCAGAAATCACTCAAATCATTCAAGTCTTGCAAAACTGTCTGGAACCGGAGCCCCGTTCGAAACACCTCAAGATTCCCCAACAGATTGCTCAGATTGAACACTGCTCACCATTCTTAGAATCTTGGAATCTTCAACCTTTTCTTCGCTCCGGGAGTTCTGTACAACCAGTAACTTACTGCCATGGTCTAAGCAAGGCTGGTTCGGAGTTATTTTGGGGATCCTGTGCCAAACTATCCCCACATCATCATTATCATCCCTATTACCCTTATCATCACTATTATTGCCATGATTGTACAAGTACAAGTACATCAATTCGTCGGCAATCCATCAAGTGATCGCTAAGCAACCATGAAAATTCGCCACTTGCGGACAATTAATTGACATTGATTGACCATAAATGGAGGTGTCCTAAGTCATGGGGGTACCCCCAAATCATCCAGTCGTCATGTATGACCATGACTTTTTATTGAAACCTATGAGGCTTTCCTAAAAAATAGGGGTACCCCCAGTCATCATCCATGTTATTTTCGGATTTTCCATGAAATAAACCACCCAGCGATGGGGGTACCTCCATGACGATGGAAAACCCCGGTGCTGCTCCGAGCCGGCCGTCCCTGCCAAGCATCTCTTGCGCGGCTGGCCTCGACAGGTGAGACCCTGTTCGCCCTGCTCCAGGACCGTCCAAACTTTGCCCAACCTGATGGGAAAAAGAAGTTATTGATATGGTTGATATGGTTGATATGGTTGATATGGTTGATATGGTTGGTATGGTTGGTATGGTTGGTTAGTGACTTATGGATGACTTTAATGGTTCGTAAATTTTGTGAATTGCCCAACTTTTGGTTAGTGAATTATCAATGGTTGGTTAGTGATGTGTTGTGATGCTGATTTATTGATTGGTGATGGATGTGTCCATCCAAATGGGGGTACACCAGAATCCAAAATTGGTGATCAATGGGAAAACCATATGGAAAACCAATGGTTTGGGGTAGCCATATTTTAGGAAACCTCCGTGGACTCCATGTCTTCTTGGTTAGTGAATTGGCTAAAGAAGTGGCGAAGACTCATGGTTTTCTTCGTGCTTGGTCAATTGATGGCTGATGAATTGTGGTTTAGCCGTTGACTAGTGGTTAATTCGTGGTGAATTGACGGTTGTCAATGGTTAATTATTGGTTATTTGCTGGTTGATCAGGTATTGATGATGGTTGATCAGTCGTTCGTTTTTAGGGGACCAAATATGTGGCCAACTCAGCTCCACAATATTATAAAAGGATGTGGCATGATGTAACCAGCCTGAAAGCATGTCGATGGCCGAAGGGGCAATGGGCTGGGCGCTTGACACTTGACACTCAGAAGACAGCTGTGTAGCCGCTTAGCAAAGCCAAGAAAACATAAGAAAACGGATAAGCCGATACCATGAACCCTCCCAGCAACAAATCATACCAAGGCGTCATACCAAGGCGTCATGTTACATCCAAGTGAAGGTATACCTCCCCCAATTGGAGATGGTTCACTATGGGGTAAAAACCTCCTGTCTTAACTCATCACCAAAGACTAGATCTATTGAATCTATTGTTTTTCATGACATGACTGATATCTGCACGACGATAAAACTGTGACACTGCCAAAGCATGGAAGGGTTGAAATGTGTCTGATACACTTTGCTTACTACGAGTGGCACAAACGGCCGCTGAATTGAGCAAGAGCCCATGTCCCAAAATCCGAATCCCCCTCCCTCCCGCCCTCCAGTCAGGTTCCAAGTATTTTGTTTACCATTCAAACCGTGATCACCACTCCCCAACATGCTCCAGGAAACTTCAGGTTTCGATACTTCTATCAGAGTTCAACTCAATCGACAGTATCCCTCATTTACTGACAAAAAATCAGCAAATCACTGACCACCCTAGCCATCTATCCATATCTATCACTTATTTATGGCACAAATTCAGCCATTGACTTCATCATTCACCCACAGCCAGGTTCAAACCCAAGGTGCCAGCCCGGCAGTCTCAGGGATCGGTAGATGCAGATAGTCTTCTCGTAGCTATGATCGAAGATCCGATGGGGGGGCCAGTAGCCGTTAGTCTCGGGGCCCAAGCCCTCTGCTTTGCAGGCCTCCTTCATGGAGCTGAGCAGCTGGGGCGCCGCGTAACGTAAGGCTTGGGAAAAAAGGGGAGAAGTTTCAGGAATGGACTCATTGATTGATATTCCATTCCAGGATTATTATGGTAGAAGGTTGTTTTTTTTTCAAAAAATGTTGTAAAGTTTGTGCACGACCAAAGCCAATGTTTCAGGCCGATGTTCGATGATTTCAGCCATTTTCACATAGATGGTGAGGCTGTTCAAGATCCATCAACTTATGAAGCCACCAAGAAATCATTGGGCGACTCAAAAGCTGGCAGCACATAGTGAAACCCAACAGGCAGAAAAGAGGTCCTGTAGCCCGTGGCAATCTTCCTCAAACCTTGGTGCTTGTCATGTCAAAAGACTTGTCAAAGCCCATTTTTCCATCAAATGATTGGTCAAAAAAAAAGAGTCGAAAGATGTGAAGACTCCAACTGTTACGGGCCCAGGATGGTGATGGAGTCATGGAGGGAGCCCGGCCACCCCATCCCGGTTGACCCTCCAAGGGGCATAGGCACCAGATCCTGCGTCTCCACCAGCACCAAATCCACATGTCCTCGATATTCGCCCAGGCAACGCCCCAACCTGTTCAGTGTGGCCATCCAGTGGCCATCCAGTGGCCGACTCCAGGCGTAGTTAGGGATGGCAACACTCGAGCCAAATCTGAAGGATCATCTCAGGGATCATCTATAGGATTATAGTTACAAGATCTTACAAGCTGGTTAATAAACCCCATGAACATCCATGAACTAGTTCGATGTACAGATATATAAACCAATATCTACCATAAATCATAGAAGTCACCTAGGATATGATTTGGTTTTCTCCAAAAAATAGCAAATCTCAAGCAGTGCCACGCCCAGCAACAGTTCCACTGGATGCAGTGCCACGCCCTTCTGCAGGTTTTCGTTCTCACGGGAGTCCTCCCAGGCTGAGGAGCGAAAAGCACCATCAATGGGACGTCACCGGAGAAAATCCCAGACCGGAGACATCTGGATAATCCAGAAACATTTAAAGTTCATGTAAAATCTATGTGGATAGAAAATCACCAAAAGTATCCAAAAGTGAAAGTTCACATCCGAGATCTTTTTGAGTTCACATCGGCCAGGCGCGGCCAAAAACCATCAGGTCCTTGGGTCCAATTTGAACGATCCTCATCCCCTCGGTCAACAGCACCTCGCAACGGCGTTACGGACAACTGACAACGGAACATCACGGCATCATGCTATCCGCGGAACCTTTTAAAGAACTCTGGCATTCTAAAAGAAACAACAGCTTTTTGATGAAGTTGTTTGGAGCATGTGGGTGTGTCTGAAAATGGGGTACGCCCACCAAATTGCAATTTTAATATATCGAAAATGATGATTAAGCACTGGAAATTCGGGGTACCCTATTTTCACACAAAGTTTTTTGGAACTAGCTACTATCATGTTCCTTCCATTTTTCGGGTCACATGAGCCCCGCCTTGTTCCAGTGTGTGGAAGTGGGGTCCAAGGGCATGGACCACACGGTGAGATCGTGTTGCATCAGAAACATGGTGTGGACCTGTCGGCAAAATCACTGGAGATTGGGGGTATGAAAGCGGTTCGGATGTTCAGCAGCTGCTGTTTTCCATTTCACTGATAGGTGTTCGGCGTGGTATGGGCCTGCAGTTGCGATGGAAGATCGCATGCACTGTTTGACAACAGGAGCTCATATTTTTCAAGAAGAATGTTGAAAAACTACAATCTGCCACAAAATCATAATGAAAAGGATTTCACATGAGGGAACCTCCAAGATATGTCCATTACTGTGGCCTTTGGGGTTTTTCAAACTTGCGGGGAAGGATCCGCCCTCTGGTACGATCCATGGTCAGCAACTGGCACGTAAATCCTCACATCAAGGATATATTGACAGAATAACCCATTTACTATCAAATGTATCTGGGATATACATCCTTGTAAATCCCTTTACCCTCACAATGATTCTGAATATGTATATACATATACATATATATATATATACATAAGGATGTGACCCTGATATGTCCATCCAAATTAGCCTTTTCCAACTCTCTGGCTGACTTATCCTGAAAAATAGCTCGTATCATTGCGGCCAGCTATGGGGAATCCCCCCGAATAGAATCCAATTCCCGTCATTCCAGTGACGTCACGACGTGAGGTCATGATCAAATTCATCCAGGTATATCCAAAGTTTCTTATAAATCTTATTAAATCCCATCAAATTTCAATAAATGTCACTTACACATGATTTTCAAGCATCATAAAACCCTCATTTGGGATATGACCCCACCCCACTCTCCACGTTCTTCATCGGCATATCATGGCGTCTCCCACCTGGCCCGTTCCTTCGTAAGGGTTCACGAAGGTCACACGGGTGGTGGCTTCCGCAAGAGCCGGGAGGACCTTGCACTCCAGACCTGATGAAAGTTTCAAAGGCAGCAGTTTTCATGGGCTGCGCAGAGAAAATGGTGTGTCGTTTCCATCAAAAATCATGGAGTTCAAGGGGGTTAGGGGACTTCACCATAGGGATTAATGGGAGAAAACCATGAAAAATGGGGAATTGATCGGCTTTCACCAACACGAATCATTTTATGGGTATATGATGGGATATAGAATAGGATTCGGATATATAATGGGATGAGCGTATGTAGACATCTATATATCCATATGTATGTATATGTATATATGTATATTTTTATATATATATACGATAATATACATCTATATATATATATCGTATGTGTATATATATATATATCACCAAAAATGTGATACTGCTTTGTCTGAAAATTGGGGATTTACCTCACATTGTCGCCATCAAATAATGGAGAACATGATGAGATAAACCATGGGATTTTGAGCTGGCCTATTTTCAGACAAGTCCAAACTGGGAAAGTTGAAGACGCAAAAATTGGATAAAATTGGTATTTTGCTGATTCTAGTCAACATATGAATAGGATTCAACCAACAAAAAAATGGCTTTGACCCAAGAAGGGAGAAGTTGCATCTGGAAGATTCGGAGGGTTAACAAGGAATATGGGGATTGAACGAATGAAGACTGGAATTCTAGGAAACAGAGCAAGTCATCAGGAAATTAGACGACGACAACAACAACAACAGCAGCAGCAACAGCAACAGCAACAACAACAACAACAACAACGGTTTGGATTTGATGAGAGAACGATTGATCTTATCTAGTTAAAAATTAGGATGACTGTCTAAATTTAAAAGTTTTCCAACAAGTGGGAAGTGTAGACAATTTAGAGAAGAAGAATTTTTGGATGTCCAAAGAACAAAAAAGATTATGTTTAAAAATCCAGCTTTCAGGGCACCTTTTTAGCACAAATCTTATCCTCCAGGTTCCGGTGAAACCTCCATTGAAAGCTCGCTTCACCCGCCAGGGCACGGATATGGATCGCCGTGATGTCATTTGTGAAGGCTTCGCCCTTCTCGGCGCCTTCACTGGCTTGGCTTCAAACGATCACAGGGTCTTCAGCATGTGGATATTACAGGTCAAAATTGGAGGATCCTGGGATCTACAAGTTCTTGACACTTTGAGTCAAAACAACTCTTCAACATTCAATTTTGGATGAATAAATATCCATATCCAGTTCTCTCAGGCTGTTTGGGGCTCAGTTGCATATGTTCACCTTCCAGTCATCTTGGTTATCCATAGGTTTCACTATTTATCCATGCACTTGGTTGGTGAAACTCCTTGCACATCATGGTTAGATTATTGATCAGATTAGACGTTTTAGGAGTCTTTCCCCGTGATTTCTTTATCCCCGAGCAAGAGCAGCACACATCATGATCCCCACGTATGCTGCTTATGCCCTCAAGTTTAGCCCCAAGACAACCAAGATATTACTAAGTACCCTCTGTTAATGGCTCTGGAAAACGGCCCATTCAAAGATGATTCCCCCTATAGCCTATACCTATTAAAAACCGGCCCAGAGTGTATGTGTTTAAACCTTTTTTCGAGGGTCCAACACGTGTGTCCCATCTGCGAATTGGAGAGTCGTCTTTCCGTCATCCCGGGCAGGCGAAGTACAATGCGCCGTGGGCCGGAGGAAGTAGTCACAGTAATCGCCGTCGGCCGTGCAACCACCTGCGCTGCGCTGAAAGACATCAACTTGGCCCAACTGAGCAAGTGGTATGGGATAGAATCTGACCAATTTTTCAGGTTTCCTAAAATATGGGTCCCCAAAAACATCCATTTTATATATATATATATATCTTCGGGTTTTCCATGAAATAAACCAATAAACCATCCAGCTATTGTGGTACCCCCATGACTGAGGAAACCTCCCATTGGAACATCCAATCTCCCAGGAATCGCAGCAAATGACCACCGTTCGTGACCCCGAAAACTCCTTCGATAGATCTACCATTTTTTCAGCCAACAGCGACTTTGGACTTATTTAAAGTTGTGTTATCCATTTAAAACTCCATATTAATCCTCTATTAAAAACCTATAGATACCTATTAACCATATTAAAAATGTTATAAACCTCTATGGATACCTTGGGACCCCCATCTCATCCGCCGGTGCCTTCAGCATAGTCTGCCGGAGGATTGGCACCTTCCACTCGCTTCACCTTCCCCAACAACCGCGAGTTCTCCACACGCCAGTTGCAGCCATGGACCTGGAGGCAAGTGGCCATGGGGTATGGGCTACACCATCAACCCCCCTATGGCTTGATCTAGGGGAAAAGTGACAGCAAACTCATATGGCGTTTCATTCTAAATACCCGGGGGGCTCCTGTGGAGGTTCTCATAGAGCAATTCTGAGACACTTGACCATCCGAGGTAGAAACCAGCTAGCGAAGCATGGTCATGACGGGATAGCAGTAGTGACAGTAGTGATTGAGCCGGTGAAAGAAACCAACATAATGAATGTCAACAATAAACCTCTCCTTGGATACCTTGGACCAATAGGGAGTGTTGTACCTGGTGAGAATTCTCATTCGTTCGGAGACCCCCCCAGTGAAGGACCAGAAATCCCTGGCCGTTCCTTGAAGAGACAGAGCTGCCCGTCGATGCGAACTTTGTCAAGGAAGGCCGTGTAGTCCTCGGCGCAGCTCAGCTGAACACATCGAGGCATTGGTTGCTTCGGCCAAGAAAATGAATGGTGAGGCCAGAAGCAGATCTATATCTTATGATGTGTCTTGTCATTGTCTGACACACACATACAGAGACACCCACAAAAGTCAAGTTTCTTCCAGGTCTCAAATCATAAGGAATCAGAACTATCACATACAATAAACATTAGTATTTCACGAGCGTATTTCATCATCTGTCCTCTGCCAAGTATCATACGCAGCCCCAATGAGCGAGAGCACTGCCAGGACTGCAGCAACTCTGGCCAAAAAGCTGTTGTTCAATCCACCCTCCTGCCGTCCCACAGCTCCAGGGTTAAGGCCTAAAAAACCCGCCGTTGAGTTGTGATGGCGCCTTTCTGGCCAGAACTCTATCCACTGGTAATGACTAACATAACTGATGGGAAAATCACCATTTTTAATGGGAAAACTCACTATAAATGGCCATTTTCAATAGCTATATTAAATTACCAGAGGGTATCCACTGGTTGATCACCATTCTGGTTGGCATTCTCCTTGTTTTTCAGTGGCCATATTTCCCCATTTCCAGACAAACCCATCTGATGAACAAACTTTTTTTGCCGTTCCCAATCTGAAGCCCCGCAGTTCTTGGTATATATGGCGCCTGCTCAATGACTTCTTTCTGCACCTGCAGGTTTTTTTTAACACAGCCATGGAAGATGGCCCATTGGTAGATTAGATGATTTACCTCTGATTACCAGAGAGTATATCATGGGGATAGAACCAAGATGAGAATACGACAAATTAATGGTGGCTACAAACAGCAAAATGTGGTGATATATGGTGATATCACCAACACAAATGGGTTCTGACTTGACCAACAACTCAGAAACTGAGTTTGGTGTGGGAATACTCAGAGTCGTTCCCTAAGAGTGTTTGTCTGCCCATGCAATTCTGACGCATCAGAACATAATGTGCTGGAACAGATCTTTGCCAAAATCGATCAGTTTGGGGTGCACTGCTACAGCTACGGCTGCTTCCATCATCGATCTTGTCAACATTATCATCATGGCGCTTTGATTGTCCCGTAAATTCAGACGCATGTTCCATCGTTTTCATCGATTATCGTGGATGTTTCATCATCATTCACTGATTCATCGATTTTCCAATGGATTTCCCCATCTGCGAGTCCCAACAGCAGGCCTCTTGGCTGTCCCCAGCCAACGCAGGGGGCGGATCTGCGCAGAAGATGGGTCTGGGAAGCATCGTCTAGGTAGTTGAAAGCATCCAAATAGAATTCAAATGGGATCTTCATAGACTTTGAGCCATTCTCAGATATTCAACCTTCAACATCCTTCAACCTTATACATGGGTTCTGGTTGGAGAAAATGTCTGTCATATCTAGAGTTTTTCCCGATCCTTGTCTGTGAGGTATCCCAATTGTTCCTTTTTGTTGGTAATCATCCCCAAAAGTAAGCCTTCACAAAATCCACTAGATATTGTGGGGGAATAATGATAATTAACCCAGCGTTGCAACACAACAGCAGCAAAGGTTCCACGTTCCACGGTTCCATCCGGGATTTGAGCAGCTTGCATCTGTCATGCACCGGTCCCAGATCCAGAGATTGAAACCACTGTTGGGAATTAACCCAAGAAATTCCGGTTTGTCTTTACATTGGCTACACTATATTTCCAGTGGTTTGTAATACCCTATGAAAATGCAATGTTTGGGGCTATACACCATTTTCAACGACACCCTAATATTTGCCAAATATCCCACTACTGTATGTCCCCATAAAACGGTTGGTCCTAATAACCCAATAGCTTTCGATCAAATCCCATTTCTTGTACAATAGTTAAATCTCATGAATTCCCAAATTTTCGATGGCTAAATTCCGCTAAATCCCATTACATGCCCTGGGTCCTAGCTCTTCCAGAACCTTTCGTGGGTTCCAACCCTCACAGCGCCTGCCAGTGGCTCCACATTCTTACAGCCAACAGCACCTGGAGGCAGCCGCTCAGATAAGAGTTCCGCCTTGGGAAAGCGCCTACCTCAGCAAGTCGGCCGCATCTTGGGGATGGATTTCACATGATTTGACCAAGGAAAGTTAGCTAACTTAAGCAGAGACAAAGGTTTGGTTTTCACTGTTTAAGAATTAAAAATTGGAAGCCTTCAGGCCTTCAACAGGAAAAAAAAATCTGGATTCAATGTGATGATCGGAAAATTGTGGTTGATCCTCCAATATTTTGGGATGTTCTTGGGATTGAATGAACTTCAAAATCGGGATTTCATGGCATTCATCCCAACACAAAACGGGGAGTTCATGGGATGTTCATGGGATTTTAATGGGATTTCCATGGGACTTTCATAGGAATTCACCAAGAAATCCACATCTTCCCGTCTTCGTCAGAGGTGCTGAAACAAAGCTGCAGGTGTCCCAGGCGACGGCGAGCGCAGAGCTGGGAGAAATGCCGGCCCTGGAGGTGGAATGATGCAATGGTCATAAGTGTTGTTGGTTCATAATATACTGTACTATAAGCCATATGTGGTTATGTTACATATAATGTACTATATGATTATAACAGTGTATTGGTTTACTAGTATGTGTTATAACATATGGGTTATATATAATGTACTATAACCACCACATATATATATACGTATAATATATATATATTGTCATAGCTATTGGTTCATAATGATCATACTATTAGTTTATAGTTATATAATTGATATATTAGTTTTGCCCATTGGTAATGTAATATTATGGTCATAATAGTGTTATATATATATATTGGTAAACTATGATGGCAATAATGTTATACCTATTGATTTTTTATATGAACCACTATTGGTTCATATAACATAACTGGATGATATTTTTAATCACAGAAAAAATATTGGTATGTTTCAATGTGAAGCAATAGTGATTCATGCTGATTCTAACTTAATATTTGGTATATTAAATATAATTATGTACATGTACATATATTGCGTGGTATTGCTTGGTTATGTATGTAGTTATGACTGAAGTTAATGGTAATAACTATGGTAACTGGTGAATCTCCTAAAAAATCATAAGGCCAATGGCTAATGGGCATAACTATGGGATTGCAACCGCCACAAGTTGGGGGGCATGGGGCCCCTATAACTATGGTGAAATAGATCCACTTCTAATTGGTAAATCAATGGATTTACCATCCTGTCATCAAACGTGGCAAGCTGGAAAAATCCCACCATTTATAGATGATTTACCCCGCTAATATAAAGCCTCCATTTAGTTCGGGGATTTTCCCATTGCCACGTTTGATTACCAGAGGGTAATACCCATTCTCTCCTGAGGATGATTGAAGTCCAAACCATTCCGGGCGGCGATGGCTTATTCTTAGGTCGGCATTTTTTTCCGCAACGAAAAACGCAGTGAAACATGGGATGCTTACGCTAACTCATCTAATTCTATATAAATATATATAATAATAACATTTTTCTATACTGTTCATGTGTATATATATATACATATCTATATCATTCTACATCCGTATATGTATAATATATATATATATATTTGGATTATTAACCACGTCATAATCCCCAACATCCACCTTAAAACATTGTTCATCGCCATGGCTGCAGGCCCCCCACCTCATCCACGCGCACATAGGTGCCTACACACAGCTCCTATAGCACCGTCTCCCAGGTCATGGCTAACCTTAGATACTCAGCACTTAAGCGGGGTACAGTCTTTATTAGGGGGTATCATCCAGAAAATAGTAAGGTTGTGGCATGGTTAATCTGAGATGCCCTGCAAATTTGACATGTAAATTTCTAGCCAGTTATGATGAGTTATGAAATATGTCCATGTCAAAATTGCCAAACGTTGAACCAGTAACCTAGCATTCACCAAGATCTACATAATCTACATATGCGGCCCGTCAGAAATAGGGCACCCCAAACCCAAACCTCTATAGTTTGAGGTCGTGTTCTGCACCAAATGGAAAAATTGGGTAAATCCCTTGATTTGTGGACAAATCTTAGTGAGATATATTCATTCATTCATTCATTTCATTTCATTTCATTTCATGTCATTTCATTTCATTTCAATTCATTCATTCATTCATTCATTCATTCATTCGTCACGCTGCTCGGGTTCGAGCGTTGCCCAGCTGCACCCATGTCAAAAGATAGAAATTGAGCCCAAGGCTCTGTGATGGTCATCGCAGAGATTAAATTAGGCTTCGACACAGACATATTATGTACATATTCATGGACCGAATTTCATCATACTACATCCCACTTCATTATCAATCTATATCAATCTATATCAATCTATATCAATCTATATCATACTCTGTCCCCATTCAGATAGGTCTTTAAAGGCCCTTTTACCAAAAACCGCATTCAGCTCCTGCACTTCGAAGTGCTGCCGGAAGGTGGTGCCGCAGTCGCGTCGGGGCCGCTGGGCAAAGACGTAGATCACCAGCAGCAGCAGCAGGATCAAAGTGAAGACGAAACAGGCGCCGCGCACGAAAAAGGAGGCCTGGTGACGCTGGGAATTCACGGAACGGATTGGGGTTGATGATGTGGGGATGGGTTAAAACCTTGTACCCCTGTAGTTCACATCAAAATAGCTGGGATTCATGGATGTTCATCCCCCTAAAAATGGTATGTATAGGTATTGATCCATAGCCATGTTGATGCGTTCGTTTTTTTTTTCTGGCTTGGAGCGGAGGCGAGCTCTGGTGAGGTGATTGGCGATTTGGATGTTGATCCGATGATTGATTTTCTGATGTGATTTTTACTGATGTGGAGCTGGGGTGGGTCAGCCCAGGAAGGAATTTGCCAAACTTCGGCTGAAAATCATCCCAGATATGAAGAAGCAACGAAACTTTGCAGCCACTTACCAGCTTTAGAGTGGCAGGGACTTGGGTTCCAACAAAACAACTCAAGATAGGTATCCCCCGAACGTTCCAAAACGCTTCAGTGGAACGACATCACGGCCGGGCATCCCACCCAGGGCTGGGACATGATCATTTTTTTAACGAGAAACCACCCTCCGGTGCTGAAGGAAATCCCCGAACGATTCATGGATATATTCATGGAGGCTTACAATGGTTTATGGAGGTTTAAAATGGTTTATGGAGGTTTATAATGGTTTATAGCTGGAAAAAAAAAAAAACATCACAAAACATCCATCAATCGGAAATGTTCCAGCCATGTTTGAGTAATGGAGGGTATCAACTACGAAACAAGTTGAAACCCATCCCTGGTGCCGTCCCAAAAAAATGTCCCGCCTCCATGTGAAAAATCAGACTCCAGCCAAACAGCATTATCGCCTAAGTCGCTGTCAGTTTTCTCAGTGGAACATAGATCAAATGAAGCTGTGGTGAAGATATCTTTCACGTGCTTTGACCAGAAAAAGGTTCCAAATACTAGAACATGCTTGAAAAATTGGAGGCAACCAACCAACATCCTGAAATAGCAGGATACATGTCCCTCCAATGGACCCACGTGTAGTTGCTTAAATGTGGCACCACATGTGGCTTCACCTGCGGGCAATCTCAACCACTCGCAACTGGGGTGTGCCACTGGAGCCAGAAAATGGTTGAGTTTTAGATAAGTTTTCGTGTCAACCCATCCAATTTTGGGGGTGTGACTTGTTACACAGCAAAGCCATATACGGTCATCACCTAGGGTCCAACATGTCCAATATGTTTCAACTACGAGTGCCTCTATCTGTAGATCTTGAGTGGATGGCTATCAGCTGCTGTTCCCCCTGGGGCTGTGACAAAAACGACCAAAAGGAAGCAAATGACCTGGCTCGATGAGAAGTCAGTTCGGGAATGCCAGCAGCGATTGGTAACTTATCCATAGTCATGGATCTGGTGGATTTCATTGACACTTGGCATCATTGGCACTTGGCATCTTGCTACTGTGTCCTCGATCGAATGAGTCAACTTTGGTGTGTCGATGATCCAAACATGATGTCAGATGATGTTCGAATGATGCTTCTTGCTGGGCATGTCTACTCATCAAAAAAGGACCGCTTCTGTCGGTCCATTGGTTTATAGCCCCATGTTTGAGCCGTGGCGCTAGCCAAATTTCTAGACAATTCCAGTATCTTAATGTATCTTATCCAAGAAAATGATGTTCCTATATCCATTTGTATCCATCTAAAAAGTGTTTTTTTCGCCCATTGATATACTCATGTACCCCATTTACACCCATTGATGAAAAAGGCCATTGAGAATTCTCCCAGCGATTTGAACGCCACCTGCCCAAGGTAGGCGCGCACTGCACCGGGCTGGGCTTCTTGCCCGCGGCCCCAGCAGATGAAACCTTGGTCGATCGGCCAAGGATTGGAACTAAAAAAAATCGAAGGTCGAGGTATTTCATAAATGTGCCATGAAAAATTGAAGAAAGGAATGTTAATTAGTACCAT